GAAAGATTGGTTACTTCTTGAGAACACTGATGTTCTAGATCTGGAAGGGTTTGATAATGCTTTTGGTTGGCATGCATATTTGTGGTACGACAAGGTAAAGGTTCATAAAATGTTCAAAAATCATATTGTTAGAAAATCAATATTTATGGTCTGGACAAAATACAAGGACTTATTAGAGGGCAAGACTCGAGGTGGCTTTCACCAGCAGAGGCCAAGGCCCGGAAAAACCTAATATGGAGGTTGGTTGGCCGAAATATGGGGAAATTATAGAAAAGTAGGAGAAACTTGGAGGCTGCAGAGTTATGAAAATTAAAGAATAAGGTGCAAAATTGGCTTCACTATGCTCAAATTCAAGAGGTTTTTAAGTTGGACAAAAGAACAGGTTTCCAGGTGGAAAAATCGAAACTAGAGACAGAATTGTTGGAACCAAAGACCAAGGTACTTTCGAGAATGTATATCTTGCTGCTTAAATGGAACACTCAGGATGAGACAGTCAAATCAGCCATGATAAAATGGGCTCAGGACATTGGGTACAACATTATGTTTGAAGACTGGGAAAGGTTATGGACCACTGGTATGAAATTCACGGCATGTAATGCCTTGAAAGAGAATATTATGAAAATGATATACAGGTGGTACATGACCCCAGTCAAGCTTGCTAAGATATATCATTTGTCTGATAATAAATGTTGGAAATGTAAGGGGGCTGAAGGGACATTCTTTCACCTCTGGTGGACTTGCCCAAAAGTGAAGGCCTTCTGGGAAATGATCTATAATGAGTTAAAAAAAGTGTTTAAGTACACCTTTCCCAAGAAACCAGAGGCCTTCCTACTGGGCATTGTCGGTCAGAAGGTGTTAAAGAAGGATAGAACCTTTTTTATGTATGCAACTACAGCAGCAAGAATTCTTATCGCAAAACACTGGAAGACTCAAGATTTACCCACACTGGAAGAGTGGCAGACGCAATTGATGGGCTACATGGAATTGGCTGAGATGACTGCCAGGATCCGAGATTTGGAGGAAGAAGCAATGGAGGAGGATTGGAAAAAATTTAAAGATTACTTACAAAAATTTTATAAGTTATATGAATGTTAAGAATTCGCATGATTAGGGAAATTCAGCTCCAGCAACAAGATTAAGGAATGGGAAACTAAGCTATATTAATGAAAGGACTAACGTTTAAAAGAATATTATATATATTATTAGTGTAAATTGACAATAAGTATTTTAAACGTAAAACACAAGTATTTGAAAGAACAAAAGAATGCACGAAATAAGGTTATAATTTGCTGAAAAATTTTATTGTAAAGAACGCAAGGTGAGGGGGACGTGGGGAAGTCCGGTTGGTTATGGAAAAATGCTTTGAAAAGATGATTTTCTTCTTTTTCTTTTTCTTTTCTGTTATTTCTTTGTATATCTGACTTTGTATTTCTATCTGGAAAAATGCAATAAAAAAATATTTAAAAAAAAAAAAAATGAAGTCTCTCAGCCCCACTCACCTCACAGAGTGTTTGTTGTGGGGGAGGAAGGGAAAGGAGAATGTTAGCCGCTTTGAGACTCCTTCGGGTAGTGATAAAGCGGGATATCAAATCCAAACTCTTCTCTTCTTCTTCTCTCGAACCACAGCCCGTCACCACACACTTCTCATCTCTATGGTTTGCAAAAGTCAGAATAAACCAGCTCTCTCCCTGTAAAGAGGAAAAAAAGAAAAAGAAATGAGCTTTTCTTGCCCCAACCTGAAGATACCAGGGTTTAAACTTAGGCATATTTGCGTAGAAAGTACATGTTCTGCCACTGGGTCTCGTTTGGCCTGTGCCCTAGAAAGAAAATTGAGATTCTAGCCCTGGGAGTTGACTTAAAACAGGAAGAAAAGGAGCTTCCTGATACAGTAGATTAACTGCAAACAGCTCTCCAGAGTTTTAGACAGGTAACCTGTCTCACGGCCTACCTGCAGATGCCAGGAATTGAACGCGGGGCCTTCTGCATGCAAAGCAGGGGTTCAAGACCCTTCCCTTGAAAAAGAATGTAAGGTTCTAGTCCTCATGTTGTTCTGAATAATGGGCAACGGGTCTTCGGGGTTCCAGGCGGGGGTCACTTCCTAGCCCTATCTGCAGCTTGAACCTGGAACCTTCTGCCTCTGAGTTTTGGCCCATTCCTAAAGATACAACGAGGCCCTCGCATTTCTGGATAAAGGGCCGATTTAAAAAGGAATAGAGGAAGCTGCCTTATACCAAACCAGGCGCTTAGTCCAGCTTAGCTCAGTGTTGTCTACGAAATGGCACCGTCTCCATGTTTTCAGGCCGAAGTCTCTCCCAGTCCTACCTGGAGACGTCGGGAATCGAACCCAGGACCTTCTGCATGCAAAGGAGATGCTCAGCGGCACTTCCCCACTGACCTGCCAGCAGCGCGAAGAAAACAACCAGCCGTAACCTTTCCCCTACTTAAAGGCAGTTTGGGGGAGTGTTTTTGGTTCCCCGCCGCCTCTGGGCAAAGCTTCCTCCATCACTATGAGTTGCAGATGTTTTGAGGAATGGAAAGCAGGAACCGCAACAGAAATACCCACGTTTCCGCCCTTCCCCTGCCGCCTCCTGAGGTGTTTCCAGCAGGCAGACATTCCTTGCCGTTTGCTACAAATGACTTGCTTGGCGCAAGCCAGAACTCGCTGGGGAACTAGAAAGCTGCGGAAAGTGTGAAGCTTTCCCCCCTCGGCTGTAAAGCTAGAACTTCGAGCAAAAGATACAAGAAGAATCTTCTAGGTTCTGCGAGATCACATTCACCCGGTGCTATACCAGCTGCACTGGCTCCCGGTGGGGTACAGGATCAGGTTTAAGGTGCTGGTTTTAACCATTAAAGCCCTATACGACTTAGGACCCTCGTACCTACGGGACCGCCTCTCCTGGTATGTCCCACAGAGGAACTTAGGTCTTCAAACAAAAACATCTTGGAGGTCCCAGGCCACAGAGAAGTTAGGCTGGCTGGGCTCAACCAGAGCCAGGGCTTTTTTGGCTGTGGCTCCGATCTGGTGGAATGCTCTGTCACAAGAGACCAGGGCCCTGCGGGACTTGACATCTTTCTGCGGGGCCTGCAAGACAGAGCTGTTCCACCAGGCCTTTGGCCGGGGCACAGCCTGACCCCCTCCTTTGGCAATCCTCACAGAACTCTAGCCCAATGGTTGCTATTAATTTGATTTGAACTGATTTTATAATGAAATGATTTTAGAATGTTGTGCTATTTTACTGTTGTTAGCTGCTCTGAGCCTGGCTTCGGCTGGGGAGGGTGGGATATAAATAAAATTATATTATTATTATTATTATTATTATTATTATTATTATTATTATTATTTCGGTGCCGCAGCTGACTTAAGAACGCAGGTCGAGCCAGGCTGGCCAAAGAGGCCAGCATCCTGCCCCTAAGGACCTAGGAATCTAGATAGACTGGTCTGGAGCTGGAGGTTCTGTAAGAGCATCCGAAGAGCCCAGCTGCAGGATCAGGTCAATGGACTGCCTGGCCCAGGATCCTGCTCTCTCACAGTGGCCAAATGCCCCTAAGGACCTAGGAATCTAAGATAGACTATCCCTGGAGCTGGAGGTTTCATAAGGAACACATCAGGAAAAGCTTTCTGAGCATAAGAGTTGTTCGACACCAGAATGGACTCCCTTGGGAGGTTGTGAACTCTTTTCCCCTTGGAGGTTTTCAAGGCCATCCGTCACGGATACTTGAGCTGAGATTCCTGCATTGAAGGGGGCTGGACTAGATGAGCTTTGGAGTCCCTTCCAATTCTACAATTCTGTGTTTCTGAGGGCATCAGAAGAGCCCGACTGCTGGATCGGGCCAATGGCCCAGCTTAGCTCAGCACCCTTCTCCCGCAAGCGGTCAAACGGATACCCCAATGGGAAGCCCATTATTGGGACCCAGGTACAAGAGTGACTCTCCACCAACAGCAGAGCTGGAACACAGCTGTCGTGGCTGGGAGCTGCCGAAGCGATGTGGTAGGCAGGCAAGCTCCCTGCTTTATTTTCGACTCGGGCTTTGAATCCGAGCCAGCTCCGAAGAAACCGCTCTGGGCCAAAACCTCAGGAATGTAAGGCGATACAAACCCGAGAGCTCGTCGGAGGGCGTGCAAAGCGAACAAGAAGTTCTGTCGCTCCAGCATCTTCCCGCATGGCACGTAGGAGGTACCGCGGTTTGATCCCACGCATCTCCAAGGCTGGGGGTGTGGTGGGAGCAGGTCTAAAAACCCCAGAGAGCCACTACCAGCCAGTGCAGACAGTAATGGGCTAGATTGGCCAATGGCCTGACTTGCCAAACTTCCCATGCCCCGATTTAAATCAGAACCATGAGGACTGGGTCCTTGTTTTGTTTTTAAGGGGAAGGTACAGAGCAAAGAAGGGAGGCGGGTGGTGCTGTGGGTTAAACCACAGAGCCTAGGACTTGCCGATCAGAAGGTTGGCGGTTCGAATCTCCGCGAGGTGAGCTCCCATTGCTCAGTCCCTGCTCCTGCCAACCTAGCAGTTCGAAAGCACGTCAAAGTGCAAGTAGATAAATAGGTACCGCTCTGGCGGGAAGGTAAATGGCGTTTCCGTGCGCTGCTCTGGTTTGCTAGAAGCGGCTTAGTCATGCTGGCCACATGACCCGGAAACTGTACGCCAGCTCCCTCGGCCAATAAAGCGAGATGAACGTCGCAACCCCAGAGTCGGCCACGACTGAACCTAATGGTCAGGGGTCCCTTTACTTTTACCTTTACAGAGCAAAGAGGTAGAGTTGAGCTGGGTTCAATCCACCTCTGGTGGGAGAAACTTTTGCCTGAAACCTTGGACGACCACCTGCCAGTCAGACAGCTTCCAGGTGGCCAAATAACCCCCCCCCCTTCGTGCCGATTGTATGCAAGGAAAGGGACCCTGCTCTGGAAGCTGTAAAAGGACTTAAGACACCCCCTGCCCGACGGCCGCAACCCCCCCACCCCTGCAGCGCAGCACACAAACACGAGTCCAAAACAGGTGAACTTGTACAAAAAACATGTTGACAGTTTTTATTGTCTCTTTTAAAAACCACTTAAAAATGATAATCTCTCAGTGGGTAGGCGGGGAATTAAAAATATAACTACCATCTCGTCTCGCTCGCCTGTCGCTGAGTCGGTTGCTCCCACCACTACCACCACCACCGCCTCCCCTTCCCGCCCCCCAACCCTGTGAGAGGGGGTTCTCAGGAAGGAGGGGGGCCGCTTCTCAAAAAGCTGGCTGGGAGGATGTGGGGCAGGGCGAGGGGCCTTCCTTCATGCTGACAGCCTAGCAGTCATTTCTTCGTATGGCTGGGGGGGAGTTGTCGTTTTGAGGCAGGAACGGGGCAGCGAGGCTTCTCCGGCTGTCGTACGTGGAAGGGCAGGGAGGCCGCAGAAAGGAAAGCCTCCTTGCCCCCCCCCCAACCTTCCCAGGAAGTGGGGTGGGGGGAGTGTTTGAGGCTTTGGGGTGGTTAACCGGAATGTTCTCTGTGTGGAGAAAATGGCCTTTCTCTCTCTCTCTCTCTGTGGAGGTGGAAGGGCACACACACGACAAGCTTGGGGTTGGGTGGGGAGGAGGGGCCTCTGGCACTGTGTGTGGGGGGGAACGATGCCAGGAAAAGCCTGGCCCGGCTCCGAAATAACCCCCCCTGCCCCTCCTCACATTTCCAGCCCCCCCAAGCCCAGCCCCACTCCCGGTTCTCCCCGCCGGAAGCAGCACTGACGGGAGTAACGCCGGTTCACACCATTTATTTACATTTCGGAGAGAAGAGAGGGCCCCTCTCTCTGGCGCCGCTGCCCGCGGAATGAGGTGGCCCCCCGCACTGCCTAGGACAGGCCTGAGGAAAACCACCCGCGTCGTCCCCTCCGCCCGCGGCCACCGTGCAAAAGGCGGGCAGGCGAGGATGGGTGGCGACGCCGGGGGGGGCAGAGAGTGTCTCGCAGGCACAGGGAGCGGGGCAGAGGCTGTAACGGTGCCAAGGTGGGGGGGGAGGGGGCGCCCATGCGTCCCAAGTCCCGCCGGCGCCCCTCTTTAGAGAGCATTGTCCTCGCTGCCGATGGTGACTCCGGCCGGCCGCTCCAGATCCGCTCTCTGCCGCTGCCTGCGGTCACCCTGGGAGCTGCTAGCGACAAGGCGGTCTTGCCCGCCCCCCTCAGTCACTGTCCGATCCAACCGCTGAGGAGCCTTTCCTCTTCCGCTTGGTGGGTTTGGGTTTTGTGTCTTCCTCCTCCTAAGAGCAAAGAAAGCTTTGTTTCAATGATATGTAAGTGGAATCTTAAACACCAAACGATCTGTTTAAAGTGTACAAGGATGTGTCAAGTAATTGTTGGAAGCGTAAACATATCGCATTTTTAAATTTTAAATTTATTGTTGTACATTGTTTTAAATGTTTGCTTTCCTTCTGGGATTGTACCCCCAAGTGTGTTTTATAAGCTGGTCTCCGACCGTAATAAATTATCTATCTATCTACCTACCTACCTACCTACCTACCAAAGGGTCTGTTTTTTTCTCTTTCCCCCAAATATGGTGGACATGTAAGAAAGCTAAAGGCTCTGGGGGAATGATTCATTATGAATGTTCAAATTGGTTATTCCTGAAAGTCCTGAAGCTTTTCTCTTCAGGATAATAGGGGTGAAGGTCCCGAAAAAGATGGTTAAAATATTTATAGATGCAACAACAGCCAGAATCCTCTAAGCGCAGAAATGGAAAGGAGGAGCAGTACCAGTCAAGGAGGAACGGCTTCAAAAGTTAACGGTCTATGCAGAAATGGTGAAATGGACAGCAAAAACGAGAGATAAAAGAGGCGAACTGTTCGTGGAAGAGTGGAGACCCTTTTCAGAATATTTGAAGAACTGTTATGAGTCAAATGAAAACGCGACCAAGGTTTGAATTATGAGCAGGGGGACGAAAACAAGGATAAGTGAGATAGTGGGTAATTGTATTGAAGTATGTCATAGAAAGCAGTAGGTACAAGATAGGAATAAAAACATTATGAAAATAAGGGTGGGTAGCCCAAATTTGAGAGAGAACAGAGATTGAAATGTAAGTAAATTTGTAAAACCTGTGAAAATCAATAAATATGAGAGAGAGAGAGAGAGAGAGAGAGAGAGAGAAAGAAAGAAAGAAAGAAAGAAAGAAAGAAAGAAAGAAAGAAAGCTTTGTTTCAAGGGGGTGGGAGAAGGAAACTCTTTTCAGCCCGAGTCTCACATTCCCTCGGAGGCAAACAGCCTTTCCACTGCTTTAATACAATTATCCTGGTTCTGCATTCCAGCCACGAAAAAGTCAAGGGGCTTCTGTACCCAGAGCCTGCTTTCTCCATGCAATAACTGGCATGATCACAGGCCAAGGGCACATTCCAGCCGGGCAAGAGCGCTCGGGGATGGCGACGGGAAAGCCCCAAGGGCCGGAACAGAGAGGTTGGGGGCCACATTTGGGAACCCTGGGCCGGAGGTTCCCCGCTGCTGCTATGTTTATTTATGAAAAGCATTTGCGCACCACGATTTATACATCGCCGCATCGGGGCACCGCGCGGCACCAAAGCATCCCGTGTACCCACGTAACCCTGCCCCCGCCGCAAAGGCTCTGCTCACCGAGGCGCTGCTGGAGGCAGACTCTTCCTCGTTGTTGGCGGGCTGCGCCGCGTTCTTCCGGCTGCGGGGGCTGGAGACGGTGGCTTTCCGGCGGCTCTTTGGAGGCTTGCTGGAGGAGTCCTCGTACTCTTCGGCCAGGGAGAAGAGGTCGCTGAACCTGGGGAGGGGAGATGGCACAGGGTGGGTCCACGGACTGTACAAGAAGCTCTGCACCCAAGAGGTTTGCGGGTGGCGGCAGGTCAGGGAATGCCGGGGTCTCCCTTGAGCTCGACCTGGAAGCTGCGGCGACAACGCTGCAGGAGGATGCGAGGCCTTCAGCACCTCAGCTCAGAGATCCGCACCGGTTGTCAATTTGCTGTTCATATACAGTCATATACATATACAGTATACAGAGGGACACGGGTGGCGCTGTGGGTTAAACCACAGAGCCTATGACTTGCCGATCAGAAGGTCGGCAGTTCGAATCCCCACGACGGGGTGAGCTTCCGTTGCTCGGCCCCTGCTCCTGCCAACCTAGCAGTTAAAAAGCACGTCAAAGTGCAAGTAGATAAATAGGTACCCCTCCGGTGGGAGGGTAAACAGCATTTCCATGCGCTGCTTTGGTTCACCAGAAGCGGCTTAGTCATGCTGGCCACATGACCCGGAAGCTGTATGCCGGCTCCCTCGGCCAATAAAGCGAGATGAGCTCCACAATCCCAGAGTCAGTCACGACTGGACCTAATGGTCAGGGGTCCCTTTACCTTTTACCTTATACAGTCATACCTCTTGTTACATTTGCTTTAGGTTAAATCTTTTCAGGTTGCGTCCTGCGGCAACCCAGAAGTAACGGAATGGGTTATTTCCGGGTTTCGCCACTCGCATATGCACAGACGCTCAAAATGACGTCACACGCATGCGCAAAAGCAGCAAATTGCAACCTGCGCAGATGCAGGTTGTGTTCTGCTCAGGTTGCAAACGGAGCTCCGTTCGCAACCAGAGGTACCACTGTGTTTGCTTAACCATTTGGGGGCCTATTTACGAGCAAGGCAGTCTTTAAGCCAACTTGACTACAGAACTGGCACCATCCTAGGTGCCACATAATACTCATTCCACATTGGTAAGCCATCAATCCTTTAGCGAGGCGGCACCTACACTTCGGAACTCCCTGCAGATCGACCTCAGGCTGGCACCTTCTTTGGCTGGGCTCTTTTCTGCGCTTGCTAAAAACATATTTTTTGTACAGGCAAGTCTGTCCCGACGGGCAGAACGTTGACCCGTGTTTTAATCTGGTTTTTAAGCCTATCGTTGGTTTTAATTAGTATTTCTTTGAACATCTTAAATTTTTGCTTTTGCTATTAATTTTGTTTTGTCGTTCTTTTGGGAAACTGCTTTGAGGTTGTTGGGTTTTTTTAAAAAACAAAGAAGTGGTGAATAGATTTTACAAAATAAAAACACATAAGTGAAAGATTAAGGTAAAGGGACCCCTGATCATTAGGTCCAGTCGCGGACGACTCTGGGGTTGCGGTGCTTATCTCACTTTATTGGCCGAGGGAGCCGGCGTACAGCTTCCTGGTCATGTGGCCAGCATGACTAAGCTGCTTCTGGCGAACCAGAGCAGCACATGGAAACACCGTTTACCTTCCCGCCGGAGCGGTACCTATTTATCTACTTGCACTTTGACGTGCTTTTGAACTGCTAGGTTGGCAGGAGCTGCGACCAAGCAACGGGAGCTCACCCCGTCGCGGGGATTCGAACCGCCGACCTTCTGATCGGCAAGCCCTAGGCTCTGTGCTTTAGACCACAGCGCCACCCGTGTCTCCATAAGTGAAAGATTACTTGTTCCTTTTTCTGGTTTGCTCGATTGGAGAGTGAAACAGCAGCAGCAGCAGGGCTCAGGGATTGTGGAACGATGCCACCCCACATGCTGCCCCTGCTTTGGGGGAGAGAAGCAAGTTCTACACCCTTCCCTTCCGGCCCTACAAGCAAACCTCTACTCGTCTCAGTCTGCATGGCCAGACTTTCTTCTCCATTTCTCTCCTGCTCACTTGCTCTCCTTTGGAAAGGAGGGCACCCTCTTTTTTCTGAGCCCCATACAGTACCAAGGAAAGCCTTCGCCCATCCCTCCAACAAACGCAAACACAAGAGACGGGCACTCACTTCATCTTGTGGGCTTCGTCGCAGCTGGCCTGGACGTGCTGGAGGGCCTGCAGGATGGGGGTTTGGCTGAAAACTGCCGGGGAATCGGAAGGAAAAAAACACCAGGAAGTCAGTGAAATGAAATTTTAAGAAAACACGGCGGCTTCACATCCTTGCAACATGCATATCCAAGAGGACCGCAGGATGAATGGCACAGATGGGGGCTTTGCCTATGCCTGGTCTACATCAACCGGCATCAGCTCTCTGTGGGGGAGTCTTTAAAGATGCACTTACAGTTCTGTTTGGTGTTGGTGAGGTTCAGGCGCAGGTTGTCTAGGTGCTCCAGGATCTGTTCCAAGGTGAGCTGGGCGAGTTTGCTGCTGGAACTGCGCAAGCTGGAAGCAAAGAGCCAGAGAAAGGAAGGGGGAAAAGAGAGAGAACGCAGGCAGGGTCATTAGAAATGGGCTTCTAACACTTCGCATGGAACGCAACGGCAAAAGACTCAGAACCCTGGGAGCGCCTGCTTGCTTCCCCCTCCTACAACTTACAATGAACGCACCAAGTATCTAGCCCTCATGAAGGCATGAGTTAAGAACATGAGAAGCACTTTGATGGCCCATCTAGTCCAGCTGCCTGTTCCCACAGCAGACACCCAGGGGCTGCAGTGGAAGCACGCGAGCGGGGCCTGAGAACAGCACCAGCAGCAGCAGCGCTGCTCACTTTCGATTCTTAAAGGTAAAGGGACCCCTGACCATTAGGTCCAGTTGCGGCCGACTCTGGGGTTGCGGTGCTCATCTCGCTTTATTGGCTGAGGGAGCCGGCGTACAGCTTCCGGGTCCTGTGGCCAGCATGACTAAGCCGCTTCTGGCGAACCAGAGCAGCGCACAGAAACGCCGTTTACCTTCCCGCCGGAGCGGTACCTATTTATCTACTTGCACTTTGACGTGCTTTCAAACTGCTAGGTTGGCAGGAGCAGGGAACGAGCAACGGGAGCTCACCCCGTCGCGGGGATTTGAACCGCCGACCTTCTGATCAGCAAGCCCTAGGCTCTGTGGTTTAACCGACAGCACCACCTGCGTCCCTCCAATTCAGTTCTTAGGAGCTGGGGGAAAAACTGGGCAGGAACAGTAGCCGCCGTCCTCTGAGTATCTGCTTTCCAACTTGTCTGTGGATTTCCCACTTGCTTATTTTGGCTTCTTATGTTTGGGGGAAGGGGCGCCGTCTGTTTTTAAAATAATCTCCGTTCGAGTTGCTTAGCGTTGATGCTCGGACGCTGGAGAAGGAACTCCACTAGATGTCGTCCTTGGTCTGTAAATGTTAGAAGGATCTCCTTGTTCTCTGAATGAATGGCTGCATGCTGTGTGTGTGTGTGTGTGTGTGTGTGTGTGTGTCCCCTGCTTTGGGAAATGTCTTGCCATGAACCCAGGAAGCTGCCTGGGACCACGCAAAGGCGATGCTCTAGCTCTGAGCTGCGGAGGAAAAGGTTTTCCTCCCTCCTAACACTAAGGTCCGTATAGTTAAAGGTATGGTTTTCCCAGTAGTGATGTATGGAAGTAAGAGCTGGACCATAAAGAAGGCTGATCGCCGAAGAATTGATTATTTTGAGTTATGCTGCTGGAGGAGACACTTGAGAGTCCCATGGACTGCAAGAAGGTCAAACTATCCATTCTGCACAACAGCAGCAAGAATACTCATTGCAAAGTATTGGAAGACACAAGATCTACCCACCTTGGAAGAATGGCAGATGAAGGTGCTGGACTATATGGAATTGGCGGAAATGACTGGCAGAATCCGAGACCAGGGAGAAGAGTCGATGGAGGAAGATTGGAAAAGTTTAAAGACTATCTACAGAAATATTGTAAAATTAATGAATGCTAGAATGATGTTGGATAGAAACTAAGTGAACTTTAGCTGAAAGGTTACAAGGAATATGAAAAAATGGATTATTAATATGTAAAAATCTAAAATTACAATACTTTATGATTAATGATTAGGAAACATAAAGAGGGGAGGGATTTGCTGAACGAAATAATTGAACTGGAATACAAAAAAGGGAGGTGTGAGGAGGTCCGGGAACTAAGCAAATGAAGGTTAAGTAATGGAAGGAATGATTTGTTTTTAAATATTTTTACTTTGTATTTTCTTTTTGTGTGTGTGTGTGTGTGTGTGTGTGTGTGTGTGTGTTGTAATATCTTGAAAACTTCAATAAATATCTTATAAAAAACAAACAAACAAACTATCCATTCTGAAGGAAATCAGCCCTGAGTGCTCACTGGAAGGACAGATCGTGAAGCTGAGGCTCCAATACTTTGGCCTCCTCATGAGAAGAGAAGACTCCCTGGAAAAGACTCTGATGTTGGGAAAGATGGAGGGCACAAGGAGAAGGGAACGACAGAGGACGAGATGGTTGGACAGTGTTCTTGAAGCTACCAGCATGAGTTTGACCAAACTGTGGGAGGCAGTGGAAGACAGGAGTGCCTGGCATGCTCTGGTCCATGGGGTCACAAAGAGTCGGACACGACTAAACGACTAAACAACAACACAACACTAGGAGAGAGAATCTGATGAAGCTGGACGTGGAAGGCTCAGGTGAAAAGACTTCTTCACGGGGTGTGCAAACTGCAGAACTCGCTCCTATGGGAAAGGAGCAACCAGCTGGGGTGGCTTTGAAAGAGGACTTGGTGGGGGCAGCGATCAAGGGCAGCTACTAGCTCAAGGCTGCACCTGCGGTTCTCCTCCCACTCTTCTTATCCTCACAACCCCATGCAGCAGGGCTAGGCTGAGAGGCGGCGACTGACCCCAGGCTCACAAACACTGAAATTCATGGCTGAGCAGGGATTCAAACCCTGGCCTCTCCCAGATCCTAGTCTGCACTCGAAGCACTGCCCCACTGCAGCCTCCCTTGGCATCTGTCATAGGGACGCAACCTGTAGCCAGGCTCTGAGCAGGCAGAGCAAGATCAGAGTCCTCCTTTGTACGAGCAAAAAGAAGGAGACCCTCCTTTTCCAGACATTGCATGGGAGTGCAGACACGAGATCCAAATTGTTGCTCCTATGAGGCAGAGGGAGATGGTGGAGGTGAGGGATAGCTCTAGGTTCCCAGAGGGGGGGGGGACACGACCCCTCCCGCCCTTGATCCAAGCAGAGAGCAGCAGATCTGCCTTGCCCCCTCCACAAGACCGGTGAAATCGACTCCAGGTAGCACAGAGAGGCCGGAGCCCTCCTCTCTGCATCCTTCCAAACCTCCCCACCCTGCAAAAACTTCCACTTGGCTCTAATTGGGCTTGGGTTCCTGGCACAGGACCTGTCAGTCACAGCTGGGCTGCCCCCCGCGGGGAAATCTCCCAGATAAATTGCCCTGGGTTTGCAATGCAGATGTGAAGGCGGCTCAAGGAAGTGGGTCCAATTAGGAGAAGCAAAGCGAGCCGCTCTCTGCTCTCTCGGGATAAGATGATGAAAAGAGAAACACGATAGGTGGTGTGATTTTTGTCCTTTGGGAAGGGGTGGCAATGGAGGAAGATGGTGGTCGCCTTTAGGTGCCTCACTCACGGCCCATATGATCTCTTTGCATATGCAGATTGAGGTTTACAGCTTTCAGTGTTTTTTAAAAAAGATAAACAGGGCAAGTTTCTAGTCCTTATGACAGTGACAAGAGAGCGCACCAGGAGATTAGGCCTGATATACTTTTCTTGATCTACTCAACAACAAACGTTCGCTGGGGATTCTTGGTTCAGCTGCCCTCTCTCAGGCTAACTCACTTCGCAGGCCCATTGTGAAGATAAAACAGGACAGTCCTTTGTTATTATCCTCGGAAAGAAGGGCAACACAAGAAACAGGCAAATATGTATTGCAACCAAACCTCTACCCGTGTGCTGTATGGAGGATAAAATTATATGTAGTTCCGACATGCAGCAAAATCCCTTTGGATAGTGCGGGGGGAGAGAGATGCTTTTTGAACATCCCTCCTGTTTTGTTTTAAACTCCTTGCATGCAGAAAGCTAGCACCTCAAACATGTGTGCCTTTTCCCTGGCACACTGTCTTTCTAGGTGCAAGTTGTCATTGAGCAGATGGCCTCTGCCTGCAGCTGCAGCAGGCCCGCAGCCAAATACCCCACACAGGCAGGCAGGCAGAGCAAGAGCTTGAACAGAGGTTGCCCATGTTTGCTGGCACTAACACAAGAAGAGCCTTGCAGGATCAGGGCCAATGGCCCATCCAGTCCAGACTCCTGTTCTCACAGTGGGAAGCCCTGAAGCAGAACCCTTGAGTATTAGGGCAATTCTCCCCTCCTGTGGCTTCCAGCAGCTGGAATATCTGTCTCCGACTGCGGGACAAGAGCATAGCCATCGTGGCTAGTAGCCACTGCTGGCCTCCTCCTCCTCCTCCTCCTCCTCCTCCTCCAAGGTTTAGATGGCATGCCTACTTCTGGTATGGAAAAGCAAAAGTACATAAAGGATTCCACAACCATTTAATAAGAAGGTCACTGTTCAAAGTATGAGAGAAATATAAAGATTTACTAGAACCAAAAACACCCTGTGGCTATCACCTACTGAAGCACTATCACTTCAAATATTGGGGGGCGGGGGGGCGGGAGGAGAGTGGCCAACATATAGAGAGCTGCTGGTTGAACGAAAGGGAAAGTTAAATTTGAAAGAACATCTTCAAAGCTGGCTACATCCTAGACAATTAAAGGATATCATTAAGGAGGATAATAAAAAAGGCTTCTTATATTGGGTTTCCAGATTCCAAAAGGAAGTGATAGAAGAAAATACAAAATTATTTTAAAAAAGCATATAACGTTCTTTTGGAGTGGGAAACCAAAGATGAACAAGTAAAATCGGTAATGATTAAATGGGCACAAGACATAGGCTATAATATACAATTTCAGGATAGTCCAATCTGCTTTCAAAGCCATCTAGGTTGGCAGCCTGCTATTGCTGATGTTTTCGGATGGTGCAATAAAGTTTACGACAAGGTTGGCGCCTGTCGCTGCATCTTGTGGCGGTGAGTTCCACCGTTTAATGACGCCAACAGAAGCTGCAGTTAGCAGCAACTCCTGGAGGGTCGAAGTACCCCTCTCTCCTGAGCCAGGTGGAGGGAACAGCCTTGTTCTTGCTGTCGGAAAACCCTGGCTGACCTACTGCAAAATCACCCGGAGATCGACCAGGAAGTAGATCCCAATCTACCTTCCGCTCCCCGCTGGGCTGAAGCGACCTCCTCCTCCCTTCCCGGCCCATGTTTACCTTTGGCGTTTTCGGGGAAGGCTGTTGTTCTTGATCAGGAGGGACTTGATGTGCTCAGCCAAGAGGTCGTCGTGCTTGATGCACCAGTGCCGGAGGATGCTGGTGGTGAACTGGTCGTCCGGGTGGCACGGCCGGCTGAGGACCATCTTCACCATGTCTTCGCTAGGCCTGTGGCAAAATGCATGGCTTATTGTTACTCCTGGTTTTTGTTTGTTTTTCCAAGGGGCAAGAAAACCAGGAGAACAGGAGAAGACCCATTGTCTTGATTTAATAAGAGAGCCTCTGACTTGGCAGCGGGATGTGGCCCTCCAATCCTCTCTGCCTGGCCCTTGGGAGTTCTCTGCAGGCCACGCCCCTCACCAGACTCCACCCCCCTCCAATGCTTCTACTGCTCTTGGAACTCTGATCTATGTTTCTCGCTTGTCTGGATAGACCAACAGGGGCGTCTGCTTAGAAACCAGCCTACTGTACAAAGTTAACATTTATTTGAACTGATTTTATAATGAACTGATTTTAGAATGTTGTATTATTTTACTGTTGTTAGCCGCTCTGAGCCCAGCTTCTGCTGGGGAGAGCGGGATATAAATAAAAATTTATTATTATTATTATTATTATTATTATTGTGGTACCTCGGGTTACATACGCTTCAAGTTACATACGCTTCAGGTTACAGACTCCGCTAACCCAGAAATAGTGCTTCAGGTTAAGAACAGTTTCAGGTTAAGAACAGACCTCTGGAACGAATTAAGTACTTAACCGGAGGTACCACTGTATTATTATTAGTTGCTCCGCCCACTTCTGCCTCTGGCCCCGCCCACCCGGCGGGCGGCCCCTGGGAAATTTGCCCATAAGGCAATGTGGCCCTCAGGGTGGAAAACATGGAGGCAGCAGCCTTAGCTGAATTAAGACCTGGATCCTGGCCAGCCAACAGATATTCTGGCTGTCATAGTTAAGCCAGCCCAGCGCAAATCCCTTAAAAATATCCCACGGAGCCAAAGCCTGCCTCAAAGGAAGGCCGGATTTTCCCAGCATGCCCCTGCTGTTGAAGGCGCGGCTGTGAAGCTGCCTGTTTTTCCTCAAGGCAGCAGGAGGCGCTGGGCTCCGGGGCGCTGCCTTCCTTTCCTGGGTTCGTTCAGCGTGGCAGGTCAGAGAAAGGGAGAGGAGAGACAGCCTGCTCCCTTCCAGGCCCCTTATGAATAGAAATTAAAGCGCTCTCTGCGGGGCCATTGGCAAAGGTCACGCCGGGACATCGCAGCCTCCCTGAGGGTCCGAGTCGGGGAGCAGGAAGCACAGAACAGTAGCCGGTTTCGGGAGAGAAGTCGCAGAGGGAGCAGTTGGGAAAGCAAGGCGCTGGCAGATGCTTGACCTCTGCCTGAAGAAGGGATTGCAACTAAAAAAACTCTACTGGATCAGACAGAAGAAAGCAAAACAAACCATCCTGTTTTCAACAACCGTACGCTGGGGGGCTCCAAGAAACCCAGAATGGACAGAGTTTATAGTACAGTGGTACCTCGGGTTAAGAACTTAATTCGTTCCAGAGGTCCGTTCTTAACCTGAAACTATTCTTAACCTGAAGCACCACTTTAGCTAATGGGGCCTCCTGCTGCCGCCGCACTATTTCTGTTCTCATCCTGAAGCAAAATTCTTAACCCGAGGTACTATTTCTGGGTTAGCGGAGTCTGTAACCTGAAGCGTATGTAACCTGTGGTACCACTGTATTGTATTGCATGGCGCGCACGCTCTCTCTCTGAAATTAATGGAGCTTGATTCATATCAGCGAGTCTACTCCGAGTAGGACTACCACTGGCTACAACCCATAACTCCCCATCGTCACCTTTTGTCCTGCCAATTCAGTTATGAGCGGACCCAGTGCTAAATTAAGTAGCAACCGAGTTCCTTGCTCATCTTGGGGGTCTTCAGAACTCTTTCTGCCCAGCCTGGCGCCCCTCAGGGAGATGCAATCTGGCCCCTTTGCTGCCGCAAAAATCTATCATTGGATGAGCGGGGAAAGAGCGATAACCTCCACACCCGCAGCTTGTTTGCAGGGATCGGCTGAGGAGAGGAGCCGAGCGCCGGCACATGCGCCTGCCGCATCCACCGTGACCCGGTGAAATAAAAAGGTTAGCTGCCCCGGCTTTTAAATCTCGGCGTTTTTGCAACAGAAGGAAACTGCAGGTCTCCGATATCCGCACTGGAACCTGCATACAGGGCTGCAGAAGACCCAACAAAGCCCCCGGCTGCAATTATCAGTGCCGGCCGTCGGAAAAGGCACGGACACCCTTGACCGCTGTTTACCGCTGCCTCCGGGCGGGTGCGCTGGGCCTGGGCAGACGATGTCTCACCTTGCTCTGAGCAGCTGCGCAGGAAATTGGGAGCCAGCCCAGGTCAAGCCAGCAACGAGATAACACACCTTCCCCGGCGCTTGGATCGCCAATTAACATTTTGGAATTGCAAGTCGGGTGCGGGGAGGGAGCGCACTCTGCCTTTCGGCTTCTCATAGCTCCCCAGCTGCCGTGGCCACACGAACCCTGTCCGTAACTCATTGCAATGCCATCCACAGCCCTAAAGGGCGATTACATGGAGCGGGGAGGCGAGAGGAGGCAGGCAAGTGATTTGCTCTGTGTGTTTGTGAAATATAGCTTTAATTTCCCACCCTCAGCTGCCGTGTGTCAAAAGTTGGGGCTTATTAAAAGCTGGAAGGCTCAGAGAGCTCTTCCCATCATGGGTAGAAGTTGCATCAGGAGACGGGGGGGGGGGGGAATGTAGGAAGTTGCCTTATACCGAGTGAAAACAATTGTGGAAACTGCAAAGCAGAACCTTAGGAGGGCCAGATGGAGAGGTCCGTGTGTGGCCCTTGGTTCCCTGCCCCTGCTTAGGAATACACCCAGGAGAAACATAGGTAAAGGTAAAAGGACCCCTGACCATTAGGTCCAGTTGTGACCGACTCTGGGGTTGCGGTGCTCATCTCGCTTTATTGGCCAAGGGAGCCAGTGTACAGCTTCCGGGTCATGTGGCCAGCATGACTAAGCCACTTCTGGTGAACCAGAGCAGCGCACGGAAATGCCGTTTACCTTCCCGCCGGAGCGGTACCTATTTATCTACTTGCACTGGTGTGCTTTTTAACTGCTAGGTTGGCAAGAGCAGGGACCGAGCAACGGGAGCTCACCCCGTCGCGGGGATTCGAACCACCGACCTTCTGATCGGCAAGTCCTAGGCTCTGTGGTTTAACCCACAGCGCCACCCGCGTCCCTTGGCAACCACAAAGGGACCTATTACGTGGCAATAATTATAACTACTGGCCTTGGCAGTTTTCAGGGCAATTATCCTAAAGCCGGAGCAGTACCTATTTATCTACTTGTACTTTGACATGCTTTCAAACTGCTAGGTGGGCAGGAGCTGGGACTGAACAATGGGAGCTCACCCCGTCACGGGGATTCGAACCGCCGACCTTCTGATTGGCAAGTCCTAGGCTCTGTGGTTTAACCCACAGTGCCACCCGCGTCCCATAGGAGAAACATGGGAAGTGTTAAAAGCCCCGACTGATGCCTTCCTCCTGCCTGATTTCGTTCTCTCTCCATCCCTTGCCTTGCTGCCACCCCTGTATTTTGGCGCGCGCCAACCATCTCCGCGAGATGCAGCCCTGAAGCCAGGCCCCTCCGCTCAAAGCGCACTTGAGGCAACTGTGACAAACGGCGTTTTGGATACGTACTTCTCCCGTCTCAGCTGCAGCAATAAGCAGGAAAGCGCCTCAGGGTGTTCTGAAATGCAGAGAGAGGTTTGTTAAGCAGCTGCTAACCAACTCCAATGCAGAGCTCTGAGCTCCTGGGCAGCATATATCTCTATATTTGCCACTGCATCAGCAGAGCTGTGGCCTTCAGCCTGGGCCCAGTATTTTAGTGTCAGCACACAGATTTGGATTCTTGTAATTTATTATTACATTCTATGGGCAGCCTAGGACCCACGTACCTACGGGACCGCCTCTCCTGGTATGCCCCGTGGAGGACCTTAAGGTCTACAAATGACAACACTTTTGAGGTCCCAAGTCGCAAGGTGGTTAGATTGGTCTCAACTAGGGCCAGGGCCTTTTCAGCACTGGCCCCGACTTGGTGGAACGCTCTGTCACAAGAGACCAGGGCCCTGTGGGACTTGACATCTTTCCGCAGGGCCTGCAAGACAGAGCTGTTCTGCCTGGCCTTTGCTTTGGACTCAGTCTGACTGTTATGTATCCCTCCCCTTATGGTTTTGATCTATGGGCTACTTTTAAAATGAGGCTGCATTTTAAATTGCATTTTAACCTGTATTTTAAATTGGTCTCCCCCCCATTATGTTTTTACTGTAATTTTACTGGTGTTAGCAGCCCTGAGCCTAGCTCTGGCCGGGGAGGGCGGGTATAAATAAAATTTATTATTATTATTATTATTAGTCATATCCCACCCTTTTCTCCAAAGAGCGCAAGGTGGCAAACACACTTCCCCCTCTCCATTTATATCCTCACAACGACCTTGTGAAGTAGGTTAGGCTGTGAGAGAGTGTGGCTGGCCCAAGGTGAGTTTTATGGCTGAGTGGGGATTCGAACCCCAGTCCCCCTGGTCCTAACCAGGGAGAGGATAGATAGTTTAATTAGACAGATAGATAGGTAGACGTGGACCCTGCAATGTCTCTGTTTCTGGAAATTAAACTAGGGAGAGATGCATTTCTAGACGCCGAGACTCAAGACGATCTGAAAAGGAACACCACATTATATGGAAACCTGTGACTCTTAATCCATGACATATCAGGATGCATGAGGAAAGAAACACACACAGTGTCTCCTCAGGGAAAACCTGAACCGTCTTCCTTCAAGTATTCTGGAGCCGAGCCCTGCCACTGAAAACCATTACACAACACTGGCTCTCAGTATGAAAACATAATAAATAGAATAAATAGCGGCAAACACACACTTGTTGGTGCCATCGGGCAGTGTTTTCCAATGTGTGACTACATCCTTCTTGTCAACCATTGTCAGCGAAAAAGGACTTGGTCACGTGAAAGGAAAGGGCTCCATGAAAGGAAGTCTAGAGTGACGGATCCCAGCAGGTCCCAGGATCCCTCCCAGGCTGCAAGCTTTTTTTGGGGGGGGGGATGTTCTGCCAGTAAGTTTGGGACCAGGTAAGAGTCAGGGTGGATGGAGTCCTGGGTAAGAGGCCAGGAGACTGGGGAGGTGCGTCCGAAGGAGTAGATCTTCATTCGTAATTTGTATTAATTGTTTCATTGGGTGTTTTGTGCCGTTCCTGCTTTAGTTTGTCACATGCCGCTTAGAGAGGTATTCCTATACTAAGCGGTACAGAAATGGTCCACGTAAGCAAAGCTCTAAATGGCCCGGGACCCAAGTACCTATAGGTGCGCCTTCCTCAATGAGGACTAGAATCTTCCCCCAATATCAACCATCTCAGACCCTGCAATTAGTGAGTGAGCAACCTGGTTGGCATTGACCTGTGACAGGGCCTTCTCGGTGGCGGCTCCCACATTTGCAAAACGGCCTGCCCGGTGAGTTCTGTCCACCTCCCTCATTGCTGGCTTTTGGGAGGAATTTAAAGAGGGTGGGGAAACATTCCTATTTTGCCCGGCTGTGCATCCCTCCTAACTCTGTAATGGCCAGTGGAGAGGATGCTCGTGAGACGCTCACCTTTATACTTGAGATGCTGGAGGATGGGGATGATGGTCTCCAGGGGGATGTTGTGGGCCAGAAACAGCTGCCACGTGCAGTATTGCTCAAAGGTCTCCCACTCCAAGCTCTGAACTGGAAAAAGTGGGCAAGGGGGAAAGAGGGAAGGCAGGAAAGAGCCTGGCTGTCAAAAACGTGGCATGGCAACTCAGTTCACAGTGTCTTGCATTGTTTCATGCATAATTGTAACCGCTCTGATTTTTTCTTTTTCTTTACCAACAGCAGCATATGAATATTTTTAGGAACAAACATTATTATTATTATTATTATTATTATTATTATTATTATTATTATTTAATGCAGGGCTCCCAAACCTTTACAGGTCCACTGTCTACTTGGTTCCATAAACTCACCCCCAGTGTCCCCTACCCTATAAAAAGGATTCTCTGGGTTTGCATGTCCCACTAAGGAAGATGGTAACACAATGAAATTCGAAACAGGGGCAATTAATTGCGCATTCATTCAAAATCCAATTCACACTGAGGTCCAGCGCCGAGGGCCTTCTGGCGATTCCCTCGCTGTGAGAAGCAAAGCTACAGGGAACCAGGTGGAGGGCCTTCTCGGTAGTGGCTCCAGCCCTGTGGAACACCCTCCCACCAGATGTCAAAGAGAACAACTACCCGACTTTTAGAAGACATCTGAAGGCAGCCCTGTTTAGGGAAGCTTTTAATGTTTGATGTATTACAGTATTTTAATACTTTGTTGGAAGCTGCCCAGGGTGGCTGGGGAAACCCAGCCAGATGGGAGGGGTATAAATAAATATTATTATTATTATTATTCACACGATTTAATTTAATTCAACAAACCAGATGAGCTTGATTCAGTGATACGATATCAGCTTTTTCAAGTCTGATAAGTCATTGGCACTTCTGGTGCCCTCTCCCACCCGCGTGCCTCTTAGTGCCCCCCAGGTAATCCCACCGCCCACCCTGGGAACCACCCTGTGAGGCTCAGAGATAGTAACTGGACCCCAATGTCCTCCCAGTGAGCTTCACGGATGAGGGAGGATTTGAACCCAGGTCTCCCGGGTCCTAGCCCAGCACTCTAACCACTACTATAGAATGAGTGGGTCTATCTAAACACACTCCTTATTCCCCCCCCCTTTTAACCAAGACTTCGTTTTTTGGCACCTCTCCCCCGCTGAGCCCAACTCACTCAGAATATTGAGGACGGAGTCCTTCCGAAACATCACCAAGTTCCCCATCATAACGTGGCAGACCAATTCCTGGAGCTGGGGAGAACAGAGAGCGGGAGTCAGACTCACAGATTTAGGAACAAGGCCACCAGGCGCAGGTCACAGTGGAAGAGAAACGCAGGAACGTGAAATACGCATTAGGAAGATAGGGAGAAACTAAAAGCTGCCCTATACGGTAAATGAAACAGGCATCTAAAAGTGGAACCTTGACTCGAGGGGAGTCACACCACCTTGCCTGAGCCTAGCATCCTTCAGTGTGGATTTACCATAGTTTTTAGAGGGGGAAAGGGGGAAAGCCCCATTTTTTTGGGGATAAGCTCACAGTTGTGCAGCTTCTTTTGCAAAGGGGAAAATCCCCGTGTTTTTGAGGATCAGCTCAAAGTTGCTGAGCTTACTTTGCAAAAGGGAAAAAATCCTGTTTTTATGGGGTTCAACTCGCAGTTCTGCAGCTTCTTTAGGAAAGGAAAGGGAGCTGTTTCTACAGTTTCCAGACAGATATCAGCCAGTCACATGTCGCTGGGGAAACAAACAGCCTCCATCATTCAACAATGGAAATAAACCACAACCCTGAGACCACATTTACACCTTCCATTTGAAGTGCTATGATACCCCTTTAAGCAGTCATGGCTTTCCCCCAGAGAATTATGGGAACTGTCCATTGCGAAGGGTGTTGAGCATGGGTAGGCAAACTAAGGCCCGGGGGCTGGATCCGGCCCAATCGCCTTCTAAATCCGGCCCGCGGATGGTCCAGGAATCAGCGTGTTTTTACATGAGTAGAATGTGTGCTTTTATTTAAAATGCATCGCTGGGTTATTTGTGGGGCATAGGAATTCGTTCGGTTTTTTTCTTCAAAATATAGTCCGGCCCCCCACAAGGTCTGAGAGACAGTGGACCGGCCCCCTGCTGAAAAGGTTTGCTGACCCCGGTGTTGAGAGTTGTTAGGAGAGCTCCCTATTCCCTTTACTGAGCTACAATTCCCAGAGCAGTTCCCAGGGAGCTCTGGGAATTGTAGCGCTGGGCGGGGACTCGGGGTCCCCTAAGGACTCTTAGCATTCTAGACTAAAGGCAGCTCCCAGAATCCTTTGGGGGGAGCCATGACAGCTTAAGGTGGTCTCATAGTGCTTTAAATATACGGTGTGAATGCAGCCTATGTCGTCTTCCTCGGCTCAGAATTTAGATGCAGGGAGAAAATGCTACAGTATGAATATACCGCGTGTCCACAAAGTCTTCTGACACCCTTAATTTCCACCCCCCGCCGCCCCTTCCACCTTTCCCCACTGGCCCCACAATGCAGCCAAGGAACCAATGAAGCAGGATGTGGGGGGAAATGAGAGAAAGGGACGAGTGATGGAAACTGAGGCAGGGCTGGGAAAGGCACCAAGGTGGACAGGGGTTAGGCTGGGAACATCCGGAATGGGGCAGGAGCCCAGCAAGGGGTCAGATCAGGTGGGGGGGCCCTCCCACCCACCCACCCACCCTTTCCCACATGCGATACCATCTCGCTGTCTGCCCTGGCCAGGAAAACCTGCCCAAGAGACCCAGCCGTCCCAAAGCTGGCATGGGAAAGAGAGCGCTTGATGAACGAAGCTGATACGGATATATTAGGGGAGACAAAGGTTTATTTTGGGGAAACAGCCTGTATGTAGGCCCAACCAGGCTCAGAGGCAACACGCATGAGGCAAAAGTACTGCCTGCCAAGACACACACACACACACACACACAAAACCTCTCCCACTTTGGCTATTTTTGGGTCACTCCAAACGGGCACCATGGCAACCTATTAGCATTGGCACCACACGCCAGCCCTGCTCTCTCAGGGGGCTCTTTAGCCCAGAGCTCTGTTCTGGCGCTGTTACAATTTCTGGGAAATGGGGAAGAGGCCTGCAAGGTGGATGTCCTGCCCTCTGGCCTGGAGATCAGGGTTGGGGGAAGAAGAGTCGGCTGCAGGGTCTCCATGGCAAAAAGAAGGGCGCCCGGGGCATGTGCAGAGGCCCACGCTTTTTTCTTTGTTTTTGACAAGGCCATGCTCTGGGTGTCTGGAGAAAGGGCTCCCGTGTTGCCCCGGACTGATACAGAGCTGAACCAGTCACCATCAGGAGAAGATCTCTCCCTATGGCTCTCTCTGCGGCTGTGTTCACGCCATGCCTTTAAAGCAACCACACACACCCCAGCAAAGAATCATGGGAATTGTAGTCTATCTCTTACATACAACTGCCAGCACCCCTTAAAGGTAAAAGGTAAAGGGACCCCTGACCATTAAGTCCAGTTGTGACCGACTCTGGGGTTGTGGCGCTCATCTCGCTTTACTGGCTGAGGGAGCCGGCGTACAGCTTCCGGGTCATGTGGCCAGCAGGACTAAGACGCTTCTAGCAAACCAGAGCAGCACACGGAAATGCCGTTTACCTTCCCGCCGGAGTGGTACCTATTTATCTACTTGCACTTTGATGTGCTTTCGAACTGCTAGGTTGGCAGGAGCTGGGACAGAGCAACAGGAGCTCACCCCGTCACGGGGATTCGAACTGCTGACCTTCTGATCAGCAAGTCCTAGGCTCTGTGGTTTAACCCACAGCGCCACCTGCATCCCTGCCACCTGCGTCCCTTGTTAAAGGGTGACAGCACCCTTTAGCAAACTACAATTCCCAGGATTCCTTGCTGGGGTGTGCCTGGGTGCTTTTTATGGTGCGAATGCAGCCAGAGGTTAAGAAGCAACATAGTGGTTAGCGTGTCGGACTGCGATCCGGGCGCACAGGGTTCAAATCCCCGCTCAGCCATGAAAGGTGCGGGGCAATCTTGGGCCAGTCGGTCTCTCGGCCTAACCTACCAAACAGGGTTGTTTGTGCGGATAACGTTGGGGAGGGAGAACCTCGAGCTCCTTAAATGAAAGGTGGAACATAACTGCAATAAATATAATGGATAAAAACACTGCCCATCCACGCAGCAAGGCATGCAACATCTGCCCGTAGTCCGGGAGGCTGGCCGGGGCTGGGAGTGGGAGAGAGGAGGCCAATCTAGTCTGATCTACTCCCAGAAAGACAGGCCCATCCCAGTCATCAGTCTCTCCACCCACAGAGGCAGGCAGCGCTCCAGACGCTGTTTGACTCCAATGCCCAATAACCAGCATGGCTGATGGTGGATGATGGGAGTTGCAGTTCAGAAACATCTAGAGCAGCGGTTCTCAACCTGTGGGTCCCCAGATGTTGTTGGACTACAACTCCCATCATCCCTCACCACTGGTCATGCTGGCTAGGAATGATGGGAGTTGTGGTCCAACAACGTCTGGGGACCCACAAACACTGATCTAGAGGGCCACAGGCTCCTAGACACATGTCCCAACCAATGTGCTTAGAGGTGTTAGCAGAGAAAGGGAAATGTGTGGCCTTTCTGATATTATTGGATTCCAGCTATCGCAGGGCCAATGGCCAGGATGCTGGGAGGTACAGTCCAACCACATACGGAAGGCCACATGTCCTCCATCCCTGCTTTGGAAGAGAGGATGGGGCTGACCGCTAATCGCACGTCTCTGTTTGGAGGATCTCTTCCCAGTTCTGCCTCTGAAACAACGCAGCGTGCCTGGCTGCATTGACACAATACCTGGAGGCAGCTCTTGAGGGAGCAAAGGACAGCAAGCACACAGGCTCCCCCAGCTCTGACCGATTGTTCCACAAGGAGAGGCCTTACCTGAGCTGAGTCAATGACGGCCACAATCATGTTCAGCAGCTCCCCGCTCCGCAGGGTCTCGTCTGGAAACTTGAGACAGAGGGAGAGGCAATCAGGGGAAAGCAACAACAGACCTAATGCTGCTTTTCAGTCTAAGGAGACAGCGAGTTACAACTTTTTGAAGCTCGGTTTTTGCAGGCAACCGAACTCGGGCAGGGATATTGTTTTCGTGAATGTTAAAAAACGTACAAGTACTTCCTTGCAGTCGTGGAGGATACAAAGCCCTATGCGGTCTAGGACCCACGTACCTACGGGACCGCCTCTCCTGGTATGCCCCATGGAGGGCCTTAAGATCCACAAATGACAACAGTTTGGAGGTCCCAAGTCACAAGGTGGTTAGATTGGTCTCAACTAGGGCCAGGGTCTTTTCAGTATTGGCCCCGACTTGGTGGAACGCTCTGTCACAAGAGACTAGGGCCCTGAGGGACTTGACATCTTTCCGCAGGGCCGGCAAGATAGAGCTGTTCCGTCTGGTCTTTGGTTTGGACTCAGTCTGACCCTTATGTTTCCCTCCCCTTATGGTCTTGATCTATGGCCTACTTTTAAAATGAGGCAGCATTTTAAATTGTATTTTAACCAGTATTTTAAATTGTTTTTTTCCCCTTTTCTCCCCCTCCCCCATTACGTTTTTATTGTAATTTTACTGGTGTTATCCGCCCTGAGCCTGGCTCTGGCTGGGGAGGGCGGGGTATAAATAAATTATTTTATTATTATTATTATTGGAAGATCCACTATGTGCAGCAGGGGGCGCCACAGGCTGGGTGTAGCTGGCTTGACCTTGTATTGCAATAGGGGAGAGCAAGAGAGAGAACAAACCAGAACCGTGCAGGGCAAAGCCCAAGGCAATTTCTTGGCAAAGCTGTTTCACTTTGTGAAACAGGTGCCAGGGATGGGGGGGGGGACGGGGGGGCAGGGGACTCTTGACACTTGCAACTCCATTCGAAACAGGAAGTGAAACGCCAGCAACGAAAAGACAAAAATACAATTTTAGATGCGGCGGCAACTCTCCCGCTTTGCAGAGAGGTTGTCGTTCTCTCCCTCTAGCTCGAGTGGCAGAACTATGTCGTCTTCCCATTGTTTTTTGATTACGTCTAGGGGGTTCGTGGGGTTTTGGAGTAGTATTTTGTATATTGCGGATACCATCCCTTTGTTGTTAGGAGGAGGTTTTCGAAGGTTGCCAGGGGCCTAGTTGCTGCTGATTTTACTACTGGGTTGTTTAAGAGGGCATGTAATTGGTAATGTGTTAACCAGGGCATTTGGGTATCCTCTAGTTTGCTTTGTATTTCTTGTGTTGACAAGGGTTTGTTATTTTTATAGAAGTCTGTTAGGCGATATAGGCCTTTGGTTTGCCATGTTTTGATCTGGAGGTTTTGTGCTGCGTAATCCCTGGGGGAAAGTCTCTCGGGTTAAGTGGAGGAGACAGAGGGGACAAATTTGCAGAGGCTATCGGGGGTCACCCACCACAATGGCTAGGCTCTGCCTCCATGGCTGGATGAGAGTCATTCATTCTATGATGCCACGGAGCCACAGCCCTAAAACAACAACCCTGAGATTCTAGTCTTCATGGTTCTGAACTAAAGAGGAACATAGGGCGATACCTTAGACCACTGGGTCCATCAAGCTCAGTATTGTCTCTGCTCTCCAGGACTTTCACGCAGGGGATATTCCCAGCCCTACCTGGCGATGCCAGGTAGAGAACCTGGGACTTTCTGTGTCCAAAGCAAATGCTCTCCCACTGAGCTATGGGTCCTTCCGCCGAGGACCAAAGAGAGCAGAGCGATAGACAGGCAACGGGAAAGAAAAAGGCACTGAGGTTCTTGCGCCGAAATGCCGTAAAGCCGGTGGTTGCAGAGGATAATGCGGTCTGGTTGTTCTGGGGGAAAGGCCTCTGGCAAACGAGGGCTTCGCCCCGCCCCACTGGCCTGTCGGCTGCTGAGCGATGGAAGCAATAAAACATTTCATTAAACCTAACGGCCTGGAGAACAGGCAGCGTAAAACCTCCCCGGAGCCCGGCCGCGTCCAGAGATGACTCGGGGTCTGCGAGGCATATGCGATCGCTCAAGGAGCCCGCGAGAAAAACACACCGGGGGAAGCAGTGTAGGAGGGTGGAAGGGAAGCAAAGGTCCTGGTAGAGGAAAGGGGAGAGGGCAGGGCCTTAAAGGGACCTGCCTCGAAAGAACAGGCAAGCACGAAAAATGCTAGGGGTCGCTGTTGGCTGGGGAGGCCTCCAGATGCTGTTGGACTCCGACTCCCATCAGTCCCAGAAACCGGTGCTGCCAATGGTCAGGGATGATGGAGTTGGGAGTCCACAGGTTCTCCACCCTCTCCTAGACACCTGTACCAGCCAATCAGGGATCTAATAATAATAATAATAATAATAATAATAATAATAATAATAATAATAATTTATTTATACCCCGCCCATCTGGCCGGGCCTCCCCAGCCACTCTGGGCGGCTTCCCACAAAATATTAAAATCTTGTAATACATCAAACATTAAAAGCTTCCCTAAACAGTGCTGCCTTCAGATGTCTTCTGAAAGTCAGGTAGTTGTTGTTCTCTTTGACATCTGGCGGGAGGGCATTCCACAGGGCGGGCGCCACCACCGATAAGGCCCTCTGCCTGGTTCCCTGTAACTTGGCTTCTCGCAGTGAGGGAACCGACAGAAGGCCCTCGGTGCTGGACCTCAGTGTCCAGGTAGAACGATGGGGGTGATTCGCTCCTTCAGAGATACTGGACCGAGGCACTTACACTGCAAAGCAGTGATGGGGAGACCATGGCCCTCTCTAGCTGTTACTGAGACTCCAATTCCCATCAGCCCCAACCGGCATGGTCATGGATGACGGGAGCCCAGAAACATCTGGAGGGCCACAGGTTCACCATCCTTTCCTAGACCCCTGTCCAAGCCAATCAGGGATCATGTATTAAATGCACTTACAGAGGCGCAAAGCAGGGATGGGGAGGCTGTGGCCCCTCTAGCTATTGTTGAGACTCCAACTCCCATCAGGCCCAACCAGCACGGTCATGGATGATGGGAGATGGAGTCCAGCAACAGCTGGAGGGCGACAGGTTCTCCTTGCTCCTGAGGCAGAATGTTACCAAACTGGTCGCATCCATGTTCCCCATCTGTGATAGGAAGCTCACTTTTCTCCCTGCTGCGCAACCAGAGGGCAGCCTTTGCCACCTCTCCCTCTGGGTCTCACCTCAGTGTATATGGAAGGAGTGAGGAAGCAGAGGAGCCGGACGTCGTCCTCCTGGCAAGCCTTCATGTCCATCATCAGGCAGGTGTGCAGGTCGCCCAGCTGCGTGGCCTGGGCAAAGGACTCGTAGAGGTTCATCTTCCCGGCCGCTGCTTTGCTGAAATGTTTTTTAAAAGAAGAAAATGGAGGGGGAAGAGACAAGTGAGCAAGCAAAGGAGCAGAACCCGTTCCTCTGTGCGGAAGGAGCACGTGCCTGAGACACGAGAGCTCTAGCTGGTTTTCTTGGTGCTGTGATCTGCCCTTCTCCTGTTGTGCCAAATTTGTCCTGATGGCCCCAAAGCCTTGATCCCGAGCTGCGTAAAGCCCTGCCTGCCAAGCTTCTGGTCCTCTTCTGAACTCTCCACCCCAAGCTTGTCTTCTCCCTTGCTCCCAAAGTGGCAGAACGACACCGTCTAGGTATCAGTCAGGGATACCACATGCTGCAGGTGGGGGACATCCTTTGGCTTTTTGTACATTGCTGGAATACCGTATTTTTCGCTCTGTAAGACGCACTTTTCCCCTCCTAAAAAGTAAGGGGAAATGTGTGTGCGTCTTATGGAGCGAATGCAGGCTGCGCAGCTATCCCAGAAACTGCACTGCATTCCCTCTCGCTGTTCTAGCTTCTGGCTTAGCCGCACTCTGTCCCTTCCCCCACCTCCTGCAAAAGCCAGCAAGAGCCGCGCTCCATTTAAAGAGCCGCACAGAGCGTGTGCTTGGGGGCTTTCCCCCCCTCTAAAAACTAGGTGTGTCTTATGGTCAGGTGCGCCTTATGGAGCGAAAAATACAGTACATCACAACCATCATCCCTGGGCCGCCAGCTGCTGGGGGTTCAGCAACATCTAGAGGGTTGGAAGTTCACCCCATGTTTGCTGTATGGGCTTTGCCCGGGGATTGTGATATGACAGACCAAAGTAAAATGTCTCGTCCACACCATGCATTAAAACACACACACCTCACCCCTGCAAGGAATCTTGGGAACTGTAGTTCGCGAACGCTGAGAACTGCTGCTCTTTGAGCAGCAAACTACGGTTCCCATTATTTTTTGGAGGGGTGTGGGAAGCCACACCCTCAAAATGCATGGTGTGTGGATGTGATGGCGCACAGCGGAAAGCGGTGAGATGTGGGGTTTCCTCCCCACTGCCTGTCCCAGCCACGATCTCACTAGATGAGGTTGAATGCGGCCCTCCAGGCCGCTCTGTCTGGCCCTCGGAACTCTCCCCAAGCCATGCCTCTGTCTCTGTTTGGCGCCAGTCTCTTGCTATCCTGGACGGATGACAGGGAGGGGTGTGCATATGTGGAAACGGGTGTGCTGTGCCTTTACATACAAGGTCCCCCATCCCTGACGTAGGTAGTTTCCCAAAACTTCCCTCTTAAAAAAAAAATTCCAGGCTCGCTGATTGTTTGTGCTCTTACCTGGCTTTTAGGTAGTAGAGAAGGTGGTAACCGATCTTGGGCTGCTTCTGGTAGAGCTCTGACAACAGATCCAGGAGTACGGAGAAGCTGCTGTTATCCTCCTGCATCTGGCAGAGGTTCCTGGAAGGGGGCAGGAAGGGAGGCTGATGCTGTACTGGGTTAGGTTCAAAGACAACCCCACAACCACAGTGTGTATGGGTGTGTTGTGCTTTTACAGTCCAGGCAGAGATTCCGAAGGGATATGCCATTTTGTGCCTTAAGCACTGGGGACATCTATCCGGCAGGTTTCACACCCAGACCCTTGCACTCTCGCACCCAGGGCCCTTACAACAGAAAACAGCTACGGTGTGCTACAGCCATGCTCCATCGGGGGGCTACTCTCTCCATCAGGCTGCAGAAATGGGAGAGAAGGGAAGCAGGGCTGCTCCATCAGCTCTGCTGTCTGGGCTTTCTCTCCCATAGCTGTCGCTTGCCAGCAGCTAGTAGGAAGAACAGCAAGCCAAGGTACTCTTGAAGAACAGCTAGCCATGGTATTCTTGAAGAACAGCTAGCCATGGTATTCTTGAAGAACAGCTAGCCATGGTATTCTTGAAGAACAGCTAGCCATGGTATTCTTGAAGAACAGCTAGCCATGGTATTCTTGAAGAACAGCTAGCCACGGTATTCTTGAAGAACAGATAGCCATGGTATTCTTGAAGAACAGCTAGCCATGGTATTCTTTAAGAACAGCTAGCCATGGTATTCTTGAAGAACAGCAAGCCATGGTACTCTTAAAGAACAGCAAGCCATGGTACTCTTGCATTTTTGAGATCATGGCCACAAGAAATTGGAGAAAACTCTGGTTTGTTTTTATTATTATTTAAAAAATGAAGTACTGGGGGGTGTTCAAGTCTCCCCTGGAACCCGGAATCCCCCAATCTTGGAAGCCCACCTGTACCCAGTCAAAGGGACACCTGAAGAGCCCCCTGCTGGTCAGACCAAATGTCAACACCTAATCCACCCGCAGCAACCAACCAGATGAAGAGGCCGCGAAGAAGCAGCCCTTTTCTGCTGCCTGCCCTTCGGCAACTGAAATCGAGGGACATGAGAACTAAAGAAGAGCCTGGCTGCAGGATCAGGCCAAAGGCCTGTCTAGTCCCCCATCTTGGGCTCGGCGGCTTCGAAATCAGAATGGAGAGGACAGAACGCATGAGACTCACCTAAATATTAGGTAAAGTGGCTTCCCCACGGATTCCTCTAGAGACCTGCAGGGAAATAGAGAGGGCGCGTGTGCGTCAGGGGAAATGGGCAGGCCAGGTCAACCACAGCCAGTGTGGTGTAGTGGTTAGAGCGTCAGACTAGGACCTGGGGGAGACCAGGGTTCAAATCCCCACTCCATAAGAAGAGTTATGGAATATTACTTCAATATATTATTAGAGCAGCGAGATTGTTACATACATAAAAATGGAAAGATACAGCCCTACCGACTATGGAGGAATGATAAAATTATTGGACTTTGCTGACTGAGATGGCAAATTTAACATGTTTAATCAGAGAAAAATAATTACGGACATTTATTAAGGATTGGAAACGTATTATGGACTTTTTGTGTGAAAGAGAAAATGAACTTGTAATAACTGGATTTGAAGAGTGAAAAAATATTGGTTTGTAGAAAACAAAACAGTTGGATGCCAAGTTGAGTGAATACTTTTAACAGGTTATTATATTTAGCTGACAGGGAATCAGAAGCCTTGTCACCTTTTTCTTCCCTCCCCTTGCCCTCTCCTTTCTATTTCATTTTCATTTTCTTTCTTCTGTTTCTCTTCTTCCTTCTTCCTTCTCTCTGCTCCTGTTTCTTTTTAATAAGATTTTTAAAATATTTCTTTTATTCTGGTATTGGGTATAAACTTTGGCATATCTTTTTGATGAGTATCAATAAAAATAAAATGTTAATAATAATAATAATAATAATGGCCTCAGAACAGCCCGGCTGCTGGAGCCAGTGGCCAGCTAGGTTCCTCTACAATGCCCACAGGCAGAATGTAAAGGCCAGAGCCCTTCCTCACTGTTACTCATGAGAAAGTAAGAAAATCTCAGCTGCTGGATCAGGCCAGGGGCCCACCTAGCCCTGAATCCTGTTCTCACAGTGGCCAACCAGATACCCCACAGATATCCCCAGGTGCGATTTCATCCATGCCTGGGCTGGGTCCTTCAGGAATTCCTTTGCATTCTTGCAGAACAGAAGGACCAGCTAGAACAACCGAAGAACAGAAAACTGCCCCCCCCTTTCCCCAAACCGCTTACTCTTCTGTGATTTCTTCCGGCAGGACCTCTCCGCGGAAGTGAACTTTGAAGAGCTCCTGCAAGCAGGAAGCGAGGACCGACAGCTGCTCCTGGTCAAAATCCTCCTGTGCGGAAGAGGAAAACAGAACGATGCGAAGTTTGGCAACAGGCCGGGGCACTGCCACCGTCCCCACCGTGACGTCTGTCCAGACTGGGTGGGGGATGGCGGCAGCGGCAGGAGTCAGGTGTCGATAAAGCCGAGCCCAATATTGGGATGAGGAGCCATTTCGCTGCCAGCGCTCAGGGTGGATGGGTTTGGGGTGCCATTAGAAAATGTTGCAGGCACGCTTTAGAAAAGCAACCAGTCCCCATCTGCTAATTTAGAGACTGAGTACACCCATCCCCCCCTGCAAAGGATCCTGGGAACTCACCCCCCTCAGAGCTCCCATTCCTACCTACCACCCTTAAACTACAGTATTCCAGGATACTCTGGGGAGGAGACATTAAATGGGCTTTAAATGCATGGTGTGTACACCAAGTCAGGCCAGACATTTGAAGTGCCATACCACTCTCAACAGTTGGGATCCTTCCCCGCCCAGAATCCCGGGATCTGTTGTTTGTTAAGAGTTGTTAGGAGACCCCTATCCCCCTCACAGAGCTGCAATTCCCAGCATGGCTTAACAATCAATCCCTCTTTCTAGGGAACTCTGGGAATTGTAGTTCTGGGAGAGGAATGGGGTGGTCTCCTAGCAACTTTCAGCACCCTTAATGAACTACAGCTCCCAGGATTCTTTGCAGGGGAAGATGCGCCTGCTTAAAGTGGTATCATGGCGCTTTAAATGTGCTGTGCGAACACGGCCCTTGTCTCCTTTCTTCCGACAGCAGAAAGAAAACTTGGCTGCCATGAACCACCCCTGGCAATTCCTGAGCCGAACTAGTGACTGGAGGGGCGGATGCCACCGGCCTTATTAAGGGCACCCACCTAGCATTTGTCACTCCCTATGTGGGTCCCTCCAGGAGCAACCCACCCACCCCCACCCAATGTTCCCCCTGCTTCCTTCTGCCACTTTCTGAGAGGAGGGGAGCTGTTACCTCCAGGACTTGGTCCACGATTTCCTGCATGACCTCACACTGAGCTTCTGTGTCGCTGCAGGCCAAGAAAAGAAGAGGAAATCCAAGTTAAAGGAGAGAGGGCGAGAGACAGCAAGGGAGGGAGGGGAAAACACTGGGGCTCTGTACGCCAAGCGAGCTCGGAGCACACTGAGAGCATCTTCAATCGGCGTAAGCAACACCCAGCAAAACAGACGCAGAAAGCTGCCCAGCTTTTAACATCTTCCACCAAAATAAGATCTAATAACCTGGGCACGAGAAATGCTTGGTTGCTGGATCAGGCCACAGGCCCCTTCTAGTCCAGTATCCTGTTCTCGCAGAGGCCAGACGGGAAGCAGGACCTGGGAGTGCAACAGGAGTTCTCTCCCCGCTTGTGGTTCTCAGGAGCTGATAGGGAAAGGAGGGGAAAGGCAGCTGCGTCGGCTAGAAGCCATTTGCAGCCTCCATGAGTTTTCCTAATCCTCCTTTAAAAGCCATCCAAGTTGTTATTGGCTCCGCTTGGGAGGCCCATCATCGATGAGAGACATGGTCGTGAGCAAGTGGAGGTCTCGAGCCAGCAGCCTTGGCCCCACTTGCTGGCAGCCCAGCTCCCACGCTTTGGCAGACGCCTCCCCGCGTTTTGGACCTGAAACGCTAGGTGTGAGACGTGGGCAGGAAGGGGATTGGATTGAGAAGTAAACCTCTGCTTAGGTTTTGCCTGTCCTGCACATCCTTCTCTGTCGCAGTTGCAGGTGCCAGAGGCAGCGATGCCTCTGAATATAGGCTGCTCCCCGTTTATGTGTGCCACTTCTGCACTGCCGGGAACCCGGAAGCAGATCCTGGAAATGCGGACCACCCTGGAGAGTCCTCCTGGCTCGCAAGCAGACCCTCACCAGAGCCCGGAGAGGACGTCCTGTTTGGGATTTTGGGAGGGTCGCCTCCCAAGCTGGAGGCACAGCAGGGATTTGCTGAGGCCTGCCAACTAACAGCTGATGTGCTCTTCTTACATCAGCCAGAGAGCATGGTGTGTGGAGAGTCCCAGGGGCCTGACAGAGCGGCTTTGAGGGCCGCATCTGGGCCCTGGGCCTGAGGTTCTCCACCCCCGCTATAAACACTCATCTAAGTACAGTGGTACCTCGGGTTACAGACTCTTCAGGTTACGGACTCCGCTAACCCAGAAATAGTGCTTCAGGTTAATAACTTTGCTTCAGGATGAGAACAGAAATTACGTGGCGGCGGTGCAGCAGCAGCAGGAGGCCCCATTAGCTAAAGTGGTGCTTCAGATTAAGAACAGTTTCAGGTTAAGAACGGACCTTCGGAACGAATTAAGTACATAACCAGAGGTACCACTCTATAATACATATTTCTACTCATTTTAATATTTCTTCATGGGTTTTTTTGGTTGTTGTTCATACAGTGGTACCTCGGTTGTCAAATGTAATCTGTTCCGGAAGACCATTTGACTTCCGAAACGTTCGACAACCGGGGCTCAAAGGGCGGTCAGCAAAGTCAGTGGAGAAAAAGAGGGGGAAAACCACACAGCGGAAGCCGTCCAACTTCCAAGGCGCATTCGAGAACGGAAGCAATTACTTCCGAGTTTTCAGCGTTCGGGTTCCAAAACATTCGGGTTCCGAGACACTCGGAAACCGAGGTACCGCTGTGTATTGTTGCACGCTGCACTGACATTTTTTATTGTTGTTTATTTTAAAGTGATCATTTTATTGTGACATTTTTTTCGTATGGGATCAGGTTATCAGGCGCATCTGTTTTGTCGTTTTCTTCAGCTTGTAAACCGGCTCGTGAGCAGCAATATAGAAAGGTGGCATACAAATTAAAAGTGAAATGAAACAAAATCTAAGAACAGGATGAGAGAAGGATAAATCCTGCCCTAACCCCCGCTGAAAAAATGAACACCGCAGCAGAATCACACAAAGCTACGATCCAGCAAGAAGGGCCAAATGCCAGGGGGAAACAGGAACGCCTGAGCCAGGCACCCAAAGCCCTGTAATGATGTTGCCAGGAATATTTCCTCGGAGGGAGCATTAAAGAGTAAAGTTTCCAGCGATTGAGCCTGTAAGGGTAGCCTCAAGAGCGCGTGAGCAAGGTGATCTCATATGCAGGAAGTTGCCCACACAATTTAAAAGCTCCTCTGTGCACCCATAAAGGAGGCAACACTTATAATTTATTTTTTAATACGAAAGCCGAGAGCCTTGAAGATAGACTGCATCACCAGCAGGGCCAGGGGCCAGGAGAAACTGTCCCACCTGCCACACAGAGACGAACAGACGACTAATTATATTGTACCTTAATGTGGATTTTAATTGCAATCCGTTTGGGCTAAAAAGCAAGGGCGTAAATGCAACTGACTCCCTCCCTCGGCAATCTTCGCGGAGCTCTGGCCCAATGGTTGCCAGTGGCTTGAATTAATTAATTTTATAATGAATGATTTTAGAGTGTTGTTTATGCTGTACTTTTGTATTGTTTTATTGTTGTTAGCCGCCCTGAGCCCGGCTTCGGCTGGGGAGGGCGGGATATAATTATTATTATTATTATTATTATTATTATTATTATTATTATTAACTGGTGGGAGCCAGGATTAAAAGCAGACACACTGGAATGCATGGGACCTCTCTGTCTTCACTTGAAGCATCGTCATTTGCAGTGGGGCTAATCAAGACTAGCAGTCAAGCAACGGGTCTCTCGAACCAGAGATCCCAGAGGGGCGGGGGAGTTTTGCTATCCCAAAAATTCTGGGGGGTGAAATTATCTCTACGGGAAGCACAGAGCAGCATGGAGAGATTGGCAAATGGCAGGGATCTGGCCCAGCTTCTCCCTAAAAAGCAGCCAAGTCTCTCCCCGCCCCCCCGCCCCGCCCCTTTGCCACGGGTCTCCCTCCTCCCACCCAGCCATAAAGAAAGGGGGGAAAAACACAAAAAAACACAAATATGCATCCTGCAGACTCTGCGGAAAACAAACCTATTAAATGCACTTAGTCATGACATGCAAAATTAATGGGGAGTGCAGGGCCAAAAGCCTCCTGCTCCAAAATCCCAGCTGTGCGCCGCCCGATTCCAAGGATTCTGCACTCGTCCTTCTTGAGCAATAGCTACGAATGGCACTCCGGGAAGGGGAAAACTGGGAGGTCCCAGGTCTTGTGGGGAGAGGGAAGGGAAACCTGGCTGAGGCGATTAGAGAGACACACACACACACACACACACACACACACACACACAGCCTGCCTTGGTGGTCTTCAGAAAGCTGCTTCCCCGAGCAGCCAACTCCGCAGGGTTGTCGCGAGGGCAGGGGAGGAAAGGGCTGACACAGAGAGCCTGCGTTTAACGCTGACTAATGATATGGGAGTCACAGAAACAAACAGCAGTAAAACACACGCAGGACTGACAGTAAGCTGTTTGACAGTGGAATGGTCTCCCTCGGGAGGTTGTGGACTCTCCTTCCTTGGGGGGGGGGGGTTTATAAGCAGAGGTTGGGTGGCCATCTGTCATGGATGCTCTAGCTGAGATTCCTGCACTGCAGGGGGTTGGACTAGATGACCCGGGGTCTCTTCCAACTCTGTGATTCCATCACTGGTGACTGGGAAGTCACATCAAGGCTAGAAATGGCACCCAAGAGGCCCGACTGGAGAAGCCTTGTTCCTGCACAAAATGATGGAGAGGGCAGGAAGGAATGAAGCTTGGGGGGGGGGATGTTTGGTGGTCTCCCTATGTAGGGAGGGCGATAAGCATCAAAAGGAACAGGGAGGGGCAGAGAGGCACTGTGGTTTAGGGACATGTGGGTTCAAATACAGTGGTACCTCGGGTTAAGAACTTAATTCGTTCCGGAGCTCCGTTCTTCACCTGAAACTGTTCTTAACCTCAGGTACCACTTTAGCTAATGGGGCCTCCCGCTGCCACAGCACAATTTCTGTTCTCATCCTGAAGCATAGTGCTTAACCTGAGGTACTACAGACTATTAGCGGAGTCTGTAACCTGAAGCGTCTGTAACCTGAAGCGTAAGTAACACGAGGTACCATTGTACATGCTTTGTCACCAAATGCTCACCAGGGCAAGTCACACTCTCTCAAAATAAGCTGATTGGTGAGTTAAGAGGAAAAGTCCTAGACCTGGGAAAGGGAACCTGTAGCATTTCAGAGGACCTCAACGCCCATCATCATCTCTGACCATGGCCTCTGCTGGCTGCTGAGAGTTGAAGTCCAGCTACATCAGGAGGGGCCCCAGATACCAGTCTCTGGGAAACACAGGTGGGCTCCCCATTTAGAGATCTGCTCAGCGACAGCGAGAGCAGGGTGCTAGGCTCGAAGGGCTGCTGGCCGGATCCAGCAGACTCGTCTTCTGTTTTTGGGTGTCTGCCCACAACTCTGCCCTACATAATCACATGCTCCTCAGACCCACAGCCTCTGTACTGACCTCCCCTTCTGCAGCACGAGGACTTTGTCCTTGAGGGTCTCGTCCAACTGGTCCAGGAAAGGGGTGATGTCCACCGGCTCTTCTACGACGGCCTCTTTGATCGGGTGGAACCGGAACTCCCGCTTTTTCCCTGCGAGGGAGGGAGGAACGCCAAGCCGGGTTCAGAAATGCACACGCACACACGAGAAACGTTAAGCCTCGCTTAAGCAGAAAGGCGGATTCCGCAGGGAGATTTGATTGCGGGATTCCCAGAGGCATCTGGTTGGCCCCCGTGACAATAGGATGCTGGACCAGGTAAGTGTTTGGTCTGATCCCACAGCCAGACTTTTCTGATGCACTTATCCTGCCTCCCTGCATATTCAAGGAGTCAAATCCCAAACAAGGAATTCTGTCAGTGGGATAGCGGGAGAACACATTCAAAAGGAAGCCAGACACCCTCAATGTTTTGGGCTTAGATCTTGGATTTCAGCTCTTGCTGGTACAACAACCCCTCCCCACATATGTGGGGCCGGACTTGAAAGGCACAAAAGACCTCTCAGAAACCGTAGACAAGAGTCACCAAGCAGGCCAGCACAAAATGCGAGAGAGCAAACCGTTCAACCAGGTTTGTCCTCTTTAGCCGTGGTTATGTGTTTCTTTCTGAACACCTAAACCACGGTTAAGGGGTGGACGAAAGCCATGCTCTCAAGTGGCTTTGGCCTACGCCCTGGTTTGTGTTAAGCATGGTTGAGTGTTGCGCCAAACAAACCATGTTTGAGATAAGGCTTCTTTTCCCCTCTCTCTCTGCCCTAAACATGCCTGCTGGGGAACAGGCGTGGTTTGGAATCTTAAACCAGGGATTCACTCAATATTTAGGATAAGACCCGAACTATAGTTTGCTGTATATTGTCTCCCTGCTTATTTAACTTATATGCAGAATTCATTATGCGAAAGGCTGGGCTGGATGAATCCCTAGCCAGAATTAAGACTGCCGGAAGAAATATCAACAACCTCAGATATCCAGATGACACAACCTTGATGGCAGAAAGTGAGGAGGAATTAAAGAACCTTTTAATGAGGGTGAAAGAGGAGCGCAAAATATGGTCTGAAGCTCAACATTAAAAAAACGAAGATCATGGCCACTGGTCCCATCACCTCCTGGCAAATAGAAGGGGAAGAAATGGAGGCAGTGAGAGATTTTACTTTCTTGGGCTCCATGATCACTGCAGATAGTGACAGCAGTCACGAAATTAAAAGACGACTGCTTCTTGGAGAAAAGCAATGACAAACCTAGACAGCATCTTAAAAAGCAGAGACATCACCTTGCCAACAAAGGTCCGTATAGTTAAGGCTATGGTTTTCCCAGCAGTGATGTATGGAAGTGAGAGCTGGACCATAAAGAAGGCTGATCGCCGAAGAATTGATGCTTTTGAATTATGGTGCTGGAGGAGACTCTTGAGAGTCCCATGGACTGCAAGAAGATCAAACCTATCCATTCTGAAGGAAATCAGCCCTGAGTGCTCACTGGAAGGACAGATCCTGAAGCTGAGGCTCCAATACTTTGGCCACCTCATGAGAAGAGAAGACTCCCTGGAAAAGACCCTGATGTTGGGAAAGATGGAGGGCACAAGGAGAAGGGGACGACAGAGGACGAGATGGTTGGACAGTGTTCTCGAAGCTACCAGCAAGAGTTTGACCAAACTGCAGGAGGCGGTGGAAGATAGGAGTGCCTGGCGTGTTCTGGTCCACGAAGAGTTGGACACAACTAAACGACTAAGCAACAACAACAATAGTTTGCAGAAACCATTGTTGCTGTTGTTATTGTGTTTGCCCAGGGCCACAGTTGGCTGGAAACAGACTCCTTGAAAAACAAGACTGTGTGTGAGCGTGGCGGCTTCTCCTCTCACAGCCCTGTTGCGTGTACAAGAACCTTTCCCGGGACACAACTGTGTCCCAGGGAGCAAGAAAGTTGTGGGGACGCACAGCAACTTTTGCGGAAGACTTCCTCACCTTTGCTGTTCAAGTCCTCTTCGTCGTCGCTGAAGGCGGCCTCTGCGTTGTCGTAGCAACTGTCATCTTTGTCGGACATGTGATTGTCCATCTCCATGGAAACCGGCTCCTCAATTTTCACTGCTAGGAGGAACGCAAAGAGAAGTGGCTGGCAGCGGGGCAAGGAATACTCGCTTCCCAGAAGCTGTTTTGACCTGTTCCACACTGCAAGGTTTTGGTTTAGTGGTACAGCGTCTGCTTTGCACACAGAAGGTCCTGGGTTCAATACCCGGCATCTCCAGGAAGGACTAGGAATTATCCCTCCCAAATTCCCGGACAGCTGCTGCCAGTCAGTGTAGACAGTATGAGCTAGAATGGACCAAAGGCCAGATCCGGTATAAGTCAGCTTCTCCTATGGAAAGCTGCCCTCCCCCCAGCCCCAATTTCAATGCAATCTTCAGAGGCACTTGCCCAATCCTGAGCCACATCACTGCTCCACCTAGTCCAGTGCTGTCTACTCAGGCTGGCAGCAGCCTTCCAAGATTGTGCATCAAATGAAACAGGGAACCTAGACTGCAAAGAACAGGTGCCATGAATCTATTTGTTCTGTCCTTAAGCTGCCCCCCAACTCTCAGCTGTTTGGAAGGCTTCACCCTTCATCAGGAATAGTCCACCCCTGGACGGCTTTCCCTCACACCCATGGGTGTCGTAAGCAGCATGACCCGGCATTAAATGGCTCGTATTGTCGTGTGAATCCGGAACGTGGTTGATTTGCGTTGGCCAAATAAGGAAGCTGTAAGCCAGAAATAAACTGAGGTTTGTTATTGGCCTATTCCTGGACTGGGCTCACCACAAGACCACAAGTGAGGTGGGAGAGATGTTGATAGTGAAGCCACAGTTTTAAAACAGACAATGGGTTAGTGCATGGGTAGGCAAACTAAGGCCCGAGGGCCGGATCCGGCCCAATTGCCTTCCAAATCCGGCAGTCTGGGAATCAGCGTGTTTTTACATGAGTAGAATGTCTCCTTTTATTTAAAATGCATCTCTGGGTTATTTGTGGTTCATAGGAATTTGTTCATTATTTATTTATTTATTTTGCAAAAGATATCGTCCTGGCCCCCACAAGGTCTGAGGGACAGTGGACCGGCCCCCTGCTGAAAAAGTTCGCTGACCCCTAGGTTAGTGCAACATGGTTTTGCTTCAACAGAACTGCATAGCTCCTGCCCAGAACTTTCAGCTCCGACATCTAATACGTGATCCCTGATTGGCCGGGGAACTCAACGCCTTCCGGACGTTGCTGGACTACAACTCCCATCATCCCCCAGACACTGGGCATGTCGTCTGCTGGCAGTCGGGCTCTGCAACCCTGACGGACTGCCTTTCTTAGTAATTCCTTAGGGAGCTGATAGACTATGCTGAGGCAGCCCTGAAGGTGTCGTATAATCCAACCCCCTCGACCCATCTGCCTCAATTCTACCTTCAACGGGAGGCGAAGGGGAACTGCAGAACTCTGGAAATTTCTCTCTCAGCATGGCCCGGAGTTCTTTATCCAGCTTTGGGTTGTCAAAAAGAGGAGCCAGGTGCCTGCAAAAAGCGGAGGGTGATGGTGGTGAAGAAATATGCAATGCTTTATTTTTACATTTATATCCTACCTTTCCACCCAAAGGAGCCCAGGAATCGGGATGGATAAAAATCAATGATTTAAAAAATAAATAAATCACATTTTTAAAATTTATATCAATTTTTTTTATTTAAATTGGATATTTAAAATAAAATGCTTTTGGAGGAAAAAAATCTTTCTAAAGATAGTTTTCTTTTTAAGTTACATTATAGTTCAAAGGCTATTCATCAGGAAATAAGGATTTGTTTTTCATGTGTGCTGAAACTCTGTCTAAGTTGGGGGTTTTTTAAAAAAAGTTTAACCACATCAGTTAACAAACATGGATACATATGCTACAATGTTACTGTTTTAGTTAAATAAATTGTTTAAATTGTTATTAAGGAAATGATTGTTTTCCTCCTTCCAATGAAGTACAGCAGAAAGGTTGTCCAAATATAATCAGTTAACTTATTAAACCTCACAATAGATTTCAATATTATCTGTCTATGTGTTTCTACTAGTATAACCAAATCAGTAATTTCTGATATAACTGTAAAAGCTATTCTGGAAAAATGAAACCTTCATCTGGTTGTAAATATTAAGATTATACCAGCAGGAATGTCTTTCGGTAAAAAAAGAAGACTTAAATGAAGTCTTACTGACCAGTGATTTAAATCGATTTGATTTAAATCAAATCCACCCTGCCAGAAATAAATGCAGTAAAACACTAGAATCATGGAACCGAAAGGGACCACGGGGGTCATCAAGTCCAACCTGCTATGACTCAGGAATATTTTGCCCAACATGGGGCTTGAACCCACGGCCCCCAAGATTAGGAATCTCACGCTCTACCGACTGAGCTATCCACAGGGGCTAATTAAGTTAGGCAGGGAGCAGTTGGAACCCTGGCCCATTGGAAACCTAAGGTTCCTTGCTGACAGCGGCAGTCTGCCTCTGGAGGGAACTGGTGGCTTGAGGACTGGGGGGAGGTAGGGGGCTCAAGAAAGCTCAGAAAATTGGCCATCTCCTTACGCCAGGACTCGCTTATCCACGATGTGGGTGAGGGAGTTGAAGACGCCTTGCCGCACATGGGCCTCCAACGCGGGGTAAAAATTAGGAATGATCTGAAAAGAAGGAGAGAAAGGAGAGAAAATTTTCATTTTATTTACGAGATTTTTGACAAGCTCCCCAGTAGAGAACGTATGAAGAACCCAGGCCAGGGGCCCAACTAGTCCAACATCCTGTTCTCACGATGGCCAGCCAAATGAGAAACCGTCACGCAGGACCTGAGCACAAGAACAACTCTCTCCTTGGATTTCCAGCTGCCGCTATTTCAAAAGCATCGTTCCCTCTGACCGTAGAGGCAGAGCACAGCTATCATGGCTATCAGTCATTGATTGGCTAGAATGGTGACTGGGAGCGGCCGCTGAGACTACATAACACCGGTCTTGAAAGACCTACACTGGCTCCCAGTATGTTTCCGAGCACAATTCAAAGTGTTGGCGCTGACCTTTAAAGCCCTAAACGGCCTCGGCCCAGTATACCTGAAGGAGCGTCTCCACCCCATCGTTCTGCCCAGACACTGAGGTCCAGCTCCGAGGGCCTTCTGGTGGTTCCCTCGCTGCGAGAAGCAAAGTTACAGGGAACCAGACAGAGGGCCTTCTCGGTAGTGGCGTCCGCCCTGTGGAACTCCGTCCCACCAGATGTCAAAGGAAAAAACAACTACCAGACTTTTAGGAGACATCTGAAGGCAGCCCTGTTTTAGGGAAGCTTTTAATGTTTAATAGATTGCATTTTAATATTCTGTTGAAAGCCACCCAGACTGCCTGGGAAACCCAGCCAGATGGGCGGGATATGTATGTATGTATGTATGTATGTATAAATAAATAAATAAATATTATTATTATTATTATTAAAACAATTAAGCAAAGCAAAGATTGCATATAGAACCATGGAGGACAGAAGTGGTGTCACAAAGGCAACACAAATCTCAAAGGCCAAAGACTGGTGACTGGGAGCGACCGCTGGGACCATGTAACACGGGTCCTGAAAGGCCTACATTGGCTCCCAGTACGTTTCTGAGTGCAATTCAGAGTGTTGGTGCTGACTTTTAAAGTCCTCAACGGCCCTGTATACCTTAAGGAGTGTCTCCACACCCATTGTTCAGCCCGGACACTGAGGTCCAACGCTGAGGGCCTTCTGGCGGTTCCCTCGCTGCGAGAAGCGAAGGTACAGGGAACCAGGCAGAGGGCCTTCTCGGTAGTGGCGCCCGCCCTGCGGAACTCCCTCCCATCAGATGTCAAGGAAATAAACAACTATCTGACTTTTAGAAGACATCTGAAGGCAGCCCTGTATCGGGAAGCTTTTAATGTCTGATGTTTTGCTGCGCTTTTTATATTCTGTTGGAAGTTGCCCAGAGTGGCTGGGGCAACCTAGTCAGATGGACGGAATAGCAACAATAATAAATTTATATGCCACCCGTCTGGCTGCCTTCAGATGTCTTCTCAAAGTCGTATAGTTATTTATCTCCTTGATATCTGAAGGGAGGGTGTTCCGCAGGGAGGGCACCACTACCGAGAAGGCCCTCTGCCTGGTTCCCTGTAACTTCGCTTACTGCAGTGAGAGAACCGCCAGAAGGCCCTGGGAGCTGGACCTCAGTCTCCGAGATGAATATTAGGACAGGATAAAAGAGAAGCATCATCGGCAAAAGAGAAAATATATAATGGAGACACACTGGGCGCCTCTGTGGGTGCTTTAATGGGGGACCTGTGGCCTGCCAGGTGTTGCTGGACTACAACTCCCATCACCCCTGACCATTCGCCATGCTGGCTGGGGCTGATGGGAAATGTAGTCTAATCGGGAGGTCACCGCTTTACGAGGGATCTGACTTGGAAATGGAGCCAAGGGTGGACCACACATCGCCTTGACTATCGTCAGATGCCCTGGGGCGGGGTGGCTTACCCGACACATGAAGTCCAGCAGAGTGGCGGTGATGGCCGGGTGAGGTTTCATGGAATGGTGCATGACCAAGATGGCAGGCTCTGCAAAGGAAAAGAACAGCCGGCGTTACATTTGAGGAGTCAAATATAAAGGCTTAATTCTTTTCTGAACAACGCTGCCTGTATTAGAAGCACAAAGGGCGGCAATTTTGCTCACATCAATATTTAGGGCACAGGGTAGACATAATCAGTTTCAACATGGAATGAAAATAGTGAACTAGATCAGCAAGTACCGTACTTTTCCGTGTATAAGACGCCCCCTATTTTGGGGGGGACTCAAAATTAAGAAAATGTGGGGAGATTGCCCAGGGTTGTTGAACTTTTTTTGGGGGGGGGGATTGCTCACCCACCTGGCCAATGCTGCCACTAGCAGATGTAGCAGAAGCCAAAAATCGTCTGCCCGCTCACCGCCAGCAGCCGCCAATTTCCCGCCCAATTGCCGCAACAACAGCCAATCGCAGCCGCCAATTACCAGAAAAACCACCACTGACAATCTCCTACTCGCAGCAGCAACCAATCACCCGTCCCCACTCTGAACTATGCATGTATAAGACGACCTCAATTTTTGAACATTCTTTTCGTCTTATACAATTCCGAGAGTGGCTTAACAATCAAACCCTCTTCCCAGGCAACTCTGGGAACTGTAGGGGAACGGGGCGCATGTCTGCTACCAACTCTCAGCACCCTTAAACTACAATTCCCAGGATTCTTTGCAGGGGGAGGGAGTCATGGTTGTTAACATGGTACCATAGCGCTTGAAATGTACAGCACAGATGGGATGGGGGTCATGTTTGGTTTTTTAAGTTGTTTTGGGTGGCTTTCCGTAGAAAAAGAGACAAATGCATAAAATAATAATAATAATAATAATAATAATAATAATAGCAGCTGTTTTTAATGATAATTTAGAGAAGGTGACAACATTTGCTACGCATCCCTTGGACGCCAATTGCAACAACCTCTCCGTTATAGATTGGGCTGGAAAGAGGCTGGAACCTAGGTGTGTGAGACAGGAGAAGGGACACAGGCAGCCCCAAGGAAGCTAGGGAGGGAGGGGTTTCTCCATACCGATGTTCATGATGCTGTCCTTCTCGGGGTTGAAGAATAGCCAGTCGTAGAACAAGGCCAGCTTGGCGTTGGATGCAGCTACGTTGGACTGGAAGGGGTAGAAAAGAGAGACTATGAATACAACTGCAACACCTGTTTCGTCTGCGCCTGCCAGATCAGCTGCACAGTGTGGAGGGCTTGAGGAAGCAATCCTGGGTCCCAGAGATTAAATTCCCCCTCTATAGCCAGTGCTAGAGGCTGCAGAGCTAGGCAGTTAGTTCTTCTGTCCCCCCTTTCAGTTTTTTATATTCACATTATTTCCATACACTCCAAACATTTTTCGTATTTACAGGACTGGGATTATACAAACCCCTCGCACTTTCCCCTGTCCCCTGCTGGTTTCCATATTTCACCCTCTTTTCTTGCATATACAGTGGTACCTTAGTTTATGAATAGCTTAGTTTATGAACAACTTGGATTAAGAACGCTGCAAACCCGGAAGTAGGTGTTTTGGTTTGTGAACTTTGCCTTGGAAGCAGAACATATTGAGTGTGTTCCATTTGTAAACTGGGTTCCCCCGCTGCTATGAGAAAGCACACCTTGGTTTAAGAATGCTTTGGTTTAAGAACGGAATTCCAGAAGGGATTAAGTTCGTAAACCAAGGTACCACTGAAATTATATCTATGCATTCTATTTCATCTCCTTATTTACTACTTTAGATCATTTTACTTCAGAAATGTTATATCAATCCTGCTAATGTTTCTAAGTAACTACGGTGGCTTTTAAGGTATTCTACAAAATTTTCCCATTCTTGATTACATTTTTTGTCATCTTTGCCATTTCGGCATAGTCCATCATTTTGGTAATCTACTCTTCCTTTGGTTGGGACCTTCTCCTCCTTCCACATCTGGGCTAACATTCTTGCAGCTGTTGTCGCATACACAAACTGTCTTTTTAGGTCTCTTGGTATTTCCTGTTAAACCTAGTAAAAAGGCTTCTGGTTTTTTTTTTTTTTAGTAAACGTTATCTTAAACGGTTTCTTCAGTTCATTATATATCATTTCCCAGAAGCCCTTTACATGGCCACCACATATGGTAAAAGGTACCCTCGCTATCCTTACATTTCCAATAAACACACAAGACATAACCGGCTGTACTTTTGAATAAATATGGTATACTGTTCATTGTATCAATTGTAGATTTCAACGGAAGTCTCATAAAGTTCAACGAAAAAAGCAGAAGACCCAATGGATCAGTTCATTCTCTAGTCAGTTCATGCATAAGGTCCGTACATGTATAAGTGTCTATTCCACCTGTCTGTTCATAGAGTCCAATATCTACAATTGATACAATGAATAGTACAGTGGTACCTCGGGTTACATACGCTTCAGGTTACAGACTCTGCTAACCCAGAAATAGTGCTTCAGGTTAAGAACTTTGCTTCAGGATGAGAACAGAAATCGTGCTCCGGCAGCGCGGCAGCAGCAGGAGGCCCCATTAGCTAAAGTGGTGCTTCAGGTTAAGAACAGTTTCAGGTTAAGTACGGACCTCCGGAACGAATTAAGTACTTAACTGTATACCTTATTTATTCAAAAGTACAGCCGGTTACGTCTTGTGTGTTTATTGAGTATGTTTCACGTAACCATAGGTTTGTTGTTGTTGTTTTGCTATCCTTACATTTCCAGCATAACTTAGATGGATTTTTGTACATTTTTGCCAACTTTACGGTTAGTTATTGGGGAGGCAGGGACAACACTCGCACACATCCCACAGGGCTTGCTTCTGTTTCAGGATAAGCGACGCGGCTGCATAATAAGGATGTGCAGCCGCTTATTCACCCTTCTCCACTTGCCAGCTGGGCTAAGCCCCAGTTGCCTTGAGGGCAGCCACCAAGACCGCAGAGCCTGGGCCTCGGGAAACCACACCGGAGTTACGCTCAGAGTTTGCGAAAGTAAAAAATGTTCAAAGGGCTTAATAGTTTTCATGAGTGGTGCCAAAACACGCCCCTCTCCTTTCCGGCAATGTTGGGAAAGAGCTTTACTTATTTAAAATGCCCTCGGCGAGGACACTGCGTCGCCGAGTCTGACTCAATGCCCAAGGGGAATGCATTAGGCGATGTCTGATGATGTCATCGCGTCAGGCACGGTGGCGTCATGACATCACACCACACATGTTCACATGGTCTCAGACAGAACCTGGATCCTGCATTGCTTGTGCTGTCGATTTTTCATTTTTCAAAAATGTGGTTATTTCTACGGATGGTATTGTTCTAATTTATTTATTTCTCATACGTTTTATTGAAGTTTCGTTAAGCCGCTCGGAGGATCAATGGATGGGGGAAAGTGTCCGAATAGAATAAGTAAAATAAACAACACAGGAAGGAATAAGAGTTGGGAGGAGGGGACACAAACACATCTGAACAGCACTGAGAAAGGTGGCTATTCACATATAACTGAGTCTTTTGTTTCCAAGGGAAAAAAATCAACTCTTGAGCAAACTGGGCTGGTTTCAACACAAAAACCAGAGCTGGCAGGAATCAAGGGCAGCCTCATTCCCAAAAACTGGACAGGAGAGAGGCCTATAAGGGCTGGAAAGGTTCAAAACTATCAGCCAGAACATCTCTGCCTGGTGACTAAATCTATTTATTTTTATTTAAACAACTGATATACCACTTAACCACAATGGTTTCCAAGTGGATTACCAAAGTACAGTGGTACCTCAGGTTACATACGCTTCAGGTTACATACGCTTCAAGATACAGACTCCGCTAACCCAGAAATAGCACTTCAGGTTAAGAACTTTGCTTCAGGATGAGAACAGAAATCGTGCTCCGGCGGCATGGCGGCAGCAGGAGGCCCCATTAGCTAAAGTGGTGCTTCAGCTTAAGCACAGTTTCAGGTTAAGAATGGACCTCCAGAACAAATTAAGTACTTAACCCGAGGTACCACTGTACCAAGAATTTTAAAGTCTTTGGTAGGCGCCAGAAGTTCAGCAGAGAGAGAGGACCTGCCTGACCTAAGCTAGAAGGGAGTTTCATCAAAGGGGTCCCATAATACTAAACACACAGCAGATCAGAGCCATGTACGGGACCAATAACGACGACCCGACCTCAGAGATCGGCTGGGGACATGAGGGGTTAACCGACCCTTGTGGCTTTCTGGTCCCCAATCGTTAAGAGCCTTCTAAGGTCATGCAACGCCCCACAGATGGAGCCATGGAGCCCCTTCCAGGCAGCTCAGTGGCTTGACCCCTGGACTTCCGAGGGAATATCGGCAAGCTCCCCTCCAGCGGGGCTGCCAAAAGTGCACTCTGCTCAAACGGCCTGCGATTGCAATCCAGAGCAGAGGGGCAGTGTCCTCGACCAGGACGACTGCAAGAGCGGAGAGTGTGAGCTTTCTGCGGCTAAATTGTCATCAAGTGACTCGAGAGAGTGGCTGAGGTCGAGAGGTTGCAGCCAGAGTCGGCAGCCAATTTGATTTGATTTGGAAGAGGGGAACCTTATTTCAAAGCCTCAGAAATGGCAACCTGCTCATAAACATAGCAGGAAACCCACCCAAGAGAAAGGCAGTTTATTAGGGATATCTAGCCTCCCGTTAAGGAAACGAGGAAATGCCTTATGCAGGGAAAACAAGACCCTTCCCTTCCTTCTACGAACCCCCCGCAGCTCTAAAGGTTTCCAAGGTGGGTTCCAGAAAAAAAGCCTTAATAATAATTTTATTATTTGTACCCTGCCCATCTGAGTGGTTGTGCCATGCCACTCTGGGCGGTCTTCGCCTCTCCCCTAGAAGCAGCGCCCTGCCAAACTTGTTCAGAGAGGCCGTTCCAAAGCCCCAGCTTTTAATTCCCTTTGTTCATTAGCTGCCTCGCCTCCATCCCTTCCAATAACCATCAGGCAAATGAAATGTGGTCTGCGTTGTCAGAGAGTCAAGCCAGGCTGCAGACCTTAATTAGCTGGGAAGCCAGTGGCAATTAAGCGGCAGAGTCAGAGGGGCTGGGAATGTTAATGTGTGCGTGTGTGAGAGCGAGCGAACGAGGGGGGAGGACAACAGATCTGCCACCGGCAGAACCAGGTGATGGCCACATCTCTCCCCCCCCCCGCCCGCAGGAGGCGGAGATGGCTACCAACTCGGATGGCTTCATGGAGGGCAACGCTGCCAATGGCTACAGGCCACAATGGCTATCTTCTATCTCCACTGCCAGAGGCGGTGTTGTGGCCATGAATGCCGGTTGCGGGAAACCACTGAAAGGAAAGGCATCCTTGCGTTCAATTCCGCTGGTGAGCTTCCCACTAGGGGCAGTGCTTTTGAACTGGTGGTCCACAGACCACAGGGGCAACACACACCCATCAACTGTCTGGGACATCCTGTTTTTGGGGAGCTCCCAAAAAACATGAGAGATCGTGGGGCCCCCAAATGCACTGTGCTCTCGTGCGGGTCACGTGACTTGTGCGAGAGCAAGGCCCAGAAGACGCATGTCCCGGTTTTGCTCTGGGACATGTTGAAGGGTACGGCGGCACCGTCGACGTAACGAAAACTACCGCAGAGATACCAACGTTTTCAAAAGTAGGGGGGTCCACAGCATCTAGGTAAAGGTAAAGGGACCCCTGACCATTAGGTCCAGTCGTGATCGACTCTGGGGTTGCGGCGCTCATCTCGCTTTATTGGCCGAGGGAGCCGGCATACAGCTTCTGGGTCATGTGGCCAGCATGACTAAGCCGCTTCTGGCGAACCACAGCAGCGCACAGAAACCTTCCCGCCGGAGTGGTACCTATTTATCTACTTGCACTTTGACGTGCTTTTGAACTGCTAGGTTGGAAGGAGCAGGGACCGAGCAACGGGAGCTCACACCGTCGCGGGGAATCGAACCGCCGACCTTCTGATCGGCAAGTCCTAGGCTCTGTGGTTTAACCCAAAACTGGAAAATACTGCATCTGGGCACTTGGCTTGCTGCGGTGAGAACAGGACGCTGGACTAGATGGGCCTGGCCTGATCCAGGAAGGCTTTCCTGGTGTACCCTGAATGGAAACTGGCTCGTTCAGGTGAGGGCAGAGATGCATTTGTAGCTGGATCCCATCGCAGGTATCAATGCAGCCCTTGTAAGCTGCTAGGCCCAGGTTAGACATCTCTGCTGCGTTAAAGCAAATAAATAACACCGGTTGGATTTGGAGAGCTAAAAATACCCGCTCTTGAATTTCTTGGAAATCTATTATTGCTGAGATTATTATCACCACATTATTATTATTTTTTGCAGCAGCTGGTCTCGACGGTGTTGTTCTTGGCTTCCCAGACACAAACCTCACTTTAAAAGAACAGGGCGATTACAGAAACGAGTAGCAGGATCCAGAAACGTTTCCTGGGGCATCACGGCCAGAGCGCCTTGAGGAATGAGATTCTGTAGAAAAGCTAGGAGGGGTGGTGTCCGAGTAATGTATGTTGTTTTAGAAAAAATAACGGTGTTGGATTGTAGCTAATCACATTTTAATCAGAGTAGGCCCATTAAATTTAATAGGCCTAAGCTAAGCAGGTCCATTAATTTCAATGGGTCTACTGTGAGTAGCGCTAGGTCTATTCTTGCCATTGTTAAGGCTACCAATGGCCTCGGCCCTGTATACCTGAAGGAGCGTCTCCACCCCCACCGTTCAGAAGGCTCTGAGGGCCTTCTGGCGGTTCCCTCACTGCGAGAAGTGAGGTTACAGTGAACCAGGCAGAGGGTCTTCTTGGTAGTGGCACCCTCCCTTTGGAACGCCCTCCCATCAGATGTCCAGGAAATAAATACGTACACAACTTTTAGAAGACATCTGAAGGCAGCTCTGTATCAGGAAGTTTTTAATGTCTGGGGTTTTAGTCTGTTTTTATATGTGTTGGAAGTATCCCAGAATGGCTGGGGGAAGCCAGCCTTGCAGGATCAGGCCCAAAAGGACCCATCTAGTCCAGCGTCCTGTTCTCACAGTGGCCAAGTGGATGGTGCGATGGGAAACATGCAAGCAAGATTCAAGCTTAAGAGCAGCTCTTTCCACCTGTGGTTTCCAGCAACTGGTATTCAGAAGAGCTGTTGGCTCCAACTGTGGAAGGCAGAGCATAGTCCATAGTCATCAATAGCCCTTCCATCCACGAATTTGTCTAATCGTCTTTCGGAGACGTCTACGTTGGTGGCTTGAGGGTTTCCCACTGGGGCTACCTGGGCGGCCACTGTGGGAACAGGATGCTGGGGACAGCAAGGCAGCCGACAGGTGCTCTCTGGGTGATGCAGAATGTTCACAAACACCCACACGCAGCTCTTCCGGTTCGACAGAGCTCTGCCTGCAAAACCTGGGAGGAAACCCTCCGGTGTTGCCTGCGCTCTCGTCCCAGTGAGCCGCCTTACCGTGCAGGTGGTGAGCAGCCAGCCAATGATGGCCCAGCGAGGGAGGATGTCGGAGCTCAGCACCTCGTTGGACGGGTGGACCACCCCGCAGATGTAGCGGATGAGGTCACAGCGCAGGGACTGGCTGTCCGGGGTGGAGAGGTACTGCCGCTGGAACCAGTCTTGGTAGCGCTTCTGCTGGCCAAAGCGCACCTGGAGGGAGACGAGGGAGAGAGGGAGGTTGGAAGGTGCCATGCTATTGGGGCCCATCAACACCTGAACTCTTAATTCAGGCATCCTTCTACATTTCCTGGTTTTTCTTTTCACCAGGCATAACCCACACGATTTCATGAATAGTTTCCAGCCATGAAGGCTAGAAACTTGCACAAAGTTTGAATCTGATTTAGAAAAGCAACCCACACACAGCCTATTGGAAAATGGAATTTTGCAGCCATTCCATTGAAAAAACAGTGTATGTCCGGCACTGTTTTATTCTCTGTAGTGCTTGGAAACAACCATTTTTGGTTGGTCGGTGTGAAAGCGACAGCAGAACTGCCTTTGTTGTCTGTAGATGGGGATGCAGATGACTAGGAGCCTTTAGGAAGCTGCCATATACTGACTCAGACCATTAGTCCGTTTAGCCTACTATTTGTCTACTCTGACTGGCTTCCACCTCGCCTGCTGCCTAAGCCACTTTTAACCACTGATGCCAGGGATTTGAATCTGAGACTCTCTGTTTGCAAAGGAGGTCCTCCAGAACTGAGCTATACTGCTCTGTAGTGGCTGTCCTATAAGCATCAAGTTGCATGAACTCAGTTGGGGTGAAGATGGGAAGGGAAATAAGAGGGGATGGAATTCGTGGTAACCACATAAGGCCAGGGGTTGACAGGTGCTACGGTGCCCTTTTGAGATCTTCCCCTGCTCTGTAAGTGTTAAATATTAATAATAATGGGTTGTTGTAAACTGTTTCGGGAGGCTTGCATACCCAAAAGTGCAACCAACAACAAAAAAAGGTGTTACCCGGGAGGTCATGAAGAGCAGCTTGGTCTCCATGTCGGGCGTGAGGCGGCAAGCCAGGAACTTGCGCGAAGTCCGAGACTGTAAGAGTTGCAAAACGCCTGTGTTGGGGAAGGCAGGAAGGGGGAGTGGGGAGAGAAAGAAAGAAAAGGAAAATTAGATTTAAGGCACACTGCCAGCCACAAAAGCTACTAAATCAGCAGGTGTCTCGTACAGCGAGGGACGCATCTTTACACGCAAGGATCAGCCCCAGAACACAGGTCATAAGCTCATAAGAAGAGCCCTGCAGGATCAGGCCAAAGGCTGATCCAGCCAGCCTCTTGTTTCCAGTGGCCAGCCACTCTGGTCTTCAGAGGCCCCCAACAGTTCCACTATAGTCATCATGTCTAGCAGCCATCGATCGCTTCATCCTCCATGAGCTTTGTCTTTTAAAGACATCAAAATCGGTGGCCATCACTAAACCAGGTTTAACGTTGCAAATTCCACAGTTTAACTTTGTGCCAACGCTTTCCTGTAAGACAGAGTTGTTCCACCTGGCCTTTGGCTTAGAATCAGTTTGATTCCCTCCCCCTCTTTCTTTTTCCTTTCTCCTCTTGTGAAGAGGCTGCATCCTAATGCTTTAATGTTGTATTTTAATCTTGCTTTTTAAATTGTATTTTAATCAACTTGTTTTTATTATTGGTTGTTAGCCACCCTGAGCCCGGTCTTGGCTGGGGAGGGCGGGGTATAAATAAAATTTATTATTATTGTTATTCCTTTCGTCTACCCTGAATCTTCCACCAGTTTCCTTGGATGACCCCAATGGATCCCAGTGATGGCAAGGAAGAAAAATCTATCCTTATCCGCTTTCTCCTCAGTGTGCATCGTTTTATGCATGGCTTTCTCCTCCTCGCTTGCCTTCGTACGAGGGTCTTTTGCTCGCCTCCGTTTCCCACCCGGCTCAATACATAAACAGTGGGAGTTGACCCAAGCCGACACGTTAGGGTCAAAATCTGCAAACCCAGTTCTCCCGGTCCAAGGGAGCACCGTGTTTCGTTCAAGACTTGACGTGGGCCTGCCACCCCATCGGGAGGGCTGTCAAGAGCAGGGGAAAGTTCTGCGTGCTTCAAAGCCGAACCGGTGGTATTGAAACCATTCCACTTGTCGACAGAGGGCCATGTGGGAAGGAGCTCCTTGGATGAAGGACAGCCGCCTCCCCTTTAAAAACTTGCTTAGTTAAAGCGCTTCCCGTGGGGAAAGAAACAAAAACCACCCGTCGGGAGGAACGTGGCGTGAGATCTCCCACGGGTCAACCCCTTCTAGAATGTCTTGAATATGGCCCTTCGAAGAAGCCCCCCAGAGGCGCAATTCAGAGAGTGCTGCTAAGGGCTTTGCATCTTAATTTGCCTGGAATCAGGCCGAAAGGCAGCCAGGGGCGGATGGTTGCTAGAGGTAACTGACGGCCCTTGGGGCGCTGAGCCACAGGAGGCGAAAGGGAGGAGCAGCCTAAATTGCCTTCTCTCTCGGGTGGAGGAATCTTCGAAGCGCAGCAAAGATGCACCGAACTCTGATCTGCCAGACCAAAAAGCTGTATGTCCCCTGCCCAGTTGAGGCCAACCCACTAGGCCTCACTGCCAGCTCCCATCCTGGAGGCAGGGATCCTTCAGCTGTTGATTTCTGCATTGAGGGGGGGTGAGGGGGGGTTGGACCAGATGACATTTTGGTTCCCTTTCAACTCTACATTTCTGTAATTCTCCAGGGGGTGGCACTGCCTGTCAGCTTCTTCCTCCTTAAAGATAAAGGGGCCCCTGACCTTTAGGTCCAGTTGCAGATGACTCTGGGGTTGCGGCGCTCATCTCGCTTTACTGGCCGAGGGAGCCGGCATACAGCTTCCGGGTCATGTGGCCAGCATGACTAAACCGCTTCTGGCGAACCAGAACAGCGCACGGAAACGCCGTTTACCTTCCCACCAGAGCGGTACCTATTTATCTACTTGCACTTTGACGTGCTTTCGAACTGCTAGGTTGGCAGGATTAGGGACCGAGCAATGGGAGCTCACCCCGTCGTGGGGATTCGAACCCCCAACCTTCTGATCGGCAAGTCCTAGGCTCTGTGGTTTAACCCACAGCGCCACCCGCGTCCCTTCCTCCTTACTCTTTTTCAAAACCTCTTTGAGGGTTGTCGTCCCCCCCTTACAATCAAATGGTACATAAATTTCGTGAAACAAATACATAAATTTGCTAACCCCTCAAAACTAGAAGGGGCTCCTTTTCCAGAACAAGGCACAGGGGGCAGCAGAGAACTTTGGTTATGGATCGGCACAGATACACCGGGTTGGACCCAACTATGTTCTACTCAAGAGTAGACCCACCAGACCTGAGCTAGTCATGCTCATCTATTTCAAAGGGACTACCACGAGCAGGACTGACATTGGATTCAACTCACTGTTGACAAATAACAGGGAAATTTAAAAAAGCACTCAGCCTCTGGAAGGAGCTAGTCCATAACGTTCCGGAACTTCATCACCTACCTGTGAACTGGGGGCTCAGCACCTGTGGGTTGTGGATAATGTCCTTCCAGAGCTGTTCAAACTCGGGTATCCTAGCAACGTTCTGCAGAAGCCTCACCAGATCTCGGCCAATCATAAGGCAATCCATAAACTTGGGGTAGGAAGGAAGAGGGAGGAGAAGGGGGGGGAGTCATTATTGTTCTCAGGCACAGGGATACGGACAGAGTGTGCGCTTTGGGGAACATTCAGTTCCTAAAACCCTGGCAAAGCCCCAAAAAGGGGATGATTCATCCCACCCGTCGGCTGAAAAGGCCTTTCCTCGGGCAGATGGTCTTCCCCCCTTTGAAGATAGCAGGTTCCGAAGAGGCAGGGTGACAAGCAAGGTCAGCTGCCGCATTAAAAAGATAAAATAAATTTAAAAAAAGAAATGGTTGCTGTTGTACAAACAAACAGGCAGCGCTATAAATTCTGAGCCTGACCCTCGATCACGACCTGGGAGGGAGACTCAAAAGGTGGACTTCTCAAAGCTCAATGGCCAAGGCTGAGTCTTTTCTAACTCTGGCCGTCAACACCATCGCAAACGGTGATCGGGATCCATGGCTGCCAGCAACAGGGGTGCAACTGCATTCAATGGCCGCCAGCAACAGGGGTGCAATCATGAACACTACTATTATCGCTAGCAGCACTGGAGAGTCAGATCAGATTCCTGGCTTTGCTTCTGGCAATTTGTGAGCATAACTTGCTCTCCCCCACTGCAGGGCCTTTCCTGCAGCTGCCCCACAACTCTACAGCAAAACATGAAACTACTCCTCCCCCCTTGACTTTCCTGCAAGGGGTGTAAAAACAAGGGTGGGCAACCTGCGGCCCCTCCAGATGTTGCTGGAACCAGAGCTCAACGGGGATCTTGTTGTACTCGGTCGCCTGTGACACTGCGGGCAGGGGTTTGGACTAGGATGGGGAACCTGTGGCCCTTCAGATGTCGCTCGACTCCAAATCCCATCACCCCTGACCATCGGCTATGCTGGCCAGGGCTGCTTGGTGTTGAAGGCCCGCAAGATTTGAAGGGCTGCAATTCTCTTCTGTTAGGTAAAGGGACCCCTGACCATTAGGTCCAGTCGTGGCCGACTCTGGGGTTGCGGCGCTCATCTCGCTTTATTGGCCGAGGGAGCCGGCATATGGCTTCCGGGTCATGTGGCCAGCATGACTAAGCCGCTTCTGGCGAACCAGAGCAGCGCACGGAAACACCGTTTACATTCCCACTGGAGCGGTACCTATTTATCTACTTGCACTTTGACGTGCTTTCAAACTGCTAGGTTGGCAGGAGCAGGGACCGAGCAACGGGAGCTCACCCCGTCGCGGGAATTCGAACCGCCGACCTTCTGATCGGCAAGTCCTGGGCTCTATGGTTTAACCCACAGTGCCACCCACGTCCCTTCACTCTTCTGTTAAGTGCGTTTTAATGTGTGATCCCTGATTGGTTGGGCTTTCAGTTCCTTAAGAGGAACAAGCAGCAAAGGCACAAAACGCGAAGAGAGAAGCTCATCCGGGCGGGAATCACAATGGGCTGCGTTGTTTCAAAGTCGGCCCCCACAGAGAAGACAAGGAGAGTGGGGGCCGAGTGTGTCTGCAGCGACAAAGGAGGCTGTCTGGAAAGCGGCTGTCACTTGTCCCTCAAGTGCCTTCCTCTGAGAGATGGCACCCGCCCACACACCTTCAGGCAGCTAAACACCTCCCAGATTCCCTTACCCGGTCGCGGAGCAGGGAGATGCAGAATTCCACCTCCTTCTGCCTCAGGGCGTGCAGGGGAGGCGAGCCATGGTGGTCAACGATCAGGCGGAGGTAGGTGTACACGGACATGGCAATCAGCATGGCGCTTTTCAGAACCCACTCCCTGCAAAGAAGGGAGCATTTAGTTCCACGCCACAACCCGGCGCAAACGCCGGCCCTCCCGACCGCTCAGAACCAGTGTGGGCGTTGAGAACATGTACAAGTAGCCCCGCGGGATCAGGCCCGGCACCCTGTTCTCACAGCGGCCCGTCAGATTCTCCCAGGAAGGCCCCCAGGCAAGAGCCCTGTTGTTTGTCTCCAGTATCTAGCATTGAGAGGCAGACTGCCTTAGGACATGGAGGTTCTCTTCTGAACTAATATAAAAAGAGCTCTGCAGGATCATTTTGCCCAGCGTCCTGTTTTGACAGAGGCCAAGCGAATGCCTGCAAAAAACCCGCAAGCAGGATCCGATCACAAGAGCCCTCTTCCCCTCCTGCAGTTTCCAGCAACAGGTATTTGGTTGCTGAAGGTGGCAAATCTGAAGAACCTGGGAGGAAGCCTGAATTAAGATTTCAGACTGGGGGGTGGAGGGAGAGGGGAGGCTTTGATGCCCTCCATGGTCAGATCTGCAAGAAGATCAAACCGATGCATTCGTAAGGAAATCAGCCCTGAGCGCTCACTGGAAGGACAGATCCTGAAGCTGAGGCTCCAATACTTTGGCCACCTCATGAGAAGAGAAGACTCTAATGTTGGGAAGGATGGAGGGCACAAGGAGAATGGGACGACAGAGGACGATATGGTCGGACAGTGTTCTCCAAGCTACCAGCATGAGTTTGACCAAACTGCGGGAGGCAGTGGAAGACAGGAGTGCCTGGCGTGCTCTGGTCCAGGGGGTCACAAAGAGTCGGACACGACTAAACGACTAAACAACAACATGGTCAGATTATCCTGCCCCCACAAACATACCTCATCCTGACCCTAGCACGGCTACTAAGCAGAGATCTGTTTTAGTTATGCTTTTCAAAAGATCTCAAAGAGGAAGGTCTTTGCGGAGCAAAAGGGCTTCCGATCTATTTATTGGATGTGCAGCACAACAGCAGCAGCGAAAGGGCAGGAGTGGCAAAGGAGGGGGCAGCCAATGTCAGGGGGTCTGTGCATGGCGCTGCCCTCCAGCCCGAGCTCGGGAGTAATTGATCTGGCAGATGACGCAGAGGAAAGGTTTGAGGGTGCTCCAGAGGCAGCTCGGGGCTCGTTACGCCACCGAGTGCCAGAAAGGGCCAACGCATGACGTGGTGGGCTTGGCTCACCCCCTGATCCGGATGCTTGAGCAACAACACCTTCTGCTGCCAATTAAAGCAGCCAAAGCGGGAAGCTTTTGGTTTCACATTAAAAAACAACAACTATGCCGCTTAATTAAAACCTTGCTTTCCATTCTGCCGACCTCAGTTGAGTTTTCTCCTCAATCCTCGAAATTCCCAGGCCAGGAACCACCCCCTAGAGCAGTGCTTCTCAGCTTCCAGGCTGTTGTTGGACTACAACTCCCATTATCCCTGACCACTGGTCCTGCTAGCTATGGATGGTGGGAGTCCAACAACAGCTGTGGACCCAAGTTTGAGAAACAGTGCCCCTGGGGCAATGGGCCTGTTTCCTCGTTCGTCGTCAACCCCTGAGCAACACTGCCAATGAGGCCCTGGGACTTTGGGTAGGGCCTTTTCTGCTGTGGCACAAAGCCCCCCATGTGGGGGGAATTAAGCTTTTGAGGAGTAGCCTTCCCCTCCTTGGAATGTCCCAGGCTCTCCCCCTATCAATCCCCCACAGCCCAGTTCAAGCCGCAGGAGAAACTGGGAAGGTGACGTTCTTTAAGGCAGGGCTGGGGAATCCCAGGCTCTCAGGTGAGGGGTGCAAATGCAGCAACTCTCCCCAAGCCACGCCCCTGGCTGGCCTTGCTTCACGCCCTCCTTAGCCAGACCCCCTTTCCCCAGGCCACACCCCCTTGTGATTCCCAGCAACTAGTGTTCAGAGGCATATTGCCTCTGACAGTGGAGAACACAGCCATTGTGGCCAGCAGCCACTGACAGTCTCAGCCCCCTCCATGGATTTGTCCAATTCTCTTTCAAGAGCGATGAAGATGGCATCCCAGCCATCTGTACGGCTCCCTGTATTTCATCTCCAAGACAAACAGCAGCATTGTGTGTTCCTATCGAACCCAGTATTGTCCACACTGACCGGCAGCAGCCCTTTGGAAGCCACAGGTCCTCCTGCTAAATCTTCAAAACTTCTCTCATAAGGAGATAAGAAGACTCCTGTTCGGTCAGACCAAAAGTCCACCAACTCTACCATCGTAAGGGCTAAGCACTTGCTTTTCCATAGTTAACTGCTGGACCACTCGGGGTGCCCGACTCTGTATGCGAGATGCCACTAGGCAGTCACAGGCCAAAAAACACAATCTTGCCCAGAGTTTTGCTACAGCCCATTCCTCTTTCCTCCTTGCCAACATAAATTCCAAATGTGCCCAACAAATGGGAGGCAGGAGAGACTGTTGCAAGTGCAAAGTTCCTCTGAGCACAGAATTTGGACTTCTTTTGGCATGGAACATCACACTCAAAGACCAAGGAAGGAGAGGGAAGCCTTCAAGTGGACTAGAAACTTGACCCTGTGTGTGTTAAGCCTAAGATGAGGGTTGTCAGGAATCTGTGTCAGGTAAGGCATTGCAGAAGACAAACAAGACGAACTACTAGGTAAAGACTGTCTAGGCAAGAACCAGCAGGCAGAAAGCAATGATTTACAGCCCCCTGGCTCTTCCAGCCACGGAAAACGTGCTCGCTCTCCGAAGAGCGCACTAGATGGCACTGTGGGGCAACGCAGCTGGAATCAAACTCTTCCTTGTCAAAGGGAAATAAACACACTTGAAAAACTCTTTATGTGTCCGTCCGTCCCCCGCGAAGTAAAACGCTTTAACAACTTGATTGTTCACCACAGCAATAAGCAATTTCAAAGAGACATTGCAGCTACTACACATGCCATCCTAAGAGAGGGAACCGCGCATTGAAATATTATGACAGGTGCACTCGGGATGCATCCGTGCAAAGAAAAAGGGGCTGCAGAAAAGGAACGGCGTGGGCAACCGAGACTCGGTGTAAACAAAGTCAGATCAGCCTCGGTGACTCAAGCATGTTGAAGCGGGTGTCTGGAGAAGGTGGCCGGGTTCGTACCAAGGCAATAAATATTCCTCGCTCCTGGCAATAAGGCCCAGCAGAAAGCCATGCCCCATTAATTGCGCGGTCTCTATGCAGGGCTGCTTCGGGGCTCTCTTCATCTTGGTCACAGGGAAAGTCAGGACTGATCAGCCCTGGCAAGGCTCAGTAGCGTGAAAACGAACTTCAGAGTCCACACTGGACAAGGTCAGACACAGCTGAGCCCAACCCTTGAAAGGCAAAACAAAGCTACTAGCCAGGCAATCCACCTGAACAAGCCTTCGGAGCAAGTCTAGGCAAGCACCATCCGTTTGCTCCATTGTGAGCAGGCAATGACCCCTGGCTGCCAGAGATGGCCGACTAACCAGGCATACATACCTCTGCTCAGTTAGCATATCGAGGATGTTCTCCGCCAACCAGATATTCTTTGCCGTTACGTCTCCGCCTGCAAGGAGACAAACAGGTGACCAGAAGGTTGGGAGGAAGCCGGTTCAGACTGTGGATTGCACTTTCCTCCCGCATCGGGTTTGCACCAAACTGCCCCTTGATACCTTTCAGCTAATCAAACTTTTTGTTGCTGTTGTTTTTGCCCTGTACACCGACATACCCACCCAACCTAGGAGAACCCCGTCCTCCTTTGCTCAATGGGATAGCTCAGGTACTTTCTGGAAACCAATGATCAAACTGACATTGGAAGAACCGTTCCAGATCAGGTCAAAAGCCTTTGACACCAGCCACTCAAGATTCCTCTAGGAGGTGAACAGGCAGGGTGTGAAGACAAGAGCCCTCCCTCCCTGTAATCCATAAGGATGTAAAAAGAGCCTGCAGGATCAGGCCAATGGCCTGCCTGTTCTCGCAGCGGCCAGCCAGGTACCTCTTCTGTAAGAGCAACAGAAGCACACCAGCAGTTTCCAGCTCAGTTGATTAGAGCGTGGTGCTGATTAACGCCAAGGTTGTAGGTTTGACCCCTGCATGGGACAGCTGCATATTCTGGCATTGCAGGGGGTTGGACTTAGATGACCCTCAGGGTCCCTTCCAACTCTATGATTTTATTCAGACGCATTTACTACCTTCAAACGTGGAGGAAGAGCCAGTAGCCACTGACCGCCTTCTCCCCCATAAATTTGACTGCAAACACCAAGATTAGGCCAATGGCCCATTAGGGAAACCAATCAGGGCAGGACCCAAGTACAAGAGAGCTCTCCCCTCCTGCGGCTTCCAGCAGCTGGTATTGATTATTGATGCAGCGCTGAGGGACCCAAATTAAATCACAGCGGCCTGACTCAGTGAGGCCAAAATTGGGGAGCAAGCAAAAGGTCATCTCGGCCTGCCAAATGGAGGAGTGAGAGATGCTCAGTGGAAGGGATATTTACACCCAATTTTGACCTTTGAAAGCAAGGCCTGAGCACAACAAGCAGGGCTTTCTCCACCCGTGATGCCAGCCAGAAGACAGCAAGGAGGGCTATTTGGCCAGGGCACCCTCCCCTAACTCAGCTCCCCCACCAGGTGTTAAAGGTAAAGGTAAAGGGACCCCTGACCATTAGGTCCAGTCGTGACTGACTCTGGGGTTGCGGCACTCATCTTGCTTTATTGGCCGAGGGAGCCGGCGTACAGCTTCCGGGTCATGTGGCCAGCATGACTAAGCCGCTTCTGGCGAACCAGAGCAGTGCACGGAAACGCCATTTACCTTCCCGCTGAAGTGGTACCTATTTATCTACTTGCACTTTGACGTGCTTTTGAACTGCTAGGTTGGCAGGAGCAGGGACCGAGCAACGGGAGCTCACCCCGTCGTGGGGATTCGAACCGCCAACCTTCTGATCAGCAAGTCCTAGGTTCTGTGGTTTAACCCACAGCGCCACCCGCATCCCGCACCAGGCGTTATTGGGCTCCAATTTCCATCAGACCCCCACCCCACCCCTGGCACAGGTAACGGCTAGGGATGATGGAGTCCAGTAAGATCTGGAGGGCCGCAGGGGCCCCCCAACTCTAGACTAGGGGCACCCAAGGTAAGGCTGTCATGCAAGCTAGCTAACAAAGACCCCCGAGGCTTGTAAATTCCTGGTTGCTGTGAGCGATTGCGGGGCAAATTCCTTTCTCCACCAGAGTACTCTTTAAAAAGTCAGGCTGAGCCATTCTTGGATGCCTGTCCTTGAGAAGGGGAGTGGGGGGGGGGCCTCAAAAGATGTAGTCATGGCAACCGAATCCTCGTAAAAAGAAGAAGAAAAAACCTTATCAGGGTGAGGGGGCGGCAGAGGTACCTTAGGAAAAGAAGTTTCCCGTAAGTTAGAAGTCTGCAAACACTTGGCACGGGTGCCAAACAAAGGAGAAAGACAGTAGTTTGCTGGTCCACTATGGTTTTGTCCTTCCTGCCCCCCCCCAACCAAATAGCTTTTAGAGCCTGTCCTTCGGGCGAGGGGGACGGGAGCTGGCAAGCTCTGAGCTCATACAGGCCCAACTCCACATTGCAGATGCAGGCGGTTAAAAAAACAAAATGACAGATTTTCCACTGCGGCAAATTCCTGATGTCAGCCCGGCACCAAAGTGTGCCAGAAGTTCTCGAGATCCCTATCAAGACCATACCTGATTTGGTAGGGAAGGAACTGGTGGGGCGGAGAGATGAGGACTGTTTGGCCAAGAGGCATCCTATTACTGCAATTTAATGAGAGATCCCTGATTGGCTGGGAGGTGTGACCAGGATAGGGGTGGGGGACCTGTTACCCTCCAGATGCTGCCAAACTACAAGTCCCATCATCCCTAATCGTAGGCCGTGCAAGCTGGGGCTGATGGGAGTTATAGTCCAGCCACAGCTGGAGGACTCCCTGGTTCCTCAGTCCTGCTATATACAAACTCATCTCTGGCGACGAGACTTCTTTATAGCTTTAAAAATGGAAGATAAATCCTACGTGCGTAATACACACACTTTAATGTAAAGTGAAAAGGAAATCTTCCAAGAGTTATTGGAAAAGTTATTGCATCTTTTAAAAACAAAAACAGGTATCCCATAATTGCATAAAAAATGGTTTAGGGATAAATCTGTTTTATTAAATTTGACAACGTTCTATATCTGCAATGGCACATGAACAATTTAAGGCAGCTGCATTACCAAACTCTTCCTTTTTTAAAAGGATATATAATTACAGAATAATGTTCCCGAGTAATGGTTGTTCTCTACAAAAATAAAATAAAATGACCCTAAACACACCAGGGATTTTTTAAATTGGGCGTAATCAAAACATGCGGAATAAAGAAACTCTGCGCCCACTGCAATCCCGCTTAGAGAGAGCTGCTCCAATATACCTTGCTGCTAATTGAGCAACTCATTTCGTCCCTCGTTACCTGAAAAGGGCAACCCTCCTGCCATCAACCACCCCTCCCTCTCTCCTGGCCCTGCCTGGCTCCGGTTTAAGGCGGCTGTACACAATTAAACCAGTGCTCGCCCTGTAGCTGTTGGCAACCTGGACCTTCGGCACCTCAGCTCTACATGACAGGCGGTTCATTTGGAACATGCCAGTGTTACCATAGGCAAACACTGACTGCCACAATATGCTCCCTTCATTAGACACAGGCAGCAGCAAAAATAACAGCTTAGGGACGGGGTCGGGCGCAGTGATGCTCAGGAGGCTACTCAGAATGGCCTGATTGCTTGATGAGGACTGGGCACCTTAAGAAATTAGAGTAATATTGGTTGCATCTAGCCCAGCTTCCTGTTTTCACAGTGGCCAACCAGATGCCACAATGGGACGCCCCCAAGAGCTCTCCCCCTGCGGCAGCTTCCAGCAACTGGTCTTCAAGGAGCTCCAAGTGGTATATGCCCTTCCTCTTTTATCTTCACAACAATCCTTTAAGGGAGTTTAGGTTAAGAAACAGTGGAGTGCCTTTGTGCCTGGGTTTTATACAGGCATCTGGTTGGACGCAGTGAGATGTTGGCCACTAGATGATCCAGAAAGCTCTTCCAAAGTTCGTAAGATGGGCCCAAGACCTCACACAATCAGATTCATGAGATGAGTAGGAATTTGAACACAGGTCTGCCAAGTTCTTATCCAACACACTATCCACTTAACATATCTGCAGATCAGCCTTCCCCAACCTGGTACCATCTAGATGTTAAGAACACAAGAGCCTGCTGGATCAGACCAACGGCCCATCTAAGAAGAAGAAGAGTTTGGATTTGATATCCCGCTTTATCACTACCCGAAGGAGTCTCAAAGCGGCTAACATTCTCCTTTCCCTTCCTCCCCCACAACTAACGCTCTGTGAGTTGAGTGAGGCTGAGAGACTTCAAAGAAGTGTGACTGGCCCAAGGTCACCCAGCAGCTGCATGTGGAGGAGCGGAGACATGAACCCGGTTCACCAGACTACGAGTCCACCGCTCTTAACCACTACACCACACTGGCTCCCTTATGAGAAACCAAGCCTTAAGAGCAGTGCCGGATTTACATATAAGCTAAACAAGCTATAGCTTAGGGCCCCACTCTCTTGGAGCCCCCCAAAAAATTTAAAGGGGAAAAAAACCTGGATACTTCTTCTTAATTGTATTTCACTTCAGCGATTACTTTGATAAAATACGTATTTTGATATGTGAGAATGGCTTTAGATACCTATGAGGTCCATAAATTACCATATAGCATATATTCAACGCAAAAAACAGCGGCAATTTGTTGTTGACAAAGGACAGCTGGACACATAAAGGGCCCCATTACCTTCAGTAGCCGAGGGCCTCATCAAACCTACCGTATTTTTCGCTCTATAAGATGAACTTTCCCCCTCCTAAAAAGTAAGGGGAAACGTGTGTGCGTATTATGGAGCGAATGCAGGCGGGAGGCTCTGTTCAACACTCCCTTTAAAGAGCCGTGTGGAGCTCTTGGGAGCTTTTCCTTGTGGAGGGAGAAGGGCTGCTCTTCTGGGATTCAGAATATTTTTTTCTTGTTTTCCTCTTCCAAAAACCAGGTGCGTCTTATGGTCTGGTGCGTCTTATAGAGCGAAAAATACGGTAACTCTGGCCCTCCTTATGAGGAACGGTTGATAGAGAAAAGGCACTCAGGCTAGCAGCCATCAACGCAGCCTTCCTCCACCTCCTATGGGATGCTTTATGGGGCTATTTTCTCCAGCGATACTGCCCCCCCAACGCACTCACCTGCAATCTGCTTCATGAAGGTCATGCAGACGCCTTCGATGCCTAGAATCCCACTCCGCACTATCTCCCGCACCAGCCAAACCAACTAAAGTGTGGGAGAAAAGAGAATTCAGGACTCCTTCAAGCGACATGGACAAAGCCAGCCTCTCCCGCCTCTTTGACGCCTTGTCCAGGCAGAAGAAAGGCACGGCATGCAAGCATTTGCGCCAGCCAGATGATGGCATGGTCCTAACAACTCGCTGCTCATAGAATATGGTTCCTTCAGAAGAACCCGCGATCGGGATTTTTCCCTGCTCTCTCATTTTTTTTTAAAAAAAAAACATCCTGCAAGTTTCTAGTCCTTGTGGTTGCGGAGGGAACCCCAAACACCACTTAAGTTATAGAATCGTGTCTATGCGGGGATTCCCGGGGTTAGCAGCAGGGTAGAAGGTTTGGATTACAAACACAGCCACCAAGCCCACCTACCACAAATTTGTGTTTCGTGACCCACCCCCAAGCTTACAGCACCGTACTTCCCTTGATTTTCCCCGTATGCCTCAATGCACCTTTTCCATATAAAAATTTTAATTCTGGCACTGGGGCTTGGGAGCAAGGGGCCGGGGGGAGGAAGTACCCGCAACTGCAGACCGCATTACATATGCCCCTGAAACCCAGCTTGCAGATTTGCAGATGTGGTGCCGATTGCGGAATCTGGGTCTTCAGGTTGCAGAATTAAAAATGCCGCACAGAGATGCCTTTGGCAGCACTGCACTCCGGGCTTGAGACAAACAGCGGGCTGATCGCAGCTCCTGCTTCACACACACACGGTTCTTTAAAGTACGGAGGCACACAGAGAAAAGAAAATGCGCATAGGCAAGACGCGGCGCATAGCGCATGGCCCACCTGCGTACGGCACGTGTCCTGCAGCTTCAGGTACTTCTCCATCAGAATCTGGTTCATCTTGTTCAACACGGCACTCATCCCGTCGCGGCTGACCAGCACCAGGTCCCGGTAACACTGTGGCCAGGGAGGAGGGCAGGGGAGAGGTGAGAGAATGTGTCAGCTGAACAGAGTGCAGTCACAGCATATAACTTAAAAAGAAACTGCTCTGGGGTGGGTGGTGGATGGCATACAGATTCTGTAAACAGGGGTGGGGAGACTCCATCCCAGGGGCCAAGTGCAGTTCCCTGGAGAGATGCTGCTGGTCAGTTAACAGCTCTGGGTTGAACGGGTAACTGGTTCGGCACATTGAAGGCTGATTCACATTACCCTGATCACCATCATCATGCAGGAGCCCTACAGCATCTTAGAAGGTCTGCTCCCATTGGCTGGACTCCAACGGGACTCTAGCTCCCATTGGTTGGACTCCAGCAGGACTCTAGTCCCATTGGTGGGACTCCAGTGGGACTCTAGCTCCCATTGGCAGGGCTCCGGCGGGACTCTAGTCCCATTGGCTGGACTCCAGTGGGACTCTAGCTCCCACTGGTTGGACTCTGGCGGGACTCTAGTTCCATTGGCGGGACTCCGGCGGGACTCTAGCTCTCATTGGTTCTACTCCAGCAGGACTCCAGCTCCCATTGACCGGACTCCAGCGGGACTCTAGCTCCTATTGGCCGGATTACAGCAGGACTCTCGCTCCCATTGGCCGGACTCCAGCAGGACTGTAGTTCCCATCAGCCACAGCCAGTGCAGCCAATGGTCAGGGCTGACGGGAACTGCAGTCCACAAGGCCCTCCAGAGGGTCATGGGTTCTCCAGCCCTATTCCAGACACACATCCCAAACAATCAGGGATCACGTATGAAATGCGCTTATAGAGGTGTAATATTCTATTACCTAGAGCCGGGATGAAGAACCCGTAGCCGCCATCCAGGTGCTGTTTGACTCCAACTTCCATTTTCCCCAGCCTGCAAGGCCAATTGGTCAGGGGTGACGAGAGTTGTAGTCCACCAACATCTCTGGGAGGCCACAGGCTCTCCATCCGTGCTCTAACAACAGAAGGAGACAGTGCCTGAAGCCAAGGTGGTACATCGGGAATAGCCAAAGCACTGGTTGCTTTGGGGGTGAGCTGCTCCCCGCCACTGGCGACCAAAGGAAAGGAATAGACATATATACGCATCAGTAACCAGAAAGCAGCGAAAGGGGTCACTGTTTCTATATGGCACCGCAAGCCCAACCATCTGACATATGAAAATAATTCCAGGCGACACATAATGCAGAACATACACGAATAGTACGGCCAAGTGTGTCGGACGGTCGTAAATCAGCTGGGACTCTGCTCGTCCAAAATGTACAAGCAGAGAATATATTCCCCGTGTCCAAATTTTGCTCGCTTGTCAAGTTCCAAGAGAACAACCCCCCACCCCCGGGACTCAATCTGCCAAAAGCTGGCAAGGAGATGCTTGCGGAAGAGGAGCCTGCGAATGGCCGTGCAAACGTTTCGGGAGCCAAAGGCAGAGCTTGGGGAGTGCAGGCGGTGCGGGAGAAGTTTGGGGGGGCGCGGTGGAGGGATTGGGGGAGGAAGGAGGCGGTGGAAAGTGCTCAGAGGCTCAGATTTGGGAGGACTTGGAGCAGATCAGCTGATCATGACCCACCACCCCGGACCCTGAAACCAACATCCGAGGTCCTTCTCTATGGGAGGTCTGGAGTGTGATGACATGAGAACAGGGTCTTTTTGGTGGTGGCTCCCTGCCTTTGGAATGCTCTCCCCAGGGAGGCTTGCCTGGTGCCATCAATGGCTACTTTCAGGAGCCCAGCAGTAACACTACTTTTCAGCCAGGTTTTTGGCCTTTATCTTGGGAGAGTTTTAGATACTGCAACTGCTTTGTGGGGTTTATTGGACAGCCTTTTTACATCCATCCGTGTTTTGAGCTCTCGTTTTGTTTCAGTTTTATACTGGTTTTAATGCTTGTGGTATATAGTAAAATGAGTTTACGTTTCATTTTTCAAAAGCAACTAGCAAGTCCAGTTAATAATAAAAATAATAATGAATAGTGAGGCTTCTTGCGAAGTTTTACGGTATTCAGACGCAAGATGGGTGGGGTGGAAGAGAGGTGAGATCTCTTGCCTGTTCCCTCTTGCCCTGTGAGGTTGGCAGAAGGGAGGGAAGGGGAGAGAGGAACCAGGAAATCATCTGTTAACTCACTTCTGCATGGATGTTAATTTGTGCTGCTAAATGTCACGCCGCGGAGGCAAAGAGGGATCTGCTCTCAGCGTTCTCCCTCCGAGAGGCTAATGAGGCCCCTGAAAGCGCCCTTTCGATTGAACTCGCAAAGCACTCAGCAACCTCACGCTCGCAACAGGTGAGGTCTCTGGCTCGGCCTTTTGGCGCTTTCCAAATGTTGAAAGGCGCACTTGGCCGGCGAGCAGGAGGGGTGAAATAACCCCTGACCCGGTGTCGCGTGGTAAAATTGGGGCCAAGGCGCCCTGGCGCCCCGGGAAATTCTCCCGAAGCCACAAAACGGGGATCACAGAAGGCGTTTCAGAGGGCAGGAGGAAGGCAGCGGCGAGGGTGAGGAAGGGATGTCACTGCAAAAGGGTCCAGTCCCTCCAGGGCTAGGTAAAGCACTCTGCCCATGTTTGAAGGTGCTCTTATCTCCCGTGTTTTGAAAGGACAGAGATGCTAGTGCCGAGGCCCCAAGATTTTGGCCTCCTATTTCTTTTCCTAGAGGTGCTCCGTTTGGGGTGTCTTATTATCACCAAAACTGCAAAAGGCTATATAAAGGCAGTGGCGTTCTGCAGGTGAATCCTGGCTCAAATTCTGGCCCCTTGCAACAAAACGGTGCTCCTGTTCAGGGTCCCAGCCAGCTAGCCAGTCAGCCCTTTCCCAGGATGTGCCATTCCATTACAATAATAATAATAATAATAACAATAATAATAATAAAATATTTATAACCTGCCCTTCCCGGTTCAAAAACCGGGCTCAAGGCAGCTAACAACAGATTTAAAACACTTAATTATAAAAGCAGCATAAAATACAGTATAAAAACATGAATAACAATAAAAATCAAAAATCAATTAGATAATCCCCAGGGCTAGCTGGCTGAATTGGTCCTTCTTGGGCCAGCGAGGAGGCCAGGGGAGAATTAGCTGTGGGGTCTCAGAGTGGGTGATCTTCATAAAGGGGAGAGGGGGAGAGAAGGGAAATAAAAGATCAGGCTGAATTCAAATTAAAGGCCAGGCGGAATAGCTGTGTCTTACAGGCCCGACAGAAGGAGGTTAAATCCTGAAGGGCCCTAGTCTCATGGGACAGAGCATTCCACCAGGTTGGAGCCATCAGTGAAAAGGCCCTGGCCCTGGTGGAGGATAACTTACAAGCCCAAACAAGTTTCTTATCCACATTACAATATTCACAAGTGTGACAAAATGCTGGTGATGTGGAGTGCTCCAGTTCAGGGTTCCAACCAGCTACGCCCTTTCCCAGGATACTCCATTCCAGCCCAATCCCAGGCAAATTCTTATCACTGTGATGTCATACAATATTCATAGCGTTACACCTGCAACAAAATGTTGAAAACATGAAGGGCTCCAGTTCATGGTTCCAACCTGGGAGGCATTTCACAAACAGCGAGAAGGTGCCAAGAAGGACCTGTCAATGCCAGCCGGGCGCAGCCACCCACAGGGCCTCCCTTGCCAATCTTAAGGCCCCAGATGCTTGGCATATAATATACTGCAAATGAGACAGCTGATATAATAACACAGCAGAGGGGGAAGATGGAAGGGTACAGGAAAATGCTGTGCATTTATTTCAGCTGTCCCCAACCTGGTGCCCTCCAGGCCTTTTGGCTCCCTCAGCCCCAGCCAGCAGTTGTAGTCCAGAACAACACCTAAAGCACACCAGGTTGCAGAATGCTGAAGGAGGGTGCAGGACCCATAGGAAGAAGGGGAGGTGCCTATCAAATTAAAACCTGATCTAAGGCACCTTTTGGAATCTGTCCTCCTGAAAGGGACCTGGGGTGGCAGCAGAACCAGGGTGGCAATGCAGGGCAGGACGACTCAGATGACTTCCTTATAAAGGTAAAGGGGCCCCTGACCGTTAGGTCCAGTTCCGGCCGACTCTGGGGTTGCAGCGCTCATCTCACTTTATTGGCCGAGGGAGCCACCGCACAGCTTCCGGGTCATGTGGCCAGCATGACTAAGCCGCTTCTGGCGAACCAGAGCAGCGCACGGAAACGCCGTTTACCTTCCCGCCGGAGTGGTACCTATTTATCTACTTGCACTTTGACATGCTTTCGAACTGCTAGGTTGGCAGGAGCAGGGACCGAGCAACGGGAGCTCACCCCGTCGCGGGGATTCGAACCGCCGACCTTCTCACGCCAAGCCCTAGGCTCTGTGGTTTAACCCACAGCGCCACCCGCGTCCCATGGCTTCCTTATACTTGACAGTAAACCATTCTTATTTTTGCCGCGAAACACACCCAACAAGCGTCTAGCAACACGGCCCATGTCACTGACAAGGAAAGAGTCTGCAGCCTGATGAAAATGTGTCACGCCAATGAATAAATCAGCACCCGCCAGCAGACCCCGCCGGCGTAAGGCTCCGGAGATGGGCACAAGAGGCAAGCAGCAGGGAGATGTCAAGGAGACAGGAGGCTTTTAAGTCTGGGTGAAAGATAAAAAGCTGGAAGGGGGGTGGGAGAGAGCAGAAGGCCCTCCCTCCATACTTTGGGAAGGGAACTTTAATTAAAAGCAAGAGCCAGCCGAGCGGAGGAGGCGGCTGCCTTGCATACTCATCAGCTGGCTGTCACCCCGACGGCCCCGACACAGCCAAGGGTCTCCAGCGCACAGCTGGACGGGCTCGGCACGCAGCTAATTTCCTGCGAGGGGGGCTAGGAGAGGCATTCTTTGAGAGGCTTCAGAAGAGGGCGGCTCCTCGGCAGGCCCAATCCGCGTCCAGAGCAAGGAGGGCGAAAGGGGGGAACACGGCTCAGCGGCACAGCATCTGACTTGAGCCCAGAAGGTCCCAGGTTCAAGAACCCCAATGGCATTCTCTGGGAGAGACCCCCTGCCTGAAGCCCTGGAGAGCTGTTGCCTGTCAGCGTGGGTGATACTGAGTTAGAGAGGCAAAATGGTCTGCTTTGCTAAAAGGCAGCTTCTTCTGAAGGCAGCCCTGTTTGGGGAAGTTTTAATGTTTGATGTCTTTATCGTGCTTTTAATATTCTGTTGGGAGCCTCCCAGAGCAGCTGGGGAAACCCAGCCAGATGGGCAGGGTATAAATAATACATTATTATTATTATTATTACTACTACTGTCCCTAAGGGAGAGCAGTGCCCCTTCTCTTAGTAGAAGAGGCAGTGCTCAAGATGTAAGAAGTAAGCACACCAAGAACTCAGGCCAATGTAAGTTTCAATAGTGGGAGTGGTCCCTACTCACAAGTCAATAGTAACAAAAACTAATCCATTCAAAAGTACGTATTCCGACAAGAATTACAAACTCAAATAGAGATTACAAACTCAAACTCAAACTCAAAGATATGTATAACACAATAATTCGTTACAAATATTTTCTCTTTTTCAATTGACATTAATGTTGATCCTTATAATTTATCAGCTTGCAGATGGAGACTCAGTTTCAATCATAGAGCAGAAGTCAGAAGTCAATTATGGATTAGAGTTTATGAGTGTGAGTTTGTAATCTCTATTTGAGTTTGTAATTCTTGTCAGAATACATACAGCGGTACCTCGGGTTAAGTACTTAATTCGTTCCGGAGGTCCGTTCTTAACCTGAAACTGTTCTTAACCTGAAGCACCACTTTAGCTAATGGGGCCTCCTGCTGCCGCTGCACTGCCGGAGTGCAATTTCTGTTCTCATCCTGAAGCAAAGTTCTTAACCCGAGGTAATATTTCTGGGTTAGCAGAGTCTGTAACCTGAAGCGTCTGTAACCTGAAGTGTATGTAACCCGAGGTACCACTGTACTTTTGAATGGATTAGTTTTTGTTACTATTGACTTGTAAGTAGGAACCACTCCCACTATTGAAACTTACATTGGCCTGAGTTCTTGGTGTGATTTTCTTGGTATATTTAATAACAAGATGTAAGAAGAGTATGGACTGGTGGATCAGGCCAAAGTCCACCTATGGCCAGCATCCTGCTCTCACAGTGGCCGTCCAGAGGATGAGGAGGAGGAGGAGGATAACAACAACAACAACAACAACGTCTCAACAGCCTTATCTTCCAAGGTTGTGCCTAATCCTCTGTTCAAGCTGTTGGAATAGCTCAGTCGGCAGAACACGAGAGTCTCAATCTCAGGGTTGTGGGTTCAAGCTCCTCGTTGGACGAAAGATTCCTGCACTGCAAGGGGGCTGGACTAGATCACGGTACCCCAGACTTGGGACTACAGCTCCCATCATCCCTAGCTAGCAGGACCAGTGGTCAGGGGTGATGGGGAGTTGTAGTTCAAAAATAGATGGAGACCCAAGTTTGGGAAACCCTGGGCTAAGATGATCCTTGCAGTTCCTTCCAATGCTACAATTCTACGTTTCTGAGTCTGTGGCCATCCCATGACCAGATGCTGCCGCAGGAGTGCCGGCCACCAACTTTGATGACTCTTTTGGTTAGCAGACTAGGGCAGGGAGCTGAGTCAAAACCAGTCTGACTGAGACGTTCACTGCAGGAATTATACATCTACCTGCATAGAAATGCAAACATTTTGACTAATGGGCTTACACCGCATAATCTTCAATATCTCGGTTGCAGTGTTCCCAGGATCTGTTAAACCACTTTGGGAAGTGCACCTCTGGGCGGGCGTCTCCTAACCACTCTCAGCATCCTTAACAAACCACAGCTTCCAGGACTCTTTGCGGGGAAGCCGTGACTCTTCAACACAGTGTCCTAGTGTACAGTGGTACCTCGAGTTAAGAACTTAATTCGTTCTGGAGGTCCGTTCTTAACCTGAAACTGTTCTTAACCTGAGGTACCACTTTAGCTAACGGGGTTTTCCGCTGCCGCTACGCCACTGGCGCACGATTTCTGTTCTCATCCTGAAGCAAAGTTCTTAACCCCTAGGTACTTTTTCTGGATTAGTGGAGTCTGTAACCTGAAGCGTCTGTAACCCGAGGTACCGCTGTATTTGGTGTGGATGTGGGTGGCTGGCATCTTGCCAGTGCTGCTTCCAGCCACCGTCTAAACCAGTGTTTCCGAAACTTGTGTCTCCAGTTGTTGTTTTTTGGACTACAGTTCCCATCAGCCCTGACCACTTGGTCCTGTTAGCTAGGGATGATGGGAGTTGTAGTTGGGGGAAACAGCTGGAGACCCAAGTTGCAGAAAGCCTAGTCCAAGCATTTTTAGAGTATTGGTGTTTTTGTTGTTTTTTAAAAAAAGGAGAGGATAGGAAATTTGAGGTTCTGGGGCTCAACCCAACCCCAACCAGGCCCCTTCCCAGGGTGACCAAGAAGAAAGACATATGCAGAAACCCTAACTTCAGCGGCACAGTGGCGCCATCAGGGCAGCAGAAGGAGGAGCAGGGGTCCCAAATGCAACAGTGGGGCTGGACTATCACTTTTGAAGGAAGTGAAACAAAAGAAGGGAATCAGAAGCGGAAAGGTACCAATCCTGTCTCCCACCTCTCCCAGCCTTCTGGGCACAGGGTTGCATCCAACTAAAATATCTACTCATTGAGTAGGCCCATTGAAACCAATGGAGCTAAGTTAGTCATGTCTGTTGAGTTCCATGGGTCTGCTCTGAGTAGGACTGGCATAGGATACAGCCCCCTAAGGCATTTCAGAGCGAAAAACAAGGGCCCTTACCTTCTGCGCTTGAGCAGGCTCCGTGAGGATCAGCATGAAAAGGCCCAGGCATATCTCTTCGTGCTGAGGGGCTCCTTTGCACACCTGGAGGAGCAAGACCGGAAGGTTTATCTAACGGCAGGCCAAACCTCAGAGGGAAGGTGCAGGGAGAGGGAGGAAGGAATCTGTAGAGCAAGCAAGGACTCCCAAAGCAGCAATGATTTAAAATAAAATCAAGATGCTTTCAGAGTCCTTCCAAGCTGGCTTCAATTAAGGATGCCTGGAAGCAAATTGTTTATTTTTATTTATTTAAATTATTTTTTATTTGCTTTTCTGTTTGATGATATCATCAACACCTACTGTGTTACAATCAGACACAGGATAATAAGAGAGGGCGGAAATAACATAAATATAAGACATATGTATTTGAATAATAATTTATTTAATTCTCATAAACTTTAACTTTTACTCCCCTCCCATTCTTTCCTTGGTTTCCTATCTATCTTTTCAAATGCTATCTTTTCTTACTCCACTAAGTTGTTTTCATTACCTTACACTATCCCACTTTGCAACATCTACCGCCGAGTATTTTTCGTCAGCCTGTTGCGCTTATTTTCTTATTGTGATATTTTTCCCCATATAATCTAAATATATAATGTCTGTCTTCTTTCAAATTCTTATCATCTTTATTTCTTAATCTGTTTGTCATGCTGGCAAGTTCTATATATACTCTCGTATTTTAAGGTGCCAATCATTTATTTTATTTAAAGAAGTTGTAAACTGGAAATATTGTGGCGGCGGTACAAAAAAAAAGAGGAGAAATTAAAAACAGAACGGAAAGCTAAAACAGTTAAGAACGCGTTAAATCCATCTGTTAAAGCAGCAGGAACAATATTCAACCCTGAAAATAGTCCGGCTGAATTTTCATTATTTTAAATAAAAAGCCTTAAGGAGGCTCCGTAAAGAGTTTCTCCGTAAATAGCTTCCCCAATGGGAATCTCACAAGCAAGACCCAAGTGCAACGGCAGCGCTGCCTGCTTGCGATACCCAACAGAGGCACATCACAGTGGAAGAGGAACAAAGCCATTGTGGCTGAAAGCCACAGATGGCCTTCTTCTCCACCACGAACTTCTCCGATCTGGTAAGAACACAAGAGCCCTGCAGCTGCATCAGGTCAATGGCCCATCTAGTCCAACATCCTGTTGTCACAGGTTCGTCCCCCCAGTTGCAAGACCTGAGCACAGCAGCAGCAGCAGCAGCAGTTCTGCCCACTGGCGATTCCTGGCGACCCGTAGTCAGAGGCAGGCTCCCTTCGACAGCGGAGGCAGAGCACAGCCATCGAGGTTAGCAAATGCAGCCATCAGCCCCTCTTAGATGCAAGAGGCAGGGCTTTTGAGAACCCTCTGCAAGGTGACTCCAGCACTGAGATACTCACGTGAGCGTTCAGGGCGTCGTTGGCTTCCCTCTCGGAGACCCCGCCTGTCAGCGATGTTACGGTGCCCATGCATCTTTCGAGCCTCTGAAAAAAGGGATAAAGGAAAAAATGGGTGAAAGGTGTTGAAAAGGGTAAATGGAGAAGCCCAGGGGTTGACCAATGGTTTGTCATCCCAGGTGAGGGGGGGGGGAGAACAGCAGGGGCAGCCCTGTTTTCCTGATCATCTCTATCCTAACATCTAGATATAAATCCCTCTTTCTTATCCTTTCCCTTCACAAGGTTATTCCACACTCATCCAGATTTCTGTTCTCGAACCTTAACTTTTAAGGTATTCATTTAGGCACTCCCATTCTTTTTTTTACTTCACTTTTTGCTTTTTGTCTTATTACGTCTGTCAATTTGGCTAATTCTAAGTATTCTGAAAGCTTACATAAACACTCTCCCCTAGTGGGTAACTGATTCCCTTTCCAATATTTAGCCACCAGGATTCTTGCTGCAGACGTCGCATATAAGAAAAGTTTAGTTTTGTCTTTTGGAATATCATCATTTAAAATTATCCTAAAGGGAATGCCTCTGGCCTTTTACTATATGATATTCTTAGTATTTTATTTCTTCGTGGATCATGCTCCAAAATTTCCCAATTTTGGGGCATGTCCACCACATATGGTAGAAGGTTCCTTTTTGTTTCTTACAGACAGCTACTTCTGCTCACCTGGGGCAAGCAAAACTTGTCTCCAAGCAACCAGACAGGGAAGTTTCATTCAAAGTTAGTTCTTTTAGGCTGCTACAAATGATGAACACAGGGAGTTTTTTTTAATGTTTATGTTTTTTCAAGTATAAGGGAAGAGTTAAAGGGAAAAGAAGAAGTCCTAGACACACCCCATGGGAACAATTGCAAGAGATATTCAATAAAAAAATACTTATTAAAACATACGTTAAATAAGAGAATCTGTCCATAGCCTTCTTTGAGTTATGGTTATCATCATTATTAATTAAATTTGCATACTGCCCTTCATCTGAAGATCACAGGGCAGTTCACAACATAAAAATACAAAACAAGAACACAAAATACATTATAAAACAAAAGCAAACCACAAATTCCCTTCCCACAAACGCATAGAACGGTTCTGGAGAAACACCTCTGCCTGGTGCCTAAAGATATGGATGGGGAGAGCATTCCACAAATGGGGAGCCCACCCAGAGAAGGACCATTCTCATTTTAACGCGATCCGGTCCTCTCGGGGAGGAGCTAGACAAAGACCTCAGGTGATGATCACAGGTCAGGGTTGTTGCATATGGGGAGACGTGGTCCTTGAGCTATTGTTGTCCTGAGCCATTTAAGGCTTCATATGTCAGAGCCAGCACTTGATTTGGGTCTGGAAATTGTCATTTAGTGCGGTTGGACCAGGATTGGCATTTGCCACAGTGAGCAACCTGGCTGATGAATTCTGCACTGGTTGAAGTTTCCAAACTGTCTTCAGATGCGTCTTACCAGAGCAAAGAAAACAGAAGTTAAACAATCCCTCTCCAGATAAGCTGGGCCACCAACTGAAGCTCATGGAGGGCACTCAATGCCACTGAGGCCACCTGAGTCTCAAGCAACAGCAAAGGATCCAGGCTACGTACCCCCACTTTCAAAGGGAGTGTAACTCCATCAAGAGCAGGCAAGCTCCCACCCATGCAGTCTAGGGAACCACCCACTAACTGTGCCTCAGTTTTATCTGGACTGAGCTTCAGTTTGTTGGCTCTCATCCAGCCCATTACCGAGGCAGGACAATGGTCCAGCACCACTGCCTCACCTGCAGATATAAAGGAGAAGTAGAGCTGTGTGTCATCAGCATATTGCTGATGACAACATACTCCAAAGCTCAGCAGTTCCATGTGGATGTTAAACAGCACAGGAGATAAAACTGAACCCCACATTGAAAGCTCCACAGGGCTGAAGAACACTCCCCAAGCATCACCCTTTGGAAACGACCATCCAATAGGGCTTGAATCACCGTAAAGTGGTGCCACACAGCCCTATATTTCAGCCTCCCCAGAAATATACCATGGTCAATGAATGGTATTGGCAGCTGCTGAGAGGTCAAGGAAAATTAACCTACAATCCCACTGTCTCTCTCCCGACAGAGGTCACCATACAGAGAAACCAAAGCAGCTTCTGTGCCAAAACCAGGCCTAAACCCCAACTGAAATGGATCTAGGAAATCAGTTTCATCCTACAGTGCCTGGATCACCTGCTCAAGAACCTTGCCCAAGAAGGGGAGACTGGCAACTGGTCAGTAATTACTTAGATTTTCTGAATCCAGGGAGGGTTGGTTTCTTAAGGACTGATCTTCTCATTGCCTCCTCCAAGTCGGGAGAGGACCACCACCTCAGGCAAGGAGGAATTAATCATGTCCCTGGCCCAGCCAGCTATCCCTTCCCTGCCGGTTTTTATCAGCCAAAAGGGGTGAGAGTTCAGAGCGCAAGCGGTCGCCCTGACCAACTGAAGCACCTTGTCCACATCTTGAGCCTTACCAATCAAAACTCACTCAACAAGACCAGACAGTGCTTGAGACACCCTTGAGATTCATCTGCTGAAACAGCAGAGTCAAGGTCCCGGTGGATGCAAGCAATTTTAACCTCAAAGTGCTTTGCAAACAAGTCAAAGCCTTCGGGCCTGACTGTTAAAGGCCCCGCACCACCCGGAAAAGCTCTGCCAGACGGAACAATGAGGATACAACGGAGGCAGCAATAATAATAATAATAATGATGATGATAATTTATTTATACCCCGCCCATCTGGCTGGGTTTCCCCAGCCACTCTGGGCGGCTTCCAACAGAACACTAAAATACAATAACCTATTAAACATTAAAAGCTTCCCTAAACAGGGCTGCCTTCAGATGTCTTCTAAAAGTTTGGTAGTTCTTTTTCTCTTTGACATCTGATGGGAGGGCTTTCCATGGGGCAGGTGCCACTACCGAGAAGGTCCTCTGCCTGGTTCCCTGTAACTTGGCTTCTCATAGCGAGGGAACCGCCAGAAGGCCCTCAGTGCTGGACCTCAGTGTCCAGGCAGAACGATGCAGGTGGAGATGCTCCTTCAGGTATACTGGATGGAGCAAAGTACACCTTATTTGCTGCCTTGACTGACACTAGGTAGGCTCGATGGTGAGCCCTCACCAGTGTTTGATTACATTCAACCAGAGTTTTTCTCCAATTGCGTCCAAGCCGCCTCTCAGCTTGTTTCCTCCCTCTGAGCTCTGAAGTATACCAGGGAGCCAAGTGGGCTCCACAGAGAAGGAGAGGGGGCTCAGGCAGGATCGTGTCAACAGCATGAACCATCCAGATGTTCCACAAGTCAGCCAGGGCTTTTAAAGCAGCATCGGTCACATCAGCCGAGAAATCACCCAGGGCCGTCTGGAAACCCAATGGCTCCATCAGCCTCCAAGGGTGGACCATCCCCATAGGTTCCCCACCTCTGCAAAGGGAGAAAGGTGTTCAGAGCCAGAATCTCAACAGGAAGTGATCTGACCATGACAAGGGACTGATGCAAATATCCCCCCATTTTCAGATTACCCTCTTCCTGCCCAGCCAAGAAAACAAGTGTGACCTGCCACATGCGTTGGGCTGATGATGTGTTGGGATAGCCCCATGGTTGTCACGGCAGCCGTGAAGTCCTGAGCCACCCAGGAGCTAACTGCTTTGGCATGGATCTTGGAAGCCCCCCAACACCAGCAGTCTGGGAGTCCTCAACACCAGCTGTCAGCTCAGGCAGGCAGTAAACCAGCAGAATTGCCCTGGCTACCCAACACCAGGAACGAACACTCTGGACTCAGCTGGGCAGAGAGCGCGCAGAATCTCTACAGGGCTGCATCAACTACAGTCTGTTAGTTTGCCCGTTAAAGCGAATTCCCATAAAATGCTGCCCAGAAATGGACACAGTATTCGAGGTGGGAACTGACCAAGGCAGAAGAGACTAGTACTATTATTTTCCTTGCTCTGGAGACTCTACTTCTTCTGTTGATGCAGCCTTGTTTTTGCTCCCTGGGATGAAGAGGAAGCGACTCTAGTTTCCCAGCCCTTGTGATCTCAGCCATTGAGAATCAAGCCAGTTTCTCTATTGGGGGGTAGTGGGTTTGACAGGGAAAACACCACGTGCATGCCAAGAGCTAGAGACATATGTCATTTGTCACCCGCGTGTCTGTGTTGGGAATGGGGGGGGGGTTAGCAAATCCAAGGTCTTTCCCCATAGATCTTTTTCCTGCTGCTGGAAGGGCCTCATCAAAGCGCCCTTTGATGTCCCTAAGTTGTGACAGCTGAAATGAGAGAGGACACCCAAAGTCCCTGCCGTCTCCTCCTCAGGAGACCCCAGGGGCCGCTGTAATTTCAATGTGGCCCCTCCTCCGAGTCACACTTCCTAACATCCAGAGGCGGCTTTCATCCTTTCGAAGGGGGTGCGGAAAATTCTCACCAGGGACAGTAGGGCTGCTGGCTTTGTTGAAAAGGAGCAGCGAGCAAGTCTTCGCCTCCCACCCCAGCTGGTCAGCCTGCACACACACACACACACACAGGCCCATTAATATTGCAGAGAGTGTGCCCTGCATGTCGTGGTCAGAGCATGCAAGGAAAGGGGTCAGGGGCAGACCACGGGGTGACACCCCCCTCTGCGTGAGTGATGGTGTTTGCAAGCTTTTAAGTCGCTTCTATGTCCTATCTTGCCGCAACAGCGGTGCGCGACGAGGGAATGTTATTTGCAAAAAAGACCAGGAGGAACTAAGAAACACGAAACCTGATGCCACGCCTCTGGAAGGAGAACCTAGCCAGCCTGCTGTGGATTTGTCTAACCTTCCCTTAAAGCCTCACAAGTTAGCAGTGGCAGTGAATCCCACAGTTTAGTTATGGACTGTGTGTAGGAGGACTTTCTGTAATCTGCCGACACTCAGCTGCTAGTGCTATGAGAGAGACGAACTTTTCCCTATCAACTTTCTCCATGCGGTGTATAATTTTATAAGCGTCTATCATGTGACATACGCATTGTTTCGAATGTAGAATTGCAAGGAGAACCCTGCAGCTGGGAGTCAGCCAAAGGCCCATCTAGTCCAGCATCCTGTTATCACAGTGGCCAACCAGGTGCTGTGATGGAAAGCAATACCGAAGTTATCCTCACCTGTGATTGGTACTGAAAGGTATACTGCCTCTGACAGGGGAGGAAAAGCACAGCCACTGTGGCAGAAAACTCTGATCTAGTCTGGCATCCTGTTCCCACAGTGTCAAGCCGGACACTTCTGCAGAGAGTTCCCTGGGAAGGGGGATTGATTTTTAAGCCATTGTGAATTGTAGGTCGGGGGGGGGGGGATAAGGGTCTTGTAACAACTCTCAGCGCACTTAACTACAACTCCCAGAAGTCCTTAAGGGAAGGCACAACTGTTGAAAGTGGTATCATCCCAGCACTTTAAATGGATGGTCTGAATGCAGCCTAGGTTCCGCTCAGTCGACCCATTGAAATGAATGGACATGACTAACTTAGGTCTATTAATTTCAATGAAGTCATGTCCATTCATTTCAATGAACCTATCCACACTGAGCAGAACAATGGTCACATTTTAAGCGCCATGATACCATTTTAAACAGCCATGGTTTCGCCCAAAGAATTATGGAAGGTGCGGTTTGTTAAGGGTGCTGAAAGGAGACCCCTGTTCCTCTCCCAGAGCTACAGTTCCCATAGTTCCCCGTGAAGAGGGATTGACTGTTAAACCACTCTGAGAACTGTAGTTCTGGAGGGGGAATAAGGGTCTCGTAACAACTCTTGGCGGCCTTGACAAACTACAGCTCCCAGAATTCCTTGGGGGAACCTGTGACGGTTTATAAAGTGGTGCTTTATCTGCATGGAGGGACGCGGGTGGTGCTGTGGGTTAAACTACAGAGCCTAGGACTTGCCGATCAGAAGGTCGGCGGTTTGAATCCCCGAGACGAGGTGAGCTCCCATTGCTCGGTCCCTGCTCCTGCCAACCTAGCAGTTCGAAAGCACAAACTACAAGTAGATAAATAGGTACCACTCCAGCAGGAAGGTTTGCCAGAAGTGGCTTAGTCATGCTGGCCACATGACCCGGAAGCTGTACGCCGGCTCCCTCGGCCAATAAAGCAAGATGAGCGCCGCAACCCCAGAGTCAGCCACAACTGGACCTAATGGTCAGGGGTCCCTTTACCTTTACCTATCTGCATGGGGTGAATGTGGCCTATGACTCCCCCTGATGCTGGCCACTGGGGGCTGCAGTCCCACAGCTCCTGGAGGGCTGGAGCTTCCCTGATCCTTACGCTTTCTCCAGTCAGCACACACTCATGGCAAGCCTTTGGTGGTCTCCATGCCTCCATCCCCAAGCTGTGCAAAGGGGAATGCTTCCTTGGTGACGTTTCAAGGTTCCATCCCTCTGAAGTTCCAAGAGCCTTGACGTTTCCGTCTATCTCCACAAGCCAGCCCAAGGCCAAGCTGACATCCTTTTAGGAAAGCTGCGCTGAGATTCTGGAGGTGGCATTTATGCCCCTTGAGTCAGGGCCAGGAGAATTCCAGGGGGAGAGAAAGAGAGCGAGAGAGATAAAATACCCCACCTCCCTTTGAAGACCACGTTTTGATCACTCCACACCACACGGCAGATTTTCAAGGAGCCTTTGGGCCACGGCTGTTTCAGAGGCATCTGTTTTTCATTCGCGCCAAGTTATTAACGCACCGGGTCCAGGAAGGTCAAGAAGAGACCAGAGCTTCCTTGAGTCTTGTCACCCAAAGGAAGCGATAGACAGGAGTGGATAACTGGGGAAAAGCTGCAGCTGGGTGGGTAGAGCAAATGGTTTGCACGCAGAGCCTCCCAGGACCAGCCAACAGCAGTTCCAAACCCAGCTGGGAGAAAAACTGGAGAGCCACTGCCAGCCACTGCAGGAAGTACTGAGCTAGATGGACCAACAGTCTGATTCAACATAAGGCAGCTTTCCATGTGCTAGACCTGGCCATAGTTTGAGGGTGAGAGAATGTGAGCTGATGTGGAAAGATAAGCCTCTGGGCCTCCTCCTCCAACCCATTCCATTATCACAGGTCTCTAGCCTGGGGTGGCAGCCAGGACAGCTGGATTCTGCACACAAGAACCACCTTCCTGGATCTGACCAGAGGCCCATCTAGTCCAGCATTCAGTTTCCACCAACCATACGTCTCTGGGAAGCCCACCAGAAGGACATCATAATCATCATCAAATTTCTTATACCCCTCACATCTGACTGGGTCGCCCCAGCCACTCTGGATGGCTTCCAACAAAAATACGTGCGGGGAAAAGGGGAAAGTAACAACAACAACATCAAACATTGAAAGCTTCCCAAAACAGGGCTGCCTTCAGATTATGTAGAAAAAATTATATAACTCTTTGACATCTGCTGGGAGGACATTCCACAGGGCGGGTGTGACTACCGAGAAGGCCCTCTGCCTCGTTCCCTGTAACTTTGCTTCTCGCAGTGAGGGAACCGCCAGAAGGCCCTCGGAGCTGGACCTCAGTGTCCGGGCTGAACAATGGGGGTGGAGACGCTCCTTCAGGTATACAGGGCCTCTTGGGGCTTTAAAGGGGAGCACCAACACTTTGAATTTTGCATCCTGGATTAGTTGTAGTTTCCCAGTCACCTTCAAAGGTAGCCCCACGTAGAGCGCATTGCAGTAGTCCAAGCGGGAGATAACGAGAGCATGCACCACTCTGGCAAGCCAGTCCACAGGCAGGTGGGGTCTCAACCTGCGTACCAGATGGAGCAGGTAGACAGGTGCCCTGGACACAGAATTGACCTGCACCTCCATGGACAGCTGTAAGTCTAAAATGACTCCCAGGCTGCGCACCTGGTCCTTCAGGGGCACAGTTACCCCATTCAGGACCAGGGAGTCCCCCCCACCCGCCCCGCCCCCTGTTCCCCCCAAAAAGTACTTCTGTCTTGTCAGGATTCAATCTCAATCTGTTAGCTGCCATCCATCCTCCAACCACCTCCAGGCACTCACACAGGACCTTCACCGCTTTCACTGGTTCTGATTTATATGAGAAACAAAGCTGGGTACCATCCAAATCTTGATGGATACCCAGTCCAAACCCCCTGGTGATTGCTCCCAGTGGTTTCATATAGATCAGGCTTCCTCAACCTCAGCCCTCCAGATGTTTTGAGACTACAATTCCCATCATCCCTGACCACTGGTCCTGCTAGCTAGGGATCATGGGAGTTGTAGGCCAAAAACATCTGGAGGGCCGAGGTTGAGGAAACCCGATATAGATGTTTAAATGCATGGGGGAGAGGACGGAGCCCTGAGGCAACCCACAAGGGGTCTGAATACTCATCCCCGACACCACTTCTTGGACACAGCCCAGGAGGAAGGAGCAGAACCACCGTATAACAGTGCCCCAATATGCTGTGGGCTGGACAGGGCAGATGTCCAAGGCCGTTCGATTCAGCACACTGAAGTCAGACACAGAAGTGGGTGGGAATACAGAACCACTACACTCAGGCCTCCCCTGAGCTAATCTCCGAGTCCCAGACTCAAAACATTTGTTCTGGCAAGCTGGCCTCCACTTAACGTCACCGCTTGTGACATTCAGTTGGCACAGTGGTTAGTAACACACACGCCCTTACTTGGCGACACCACCAGCCTGAGCCCACCCACCCTAAACCATATTCCCACCCCCCAAATCAAGATATCACAGGTACAACCAATCACTCCTGAGGCCTGGTATTCTACATGGAAGAAAGTCACGGTGGTGACATGGCCCTTTCTGGCCTAACCTACTTCGCAAGGTCGCTGTACACACAAGCCAGCCTTGCAGTTAAGTCCGGGACATTTATGAGCAAACGGACCCCTAGCCCTCGCGGAAAAGCAACAGCAGAGGTTCTGGCAAATTAAGTGGCTTGAATTGCATCATTTTCCATGTTTGTCAATCTTGTTACTATTTTAGGAACGAAATGTGTTGTACTGTACCCTGGGTTTGTTTTTGTTTTTTTAAAAATTAACAAAAAATAATTCAGGACCATGAGACAAACAATCCTCCCTCTCCAAAAGGTTGTACAATACTTTTTTTAAAAAAACCCTTTCTTATACAGCAATACTGCAGTGAGAGCCCTGCAGGATCAGGCCAAAGGCCCATCTAGTCCAGCATCCTGTTCTGACAGTGGCTAAGCAGAGAGACCTAAGCACAAGCCTCTAGCTGTGGAGGCAAAGCATAGCAATCCTGGCTAGTAGCCACTGACAGTCTTATCCCCCACGAATTTATCTAATCCGCTTTTAAAGTGGCTGGGGAAACCCAGCCAGATGGGCAGGGTATAAATAAATAATTATTATTATTATTATTATTATTATTATTATTATTATTATTATTATTATCATGTTTCCTATTTCCCTAAATATTTTGTAGGGAAGGGCCGCAGCTCAGCGTCAGAACATCTGCTTTGAATGCAGAAGGTTCCAGCTTCAATCCCCAGCATCTTCCAGGAGGCCCGACAGACAGACCCTGTTATAAAACCCCTGGAGAGCAGCTGCCAGTCCGCATAGGCCGTTCTGAGCTAAATGGACCGGTGGTCTGACTCTGTAATAAGGCAGCTTCCCACGTTCCTCCTCCAATAACTTGTGCCCAGTGTTAGAAACTCAGATATATCAGCTAAGTACCGAATGGCACCTTCAACCTAGGAATGCCTAGGCACCATTTTTCTTCCAGAGGAGTTTATTCTAATTCTTATTATTAACTTCATTTATATACAGTGGTACCTTGGGTTACATACGCTTCAGGTTACATACACTTCAGGTTACAGACTCCGCTAACCCAGAAATATTACCTCAGGTTAAGAACTTTGCTTCAGGATGAGAACAGAAATTGTGTTCCGGCAGTGCGGTGGCAACTGGAGGCCCCATTAGCTAAAGTGGTGCTTCAGGTTAAGAACAGTTTCAGGTTAAGTACAGACCTCCGGAATGAATTAAGTACTTAACCTGAGGTACCACTGTAGCGCTTTCTATTTTAAAGGGAGGGGGGGAAATCTCATAGCGGTTTCACAACACATTGAAACACCAAATAAAACAAATTCAAGCTTCAAGGAAAGTATTTCAGATCCTTCCCTATGTGGCATATTGCTTTCCCCATATTTATTTACCTACCGTATTTTTCTGTGTATAAGACTAGATTTCCTCCAAAAAAAATTAGGTATAAAATTGGTCTTATACTTGGGTAGCGCTGAGAGGTGTTTTCTTAATTTGGTGTCCCCCTAAATAGGGGACGTCTTATACATGGGGGCGTCTTATACACGGAAAAATACGGTACTTCATTTATACAGCTGCCCCATAGCATAAGGACTCTAGGTGTGTGGTGTAATGGTTAGAGTGCCGGACTAGGACCTGGGAGGCCAGGGTTCAAATCCCCGATCAGCCATGAAGCTCACTGGGTGACCTTGAAGTCAGTCCCAGCCTCCTTTTTACCTACCTCACAGGGTTGTTGTAGGGATTAACTGAGGCGGGGGGTGAACCATGGGTGGGAGATCAATGCAACAGACAAGCTCTTCTCCTCACCAGCTTAAGAAAGCTGGAGGGGCCAGCCAGATGGAGATGTCAGTCACCCAAAGATCTCCATGTGGTTGCAATTGGACCTGCGCCTGTCGCAAATCGCACCTGGCTGATTTCTTAAATTTCTTGCGACACCGCCAAGATCAACTGCAGTCTACCGGGGGCTCAAGGCACCTCCTGGTTTTCCTGCCTGCCGGTGCAAAAGGGGGGCTGTCCATCACCCGGCAAAACGGAACACAGCCAATGGCTGCTGTTCTGCCTTTGGCTTGGCAGGTCACATCACTGCTGGCCTAGCACGGGGGTCTCTGGGCCTGCCTCTCCCTCTCTGCACTCCTGCTGCCTGGCTCAGCGAGGAATATTCAATGGCACATTGAGAGGAGGGCCCCTGCACACTAGAGAAGCATAACAGATCTGGCTCGTGACGGCGTTGTCAGGAAGAATAAAACTGGCCACACAAGTACCGCTACCAAAGACAGCACAAATCCAAGACTCTGCCGCCCTGTGACTTTTTGCATGCTTTTCCTCACCGCTGAACTTTCAGGTGATAATTGATTCGTACATAAGAGGTGCTGAGGGTGTCCAACAGCGGCCAAGACACCTCTGATTGCATTTCCTAGCAGAGATGCCTTTACTGGGAAGGAAGTCTGAGAAATGCTTTACCAGGAAATGTTCCCAAGGAGGTAAATTGTTAACCGAGACACATGCTGCACCCCTTATGGACACTGCACCTGGGGGAGGGGGGTAAGGTGGCCCAACGCTGGATCTGGGCCCAGGAAACATGGCAACGCGGAAAGGATTCTGAGCATGTGCAGGTGGCTGAATTGGTCTCAGGGGCACTAATTCTGTACACTTGACAGATGCACAGACTAGTTGCATAGAAGTCATGCACTGCCTATGATCACACACGGGGCTAAACCATAGTTAAAGGCAGTAAACTCCCCATGATATTCTTGTGGAAAAGCTGGTAAAATGTGGACTGGGCAAGATGGATTTGTAGCTGGTTGACTGACAGAACCCAAACAGAACCCTGGGTGCCACAGGGTTGTGTTCTGGGCTCGTTGTTGTTTGACGGTTTTATAAATGACTTGGATGAAATGTGTGCATTTGTGTGTGTGTGCATGTGTACATGTGCATACACACGTACATACACGTATACCTTTAGGATTCAATACGACCTTGCAGAACTGGGCCAAAACTAACACAATGAATTTCAAGAGGGACAAATGTCAGGTTCTGCACTTAGGCAGGAAGAACCAGCTGGACAAATCTAAGATGGCGGACACCTGGCTTGCCAGTAGCACACGTGAAAAGGATCCAGGGGTTTTAGTAGCCCACAAGCCGGACATGAGTCAACAGTGTGATGCAGCAGCAAAAAAAAGGCTAATGCTATTCTAGGCTACACCAACAGAAGTATAGCATCCCAATCAAAGGTAGTCATATTACTGCTCTGTTCTGCCTTGGTCAGGCCACAGCTGAAGCCCTGCGCCCAGTTCTGAGCACCACAATTTAAGAAGGATATTGACAAGCTGGAATGTGTGTGGACCAAGGAGGGCAACTAAGATGGTCAAGGGTGTGGAAATTAAGCCTTATTAGAAACAGGGAGTTGGGTATGCTTAGCCTGGAAGAGACTGAGAAGAGCTTTGATAGCCATCTTCAGATCTCTAAAGGGCTGCCACAGGGAGATGGGGCAAACATGTTTTCTCCTGCTCCAGAGGGTAGGATCAGAACCAATGGATTTAAGTTACGAGAAAGGAGATTCCAGCTGTACATCAGGAAGCACTTTCTGATGGTAAGAGCTGTTCGAAAGTGGAACGGACACATTAGAAGGTGAGGGACTCTCCTTCCTTGGAGGTTTTTAAGCAGAGGGTGGGTGGCCATGTGTCATGGATGCTTTAGCTGTCCTGCATTACAGAGGGTTGGACTAGATGACCCTAGGGGTCCCAACTCTACAATTCTAGGCCTATAAACAAACCATGGCTAAAGTGCTGGGCTAGCAAATTATGCAAAACCAAGATTCATTAACTAAGGTTCACTGAAACCATGGTTAAATGTTATGAGCAAACCAGGCCACTATCCCTGACATTGGTGAGGGCAGGGATGAACAGGAGAAGAACCCAGCTGGATCAGACCAAAGGCCCAGTGAGGTCGGCATCCTGTTCTTACAGTGGCCAACCAGATGTCTGTGGGAAGCCTGAAAACAGGACCCGAAAACAGGACCTGCAAGCAACACCGGCACATTGTCTCTGATAGTGGAGGGAGAACAGAGTCACCGTGGCCAGAAGCCACAGAAAGCCTTATCCTCAATGCATTTGTTTAACGCCCTTCTAAAGCCATCCAAATTGATGGCCATCGCTACATCTTTTGGGAGGAAATTCCACAGTCTGAACATGCATTGTGTATAGTTGTAATTTATTCTGTCGGTTCTGAATCTTCTAGCACTCAGTTTCATCGGATGACCCTGGGTGCTACTGTTATGAGGAAGAATCTCCCTCCACATGAAGCAGAATCTTATACACCTCTATCAAGGCCTCTGCTACTTGCCTTTCCCTGCTCCCCTAAACATAAGAAACAAGATTTAATCTTTTGTAGAGGAGTTCCTGCAACCACTGGATCATTCTGAACACAGAAAATAGCCATCGTGGCTAGTAACCACAGGCAGCCTTAAAGGTAAAGGGACCCCTGACTATTAGGTCCAGTCGTGACCGACTCTGGGGTTGCGGTGCTCATCTCGCTTTATAAGCCAAGGGAGCCGGCGTACAGCTTCCGGGTCATGTGGCCAGCATGACTAAGCCGCTTCTGGCGAACCAAGGCAGTGCACAGAAACGCTGTTTACCTTCCCACCAGAACGGTACCTATTTATCTACTTGCACTTCGTGCTTTTGAACTGCTAGGTTGGCAGGAGCAGGGACTGAGCAATGGGAGCTCACCCCATTGCTGGGATTCGAACCGCTGACCTTCTGATCGGCAAGCCCTAGGCTCTGTGGTTTAACCCACAGCGCCACCTGCGTCCCATACAGGCAGCCTTAGCCTCCATTAATTTGTCCAATCCTGTCTTAAAACCATCCAAGCTGGTGGCCATGACTACCTCTTGTGTGAGTGAGTTCCATAGCTGAACTATGGCACTGTGTGAAGATGTCCTTCCTTTCATCTGTCCTCAATCTTCCCACATTCAGCTCCACTGAGTGTTCACAAGTTCTAGAGTTGTTATGGGAGAAGGCCAGAACTTTTTCTCTATGCATTTTCTCCAAACCATGCAAACTGTTATAAACTTCTAGCACCTCTTACTCACCTTTTGTCTAAACTAAAAAAAGCCCCAAACACCGCAACATTGATCATTTTGGCCGCACTTCTCTGAACCCTTTGCAACTCCATAATATCCTTTCTGACTTGTCCCAAACTGCACACAATATTCCAAGAGCAGTCACACCATAGACTTGGAACGACGGCATCTGTGTAGCGGCAACTTTCTTCTCAACCTCTTTCCTAACAATCCCTAACATGGAATTTGCCTTTCCTACAGCTGACGCACACTGGGTCAACATCTCCACTGAGCTACCGTCAAGGACCCAGCTCTGCGATTCTTCAATTCTATGACCCATTCCTGGCACCGGGAGCAATCCTCAGGCAGTGCAGAGGCTACGAAGCCCAGTGGAAAAAGTATTGCAGCCACGCAAAGGCGCGGGCCACATCAACTTTCCAAACAAGTCCCTGCAAGTTACCAAGCCAGAAAAAAAGCCACCAGGCCATTTTTGTAAGCCACTCTGGGCACAGCAACCTCAGCTCACCAGCTAAGAGTGGAAGCTGGCCTATCAGGGCAAATGGGGCACTGACCGCAGTCATTCCCCACCTGCCTGTGGTCTGACATATATCACCAGTAAGGGGGCAGCTCTGGCCATCATTGTCTCGACTCCTGGTCTCTCTCACTTCTGCCCCACCAGTCCCATAGGAAATCTGCCACCGCTGCTAGGCAGCCCTCAGAGAAGCTGCTGCAGCCTCACTCTTCCCAACTCTGAAATGGGAACTATATTCCCCCTATTGCACTGAGGAACCGGCAGACTCAGAAAGCAGCCTGCAGACCTCTCAGCACTTTGTCAATGTTAATTATAGCCACAGTCCCCAAACCCAGGAAATAACCCACAAGAGCTCCATAACTTATGGTTACCGAAGAGCACATTCTGCATTCCGCCAGCCAGATGCCGTCAGGCCACATGGGAAGAGCTTGCTGGGTCAGGCCAATGGCCCATACTGGACTAGGTGGGTCACTGGCCTGACCCGGGAGCCTCTTCTTATAGATACAGCATCCTGTTATCAGAGCGGCCACCCAGGCGCTGCTGGGAAACCCACGATAGGGACACAAATACAAGAGTGCTCACACCTGCCATGATGTCCAGCATGGGATATTCAGAAACGAAACTGCCTCCGACTATGGAGACTGTTGCATAGCCATGGTGGCTAGTAGTCATGAACTGGTCGAGGCTTAAAAAAAGCACAATTAGGAAGACAAATGCAACTTTCTATGTCACTTGCCTGGTGCTGGGCCTAGGAAGACAAACACCTCTTGTTGCTCCAGAGGCATAGCAGGCCCACTTTTTATTTTAAAAATTATTATTTGTATGCCTTCTAAGGAGAAGCACTGTCCCACACAGTCACCCACACCCTCCCTTCACCTTCACCCCCCGGGCACCTACCTCCTCTAACTCATCCTTGGCATCCAAGCTGGTGTAGATCAGCAATTTCCCTCCACCTCCTCCTCCTGTGGTTGCTGCACCCCCTTTCCCCTTCTCCATAGCAGGTGGGGGTGGGGTGGGGAAGACACCCCCTTGCTCCCTCTCTCTCTCTCTCCCTTACCAAAGTGGGGCGGGGGGTGAGATCAATGGGGAAGCCCCACACTCACCCCCCCTGGACTTTCCTCAGTGCCCTATTTGGAGGCAGGGGGAGAGAAACAGATGTGGGGAGGGGGGCTAAGGGGCAGGGGGATTAGCTATGGGGCAGGTGGAACTGACTCTCTATTTAAAGTCACCACCACAACACACAACCTGTGATAGGTGCCCCACTATTTAAGGGGAGCACTTTGTGGGGGGTGAGGAGTGGGGGGGACCTTTAAGTCTCCCCCCCCCAAAAAAACCTATTGTGGGGAGTGGGGGATCCCTGCAGCTCCAAATTTGGAGGGGATACTTTTGCTTGACCAATGAAACTCTAAAGGGGAAAAAGTGGTCAGACTTGAGTGGGGGTTAAGTGGGGAGGTGAGTTGGGGGGGGCCCTCTCCTAGCTCTGAGGGGCGGGGCATAAGGAGTGGGAGGGGGTCTTCTGGGGGCGGGGCTTGAGTCCCAGGGGCGGGGCTTGGGGCAGCTAAGGGTGGAGGCGAGGGGTGACACTCTTTTTATAGGCGTGTCTCTCTTTCAGGGACAAATTTTAAAAAATAAAAAGGTGAGGGGGGGATATATATAGAGATAGGGGTGGGGGGGGGAGTCTCTGCTCCGGTGGGGGGTAGGGAGGGGGGAGCGTGCGCGCCTCCTCGCCCCCCACCACCCAGCCGCACAAGACCGGAAGTCGGTGCTTTGGGATGAGCGAGTGTGTGAAGGGAACGGGCGGAGGAAGAAGCGCAGCCCTCCAGCACAACCGGAAGGGCCCGCCTCTCCTCCTGCCTCGTCTTCGCTCTCGGCCTATCAGGGGCCAGGGAGGCCGGTGAGTGGCAGGAGCCGTCCCAGCGGGCCAATGATTGGGAGTTCGGGCGGGGAGGAGGAGGAGGAGGGAAGGCTTGGAGTCCGGCCCCAACCTCTCAGCGGAGGAAAGACTTAGTAAAAAAGGGCAAAGTGACACGGCTGCTTGTCGCTTCCGGGTTGGCTTCTTGCGAGGCCTCCTGGTTCAAAGGCTCTTGTTCGGGGGTGGGGAGGAGCAGAAGTAAGCGCTCTGTTCATTGGGTGGGAGAATGGCAGGGCAATGGTAGCCTGGCTGCTATTGGGCAGCAGCAACCGAGTTTACTTCTGGCCCCGCCTTTCCACAAGCCAAGGAATTGGTTTTTCTCTTTTAGGATGTCCTGCCTCTTACTCGGAGTAGGCCCACTGAAGAAAATGGATTTATGCAGGCCCACACCTTTCGCTTCAAACACCCCTTCCAAAAAAGAACCGTAGTTTACCACCCACAGAGCTACAATTCCCAGCACCCTTAAAAAACTATAGTTCCCAGGATTACCTGGAGGAAATAATGCCCTTTTAAAAGGATGGGGGGGTGAAATTAAAGCACCACAATGATGCTTTAAACAAGCATGGCTTCCTCTGAAAGAGTCCCAGGCACCATGGTTTCATTGAGGGTGCTGGGAATTGTAGCTTTGTTGTGGGCAAACTACAGTTCCCTGGACTCTTGGGGAAGCTGCGCTTTAAATGTACATAGCGGAGCAAACCCATGGAAACCAATAGACCAAAGTTAGTCATGCCCATTGACTTCAGCTCTTGAGGTCTGATAGCTGATGTTAGCTATCGCCTTATTCTGTTCTCATGCTACAAGACAGCGATGACCATTCATGTGCCAAAGAAAGAAAGGGAAGGTACAGACATTTAAATAAATAAATAAGTGGGGGTTTATTTACGTGCTACTGAAACATAATTTGAGGTGGTTTTCGCTTTGAAACTTTAGGATAATTGCCCTGAAGGTTCGAATCCCCGCGACGGGGTGAGCTCCCGTTTCCCGGTCCCTGCTCCTTCCAACCTAGCAGTTCAAAAGCACAAAGTGCAAGTAGATAAATAGGTACCACTCCGGCGGGAAGGTAAACGGCGTTTCCGTGCGCTGCTCTGGTTCTCCAGAAGCGGCTTAGTCATGCTGGCCACATGACCTGGAAGCTGTACGCCGGCTCCCTCGGCCAGTAAAGCGAGATGAGCGCCACAACCCCAGAGTTGGTCACGACTGGACCTAATGGTCAGGGGTCCCTTTAATAGGTTCAAAGTGGAAGGCGCCAAAGAGAGAGAGAGAGACGACAGCCTGGCAGGGTAGTCCCCACATGGTTAATATTGCAGTTACAGGTGAGGCTGAGACAATAACCCTGGCGTGTACTCCAGTCATGCTTCCTCATTCATATACGATACGAGGGAGAGACTTACAACAACTTTGCTGTGTATTCCCCAAAGTTGCAGCACAATCCTTTCCATGCCTACTCCGGAGTTCAGCCCCACTGAGTTCAATGAGGCCTACCTTGCAGGACTGTCGTTATATAGAATCATAGAATCTTAGAGCTGGAAGGGAGCCAAGGGTCATCTAGTCCAACCCCCTGCAATGCAGGAATCTCAGCTAAAGTATCCGTGACGGATGGCTATCTAACCTCTGCTTAAAAGGTCCACCACCTCTGAAGGGAGATGATGTTTAAAAGTCTAGCTTGGGCAGCATTTTAAAATAGGGCAATGGGCATTATTATGCACGCAATATATACACCCAATATCTGCCCAATTTAGTGTAGATTGGACGGCTTGGAAATTCTGCCCCATGCAAAAAATAAATCCGCTTTTCTGACTGCAGTAGTATTTAGCCAGAAGAAAATCCACAGCGAACCCGGAAGCTAGAACGCGAGGACTTGTGTATTCGAGTCTTCAGTTTCTTAAGTCTATATGGGGAAAAGGGGAAAGGAAGGGTGGGAGCGGCGCGAGGCAAAGCAGCCCAACGGCAGCGCGACTCGAGGCCTAAGGCGCTCTTGGCGTCCCTCCCGTCTTGCGCAGGCGCAATGGTAGCTCGCCCTCAGCGGCCCTCCTCCCGCTCTTGCTTCTGGACGGGCTTCGGGCAGCGAGGCGCTCACCCCGTCGCAGTGCTCCCTCGCGCATGCGCCCTCCGCATCTTGAGTCGGCGGCTTGGTTTTCCCGCGCTGTCCGACGAAGGCCCCTCCCTCCCCGCCTCTTCCTCTGAGGGCGCCCGTTGGGCCTCGTCGTCCTCCTCGGCCTTTTTTATAAGTACTCCAAAGTAACTCCCCACGAACACAAAGAGTGCCGTGCGTGCTTACTCCCGAGTAAGTTGCGCTCGGAGGTCACAGGTGTGAGGAAACGTTTGGCCGCCTGGTTGTTTCTCAACTACAACTCCCATCAGCCCCCGCGAGCGTGACCAATGGCAAGGGATGATGGGAGATGTAGTTCTGCGACGCCTGGAGGGTCAAAGTTTCTCCACGCCTGACAGTTGACATCTTTTTATTTTATTTATTTCACAATATTCACATCCTGCCTGATTCTTTTTTAAAAAAACCCAACACACACACCTCAAAGTGGTTTGCAGAAAGAATAAAACAATAAAATTATAATAATAAAAACATTCAGAAAATTAAAAACCAGCAATGAGCTAAAAACAACACATTAGCATTGCAGATATTTAGGTAGGCTTGTGCTTGCCTAAACAAAAATGTTTTTTGCAGGTACCGAAAAGAATACAGTGAAGTTGCCTGCCTGGTGTCAATAGGCAGGGAGTTCCAAAGTGTAGACTCCACCACACTAAAAGACTGGATTCTTACCGATGCAGAATAGGTATGTGGAACAACGCCAGGAAGATGGCCGACAATAACATCTCTCTGACCCATACGAGGTAATTAAGAGGCGATTCTTCACACAGCTCTTGTTTATTCAGAGGCCAGAACTGAACTGAACTGAAGGGTTCAGCCAGCCTGCTTATATAGAGCTCCACTACAACGCAACAGTAACAACTTTCTGTAACTATCCAATCACTTTCAACTCCTTATTTGCATATGTGGACCTGAGTGAAAACTATCTACAGTATCCCCTTGCTGGCCCAGGGTGAGAACTTCAGTACATAACAGGCATGCCATGGGGCAAGGCGATCTTGCAAGTTGTAAAGGGGTTTGTGTACTAATGGTAACACCTTGAACTTGCCCCGGTTGCAAAACTCCAAGCAGTGCAGATCTCTGAGCAGAGGTTTTAGATCCTGACAAGGTTCCTCGCTCCGGTCAGCAATCATGCCACAGCGTTCTGCCCTAGCTGCAGCTTCCGTATCAAGCACAAGGGAAGCCCCACATAGAGCGCATTGCAATAATCCAGTCTTGAAGCAACCATAATTTAATAGCAACAAAAAATATATACTGTATATAGCTCAGAGACAGCTTCTGGTTATAGGCGTATAATGCAGATTTTCATCATCACAATTTTTCGAAGCAAACTAACAAATGGTGTACTAAATTACCATGAAATGTGGTATGACTTTCTTACAGATCTCATTATATTAAAGAAATTACATAATGTAACTGCGTACTGAATACAGACAACAATGGCAATAAAGGGCAATCATCACGCCTTGTTCCTCTTTAAATTTTGTTGGCATACACTAGAATCACAGAATTGTAGAGTCATCTATTTCAAACTCCTGCAATGCGGGACTCTTAGCTGAAGAATCCCTGACAGGTGAGCATCCGAACTCTCTTTAAAAACCTCCAAGGAGGTTTTTCACAGCTGAACAGCTCTAACCCTCAGAAAGTTCTTGCCAACGTTTAGTCGGAATCTCCATCCCTGCCATTTGAATCCAATGATTTGAGTTCTACTCTCTGGAGCAGCTGAAAGCAAGCTTGCTCCACCATCCATGTGACAGATCTTCATATATCTGAAGTTAGCCATTGTATCATTTCATAGTCTTCTCCAGGCCAGAACACCGTGTTGGAATAAAGCAAGCATATCAACCCATTTTTCAAAAGCACCTCCTAAATATTCTTGGTAAAAAAAAATCTGATTCTGTCAAAGGCTTTCTCTGCACCTAAAAAGAGGAAGATTGGACAGTCCCCACCACCCCATTTTGGGCATATCTCAATACAATCTGTAGCTTTCCTGATATGCTGATCGTCGTTTTCCGTTCCTTATAAAGCCTTTTGGTCTCGTTCTACATATCTCTGGGTTTATTTAGCCTCTTTGCTAATATAGCGCTCCATATTTCTGTATCCCGGTTTACTGGGGAGATTGGCCTACGAGGCCGTGGGATTGTCATAACTTTTCCTGCCTTTGAAAGCACCTTTACGACTGCCTCTGACCACAGCATGGGCAGTTTTCCCAATTTGCAAGGACTCATTTATCATCCTTCCATAGCATGCTATAATTTTGTCTGAGACCGTTATATAAAACTCAGCCGCCACCCCGATTGACATATTTCTGTCTCTAATTCAAACCACATTCGTGGCTTAAAAGCCAAACAGAAAACGAGATGTCGAATAAGCGAGGTGTTTCCTTCAAGGAGCTCCAAGTGGTATATGCCTTTCCTCTTTTATCTTCACAACAATCCTTTAAGGGAGTTTAGGAGTGCCTGTGTGCCTGGGTTTCATACAGTGGTACCTCGGGTTAAGTACTTAATTCGTTCCAGAGGTCCGTTCTTAACTTGAAACTGTTCTTAACCTGAAGCACCACTTTAGCTAATGGGGCCTCCTGCTGCCACCGTAGCACGTTTTCTGTTCTCATCCTGAAGAAAGTTCTTAACCTGAAGCACTACTTCTGGGTTAGCGGAGTCTGTAAGCGTATGTAACCCGAGGTACCACTGTACAGGCATCTGGTTGGACGCAGTGAGATGTTGGTCACTAGATGATCCAGAAAGCTCTTCCAAAGTTCGTAAGATGGGCCCAAGGCCTCACACAATCAGATTCATGAGATGAGTAGGAATTTGAACACAGGTCTGCCAAGTTCTTAGTCCAACACACTATCCACTTAACGTATCTGCAGATCAGCCTTCCCCACCTGGTACGCTCCAGATGTTAAGAACACAAGAAGAGCCTGCTGGCTCAGACCAACGGCCCATCTAAGAAGAAGAAGAAGAGTTTGGATTTGATATCCCGCTTTATCACTACCCGAAGGAGTCTCAAAGCGGCTAACATTCTCCTTTCCCTTCCTCCCCAACAACAAACACTCTGTGAGGTGAGTGAGGCTGAGAGACTTCAGAGAAGTGTGACTGGCCCAAGGTCACCCAGCAGCTGCATGTGGAGGAGCGGAGACGCGAACCCGGTTCACCAGATTACGAGTCCACCGCTCTTAACCACTACACCACACTGGCTCTCTACTGTAGTCCATCCTCCTGTTCTCACAGGGACCAAGCAGATACCTGTGGGAAACTCATAATCAGGACCCGAGCACAAGAGCGCTCTCCCTTCCTATGGTTTCCAGCAAGTGGTATGCTACAGTGGTGCCCCGCAAGACGAATGCCTCGCAAGACGAAAAACTCGCTAGACGAAAGGGTTTTTTGTTTTTTGAGCTGCTTCGCAAGACAATTTTCCCTATGGGCTTGCTTTGCAAGACGGAAACGTCTTGCAAGTTTGTTTCCTTTTCTTAACACCGTTAATACAGTTGCGACTTGACTTCGAGGAGCAACTCATAGAACGCGGTGTGGTAGCCTTTTTTGAGGTTTTTAAAGACTTTGGTGATTTTTGAAGCTTTTCCAAAACTTTCCCGACACCATGCTTCACAAGACGACAAAACTCGCGGAACGAATTAATTTCGTCTTGCGAGGCACCACTGTACTAGTGGCTACTAGTAGCTGTTGATATAGCCTTCTCCTCCCTGTTTGTCTAATCCACTTTTTGTCTAAAACCACCCAATCTTGGAGGGTTGATAGGAAATAATAATAACAACAATTCTTATTTATTTATTTATACCCCGCCCATCTGGCCGGGCCTCCCCAGCCACTCTGGGCAGCTTCCATCAAAATATTAAAATACCATAATGCATCAAACATTAAAAGCTTCCCTAAACAGGGCTGCCTTCAGATGTCTTCTAAAAGTCTGGTAGTCGTTGTTCTCTTTGACATCTGGTGGGAGGGCGTTCCACAGGGCGGGCGCCACTACCGAGAAGGCCCTCTGTCTGGTTCCCTGTAACCTGGCTTCTCGCAGTGAGGGAACCACCAGAAGGCCCTCGGTGTCCGGGTAGAACGATGGGGGTGGAGACGCTCCTTCAGGTATACTGGACTGCTCACTGTGCTTTAAAAGAGAACTCTATGAAAATGATGCACAGACAGTATTTAACCCCTGATAAACTATCTAGAATGTATAAGAAGGTTCCTAATAACTTCTGGAAGTGCAAACAAACAGGTAGCTCTTTTTTCCCTTGTGTTGGTGGACTTGTAAGAAAGCGAGGGTATTTTGGGAAATGATATATGATGAGATTAAAAAAAAGATGTTTGACGTGACTATACAAAAGACAAAATGCCAAACAACCCTGAAGTTTTTCTGCTAGGGATTATAGGGACAGAAGTTCCAAAGAAAAGATGGTTAAGTTGTTTATGTATGTAACTACAGCAGCTAGGATTCTTTACGTTCAGAAATGGAAAAGTGAAGAAGCTCCCACCAAAGAAGAATGGATGAGTGATGGACTGTGATGAATCAGCAAAGTTAACTGCTAAAATAAGAGAACGTGACTAGGATTGTTTCAATGAAGAATGGAAGCCTTTTCAGGACTATTTAAAGAAATGCTATGATATGGTGAATTCGCGACCAGGGTTTGAACTATGAGCAACAGAAAGAATGAGAGATTACTGAGTTACGATTATGATATGAAAGGAGAAAAATATCGCAGATGGGATGGGAAGATAAAAATAAAAAAGAATTAAAATAAAATAAAACCATCCAACCCATCGCAGCCTCCTGTGGAAGCGAGTTCCATAGTTTATGCACTGCGTGAAGAAGCCCTTTATCTGATCTCAATGATCCCAAATTCAGTTTCGTTCACACAACACACACACACACACACACACATATTTACACGGAAACTCCACAACAGTTCCTTCCGAGCAATTAAAAAAAATAAATCTAATAATGCAATTTTATGCATGTCTACTTGTGTTCAATTGGGCTTAAGCAATATTATGCACCATATAATTCACATGCTGGTTTTTATAAAGTGCTGTAAGACTCTTGGTTGTTTACACAGGAAAACTGAAGCAGGCGCTCCATCAAAATAAAATATCGGTCTTTTCCTTTCCAAGCCGCCTGTGTCGTTTTCATGCTCCTCGGTCGTGACTCATGGTTCTAAGGTATCAACCGTTCTTTCCGCGTACGAAGGGGAAATAAATTTGATGCAAGACACTAAGTCGTAAGATTGTGAGCAGCCCAGAGGAAATGAGAGGCCGATCTGTTAATTACCCTTTTCTCATAGCCACATCCGGCTTTTTTTCTCCTGGAGGCAACAGGCAGGAGATTAAAAGAATTTTTTAAATAAAAAAAAAAACGCAGTTCCCTGCCATGCACACCGTACGATGGGATGACTGACGTAAAATATGTTAGGGTCTCGAGTGATGAAACGCTTTGTACGTATAGATCTGGCACGGATGATGCGGGAATCTTGAGATTGGATCTCCTGACATTTTTTAAATTTTGTTGTTGTGCTTCTAAAGCAGCACCAAGGGACTGGAAATCAGGAGTACAGGAAGGCCAAGCCAGATGACTGGTCCACCTTTCCCTACAATTATTTATTTTGCTATTGTACGTGTGTGGCTGCAGTTTCAATTCCCTCCGATGCTCCTAATGTCTTTGGAGGTACTGTAGGAACTTGAAATGCCAGGCAGTCCCAGCTTCCCAGTGTTGCTCAGAGTACTGAACTGATTGTTAAAAGAAAGAAAAAGAAAAAGAGAGTACCCCCGGGCCAGTCGTCAGTGGTGAGCTCTGACAGTTATCCCAAGATGCCTGGGACCAACACAAGTTCTAGTTTCCAGTTCATGCCTTGGCAGTCCCCAGGAGTGGAGAGGGCGCTTCCTTTCTGTGTGAAATTTGGGAGACCACTCGTATTCCTACAAACAGCTGCTTTTTCAGAGTGTTGTTAAGTAGTAAGACCAGACTGCCTTCCCCGGGGCCCAGCTCCTGCGGTTCCTTCCAGAAGGAGGTGCAGCCAGAGAACAGGAACTCACAAAGAGACCAAACAGGTTGCCTCGCCGAAAGGGCTCACATGTCAGCCTTTATTTACATTATTCACGGCGGCAGACTCACAATCTCCCCCACCCCCACCCGCGGTCCCCTGTTTGCACATAACCAGTGGAGAAGATGGATTTCATGCTGGCCAGCTCCAGCAGTTAGTTCTTAAAGGGCTGAACTACACAATAGGTTGAATCCGTTATCACAATCATAGGCAGCTGCGTCACTGGTTTTGTAAAATGGTGTGGTGAGGAGTGGGGTGGAAGTAGCTTCCCCAAACATCATAGCCCTGATGAACTCTCTCTCTCTTTCTAAATGATCACTGCTGGGGATGGAAGCTGGTATTTGTGTCAACAACAGCTTTTCCTCCAACGCAAAGAGCATCTGGAAGGTGGCTTTTTTGCCATAATGTGCGTGCAGAAAGGGTTAAGCCAAAAAACAAAAGAACCCTCCCCTCGTTTCTCTCCCCACCTCTGCTTTTCATAACTTGCTTAACATAACTTGCTCCAGAAACCGCACCTCCCTCCCTCTCTCTCTCTCTCTCTCTCTCAACACATGCATACAAACGCCCCATTTTAACAATATAGTCTATTTTCACTCCCAGTGATACGCGAGGTAGCAATAACAAGTGCCTCTGAGCATGCGCAGAGTGCCATTCCCCCTCCGCGACAAAGTCATCACAACCAGATTATATGTATCCGGGGGTGCGGGAGGCGGAGAGATCATCATTGGAGGAAGGACTTTCAATACGGTTCTACAGATCGCATCTTGTTATTCAGGGAAGGCAGAGAGTGACGCATACATTCATTTTATTACAAAGCTAGAGCTTTTTTCAGGGGGCGGGGTGTGAAATCAGCAGCGGGTCATATACAGGCACAAGGTCTTGCGAGATGCTCAGACGCGCTCACTCCAGATGCCAAATTCACAAGGGAGTGTCAGATGTCCAACCAGCTTACACAGAGGGAGGGGCTGGTGCAGGTTGTTGAGTCTATGAGGCATTGTGAAGGACCCCAACTATGTCTGGTTGACGTGGTCAACAGGGAGCTGATGTGAAACGGGGGGAAAGGAGACGGGGACACACATCCGTAGCAATGGCTGCTCCAGGCCACAGGTGCACTGTCCAGTCTTTGGGGGCTCAGAGCTCAAAAGGCCCGAGGTGGAGAAGGGTGGGAGTTCTCCAAGGGAGTAGGGTCCTGGGGGCTCAGTCCGGGATCCCCCTGACCCCCGGAGGGTGCCCTGAAAACAGAGGGTCTTTGGTGGCAGGGCAGAGACTACGGACGTACCCGCCTTCAGGAAAGTAGGAGGGTTAGGAGATCTCCTGGGAATCCCGGAGGAAGGCCGCAACTCTTCAGCCCCGTGTACTGCTCACACGCTCCCCCAACAGCCAGTAGGTCCGGAGTTTCCCCTTCCCCTGGAGAGATGAGACAGGAGGGCTGTTCAGACATCAGACACCAAACCCACCACGATGTCCCCACCTGCCGCCCCAGGGCAAAGAACAGAAATCTGGCGCATAGATACACTCAGTGGCGGCTGGTGCCCGTTTAGGCTATATTGGAGTACCCGGACTGGTCTCAAGCTTTAAAGACGAAAAGGCAAAGGTTAACAGAAGAACTTTGCCAAGTTCCTCACCTTCATCTCCACATCCCCACGGAGCTCCAGATCAAAGCACCCAAACTCCTCCAGGATGGACTTGGTGGTTCCTGACAAGTGGATCTTCAGAGCTGGAAGGTGCAGACAGAAATTAGCGGGTTTGCACTGTTTCAGCCAAACCTTTGCATACATGTGAGGTGGGGAGGGCCTCTTTTAAAGCCGTCCCAGTCGGCGTCCAGCACCGCATGAGTAAGTTCCAAAGTTTCACTGTGACAGCGTATCGGTGAGGGAAATAAGGTGAGGTGGGAAGCTGCGCGCAGTATCTCAAAATCCAAATTCAGAACACCCAGTTGTGTGACGGGGCGGGGGCTAGATGGTGAAAAGGATCTGGCCCGTGAAGCCATCAAAGGTCGCCTGCCCCTGCTCACCCCACCCAAAATAGCACCTCACCTTCCCCGTTGGACTCCATGCGGGAGGCTGTGTTGACTGTGTCCCCAAAGAGGCAGTAGCGAGGCATCTTCAGACCCACAACTCCGGCACAGACAGGGCCTTGGGGAGCAAAACACAGCAGTCATTGGGGATGGGGTGGGATGAAGACACGTGAGTGTGGAGCTTTTCAGCTCCCATCCAGTGATGGCTAGTGCCCATTAAGACTGGTGGGGCAGAAGAGCCCAATAGCAGAAGGAACCAGAGCCAATGACAGGCATCTTCTTCCCTGCTGAGTTCTACACTGAGACTGAGGAAGAGGAAGCTGCCAGTCAAGGCCGCCCCTCCCCGCCCCCTAGACTGGCTGTTAGGCAGAAAGGCAGGCAGGTGGAGACAGGCTGAGCCTGGTGGGGCACTGCCCCCTCACCCAAATGGGTCAGCCTCAGCCGCTCCCACCACTTTTCCCTGAATTGCCAGGATCAGGCCCTCTCCGCCCTGGAAATCAGTTTGTGCAGACCTAACGACAAAACCATGTGAACCATGCTTCTGACTGTATACGTGGAAGGCAAATCTGAACTGTAGATTACGCAAACCATGGTTCATCAAACTGTGCTACATCCTAACCAGCCCACTGACAACCGAGCCAGCCTTTGATTCGCTCATACAGTCGTGCCTTGGTTTTCAAACGGAATCCGTTCTGGAAGTCCATTTGACTTCCGAAAACGTTCAAAAACTAAGGCGCGGCTTCCAATTGGCTGCAGCAGCTTCCTGCTGCACTCAATCGGTAGCCGCAGAAGCAACGTCAGACGTTTGGGTTCCAAAAAACATTTGCAAACCAGAACACTCACTTTCGGGTTTGCGGCGTTTGGGAGCCAAAATGTACGAGTACCAAGGCGTTCGACAACCAAGGTACGACTGTGTATCATTTTCGTTACAAACGCAAAAGGAAATATTCCATTGCAATTCCTGTATCTCTCTTCCCAAAGAATCCCAGGAACACATTTCCAAGATCAGGGTGAAGCAACACCTCCAAGTATGAATGTAAAGCCAAACACTGCCTAAACCGTGGTTTGCAAACCAGCTTCAGATCCCGGTTTTTTGTGGTTTTTTTGCCGGCTGCTCTCGAAACCATGGCTTATCAAATCACAGCACTACATCAGACGTCACAACAAACCATGGTTTGTTTGTTTTTGCCTAAGCCATCTCAGCGTTGAAGCAAGCATGGCTGTCCTGCCCATGACCAAGGTGTCTTAAAGGGGTCCCTCTTTTCACGCTCCCACTCATTTCTTACCACTGTGGATCCCAATTCGCAGTTTGAGCTGCTGGTCCGGCCGATGGCGGATCTTGAAGTTGCGGACGGTCTCAAGAAGTGCCAGCGACATGCGGGAAATCTCACGGGCATGCAGGCGTCCATTGCGCACCGGGAGGCCCGACACAACCATGTACGCATCGCCGATGGTCTCCACCTGGGCAGATGTGGCAGGGAGAGAGATTCATGGAAGGGAGAAGCATTTCTGTGCACTCAACACAGATCAAATGCCCCCTCTTGCAGGTCAGTCACCTGATCCGTTGACTTTATGGCCAAAGCCATTTGCTTATCCCCTCCCTGCCCAATCACTCTCCCTGCCCCACAGTGGCATGTGGGCTAGTCCCCTAGATGTTCCCAGCAAATTAGAGTGTTACAGTATAAAAGCCTAACACCTCCTTACCAAGGCCCAGGAAGCTTCTGCCTGGTTTAGGGAAGCATGATGCTCACATGAGTGACATCACAACGTCCGTCCCCACTCCGCAATCTCCCTCACAAGCTGATGCCTCTAGCCCAAACAATTCCCCTACGAAAAATTTCACTGCACGCCGCTGCTGCCCCGCAACCTCAAGCTGGCCAGGCCAAGAACCTCTCACCTTGTAGACATCAAAGTTATCAATGATGGCATCAAAGCAGGTGTACAAGTCGTTGAGCAAAGCGACAACCTGTGAATGAGAAGTAAAAGGGGATTGATCTTAATGACAGGGCTGGGTCCACATTGTGCTAAGGGCGGAGGGTGGTGGGATAAAAGATTCTCGATTCTGCAGCTTCAAATGAAGTATGATTTTACATGCACTGCTTGGGGCCTTCCCACAGGAGTCTGGTTGGCTACTGTGGCTATGGACACACCACATCTTTAAAGGATGTGGCTTCCCTCTAAGAATTCTGGGAACTGTAGTTTACTCCTCAAAGAGCTGTTGGTTTCTGTTTCCCTCACTGAGCAGCTGCTGGTAGTCACAGGACTATGTTTTCATTCCACAGTCCAGATACTGTTGGATTCCCACGGGAAAGGGAGACGGGATGTGACGTTTACTGGTTTCCTGTTTCCTTGTACTGTCGTTTCTTTGTTGGAGTTGCTCTCTGCTTCTCACAGAGACAAGATGTATGTTTGTATGCTCTCAGCATAGCTTAGTAATAAAGCGTAGCAATGTCGCCATACCTGCCTCATCCTTCTGTTGCGGACTCTGGGTGTTTTATACTCTGCTGGGCTCAAGTGAAGATGAGCCATATCAGCTCGGAGGACCGGAGCTGAATTTATCTAACAAGAGCTACAATTCCAAGCCCTCTTAACAAACAGTTCCCAGGATTCTTTTTGAGGGATGCCGGCGATTGAACATGTGTTCAATAGGGATGGGTGACTGTCCGTTTCGGTTCCTCTCCGTTTCTGAAATTTTCAGTCACCCCAGATTACCTGAACATTTGTTCCCCTCCTGCTCAACCCAGTCACCTCCGTGACACGCTCGTCTCCCCGGTGATTGGTGCCTCCCAGTGCTTTGCTGTTTTGGTCACCCACCGTCCTTTCCCTTGTTACCTCCGTGAGCTAACCACCGTTGTCCTGGTTACCTGAGTTGCCGCAGCACCTGTGAGGGCAAGGCTCGGTAGCCGTTGATTACCTAATTGATTCCCTCTCTGCCAACCGAGGGATGAGGCTGGGGCCAAAAGTGCAGAAAGGCAGGAGGTCCTGTTGTGTTGATCAAGCGAGGGCAGGAGACCAGGCTCCTAGTATTTATACAAGGCCTAGCTGAGGGATGGGGAACTCAAAACAATTGGGGAACCCCAAAACAATTCAGTGCCGCATCCAGCAGAAAGTACCCCCCATCTCAAACTACCATGATCTTCTCTCTCCCCATCCCATTCCCTCTTTTCTGCCATCCCTCTTCCCTCCCTGTTTCCTCACCCAATGGACTGGTGCATCTGTTTCTCACCCCACCCCACCCCTTCCCCACTGTCCCCACCCTGCATGCTGCCCCCACCCACATGAAATTAGGCCAAGGGCAAATGCCACCCTCAGACCTCAGGTTTCCCACCCCTTGCCTACCCAGTCCGGACACTCCACACTGCTGGGGAACCCCAGTGCTGATGTTGTATCCCCTTCTGTGCACAGACGCCCAAGAGCAGGCCATTAGCTCAGCCTAACAGTTTCAGAGTTTGAAACCCAGGGTTCCTGACAGGATACCATTAACTAGGTATTGCGGGGATGGGGGGGTAGTTTAATTCAGTTCACACTTCGAGGTGAACCTACCCAACTCCCACTTTCTGAAACAGTACACAAACCGAAACACAGCCATCCTTTGAGATTCACACTCACACTTCTGAATTTTGCAAGCACTGTGTACGAAAAGGCATACACTCTCTTATGGCCAGAGTGTTGAGTAACTTAGTGTGAAAAGAAAAGAAAAGAAAAGAAAAGAAAAGAAAAGAAAAGAAAAGAAAAGAAAAAACATTTAATTGAGGGGGATGAAATTGGGTGGCAACATTTCTTAAAGGGGCATACTCTTGGCAGGTAGTAGCAGGCCCCTTTTTATTTTTTATTCTGTCATTATAAGATTTTATTGAAGCTTTTTCATAATACAATACAATAAAAAAACTATTCTAAATGAAAAACAAAACAAAAAAGAAAAAGAAAATGCAAAGTCCTCTCTCACTCTCTTTCTCTATATACCGTATTTTTTGCACCATAACACTTTTTTCTTCCTAGAAAGTAAGGGGAAATGTCTGTGCGTGTTATGGAGGGAATGCCTACGGGTGGCGGGGGGGATCTGCTGCAGTCGTGAGCAGAGGATCCATGGTTCCCCTTCCTCCTCCGTGGCTCGCTTTGAAACAGCAAAGCGGGAGAAGAGCCGCTGAGTGGGGAGGAGAGAAGGAAAGAGAGCCTGCTTCCTTAAAGGAGCAAAGCGGCTCCTGTCCGGTTGGCTCCTTTAAAGCAAGCAGGCTCTCTGTCCCTCGCTCCTCCCCACTCAGCTCGCTAAATAGCAGCAAAGTTTTTCAGCTCGCTAAGCCGGGGATGAGCGGGGAGGAAGGAGAAAAGCAGAGCCTGCTTGCTTTAAAGGAGCAAAGTGGGAGAGGAGAGGAGCCTTCTCCCCTTATACCCCTCTTCTGCATTATTAGCAGGATCCTTCTCCACCCACCCCAGGCGTGTTCCTTCTCCCCTTAAACCCCTCTCCTGCATTATTAGCAGCATCCTTCTCCACCCACCCCATGCGTATTCCTTCTCCCCTTAAACCCCTCTCCTGCATTATTAGCAGCATCCTTCTCCACCCACCCCACGCGTGCTCCTTGTCCCTTGAGTGCTTTTCCTTTCCTCCCCACTTAAAACGTGGTTACAAAGCATGGATCCACATGGATCCTCAGGATTTTTGCATTGGGCTACTCCAAACTCACTGTCAGATCACATGTCTGTGGCCACAGCATGAACCACAAAAATCATACATCCACTGTTTCGTTTAGAATATTTTTTTTCTTGTTTTCCTCCTCTAAAAACTACGTGCGTGTTATGGTTGGGTGCGTGTTATAAAGCGAAAAATACAGTATATGTTTAAAAAAATGCAGATTGATGTGGGAATGGGGAGAATAAAATTGAAGACTGGAAAAATGAGGATTGGAAAAGAACTGTTGTCCCTATTAGAAACACCTTCTCCTGTTCTCGGCGCCGCAACTGCAACCACTGCCTTGGTCCAACCCATTTACCTGCATGGGGGTGCTCTCTGCCGACAGGGCAGTGAAGCCCACGATGTCGCTGAAATAGATGGTGACACTGTCAAATGCCTCTGCTTGCACCGTCTCCCCGCGTTTCAGCTGCTCCGCCACTGAGCTGCACCAGAGGGAAAGTAACGCACATCACTGCATTTCCACATACCGATTGATTAGCCACAATTAGGAGTGAAGGCAGACCTGATTCATTTTGTGTCCACTGGAGAAGTGGGGCTCACTGTACAGTGGTGCCTCGCAAGACGAAATTAATCCGTTCCGCGAGTGTCTTCGTCTAGCGGTTTTTCCGTCTTGCGAAGCAACCCTATTAGCGGCTTAACGGATTAGCGCTATTAGCGGTTTAGCGGCTATTAAAGGCTTAAAGGCTTAGCGGATTAGATAAAGGGGGGGAAAAGCGAAAAAAAATCTCAAGACTCGCAAGACATTTTCGTCTTGCGAAGCAAGCCCATAGGGAAATTCGTCCTGCGAAGCGCATTGAAAACGGAAAACCCTTTCGTCTAGCGGGTTTTCCGTCTTGCGAGGCATTCGTCTTGCGGGGCACCACTGTATAGCTATTGCATATACAGGCCTTCTTTTGCAGATTGGGCTCAGAGCAGGGACCTGCGCAGAACACGAGTTATTTTTGTTTAGGGCACAGACCGGACTGTTTTGCTGGCCTTTGTTATCAGTCACGAAGGAAACCTGCTCCCACAACATTTTTTAAATTGCTGGGCTGTGTGGAGTGCTGATTGGATGGGCCACGCAGAGCGCTGATTGGCTGGGCCCTTGTGGTAGGCAAAGAACGGAGCCAGGCTGCACAGTGTGCTGATTGGCTGGGCCCTTGGGGAAGGCAAGAAACAGCTCGGCTGTGCAGCGCGCTGATTGGCTGGGCCCTTGTTTATACCACTTCTGAACATGGATGCTCCACAGAAGGAGCATGGCTAACAGATACTGGTAGAGGACTGGTGTGGGGCAGACTTACTGGGGCAGAATCTGGTAGAGCAGGGCCTCTGCCTTGCGCTTCTCCTCCAGGTAGGCCTGTGTGCGCTCCTCCACCAGCTCCTCCAGGTTGTTGGCGTACTGCTCCATGCGTGACAATAACGTATCCAAGAGGTTGCAGCTGTTGCCCCTGCCACACAGACAGTCAAAGATTAAAGCAACCGAGATTCTAGGCCGCCACCACCTCTGCCAAGGATATTCCGGGGGGGCCCTTCTCTGCATTTCCAGCTTTCATTTAGAAGAAAACACAAACCAAAGTTTCTAGTGCCTCTGTTTTGCGGAGGCAGGATCCTACACCCTAAGAAGCAAACCAACTCCTGCCTCCCAGTTTTCTGACCAATGGGTCAGTCAGTGGGAAAAACTGAGGTTTCCACACATACATCCCCAAACCTCTCTCCATCCTTCAGCTAAGCAGAGCAGGGATGCCGGGAGATGTGGTCTGGGGAGAGGGGGTGTGGCCTACAGACAGTTCTGAGGGCTATAGAGGATTGGAAGGACACATTTGGCCCTAGAGGTCCCGGGCCCTTGCTGGAAGGAGGAGGGGGACATTTTGGGTAGCATCCAATGCTAATTCCATTCAGCGTAAGCCCACAGAAATTAAAGGGCCTTCATTTCAATGGGTCCACTCTGAGTAGTACTAGCATCAGCTACAACCCTTCACTGTTGTGATAGGAATTTTATGGTCTTAGATATATGGTAATGTTCATAAGTCTACCAACCAAGCACGTACATAGATCAGCACAGGAAGACCAACCTGGAACCATTTTGATTCCTAAACTGAGTAAATGTTTTCTCTACAAGATCAAAGCGGGAAACCTCCCCATTGTCTCTTTCCTCACAAATCCTGTCTTAAGGGCACATTTAAGATATGAATAGGGTGTGAGCCTGTGACCTGGCCCAGGAACTAAATATTTATCATTACAAAAAACTGCCCAGGCTCCACAGGCAATCCAATCTAGTAACCTGCCAGACAGGAGATAAACAATGACAGGAGAAAAACAACATTCAAATTTCTGTTTTAAGACCGCCTTTTCTGTGATGTAGGTGTGATGTATCTGAGGGGTGGTCTTAGGTTACACCCCTTCTGTGATGTATGTATGATGTTTCTGGGGGTGGTCTTGATCTACCGGGTGGCAATTTCAAAAGTCTTTATAAGGCCTTGCACACCATTCTTCGGGGTTCCTCCTCCTCTCCTGCGGGTGAGGGGAGCACCCTGTTGCAACAGATCAATAAAGATCAAGCTTACTAGCTGCTTTGCTTCTCAATATTCTCTGGTTGGCCTCTGTTATTCTCTCCTACCAATAGGGAACCTATGTAAGGACTCTATATGGGCTCTTGGATACCCCATAAGGGAAAAGGGCAATTTTTGTTTACAACACTGTTCTCAGAGATTGCTGAGGGCCGCAGGAAATCAGGTCAAGGGCCGCATGCTGCATACTCCCGCCATAAGCCCCCCCTTCACATTTCCAGGTAAATGGCCTGATGTTCGGGCAGCGCCTTCCCGCTTTTCATCAGGGTGGAATGATGAATTTAATCACATGGCTCCTTTCTGAAAAGGCGCCTGTGCACATGGGGGTGAAAACAGGTACCGACGGCCGCCTGTCAGGTGGTGCTTGTGGGGAGGGATGCAGTGAGGGCGCGTACCTGTCAAATTTCCGCAGCATGCCTTTGATGTGGTGGAAGTCGGGGCGTTCCTGGGGGTCTTCAGCCCAGCACCGCTGCATCAGTAAGACCACCTCCTCGAGGTTGGATGGCAAGTTCACCGAGGGGCGGAAGGGGGGTCGCTCGCTGCTCTTTACTCGCTCGATAATTTCTGAAAACGGCACACGGGCAGGGGAGAGGGGGACCGAAAAGAAATTATAGCCAGGGGACATGTGCATGGGTAAGAAAGAGACATTTTAATGTGGCAGCACCTGCACTTTGGAATTCCCTGCCTATTGTTACCAGACAGGCTCCCTTCACTGCACTCTTCACTGCCTGCTGAAAACATTTTTGTTTAGACAAGCCTACCCAGATGTTCAGAAAATTGATGCAAGCTTTCACATATTGTTATTTTAAGATTTAATGTTTTACTGTGTTTTTATATATGCTGGAAGACGCCCCTGGCGGCTGGGGCAACCAAGTCAGATGGGCAGTGTACAAATTATCATCATCATCATCATTATTATTATCAGTGTTTTTTTCTGGGGGGGATGCAGGGATATGCATACTCCTAAACATATTGTGGATCTTTGTACTTTTGCCCATTTACTGTATTTATTTTTCCTGATTTAAGCTATAAAATGGTGATTTTCTTGAGTCAAAATGAGAGTACTCCTAAACATTTTTAAGAAAAAAAGCACTGATTACTACTACTATTACTTTTGAAAGTCTTAGGTAAAGGGACCCCTGACCATTAGGTCCAGTCGCGGATGACTCTGGGGTTGCAGCGCTCATCTCACTTTACTGGCCAAGGGAGCCGGCGTACAGCTTCCGAGTCATGTGGCCAGCATGACTAAGCCGCTTCTGGTGAACCAGAGCAGCGCACGGAAACACTGTTTACCTTCCCGCCAGAGTGGTACCTATTTATCTACTTGTACTACGTGCTTTCAAACTGCTAGGTTGGCAGGAGCTTGGACCGAGCAACGGGAGCTCACCCCATCACGGGGATTCGAACCACCGACCTTCTGATCGGCAAGTCCTAGGCTCTGTGGTTTAACCCACAGCGCCACCCGTGTCCCTTGAAAGTCTCAAATTATGGCTAAATTTTCTTACTGGTGATTTTGTTGTTTCATCTTTCTTTATAATGTATATATCGCTTGATTGAAAGAAACAACCCTTGACATTTTATGAAGCAAATACACTGGAAAAGTGTGTAAAACAACTTCTTTACCAGTTGCGCAGGGGAAGCTGTGGAGGAATGTGGCTGGATCCCAAAAGTCAGAGGTGTGGGGAACCTGCAGCCCTCCAGAGGTTGCTGAACAACAGCTCCCATCAACACATTGGCCATGCTTGCAAGGGCTGATGGGAATTGGAGTCCAGTGACATCTGGAGCTTCCTGTACCTTGGCAGTGACCTGGAGGAGAAATTGGCATTTTCCGTTCACCCAATTTCTTACCTTTGGGGCTCAGATCCATGCCTTCCACGTAGAAGACGCTGTTCCGCAGGGCAATCTCCTGCAGGATAATCCCGAAGCTGTAGACGTCGCCTTTCTGGGTGCCCAGGAATGGGTTCGACTCCATGCGCAGGAGTTCGGGGGCCGTCCAGAGTTTCTCTAGGGGGAAAGGGGGTGGGAAGAAGCAGAGTCAAGCAGGGCAAGGGAGTGGGAGTCAGTCGCTATCATCTTGACCTGGAAGGAGACCCATGGTAGGCCTGGGGAGGCCAAAGGCCACAGGCCTTTGAGCCAGGACTGTTACAAAAGGTCACACGGCTTTTCAAGCATCAGAAGCTATGGGCTAAATCCTTCTCAGCACAGACCCACTGAAGCACCAGTTTCCAAGGGGCTAGTAACACTGCATACAAATTGCAGGATCACCTTATGCCATATGTGTCCACTCGACCACGTGGATCTGTTACAGGCAACACACTTGTAAGAAATCCATCTTTTACTGCGGCGCCACCTGCACTTTGGAACTCTGCCTATTGACATCATGCAGGGGCCTTCTTTGCCTTACTGATTTTGGTACCTACTTAAAAGCTCACACCCTCCAACATTTCTCTGATGAAAATAGGGACTTCCTATTCAACAACAACAGCAAAACAATTTTATTATTAATATCCCATCCATCTGACGGGGTTGCCCCAGCCACTCTGGGCAGCTTCCAACATACAGTATATAAAAACATGATAAAACATTTAAAAACTTCTCTATACAGGGGTGCCTCAAACGTCTTCTAAAGGTTGTACAGTTACTTGTCTCCTTGGCTCATAGGTCACATAACTCCATACCCTCCAACATTTCACTGATGTAAATAGGAACATCTTAAGGAAAAGTGGGACATTCCAGGATCAAATCAGAAACCAGGACAGCTTCTGTAAATCTGGGACTGTCTCTGGAAAATAGGGAGACTGGGAGGGTCTGAAATCATTTTAATGTTAGGGTTGGCCTGTCCAGGCTTACAGAATGCCAATGTGCATTTTTAATCTCTTCTTAGCTTACTGATGATTTTAAAAGTTAATTGTTTAGCTATTGCTTGATAATTTTCCCAGATGCTTTTAAAATACCTGTTTTTATGTTTCCTTCTTAAAAACCGCTTTGATCTCCCCTCCCAGCCCCACCCCCCACACTTACAATCAAGTGATATCTACATTTTGTTAATAAAAATAAGAATTTCAGAAACCCTAACCCCCCACACCTGGCCCCTCCCCTCCCCTCCCAGCCGTATCCCTCACTGGCAAACAGCGCGTGGGAATCATCCGTCTCGGGCGCCTGACGGAAACTCTCCAGCCCGTAGTCCGTGATCTTCAGCACGAAGCGACTGTCCACCACGCAGTTGGAGGACTTCAGGTTGCCGTGGTAGCTTATCACGCTGTTGTGGAGGAAAAGCATCCCCTGGTTGGAGGAATAGAGGGGGAAACATTGGAGTGGAGGGAGAGAGAGAGGTCTAAGAGCCCTGAGGCTTGCGTGGGGCAGCAGGCCCACTCTGCTAAGTACAGTGGTACCTCGTGTTAAGTACTTAATTCGTTACGGAGGTCCGTTCTTAACCTGAAACTGTTCTTAACCTGAAGCACCACTTTAGCTAATGGGGCCTTGCACTGCCGGAGGACAATTTCTGTTCTCATCCTGAAGCAAAGTTCTTAACCCAATGTACTATTTCTGGGTTAGCGGAGTCTGTAACCTGAAGCGTATGTAACCTGAAGCATATGTAACCCGAGGTACCACTGTATGAGGAGTGCAGATCTTGCATGGGCATTTTGTGTTACACTGATTTAAAATCATAGAATAGTAGAGATGGAAGGGACCATGAGGGTCATCTAGTTCAACCTCCTGCAATGAAAGAATCTTTCACTCAACATGGAGCTCAAACCCATAACCCTGAGATTAAGAATCTCATGCTCTACAGACTGATCTATTTTGCGACTGAGCTATGTCTTCTACCTTCAGACCGAAATCTAGGGACGGGCAAATCCATCACTTTCCCTTTCTCTCTTTTCTTCATCTTTTCCAGTCTTAAATTCTCCACATTTCTGCATCAGTTTGCAAAGTGTCTCTTAATGGAAATTCCTCAGCCTTTCAATGCAAATGCATCCTAATGTACACAGATTTGTAAGCAGTTTCCCCTGTTTTACACACTTTTCTTGCAAAACAACTTCCCTCGATATGATGCACTTCTGTATTTTATTCTCTCTAATATGTGCATAGTATTTATAATCTGCCTTTCTCTCAAGCTGGGATTTAAGACGGCTTACATTTAAAAACAACATTATAAAATGCAAGGTAATGAAAACGAACTAGTTAAGAGAATAATTGCGATACATCAGAAGACATTTAGACCCTGCAATTAAAATGCAGTTTGCCCTGACAGCAGCCCAGTGATCAGCATTATTTGCTCCCTGAGTTTCCAAAGGTCTGTCTGGACATTAAGGTCTTAGCCTGCCGGTGGAAGGCTAACACAGAGAGCGCCTGCCTGACCTGTCTTGGGAGGCGATTCCACAATATGGGAACAGCCACACAGAAAAGGCTGCTTCCCACATATGCATTTTCCTATGCTTTGCTTGGAGAACTGGACTGCAATATTCAGAGAAGTGAGGCTTTTGTAGGAAAGCTGTGCTTTGGTTCAGGAGCTGTTCCAAAAAAATGTGAATTAAGTAGGTTCTCCTTTGAATCTAAACTGAAACATTCTCCATCTCTACTCCCCAGATGTTATTGGTTTACATTTACCACCATCCTCAGCTGGCTTAGCTCAGTAGGGGCTGGTCCATTAGGGTGAACTGCCCCACTGACCTCTGCCTTCAGCCAGCCCTGCCCCCCAGCCCCCTCCTTACTTGCTACCTGTCTATGGGGGTGACCCCGCCTCTCAGCTTCCTCCTTATTCTCAATCTTGCCCCTTGTAGAACTCAGCAGGGAGGAAGAGGATGGGGACAATACGAGAATTAGTTGGCTCTGTCTTTCATTCATTGCTCTGGCGCCACCTACTGTTGGCCTCCCTGCCTTCTGCCCTACCAGTCGCAATAGGTATTCTTTCACTATTTTCCTACTGAAAAACAGCTCCCCACACATGCTGCAACCCTCCCTGAGAAAAAGGTATGGTGATCTGTAGGTTTCCCCCAGTACAGAAAACGAGATTTGGAGAGTCCGTATGATGTTTGCAGGATGGGTGTGTGTGTGCAATTTAGATTAGGGAAATGGAATGGGGAGAATGGGTTCAACCCCTGCTCCCTCCCTTGCCCCACAGCAGGAGGGTTTGCGTTCAACTTAAAAATAGAAAGCTTGGGAAATCACGGATTTCCTTCATTTTGTGACATTTTGGCCCTTTGGTCTGGTGCAGAGATAGCCGCTAGTAACCTCCCTCACGTTCAGAGGCAGGATGAGTACCAGATGTTGAGGGGAAAGGACAAGGGAAGGCTTCGCACGCCAGCTTCCCATTCCCCTCGCAGAGCTACAATTCCACAGAGTGGCTTAACAATCAACCCCTCTTCACTGGAAACACTGGGAATTGTAGCTTTGTGAGGGGAATGGGAGTCTCCTGACAGCTCTCAGCATCCTTTGCGTAGGGCGGTTCCCATAATTCCTTGCGGGGGAGCCATGACCGTTCAAAATAGTCTGGCCGCGGTTTTAAGGTGTGGGTGGCCTGCATCCACCGCCCTCCTGAATTTCGCCTGCTTGCCCCTCAACTGGACCCCAGCGGCAACCCTTCTTGAAGCTAGGCCAAGGCCTCACAAGCTCTGGGCACCAGTTGCTCATGCCCTGCTTGTGGGCTTCCCAGAGGCAGATGGAGGCATTCTTAAAATTACCTTGACGATGTCACTGGTGAGCGAATAGCGGAACATCCAGTCCAAGGTGATGCTCTCGTTCTCCAGGATATCCTAGGGTGCAGCCAGAGGTGGGGAATATTGGGTTAGATTTTTCCTGATTATAATTCCAGCGCTTCTGTTTCCCTTTTCCTTTTTTTTTTTTAAGATATTTATTAAAATTTCAACATATTACAAAGATGAGCAAAAAAAAAAGAAAAAAGAAAACAGATAAAAAATGAAAATACAAAATAAAAACAGTTAAAAAACAGATTAGTCTTTCCATATCTTATCTTTCATTTGCTTGTTTCCCCGACCTCCTCGCACCTCCCTTTTTTGTATTCCAGTTCAATTATTTTGTTCAGCAAATCCCTCCCCTCTTTTAGTATCCTAATCATTAATCAAAAAATATTGTAATTTTAGATTTTTACATATTACATAATAAACCCTTTTTTCATCTTCCCTTGTAACTTTTCAGCTAAAGACCACTTAGTTTCTATCCAACATCATTCTAACATTCATTAATTTTACAATATTTCTGTAGATAATCTTTGAATTTCTTCCAATCTTCTTCCACCGACTCTTCTCCCTGGTCTCGGATTCTGCCAGTCATTTCCGCCAGTTCCATATAGTCCATCACCTTCATCTGCCATTCTTCCAAGGTGGGTAGATCTTGTGTCTTTCAATACTTTGCTTGTTTCCCTTTTCCAACCATGGGCAGTCCCTGTTTTGTTATGGAATGGTGGCTTTTTGGCCTAAATATTGGCCTGTTGTGCTAAATGTTATTCAGGTCAGAGGGCGTGGTGTCACAGCAATGAACGTCACTGGACGACGTCCCCTTTCCCCTGCCCTTTCCGCAAATGCATGCATCCATTCCCCCCGCAATTCCTGGTACAACCACCCTAAATTTCGTCACTTGAGTCTGACATACTTTCCAAGGCTAAGAGGGCTGGAAACATTATCCCCACCCCCTGGGAATCAAATAAGACAGAAATGAGCGCTAAACATGTGTGCCATATTCCATTGGTTTTTCAGCTCACATTTCTCGCGTGGAGGAAGCTCAAATGTAATGTGGAAATTAACAGGAAAACAGAGAAATGGAATGAAGTGATGTGTGAATGAAGCCTAGAAAGATGGAGGCGTCGACACAAGTTCAGGAGGACTGTCTTGAAGATATGCTGCTGAGGGCACAAATCTCTTTTTGCACACGCAGCCCAATGCATTCTGATCCATGGCTTTTTTATGCTTAAGGCCTCCGTCCCGCAAATTCAAAACCTAGCGCCGTTTGCAAATAACTAAACCTGAGACTGCACAGTCCAACTCTTGATTTCACAGAACGCTTAGAAATTTTAGGTTTGTCTATCTATTTATTTTTTAAACGTTCGGTGTGAATTTTTCCCAACTCAGCACTTTACATATCCTGCTTGTTTGGGGAATTTTCTTTTTCTTTTATGAAAACAAAACAGGAAACCCAAGTCTCAACAACATCCAGTTTCTCAAACAATCTAAGCACACACACGCTAGGAGACTACACACTGAAATATTCCCCTCTATTAAATTTGAGAATATCTTTTATTTCCCATAACCCCACCTTTCAGCACAAATGCCCTGAGGGCATCTTGACAACCCAGTTTATTTTTGTGGTTGTAAGTTGTTTTAAACTGGTTTTTTTAAGGTTGTGTTTGAATGTTGTAACCCACCCTGGGACCTCAAGGTAGAGGGAGAGTCAACATCATCATCATCATCATCAACAACAACTCTAAAGGTTCTCTCCCACCTTTCCATTTATCCTCACAACCTTGTAAGGTAGGTTGCAGCTGAGAATGAGAGAAAGAGAAGGAGAGAAAGAAAGAGAGAAAGAGAGAAAGAAAGAAAGAAAGAAAGAAAGAAAGAAAGAAAGAAAGAGAACAAGGGAACAGGGGATAGAGCACAACCAGCTCAAAGTGGTTCAGTTAATGTTTTATGGAACTGTAACTGTTTAGGGTGGAATTTGAACCTGAGGTCTCCCTGGTCCTAACCCAGCTCTAACCACTACACAACACCGTCCGGCACCTTCCAGCCCCTCTCCCCATGCGGAGCCCATCCCGGTTCCAGCCGCCTGACCATTTTCTCCCCTTCTGCTCACTCTTTCTTTCTTTCTTTCTTTCTTTCTTTCTTTCTTTCCTTCCTTCCCCCTCTTTCCTGCCTCCCCGTTTCTGCCTCCTCTCTTTTATAAGAGGAAATGCTTATCTTCAGCAGGCAGCCAGGAATCTAGGACTGTCGAAATCTCCCTATCTCCCACCCCCCGCACGCCGCCAATTCTTCTCGCTCATCCACCGCGCTATAAATCATCTCTCTTGGAATCGGCTCTGCAGAGAGGCTTGCAGTACCCCCTTGGCGCTCCTTTTAATTAAAGGCTTCGTCTGCCCCCGCCTCAGCCCTCGGCAGGGCTGCAGTCGAGGTGGCGGGTGCGGAAGAAACGCCGCCACGCCAGAGGACTTTCCGGCCCTACACACACGAAAGAGGCCTGATCCTGAGCCTCACTCTCTGCAGCACAATTCCTGCATTGAATAGCCACATGTTGGCTGCCACACGTCAAGGCCACGCATGTGCGCAGCCGACGTTCTCCACAAGCAGACACGCAATAAGTTTTCCGTTCTCCTCGCAATCCACGCTCTTTCTGTTCCGCCGCAGTTCGGTTTCTGCTACGCCGTTCGGTTCCTGCTACGCCTTTCGTCCCGCCATTTAGCGTGGTTTATTTAGTTATTTATGCAATCTATGTAGATTGTTTACATAAATTGTGAGTTTAACAGAAGGAGTGGCCCATCCGTTTATTTATTTCAGTTCATAAAGCTTGTATTTATTTATTTGTTTCATAAAATTTATACACTGCTTGTTTGTGAAAGAAAGAAAGAATAAAAGCCCCAAGGGGCTTTACGAAAAAGATAAAACGATAACATTATCAACAGGAAAAAACCCGACAACAATAATTTAGGGCATTTGAAAAATTAAAACGGCTATAAAAACAGATTAAAACTCACATCAACGTTCTAAACACATATCACTTGATTGTAAAGAATTTTTTTTTTAAAAAATGAACATCTCAAAGTAGTAAGGCCTGAGGTCTAATTTCAATGTAAAGGAAGTGTTAAAATAATGGTGGTGTGGTTTTTTTGGTGTGTGTGTTTTTTTTAAAAAACTCATTAATTACGCATTGGTTGGAGGCTTTAAAAAAAACCCAACAACTGATTGTATTCGCTGGATTGATACTGATTACATCTGCTGGTTTGATTTTTATTCCTGTTGTGGGACAAAAACGCCAACAGTGCCAATTCCCGTTTCTCTTGCGAACAGAATCCTCCATCATCCCTGCCAGCGTGACACATTTGGTTGCCGCTTGGCAACACACAGCCAGAGCGACGCCCGAGGATTGAGGCTGGCTGGCTGGCACAGGAGGCTTGCAAAGCTAAAAACATGGTTCCTTTTACTGCTCTAGGTGGCTGCCCTCATGTCAGCAGTGTGAGCAACGATGGCCAGCGAGCGCCAGACTCTCCTCAGGCCTACAAAATGGCCACCCTGTGGTCAAGGGAAAGACTAAGGGTAGTGTTTGTCTTACCCATTGCAGACCCACTGAAACTAACAAACACAAATCTCAGGCCCATTAATTTCACCAGACCTACTCAAGAGTATGCCCGCCAAATTAACCAGCACCATCGTTAATGAGGGCTAGGCTCTCTCCAAGTCTACAAGATGGATGCCCTCCATTTCCAGCACCAAAGTTAATGAAGGCTAAGCTTTCTTCAAGTCTACATGATGGGTTATCCGTAGCTGAGGGAACAGCCTACCATCTTCCATTGCCAGCACCATCAATAATAAAGGATAGGAAGTGCAAGGCTTCCCGCAGGCCTACAAAATGGCCGCCCTTTTGCTGAGGTATTGGCCACATTATTAGCCTCCACTGCCAGCAGCATTAGTAATTAAGGCTGAGGGACACTACGCTCTCCTTAGGCCTGCAAGATGGCTGCCCTATTGCCAAGCGAATGGCCAGACTGGTCTTCATTGGCAGCAGTAATAAGAAAAGCGAGTGGCTTGAGTGTGGGTTCAACTAACTAACCCAGTGGTTTTCAACCAGTGTGCCATGGCACCTTGGGGTGCCTTGAATGATGGTCAGGGGTGCTGCGGGCAACACCGGCCTCTGTCCCTCTTTCCTTTCCTCCCTCCTCTGATACCCTCTTGAGTCTCTGCCTCCCCAAGGCTTGCCCAGCTGTTTGTTGCGGCAGCCCTGGCTACAAGCTCCCCAGGCGAATGGTGCCTCTGGGGCTGGCCAGGGGGTGCTTCCCAGACCCCTGTGGGGCAGTGGCACCTCTCTTTGGGGCAGGGGGGGCAGCTCAGAGACCAGGGGCGGTAGCTTCAGCTGCCCAGAGGACTCCCAAGGAGAGGGGAGAAGAGAGGAGGCTGAGGGGACAGTCTCCAAGGGATGGTGTTCAAAAATGGATTAGAGGCTGCCAGCTCAGCAGGCGAGAGGTGACATAACAGGGCTCCTGAGCCCCATAGGGGTGCTATCGAAAGAATATAGTTGGTCAAGGGAGCCGTGGACCCTCAAAGGTTGAAAACCTCTGAAGTAACAATAACAATAATAACAACAACAATAATAATTTATTTATACCCTGCCCATCTGGCTGGGTTTCCCCAGCCACTCTGGGCGGCTTCCAACAAAATATTAAAATACAGTGGTTTGCTAAACATTAAAAGCTTCCCTAAACAGGGCTGCCTTCAGATGTCTTCTAAAAGTCTGGTAGACTTTTAGAAGACCCAGATCTGGATTTAGGTTTGATGAGGCCCAAACTACTGAAGGTAATGGGGCCCTTTATATGTCCAGCTGTCCTTTGTCAACAACAAATTGTCGCTGTTTTTTTGTGCTGAATATATGCTATATGGTAATTTATGGACCTAATAGGTATCTAAAGCCATTTGCGCATGTTGCCATGCAACCAGTCCACGCAGAATGTAGGCACCCTATATATAGAAAGGAGCAAACCAGTGATATTTTAGGGAGCAGGCTAGCAGGTGGGGCCCCTCACTTACATCATAGGAGCCTACACAACACAAAACACCGTTGCTGTATGTAGGTTTTATTTTATTTGTTTTTTATCTTATATTTTGGAAATGTACATCCAGGTTGTTGTTTTTCCTTTAAATTTTTTTGGGGCCCCCAAGAGAGTGGGGCCCTAAGCTATAGCTTGTTTAGCTTATACGTAAATCTGGCACTGGCCTCACCCACCTATAAGGAGAGAAGTTGAACAGGGCAAGAGTTGTTAACATCCAGGCATGCTTTTTCGCCACAACTCTCACGTACCTGGAGACTGCCACGGGTGCAGTACTCTGTCAAAATGCAGATGTTTGGGGGATCAATGCATGCTCCGATAAAGCGCGTCAGGTGCTTGTTTTGAACATCCCGCATCTGGAAAGAACATGGAGGTTAAAGTGCCCAAATCTTGCCGGCGACCCAAGCAACACATAAACACAAACAGAGAGCCACTGCAGAAGCTACTTAACCCTAGCCAGAGGGTTAAAATTATATAGGCAATGACCGTTTTAGGCGGGTCTGATATGTGTGCGACTGCGCAGGCGTACATCGCGCTGAACCCGGAAATGACCCAAAAATGTCACCAAAAGGGGTGGAATAGGGTGCAGGCTTTTTCAATGGTGTTCCCAATATATGCAATTTCACTTAAATGTGTGGTGTCTCGGAACGTAAACCCCACATAAAAGGAAAAGCGCCACATTTTTCTGAAATCACTATTGACTGCTACTATTGCAAACGCCCCAATGTGAGGTGCATATCCCATGCTTTGGGGACTCGTTCGTTCAAAATTAATGAGGTTTTTCTACATTTTGACCGAAAGCAGAGGTTTTTGTAAAATCTCATATGGGAGCACCTTCATAATTTTAATACCCCTCTGGCTGGGTGAAGGCCAAGAACCTTCGGCTGCAACTCCTGAACATTTAACTAGATCCAATGAGATGTTGAATAGAATCGCAGATGTGGCAGTGCGCATTTTGACAGCATCCCTACAGAACCGTCTCTCTGTCCAGCATTAACAACTGAAGACTTATTTTCCCCACGACTTAACTCTGCAGGCAGCAGAGGAAAAATTAAATCCAGGAGATTTACTGACAGTGAGACCTATGATAAAGCACAATGTAATTTATTCAGGGACGGGAGGCAAAGAGAAGGATTTTGTGCCCCTGGGGTCCTTTCCATCTAGGATTTCCAGAACTGGTGCAAGCACGTCTGCTCTCCCCGCCAAACAAAAACCCACCAGAGAGCCAGTGTGGTTGGTACTGGACTATGACTTGGGAGACCAGGGTTAAAATTCTCCACTTGGCTACCAAGTTCAACCTTGGGCCAGTCACTGCCTCCCAGTCTAGCCTACCTCACCAGGTTGTTGTGAGGAGGGGGAGAACCATGTACACCAGCCAGGACTCCTTGGAGGAAAAGGTGGGATACGCATGCAATAAACGAAGAAACAAACAAATTCCACAAGTTTAGCAACCCAGCGCAGGATTCCAGAAGGCATCATAAGCAAACAAACAAATGGGAGACTTCGCAAGGGAGTGTGATGTCCATGCGTTCGCCACAAATAAAATAATTGGTTGCTGCATGTGGAACCTCTCCTGGCACACATGCAACATGGTTTTAAAAATAGAAACTTTGGAGGAATCCATAAACAGGAGTCCACAAGAATTTTTCAGCAGGGGAGGAGGAATAAAACACTGGAAGAGGGAGATCAGGCTACTTAAGTCTTTTTTTATTTAAGGCAGCTGAGAGTCTGGGGGTTTGGGGGTCATCATAGGGGTGGTAGGGAAAGGAATTCCCCCACTCAGAGGATACCCATGGGCATAAGCGCCAAGAGAAGCAGGGGGAACTTGGGAGGGAAACATCCCAATTCCACGAAGCAGGGAAAGCATCAGTTTGGGACGGAAGGAATTTGCGCCGTGGGGAGCTGAGCACATGACAGAGTGTGCGCATGTGATTGATGTGCGGACGCCTTGCCAGAGGGAAAGCATGCTTTCAGACACACACACACACACATGCACACGCACACACACAGACACGTCAAAAGCAAGCAGGTTGCAAATATCTCTCCCTCAGCCAGCTATTATCTTTGCTTGCTCAGATGCCCCTTTCGCGAGCCAAACCCCTTGTTTATCTTCTCCTTCGCACACACGTAAATTCCTGTTGCTTTAAGCTGCTCCGGCTCTTAATTAAGGAGGAGCAGATGGCCGGCTCTTTGCCGCTTCCTCGCTAATGAGTCATTAGCCCTCTGCGCTGCTGTAGCAGCACCCGGGTGCCACTCTGCACCGCTCGCTGCCCGCTCCCTATGCGCTTTCTCTCCCCGCTAATGAATCTGCCATCCGCCCCCCCAAATACCCCAGCAGCTCAATGCCCCTTGCTGGTGCCCCACTAAATTCATAAAATCATAGAACAGAAGAGTTGAAAGGGACCCCAGGTTTCATCTAGACCAACCCCCTGCAATGCAGGGGTCTCAACTAAGGCATCCATGACAAACGGCCATCCAACCTCCCCAAGGAAGGAGAGAGCCCACCATCTTCTGAGAGGGATCGTTCCACTGTCGAAGGGCTCTTACTGCCAGAAAGTTCTTCCTGATGTTTAGTCGGAATCTCCTTTCTTGTTACTTGAAGCCATGGGTTCGGGTCCTACCCTCCAGATCAGGAGAAAACAAGCTCCTCCATGTGACAGCCCTTAAGGTTGTTTGCCCTTAAGGCAGGGGTCAGCTAACTTTTTCAGCAGGGGGCCGGTCCACTGTCCCTCAGACCTTGTGGGGGGCCGGACTATATTTTGGAAAAAAATAATAATGAACGAATTCCTATGCCCCACAAATAATCCAGAGAGGCATTTTAAATAAAAATACACATTCTGCTCATGTAAAAACACCAGGCACGCCCCACAAATAACCCAGAGAGGCATTTTAAATAAAAGGACACATTCTACTCATGTAAAAACACACTGATTCCCGGACCGTACGCGGGCCGGATTTAGAAGGCGATTTGGCCGGATTTGGCCCCCGGGCCTTAGTTTGCCTACTCATGCCTTAAGGTCTTTGAGGATGGCTAGCACATCTCCTCTCAGTCTCCTCTCTTCCGGGCTAAATATACATAAATTGCCTTGAAAGGAGAAAAACCACAACAAAGTACCCATCTGCGGTTGTCCAACAATATCGGGAGACCCAAGGTTGAGAAAGGCTGGGCTAGAGTATCGGACTAGGCAAGGGAGTGGCTAGAACCACCCCTCAGGTTGGTCCCAGCTAGGGAGCTCAATAAGAAACTCAACCAAGATTCCTACAAGACCATACCCTTATATTAACTTTACTGTAGTAAACTGAGCACAAGGTTGACACTTATATACAAACAGCTTAAAGGGACAGGGACCCCTGACCCTTAGGTCCAGTCGTGACTGACTCTGGGGTTGCGGCGCTCATCTCGCTTTACTGGCCGAAGGAGCCGGCGGACAGCTTCCAGATCATGTGGCCAGCATGACTAAGCCGCTTCTGGCGAACCAGAGCAGCACACGGAAACGCCGTTTATCTTCCCGCTGGAGCGGTACCTATTTATCTACTTGCACTTCATGCTTTCAAACTGCTAGGTTGGCAGGAGCAGGGACCGAGCAACGGGAGCTCACCCTGTCACGGGGATTTGAACCGCCGACCTTCTGATCGGCAAGTCTTAGGCTCTGTGGTTTAACCCACAGCGCTACATCATGTTAATTGCATAACTAGATCCACCCTGGCCATTCCACGTCAGCCAGCCACGACATGACATATTCAGGTTCTGATCCAAACCCCAGTGGCGTAGCATGGGATGGGGGGCCACGGACAAAGGCACAAAATTCTGAGGGGGCACAACCAGGCGCCCCCACACAGGCACTGGCTTCCACAGGGATCCCTGCCCCACCCTGGCAAAGGGGCAGAGCAGCTCAGGCCCACAGTGAGTGGGTGTGCGTGGACAGGCAGGTGGAGCAGGGCGGCCCCACTTGGCTCCAGCGGAGGGGCGTTTCAGTGGAGGTGGTGTCTTGCCCACACCGGATGCCAGCAACCCACGCTATGCCACTGCCAAACCCCCTTACAGGTCATTAGCTGGTACAATAAACTAACTTCAGATCAGGACAGTCACAGCAAACAGATTACAAAAAGGTTGATCTTTAAATTCAAACATGCAAATCTTTTATCACCCTTTTCTCTTCAATAGGCATAGTCACACATTAGCGAGGGCCTCTACACCTCTTCCTTGTAATAATCAGGTTCAAGCTAACTGATGCTTAGCAAATATGAACGAATATGTATCAAGAAATAGGAATAGATGCTCATACATTGAATTATCTGAAACATTAACAACCTCTAATGACTTTTTATTCCTAATCCCATTAGCTCCTTTGCTACCATTTGCAGTGCTTCTGCAGTAGACACGGCATTAAATCAACAACTCTTTGCTCACCCTTGTGTTTGCAAAAGCAAATGCCCTTTGTCCTGAACAAGGTCAATCCATAGTTTTCATTACTTCTGTTATAAGTGTTTATTATGCAAGGGGTTTTAGAGGGGAGCAATTCCAAATAACAGGGGAGAAGCAGTTTTTCCCTTCACACTAAGCCCTGGAAGAGACCACCAGTGGCATAGCGTGGGTTGCTGGAGACTGGGCCAGGCAAGCTGCTCACACTGCCACACCCCCCCTCCGGAGCCCCACTAGCCCTTAAGACCCAAGTTTGAATCAAAGAACTGTAGAGCTGAGGGGGACCATAAGGGTCATCTAGTCCAACCCCCTGCAATGCACAAATCCTGCCCACAGCCGTCCCTGATTGGGCTCGAACCACCAACCTTCTGTTTAACTGCCAGATGCACGGACCCAATGCAACATTGGGGGCTGTTGTTATTATTACAGGCCTTATAAATTAATACAAGAACCTCGAACCTGGTGTGGGCGGGGCTATGGCCCCAAAGTGGGAGGGGCTTGCCAGAATCCATATCACTCTTTGTCTCCTTGCCACCCCCTTTTCTGTCTCTCCGACACACCCCTTCACACACATACACACACACAGCATGGAAGGAAATGCACTTTCTGGAGGGGTGGTCTAGACAAGAGGAGTCTCACACTGTCCAGAGTTACAGGTTGCTGTATTTATAAAGGCATAAAGAGGAAATCATGGTTTTCATAAGAACATTAGGAGACCCTGCTGGATCAGGCCTTATAGCTTTGGAAGATAAGGGATTAAAAAAAGAAGATCTTATCACAATTTAGATAAATGTTAATACAGTGGTACTTTGGTTCTCAAACGCCTTGGTACTCAAACAACTTGGAACCCAAGCACTGCAAACCCAGAAGTGTTCCGGTGTGTGAACTTTTTTCGGAAGTCGAACGTGCTCCGTTTTGAGTGTTACGCTGAGATCTGTCTGTTTTTGCCATTTATTTTGTGTTTTTGTTTTTGTGGCTCTTTTTGTTTTGTTTTTGTGACTGTGTGGAACCCAATTCAGCTACTGACTGACTGATTGATTGTGTGACTGCAGCGCATTGTTTATTGCTTTCATTTTATGGATAAGTGGTCTCGTTGCTGTTTTAGGGGTTGTTTTTAAAAGTCTGGAATGGATTAATCCATTTTGCACTACTTTCTATGGGAAAGCACACCTTGGTTTTGGAACGCTTTGGTTTTGGAACGGACTTCCGGAACGGATTAAGTTTGAGAACCAAGGTACCACTGTAAAAGAGTATTGTGCACACCGTGTGGCTGTTTGCTTAGAGAACCTTGTTCAGCTGAAAAGGAATTGGTGCATGTACAAAATAATCGCAATAATCTTCCAGCTCCAAAAGGCACCCCCTCCCCATCCCAGAGGGACAGACACCACCCAGCCCCTCCACCACCAGCCGTTCCGGAGTCTTTGCCACACTCTCAAAGGGCATTCCAGCCAGTTGCTTACATGTTTCAGCTCGAAAAGCACCTTCCGCGTCAAATCGATCCGCTTCCTGTTTACATGTTTCACGGCCACAAGGTTTCCCTGAAAGGAGACACAGAAATCAGGGAGGAGGAGAGAGGGAATCGTGCTGCTGAGGTTGCAGGGGGAAAGAAGACTGGCCAGTTCGGCCGCTTTGCAAGGGAGCCGTCCGCCTACCCATCGACTCATCCACCTGGGCCAGCTCAATGGTTAACCTCAGAAAGATGAGCCTGTTCGAGAAGGCCAGTGGAGGCTCACCATAGTCCAGCATCCTGTTCTCGCAGTGGCCATATGCCCCAAAGAACCTAGGGATCCAGATAGACTGCCTCTGGACCTGGAGGCTCCAAATAATAATAATTATTATTATTTATTATTATTTATACCCTGCCCATCTGGCTGGGCTTCCCCAGCCACTCTGGGCGTCTTCCCAAAAAATATTAAAATACCGTAATACACCAAACATTAAAAGCCTCCCTAAACAGGGCTGCCTTCAGATGTCTTCTAAAAGTCTGATAGTTATTCTTCTCTTTGACATCTGGTGGGAGGGTGTTCCACAGGGCGGGTGCCACTACCAAGAAGGCCCTCTGCCTGGTTCCCTGTAACTTGGCTTCTCACAGGGAGGGAACTGCCAGAAGGCCCTCGGTGCTGGACCTCAGTGTCCGGGTAGAACGATGGGGGTGGAGACGCTCCTTCAGATATACTGGACCGAGGCCGTTTAAAGACGCCAGAGAGCCTGGCTGCTAGATCAGTGTCCAGCATCATTTTCTCACAGATGCCAACCAGATGCCCCAGGGTTTCAGCTACTGGAACTCCAGCAGCTGGAATTCAGAAGAACTGCTGCCTCCAGCCGCCGAGGCAGACCACGGACATCGTGGCTAGTGGCCATTGATGACTTTATCCACCACGAGAGGAGCAAGAGGCGCTATGGCAGGGGTCAGCAAACTTTTCCAGCAGGGGGCCGGTCCACTGAATCTCAGACCTTGTGGGGGGCCGGACTATATTTTTGGGAGGGGAAATGAACGAATTCCTATGCCCCACAAATAACCCAGAGATGCATTTTAAATAAAAGGACACATTCTACTCATGTAAAAACACGCTAATTCCTGGACCGCCCATGGGCCGGATTTAGAAGGCGATTGGGCCGGATCCGGCCCCCGGGCCTTAGTTTGCCTACCCATGTGCTATGGGTTGGCCCTACCTGGTCCACAAGACCTGCAATAAACATCGGCGTGTCCTGTCTTCCAATAAGGACAGAATCTTCTTTCCAAGGTTTACCTTATAATAAGCTGTCTTGGCATAAACCTGGAACTGTCCCTCTGTGGTGAGAAGGGAGCCATAGTTCGAGCCTCTCTGCGGAAGGAAAGCAGAGAGGGAACGTCTGGCAGCAGAGCAAAAACAAAACAAAACACCTCCCCACCCACACCCCAGATCTTCATTTGCTGAACAAGCGCAGCCTGAACAGCGTTAAAACCTACAAATCTGAACATTTCAGGTGTGAGGATCCGAATTCCCAGAGTGGTTTATCCACCAACCCGTCTTGGCAGGGATCTCTGGGAGTTGCAGCTCTGCAAGGGGAATTAGGGGAGGGAGGTTCTCCTGAATAACTCTCAGGACCTTTAACAAATGAGAGTTCCCAGAATCCTTTGGGGAAAACCATGATTCTTTAAAGTGGCACCAAAGTGGTTGAAGCAGAGCGCAGAGGCTGCATGGTGCAGTGGTTAGTGCTGGAGGAAGACCTGGGAAAAGACCAGGGTTCACATCCCCACTCAGTCATGAAGCTCTTGGGACGGCCCCTCCCTCTCAGCCTAACCTGCCTGGGAGGGATGTTGTGAGATGGGGAAGAGAACCACGAATGCTGCCGTGAACTCCTTGGAGGAAAAGGCGGGATATAAATGAAATGAATAATAATAATAATAATAATTTATTTATACTCCACCCATGTGGGTGGGTTTCCCCAGCCACTTTGGGCGGCTTCCAACAAAATATTAAAATACAATAGTGCGTCAAACATTAAAAGCTTCCCTAAACAGGACTGCCTTCAGATGTCTTCTAAAATTCTGGTGGTTGTTTTTCTCTTTGACATATACTGTATTTTTCCATGTATAAGACGCCCCCTATTTTTGGGGACTCCAAATTAAGAAAACACCCCCTCAGCACTACCCGTTTTAAACCTAATTTTCTGGTTAAAAAAACCTAGTCTTATACACAGAAAAATATGGTAAATAATATTGGTTAGAAACAAGAGGAAGGGGCTTCTGGAAGATGGATGGGACCTGGGGATAGCTCAGTCAGTAAAGCATGAGACTCTTAATCCCAGGGTCTTGGATTCAAGCCCCACACTGCGCAAAAGATTTTGACATTGCAGGGGGTTGGACTAGATGGCCCTCGTGGTCCCTTCCAACTCTACGTTTCTAGGGTTCAATGACTCACCAGGGAGAGAGTGAGTTTGCTCCCCATGCTGCGGAGGTTCTTCTCCAAGTTGCTGGACTGGACGTCCTCCCATTGCACCCGCCACAGCTCAGAGGCCAGCTCCTTCTCCAGCTTCAGTTTCCTGGGAGGGGAGGGGAGGGCAGCGGCAGAGGTCAGGGCTCACGGACTTCTGGCCTGGCAAGCTTCCCACCCACCCTGACCTCCTTCCTCTTTTATCACTGCAAATGCACAATCGCAAACGTATCGCCTCGCAAAACTGCGTTCTTTATCTGAGGTCCTGCTCCGTGGGCCCTCTCCCATGGTGGCGACACAAGTAATAATAATAATAATAATTTATTATTTATACCCCGCCCATCTGGCTGGGTTTCCCCAGCCACTCTGGGCAGCTTCCCACAGAATATTAAAATTCAATAATCTATTAAACATTCAAAGCTTTCCTAAACAGGGCTGCCTTCAGGTGTCTTCTAAAAGAACAGGCCTTCTTGGTGGTGGCTCCCTGTTTAGGGAATGCTCTCCCCAGGGAAGCACGCCTGGTGCCATCACTATCTGTTTTAGGCGCCAGGGGGGAATTCATATTCACCCAGATCTTAATTTTCTGCCATGCAGTGGGCTTGCATCTTATAAAAGGTAAAGGTAAAGGGACCCCTGACCATTAGGTCCTGTTGTGGCCGATTCTGGGGTTGCGGCGTTCATCTTGCTCTATAGGCCAAGGGAGCCGGCGTACAGCTTCTGAGTCATGTGGCCAGCATGACTAAGCCACTTCTGGAGAACCAGAGCAGTGCACGGAAACACCGTTTACCTTCCCGCTGGAGCGGTACCTATTTATCTACTTGCACTTTGACGTGCTTTTGAACTGCTGGGTTGGCAGGAGCAGGGACCGAGCAATGGGAGCTCACCCCGTCATGGGGATTCGAACCGCCGACCTTCTGATAGGCAAGTCCTAGGCTCTGTGGTTTAACACACAACGCCACCCACGTCCTTGCATCTTATACACACACACAAATTCCTATGTACTGTATTAGGTTGGTTTATCCTTGTTTTCCATGTTCATTTTTTTGTAAGCTGCATTGTGTTCCATTTTTAGGAACCGCCTTACTTTTTATGTTTGCGAGTTGTCAGACACAGGGGACAAAACAAGTTAGAAGGGGAATAGGCACCAGGTGGCATCCATCTAAGTTCTACTTACACGCATTGCAATTAACGGAGCCGAGTTAGCCACGTTAACTGATTTAAGTGGGTCTACTCTGAGTAGGATTAGCCCCTGAATACAACTCATTACTTTCCAGCAGGACCTGTGCCAGGTAGCAGGCCAGCAAACAAACAGAAGGACATCAGGTCGAATCCAGCAGGGCCGTTCTTACTTTTGGCAGCACCTGTCCACAAACTCTGCCCAGCCACTCACCTGTACACAAAGAAAGCTGTGACAATGATGACGGACAGGACCAAGGTCATCGTGAGGGAGAGGATCTCCAGCAGAGAGAAGGAGGCTGTAGCCAAGAGAAGGAAATGAAGGGAGAGGGAGGGACAACCATTAGCCAGCTATTTCCCCTTAAAACTAGGGAGGAGAGCCTTTTCCTAAAGCCTGAGGGCCGGAAATCTTCTTCTGAGCAGCCTTCCAAGGGCCACATGCTTGGTTTTTGAAAAACAGGGGGTCCACAGTCCTTAGCTAATTGGGAACCACTGGGTTAAGCCCAACTGGATCAGCCCCCAAGGTAACCCCACACAGCCAGCAGAAGGGGCCTTCTTGGGATCCCCTCCAGTACCTTTTTGGCAGGCCGGGTTGGTGTTCTCAAAACCACAGAAGGGCACATCCCTTGGGATGCCGTTCCCTGGCCAGTGGATATCCTTTCCGGGAACCATCTTGATCTTCTTGGTGATCCCATTGTAAGTGGCGACAATCTGTGGAAAGAAAGGGATCGGGGGGGGGCGGGGGCGTGGAGAGAAGGGAGAAGAGAAGGAGATGGAGGCAGGGAACCATTTTTCCTCCTTGGTGAGGATGAGGAGCCCGAGGGACGCATTCTTTTCTGGGAACCATGTTGGGGGCCGCACAGCAGTGGTGGGGGAGGAGCCAGGAGTAAAAGTCGGCAGAGCCACAAATGTAACTTTTGGCTTTGGACAGTGGGCTGGTTTCTATGCACAAACACACAAGCACACACAAATACACAAGCACACACACACATCATGAAGAGGTAGACTTCAAGGAGGAGTGGAAACCTTTTGCTGAATATCTGAAGAATTATTGTAAACATGTTAAAACGTACGTAGGTGTTATGTACTGAGTTGAATAGGATCCAAAATGCAGCAGTCTGATTGGTCCTAGAACAATAGGATTCAGAATGCAGCAGTCTGATTGGTCCACAGGAGCCACCCAATCGAGCTCCAGGTAGAAGTGAATCCACAACCTGATTGGCCTACAGGAGAATCCCGGAACTAGCCAATCACGTGGGGCCCATTGTGTAAATAATGTATATAAAGCAGACATTCTGGGGGAACTTCCATTCCTCCTCACCACTATGAGCTGAATAAAGAGCATGAAATCCACTCTCGACTCCGAGTATATTTCAGTAGGATTTGAATGAATAACAGCAGTTGAATACTTGTTGGGGTACAGTGTGGAAAAGATAAAGCATAGAATATTTATAATATGCAGCAAATTTAGAAACTGCAGGGGAATCCACGGAGGGGTTGAGGGGAACTCAAACGTGAAATGGATGTATACTTGGAAGTATGTATCGTCTTGAAAACTTTTGAAATTTAAAAATAAACTTCAAAACAAACTCAAACACACAAACACACCTCTGCATCCTCTATCCAGGCAAGCAAAGGGCATGGTCAGAGTTGAAGGACAAATTCCAGAGAGGCAAAAGTACCCAAGGAGGGACTGCACAAAGCAGGAATGATAAAGGACGCAGCCTCCAGAGTGGGGTTGGGGAAGAGTCCTGGGGGCCAAATAAAGAGGCTGCGGGGCCACATTCGTTCCCCATGATGGAGGACCCCTGCTCTATGGACGTGGGTTAAGGTCTTCAAGTCTGACAGCGTTGATGAGCTTCTTCACACAGCCTGCCCCACCAGTGGAACTCACTGCCACAAGGGCATGGTGACGATCACTGGTTTAAATGGCTCTGAAAAGGAGACGGGGGATTTCTGTGGGTGAGGGGTCTCATCACTGGCGCTTACCCATGATGCCCCCACGTTCAGGGAGGGGTCTACCTTTGAATACATGTTGTGGGGAGTGGAGAGAACAGACAGACAAGCAACAAAAGGAGCAAACCTCAAACTCCCCCTCTGTCGGGTTCATGTCCCAGAGGGAAAAATCCATCTCCCGGTCGCCGCTCTCGTCGATCTTCAGGGTCCCTGTGACCCCTGCCGAAAGAAGGAAGGAGAGGAGGAAAAACAGGAATCCCACACTGGTCCTTGAGGAGAGGTGAACATATCTGCCACACGCATCTCAATGGGTCTACTCTGAGCACATCCTGAAACATCCAACCTTTGTTCTAAAACCTTCACGTTTCTTCTGACTTGGTCTTTCTTTCAAAAGGAAAAGCACCAAGGCTGGATGGATGGGACTTCCTGGCTGCAGCAGGCAATGTGGTCGCACCCGCGCCATACATTTAAACTATGTAGCTTCCCACAAAGGATGCTGGGAAATGCAGTTCCCCTCTCGCAGAGCTACAGTTCCCAGCACCCTACAAACTACAGCTCCCAGGATTCTTCCGGAGGAAGTCATGTGCTTTAAATGTATGAGGTTGTGTTTGACTACGTTCTACTCAGAGGAGACCCACTGAAATTAATGGCTCTACACAATAACATAAGGAGAGTCCGCTGGATCAGGGCAATGGCCCTTCTAGTCCGGCCATCCACCCGATGCCTACAGGAAACCCCTGAGCAGGATTGGACCACGAATGCCTTCTCCCCTCCTGTGGTTTCCAGTAACTGGAATTCAGAAACATTTCTGCCTCTGACCACGGATCTCCTCCACGGATTTCTCCAATCCTCTTTTAAAGCCGTCCAGGCTGGTGGCCATCCTGACTACATCTTGTGGCAGCGAGTTCCACGGGTCAGCTATGTGCTGCACTGAGAAGGACTTTCTTTCATCCACCCTGAATCTTTAACAGGAGATGGCGGGGATCGAACCCACGACCCCTCTGCATGCGAAACGGGAGTTCTACCGCTGAACTACAGTCCCTGCCCAGCAACCATTTTTTTGTGGCATAACAGTTAGTTAGAGCAGGGTTTCCTAAACTTGGGCCTCTGGCTGTTTTTGGACTACAATTCCCATCCTCCCTGATCCACTTGTCCTCCTAGCTAGGAATGATGGGAGCTGTAGTCCAACAACAGCTGGAGACCCAAGTTTAGACCAGGACCTGGGAGAGGCCAGGGTTCGAATCCCCACTCAGCCACGGAACTCACCTTGGGGGCAAAGTCCCTTCCTCTCAGCCAAGCCTACCTCACAGGGTTGTTGGGAGGACAAAAAAAGGGGGGAAACATTTAAAACAAAAACAAAAAAAACCAACAGCACGAAACCTGGGAGGGATGAGAGGTACTGACCATAAAAAGTCCGGTTTTGCATCTGGCGGGTGGTCAAGGTGGCGTTGGAGAAGGATCCCTCCTGCTCCAGCATCTCACTGGCTGCTTGAGCGTAGAGCATCACTCCGTCGTGAAAGGCAGCAGCGATGAAGTTTTTCTGGAAAGCAAGACGGCCAAGCCAGTTAGATTTGCCTCTGCGTCACTCAGCCCGGGGGGGGGGGGGAACAGGGCGGGTGCCACCAGACCAGGAGGGGGTCCTTTCCGGGCACAGCACCAACTTCAGAATGCCAACTCATCGGCGAGGTTAAAATCAATGGGGCACGTACCTCTGCTCACTGTGGGACTGCGGTATTTGGGTCAAAATGTTTGGGGGGGGGTTCGGTTTATAATAAACAGGGTGCCGGCGTGGTTTATAACAATGGAGAGCCAGTAACGGCCTAGTGCCTGGGTAGGCAAACGAAGGCCTGGGGGGCAGGATCCGGCCCAATCGCCTTCTAAATCTGGCCCGTGGACGTTCTGGGAATCAGCGTGTTTTTACATGAGTAGAATGTGTCCTTTTATTTAAATGCATCTCTGGGTTATCTGTGGGGCCTGCCTGGTGTTTTTACATGAGTAGAATGTGCCCTTTTATTTAAAATGCCTCTCTGGGTTATTTGTGGGGCACAGGAATTTGTTCATTCCCCCCCCCCGGAAGAAGAAGAAGAAGAAGAAGAAGAAGAAGAAGAAGAAGAAGAAGAAGAAGAAGAAGAGGAGTTTGGATTTGATATCCCGCCTTTCACTCCCTTTAAGGAGTCTCAAAGCGGCTAAAATTCTCCTTTCCCTTCCTCCCCCACAACAAACACTCTGTGAGGTGAGTGGGGCTGAGAGACTTCAAAGAAGTGTGACTGGCCCAAGGTCACCCAGCAGCTGCATGTGGAGGAGCGGGGAAGCGAACCCGGTTCACCAGATTACGAGACTACCGCTCTTTTTTTTTTTTAAAAAAAATATTTATTATTTTTCCAAAAACTTAAACACTAAAAAGACAATACAATACAACACATCAAACTAACAAAACAAAACAAAAACAATAAAATAAATCAAACAATTTCATTACCCCATCTTTCATTCACTTATTTCCACGACCTCCTCACACCTCCCTCTTTGTATTCCACTTCTATTAATTATTTCAGCAATTCCTTTCCATCTTCCTCTGCTTTCTATCCTATATTTATCTTAACTCATTCTAACCTTATTTTTCCTTTAATACTCCATTAACCTATCTGTACTTAATTCCTTATAACATTTCTACTAAAGCCATATAACTTCATTCCAACATTTTTCTAACATTCATTAATTTTACAATATTTCTGTAGATAGTCTTTAAATTTTTTCCAATCTTCTTCCACCGACTCTTCTCCCTGGTCTCGGATTCTGCCAGTCATTTCCGCCTCGAGACTACCGCTCTTAACCACTACGCCACACTGGCTCTTTCCCCAAAAAATATAGTCTGGCCCCCAACAAAGTCTGAGGGACAGTGGACCGGCCCCCTGCTGTAAAAGCTTGCTGACCCCTGGCCTAGTGGTTAGAGTGCTGGAGTAGGACGTGGGAGGGAGCAGGGTGCGTAGCTCACGGGCCCTGGCCTACCTCACAGAGGATAAAATGGGGAGCGGAGAACCGTGCAGCTCAACTCGGAGACATTTCTTGGCTTGTTTACCCAGAGGTCAAACCTGTTTCCTACAACTTTGCTTCCCCTCTGAAGTTGAGAGACACCGTTTCATCCCAGCCCGAGGGCCAAATCCCCTCCGGGGCAACTTTCTGGGGGCCACATGCCTTCGGTGGATGGGCCAGAGGTGGAAGTGGGTGACGGGGGAGGTCAGTGCAGGTGGGTCAATGGGTGCGACCGTCACCTTAATACGGAAATCTCTGAAATGTCCTTTTTTCACACGGAATGCAGTGTAGCGGTTAGAGTGCTGTACTAGAACCCAGGAGTGGCCAGGGTTCGAATCCCGCTTGGCTGCGTGAATTTTGCTGGGTGTGACCTTGGGCATGAAGCTCTCTTAGAAGGGGAAGAAATGGAGGCAGTGAGAGATTTTACTTTCTTGGGCTCCATGATCACTGCACGTGGTGACAGCAGTCGCGAAATTAAAAGACGCCTGCTTCTTGGGAGAAAAGCAATGAAAAACCTAGACAGCATCTTAAAAAGCAGAGACATCACCTTGCCAACAAAGGTCCGTATAGTTAAAGCTATGGTTTTCCCAGTAGTGATGTATGGAAGTGAGAGCTGGACCATCAAGAAGGCTGATCGCCGAAGAATTGATGCTTTTGAATTATGGTGCTGGAGGAGACTCTTGAGAGTCCCATGGACTGCAAGAAGATCAAACCGATCCATTCTTAGGGAAATCAGCCCTGAGTGCTCACTGGAAGGACAGATCCTGAAGCTGAGGCTCCAAGACTTTGGCCACCTCATGAGAAGAGAAGACTCCCTGGGAAAGACCCTGATGTTGGGAAAGATGGAGGGCACAAGGAGAAGGGGACGGCAGAGGACGAGATGGTTGGACAGTGTTCTTGAAGCTACCAGCATGAGTTTGACCAAACTGCGGGAGGCAGTGGAAGACAGGAGTGCCTGGCGTGCTCTGGCCCATGGGGTCACGAAGAGTCGGACACGACTAAACGACTAAACAACAACAACTTCACAGGGCTGTTCTGAGGATGAAACGGGGAGGGGGAAACCACATACGCCACCCCCTTGGAGGAAAAGGCAGAGCATTGATTTAAATAAATGAATAACAAAAACACGCACCGTTGCAAAATAATGGATTGCTAGGCAGGCATTCCCAGTCAATAGGCCTCCCCCAGACCCTCTTTGCCTGGTGTGGGGAGCCGGGAGGGCAAATCTACCATCGCTGCTTCCTTACCAGCCCGTCTTCCATGGTGAAATTGAACTGCGCTTGAGCCCCTTCCTTGACCTCCTGCAGGAACGGCCTGTATTCCGGGTTGGTGGGCTCTGCGTACGTGATGATCATGACGGCCTGCGCAGAGGGTGAGAGGGAGGCGTGCGCTCAAAATCACTTGGAATCATCACAGAACAGTAGGGACCAACAATGCAGGAATCACAGCTAAGGAACCCCCCTGACTGTCGGCCACCCAGCCTCTGTTTAATAACCTCCAACGAAGGATAGTCCGCCGCCATCTGTTCATCGTAAAACAGCTCTTGCCTTCAGTAAGTTCTCCCTAATGTTTAGTTGGAATCTCCTCTTGGAAGTTCGGAAGCAGGGGCGATGGGAACAGCCCTCCCTCTGTGATTCACCCCCAAAAATCAGGTCCTTGGAGTTACACTGCTCCTGTCTATGGAGTTTCCACTTAGCTATTTTGCTTTATAGCAATTGAGAGACCTTCATGAACATACCTTAAGCCCCTCGTTTCAAGAAACCAACAGTCTAACCCAGGGGTGGCAAAGCTGTGGCCATTCGAGGTTGTGTCAAACTAAGTTATACTCAGGGTAGACCCCCTGAATTTCATGAGCCTAAGGTAGTCGTAGGGACGTGGGTGGCGCTGTGGGTAAAAGCCTCAGTGCCTAGGATTGCCGATCGAAAGGTCGGCGGTTCGAATCCCCGCGGCAGGGTGCGCTCCCGTTGCTCGGTCCCAGCGCCTGCCAACCTAGCAGTTCGAAAGCACCCCCAGGTGCAAGTAGATAAATAAGGACCGCTTACTGGCGGGAAGGTAAACGGCGTTTCCGTGTGCTGCGCTGGCTCGCCAGATGCAGCTTTGTCACGCTGGCCACGTGACCCGGAAGTGTCTCTGGACAGCGCTGGCCCCTGGCCTCTTAAGTGAGATGGGCGCACAACCCTAGAGTCAGACATGACTGGCCCGTACGGGCAGGGGTACCTTTACCTCTAACAAGGTAGTCATAGAAGGGATGCAGGTGGCACTGTGGGTTAAATCACAGAGCCTAGGACTTGCTGATCAGAAGGTCGGTGGTTCGAATCCCCGCGACGGGGTGAGCTCCCGTTGTTCAGTCCCTGCTTCTGCCCATCTAGCAGTTCGAAAGCACGTCAAAGTGCAAGTAGATAAATAGGTACTGCTCCAGCGGGAAGGTAAACAGCGTTTCTGTGCGCTGCTCTGGTTCGCCAGAAGCGGCTTAGTCATGCTGGCCACATGACCCGAAAGCTGTACGCCGGCTCCCTCGGCCAAAAAAGCGAGATGAGTGCCACAATCCCAGAGTCAGCCACGACTGGACCTAATGGTCAGGGGTCCCTTTACCTTTTAAGGTAGTCATGGCTGTTAATTTAATTGGGTTTAACGCTGGATATAACAGTGGGCTTCAAAAATCAAAACTAGTTTGTATTAAGGATTTTCTTGTGTTACCAAACAAATAAACAAGCGAAAATACATACAGTGTCTCCATTATTCAGCTCATAGAATCTTTTTCACAGTTTGTGAAACCCCTCTGTTTTTAAAGCCTTCTAAGCCAGAGGTGGAAAACCTGGAACCCAACAGCTGAAAGTGGCCCCCTAAGCCTCTCTCTCTCCTCAAACTCAGATCCTGCCTTTTGTGAGGGGGGGTGCGCAAGTGTGTAGAAATTAGCCCTACCGAACCACAGGTGAAATTCCCACCTGTTGCCTTGCTCACTTCCCCCGCTAGCCTTGCCCACCTCTGCCATGCGGCCCTCGGAAGGCTTCCCAGACATAAATGTGGCCCTCAGATTGAAAACAAAGTTGTGTGTCTCCCAACCACCAAGCCAACAGGCATTAAGAGGCAATGAATCCTGCCCCTCGCCCCATAGATATTCAGGTCGGCTCTCAGCTCCCTGGGCTATTAATAGCCTATAACTTGCCCGCTACTCCGGGGGAATTATCTTGCTTCCTTCCTCTCACGCCGGAGAAAAGCAAAGCCGGCCAGGTCTGGCCAAAGTCATCGCCCTTTCCCTCCACCCTAAACCCCCCTCAGCGCCCCTCTCCTCCGACGGGATCTTGTGCAGGGAGGGAGTCCCAGTCCAAAAAGGCACAACAGGGATGCCGGGTAGGATTCAAACCCAGTACTCCAGGAGTTAAATGGGTGGGTGGGTGGGTGGCAGGAAGGAAGGAAGGAAGAATAAAGAATTTGCCGAGGCCCGAGAATACAATCCATTGCCTTCGTGCCCATAGGAAGTTGCCTCACGCAGACTGACCGTTGCTCCAGCTAGCGCAGGGTTACCTACACTGACTGGCAGCAGCTCACAGGGAGCCTTTCGCAGCCCTACTTGGGGACTCCTACACACAAAGCAGGAGCTATAGTCGTTCCCCTGATTTAAGTAAGGTTCTAGTCCTCATTGTTCGGAATAAATGCCTGGTTTCAAGCACTGCCTAAGACCGGCTGTAAGGCCCAAAGCCTGCCTTGCAAGATTCCTAACCAGGCTTGACCAACTCAGAAACTTCATTCTGAGGTGCAGATACACACAACTCTTTTCTCTTTGGCAGGTTGAGAGGAGTTCCCTACCAGGACAGACTTTGCTCGTGTGCTCAAGAAATCGATTCTATAAAACATATTTTGCTGCACTGTGCGAAATACGAGCAAGCCAGGGCTGAACTGATATTACCCTTGCTGGTACTTTTCCCGGGAAAATCAGAGGCTCACTATGTCAGGTTCCTATTGGAAGACCGGACAAACGCTAGAACATTAGCAGTGGCGAAGTTTTTATTGGTGGTTGCAAGAACCAACGATCCCTATCTTTAAGTCAGAACAAAATGCTTGTTTAACCTGGAGGTAGGCTGTCTGAATTGTGCATTGCTTTGTAACGATTTGTTGGGTCTCTGGACCGTAATAAAGATTGATTAATTTTCTCTTGTAAGCAGGATACTGCCCGAACCGCAGCTCCCTTCTGTGCCTGGAGAGGGCGTCGTGATTCCCAAGCGCAGAACTGAGGCCTAGTAACTTGAGACCCCGGCAAATCTTGACAATGGCCAGCTCAGCTGCCAACCTCCGCCCGCCTCGGCCTCAGGGCAGCTTCCAAGTCCGTCACAAAGCCTCATTGTCATGCCCGTCCCTGATGCTCCCAAGGCGCTGGGATCCCCGCCAGGCACTCGCAGTTCCCCCACGGAAGCACAGCAACCTCCGCAAGGCCTCCTCTGCCAGGTGTTCTTGGCACAACGGCCACGTTTCTCTCTTTCTCTCTCGGCGGCCGCTTCCTGGCAAAGCATCCGCGCCTTTTAACGGCTTCCTGACTGGCAGAAGTTCCAGAAGTCCAGCTTTCCCTGTCACCTGCCGTTGCCAGGAACAAGCTTCCCCGGTTGAATTTCTGCCTGTCGCTTGGCTTTTTTTCCCAGCCCGAGGGCCGCTTCCCCTCATCGGTGACCTTCCAGGGGCCGCGTGCCTGTGGTGGGCAGGGTAACTGAAGGCTATATTCAGCCAGAGGTCTCCCTTCCTGGGCATGGGGAGTGGGGCATATGCCACACAGAGGCCCAAGGGCCAGTTAGAGAGGCCCCGAGGGCCACATTCCATGGTGGGCGGGGCCAGAGGCAAAGTGGGTGGAGCAACAGATGGGACCCTGACACTGAACACACACCAAGAAAAGTCAGAATTTTCCACACACCGCCTATTAAAAGACTACAATTCCCAACACGGTTTATCAATCAGTCCCGGGGAACTCTGGGAACTATAGCTCTGTGAGGGGAATAAGGGCCACCTAATAACCCTCAGCGCCCTTTAACAAACTACCATTCCCAGTATTCAATGAGGGAGGAGCAATGGCTGTTTAAAGTGATATCAAAGTACTCTTAAGTGCATGGTGTGAATGTGTGAATGTTAAGTCCATTAATTTCAATGGGTCTCTACTTTGAGTGGGGCTTAATTGCCACGGCTTCCCCCCAAGAATTCTGGGAGCTGTAGTTTGTTAAGGGTGCTGAGGGTCGCTAGGAGACTCCCCCATTCCCCTTCACAGAGCTACAATTTCCAGAGGTGGCTTCACAATCGATTCCTCTTCCCAGGTTTAAAGTGACATCGCAGCGCTTTAAATGTACAGTGTCAAAATGGCCATTAATCTCAGCGGGTTTCCACTCTGAGAGGGGCTTAATTGCCTACAACCCAGAAGTCCGCACTGCGGGGGGGAAACAATGGACAAACTCTGTCAAATACGTACAAATGCATATTCGTTTCAGCTCAAACCACGTGCGGCGGGAAAAGGACCGCCCGCCAGGGGTGGCGTTGACGGCTGCACGGGAGCCTTACCTTGTAGGCCTCGCGGGCAACGGTGTCGTTCCCGTCGCCCCGTCGCCAGGGAAGCTGCCGGTCGGGGAATGTGGAGCCCTGCAGGCTCGCCCCAAAGAGGTCGATGTAGAGGAAGGAGTATTCGCCCGCGGCAAGCCCCTCGCGATGCGCGTGGACCATGAGCTCGCGGAAGATGTCGGGGGCGCAGCAGACGAACACGACTGCAAGGCAGAGAAAGTAAGGCTGTGAGCAGGGCGGACGCTGCGGTCGCAAAGACGTCTCGACACACCGGGGTGGGAAATGTGAAAGGCGGAGCCCTGCTTTGGGACGAGAGAAAGCAAATCACTAACATGTTGGGTTATTTCATTTCATTTCATTCTTTAAATTTAGTTACCGTATTTCTTTTTTGAATGGCACAGCTTCTGCCCACCTAGCCGTTCGAAAGCATGTCAAAGTGCTAGTAGATAAATAGGTACCACTCTGGCGGGAAGGTAAATGGCATTTACGTGCGCTGCTCTGGTTCGGCAGAACGGCTTAGTTATGCTGGCCACATGACCCACATGACTCCCTAGGCCAGTAAAGCGAGATGAGCGCCGCAACCCCAGAGTCGGCCACGACTGGACCTAACGGTCAGGGGTCCCTTTACCTTTACCTTTAAGAATACATCCATAAGTACATAAACCACATGTCTGAAATAGAACAGCAATCCCAAAGCCATCTTGACTCTTAATGACCCCAAATATTTCCTCTGCAGAAGGAAATATCTTAGGAAAATCTCTCCCAATGGTTCTTTTCACTTACACATCCTTCAGCTCCTGTCTTAAGGGCATCTTTTGTGTAGGAATAGAGTAAGTCTGTGACCTGAAGTATTTAGCATCTCCAAAGAATGGCCCAGACTGGCTAGGTAATGCAGTGACCATTGTATCTTGACCAACAGGAGACAAACCACACTCTCAGATTTCAGTTTTATTTCATCACCTCTTTCTGTGGTGCTTTTGGGTGGCCTTTGGCTAAGGGGCTGGGGAATTTCGAAAATCTTTAAAAGTTCTCGCACAACTTTGTTCAGGGTCCTCACCTCCTTGCAAGGGGGCCTCTGTTGCAACAGAAAACTAAAGATCCGCCTTGCTTTTTCTTCTGCAGGTTCCTGCCTCCACTCATTTTCCTCTGACTGATAACTGATTTAGGGGACACTGAATTCCTTGGTGGAGAGTTGAGCTGTAAAAGCCAACCCCAAATTTTCCTGCGGCAGTTGCAAGTGCGGATGGAAGCCATTTCAAAGCACGACCGCGTTTGCACCCGCCAACCTTTCTCCAACGAAAACGAGGCTGTTGACGTGTGTTCTCTCTCTGCCAGTTGACAGGGCTCAGAGGCGGGCAGAGGGGTCTATGGGCTCGGGTCTTGCTTGGTACAGCGTGGTATAGTGGTTAGAGCATCAGACTAGGACCTGGCAAGGACCAGAGTTCAAATCTCTGCTCGGCCACAAAACTCACTGGGTGTGACCTTAGGTTGGTCACTTTCAGGGAATTAAATGGAGAAGGGATTAAATAAGGAGGCAGGAAACCATATAGGCCACTTTGAGATCCTTGGAGGAAAAGGTGGGATCTAAATGCAATAAATCCATCAATCATAGGGGAATCACAATGGCTGTTGTGAGAACAGGATGCTGGACAAAAGCAGGGTCTTTTGAGGTTCTTGAAACAAGGAAGGCCCTTCTCCACCCTGATAAACCAAAATATCTTGCTGCCTCCTCAACCAGTAGCCTCTTGGCAGCCTCCACAGATAGTCTATGCATTATTCAGCGGGTGATTTAAACACCTAGAGGTCAGTCGCCCTTATTCTAAGGGGTGGGGGAGAAAGTTATTGTTCTACAACAGCTTATCTTCAGCTTGAAATGTAGCTCGGCTGCTGCAAGACGTGTGAAAGGGCAAGCGCCTGACATTTCCCCACCTAGCAGATACAAATCCCTCCTTCTTGCACTTGGCGAGCGAAATTATTGCCAGGCGAATCCAGAAGAGGAACCTGAAGACCCAGGAGGCAAGTGCGGCCCCCCAAACCTCTAAACCTGGCCCTTGGGAATCTCCTCCAGGCCACACCCCTCCTGGCCCCCAAACCTAGCGGGTGGGTGAATCCTCTCCAATTTAAGATTCTCATTTTCTTAGTCTCAGGCTGCATACATGCTATACTTTTAAATAATGTTTCCCCCATCAAAGAATTCTGGGCACTGCTGTTTGTTAAGGGGCTGCTGAGAATTGGAACACTGTGAGGGGGTGAAACTACATATTATTATTATTATTATTATTATTATTATTATTAATAATAATTTATTTATACCCCACCCATCTGGCTGGGTTTCCCCAACCACTCTGAGCGGCTTCCAACAGAACGCTAAAATACAATAACCTATTAAACATTAAAAGCTTCCCTAAACAGGGCTGCCTTCAGATGTCTTCTAAAAGTTTGATAGTTATTTTTCTCTTTGACATCTGGTGGGAGGGCGTTCCACAGGGTGGGTGCCACTACCGAGAAGGCCCCCTGCCTGGTTCCCTATAACCTCACTTCTCGCAGTGAGGGAACCGCCAGAAGGCCCTCGGCGCTGGACCTCAGTGTCCAGGCAGAACAATGGGGGTGGAGACGCTCCTTCAGGTATACATTGCCCAGAATCCTTTGAGGGAAAGAAAGTATTTTGGATGTGCTTCGGAGGAATGGCGTGTTTGCCCAGCTTTCTGTTCTCCACAACGCCACGTGGGTTTGCAATTTATTTATTTATTTTTAAGGGCCCCCCCCCCCGAAAATTCATCAACATTTCAGCACAAATATCTCTGGAGACACACACACACATCACTAAGCAATTTTGACCAAATAGACACATTTTTGGCAAGCAATTTCCTCCAGCAAGAAGCGTTTTATCTTCACGAATGCAAGAACATAAGGAGAAGAGCCCTGCAGGATCAGGCCCACGGCCCATCAGTTGCAGCGGCCAACCAGAGACAGCGTGGTGTAGTGGTTGGAGTGTCAGACTAGGATCTGGGAGAACCCCGGGTTCAAATCCCTCACCCAGCTCACAGGGTGAGACCGCGGGCCAGCCACTACCTCACCAGGCTGTTGTGGGGATTAAACAATGGAGAAACGTGGGTTCAACCTGGAACTCCTTGGAGGAAAAGATGGGATATAAACACAATGAATGAATGAATGAACCAGCTGCCTCAATGGGAAACCGGGAAGCGAGACCCAAGCACAGCAGCAGCAATTTTTCTCCCTCCTGCAGCTTCCAGAATCTGGGATTTGGAAGAATTGAGAGCAAAGCCATCATGCATTTTTACACCTGCTTTGCCCCAGTCTATCCATTTCTATACCCATTACAGTGGTACCTCAGGTTAAGTACTTAATTCGTTCCGGAGGTCCGTACTTAACCTGAAACTGTTCTTAACCTGAAGCACCACTTTAGCTAATGGGGCCTCCTGCTGCTGCTGTGCCGCCAGAGCACGATTTCTGTTCTCATCCGGCTCCCTCGGCCAATAAAGCGAGATGAGCGCCGCAACCCCAGAGTTGGCCACGACTGGACCTAATGGTCAGGGGTCCCTTTACCTATAAATGGAATAAATAATAATAAGGCACTAGTCCTCAAGGGAGTCTCCCTGTTGCCTCTCTGCATGAGCAGCGTTCCCTCATTCAGCCTCTGAAAGGTATTCTCCCGCACACCTCTGCTACCAGCTTCAACCGGATTGTCCTGTCATGAGGGCAAGAAAAGAGGGCAAAATTTGGGATCCTGGAACCCCAGCATCTGGACCTGTATATGGAAAACAGATCTGAAAAGCAAATAACTTATTTCTCTTATCTTACAAGGCTGTATTGCCAAATCCCGGGAGAGCTTTAATATTAATGATTTTGATTGCTGGCATTCAAGGGGTTGGCAGATTGCCCAGCTGGAAAAGATATCTGACAAACTGAACAGAGCTGAAATGACATTTTCCCCCTTCCATATATGCTATGATTTTATTTCTTCTACAAAATGTTGAGGCTCATGATCGCTCTGGGCGACCAATCTATGCAAACCTATAAAGAACCTTTATTCTCAGCAAAGATGGAACTCACAGGTGGGGAAACACTTTTGTTTTTTTTTAGCTATTAATTTTTAAGGGTATCTTTGCAGGAGTTAATCCTTCATTATCCCTTTGGAGCTGCGCTGTGTTTTCGTACTTTTGCGCTTCCGGACTGCGAGGCTAAAATGTTCAATTCGTGGTTTCTCTTCTGTTTGTTATGTTGGAACTTTTGTGTTGCCGCTGTTAAGAAAAAAACCTCTAATAATAAATAACAATAATAATAGACTGATAAGGGATAAATGGGCTGATAAATCACCGGAAGAGAACCAACTGCGGAGTCAATGAACCTGCAGGCCACAGCAGAGAGAGAAAAGATTTGGGGAGTTGGCAGTGGGAAACAGGTGAGTCTCAGGGAGGGGGCCAGAGACCCACTGAGATGGGTGCTAATATGCACAAATTTGCCTTCTGTGCTGGTCCCATGGGTTAGCCAAAAGGCGAGGTCCAAGTCCGGTCTGTGGTCAAAGGTGCAACGTGGATGCAGTCCGTAGCAGCTGAAGCTGGGTGCAGGGCAGGGAGTCGGGTGAAGTCAGGAACAGGCATGCAAGCAGGGAGCCAGGGCGGGTCAGGAGCTCAGGCAGGAAAGCAGGACAGGGTTCAGGCAGGAACTGGCGACCAACAATGTTGCTTCCACAACTTGGGACTGGGTCTGGCTGGCTTTTATCTGCCCCGAGGTACAGGGCGGCCCCGATCCTCAGGTGACTCGCCTCTCCTGGCCTGGAGGCGAGCACTCCTCCTGCAGGAACTTAGTTCCCTCCGCCTCTCTGCCCTGAGCCTCTGCAGCTCAGGAGAGGCTGGAGGGTCACCGGACCTAGAGGAAACCTCAGCTTCCTCTGACGGGGCTGAGAGTGGAGCACCTGCAGGCAATGGGTCCTCCATCACCTCAGGAGCCAGAGCAGACTCAGCTGGTGCCTGCACCTGAGGATCCAGCACAGGTGAGGACCCTTCAGGCTCATGCCCCAGCCCTGGCTCAGCGGGTTCTGGAGGCGGGGTGTTATGTACTGAGTTGAATAGGATCCAAAAGGCAGCAGTCTGATTGGTCCTAGAACAATAAGGTCAAGAATGCAGCAATCTGATTGGTCCTAGAACAATGCAGCAGTATGATTGGTCCGCAGGAGCCACCCAATCCAACTCCAGGTGGAAGTGAATCCACAACCTGATTGGCCTACAGGAGAATCCCAGAATTAGCCAATCACGTGCGGCCCACTGTGTAAATAATGTACAGTGGTGCCTCGCAAGACGAAATTAATCTATTCTGCGAGTTTTTTCGTCTTGTGATTTTTTCGTCTTGCGAAGCACGGTGTCGGGAAAGTTTTGGAAAAGCTTCAAAAATCACCAAAAACCTCAAAAAAGGCTACCACACCGCGTTCTATGAGTTGCTCCTCGAAGTCAAGTCGCAACTGTATTAACGGTGTTAAGAAAAAGGAAACAAACTTGCAAAAAACGCAAGATGTTTTCGTCTTGCGAAGCAAGCCCATAGGGAAATTCGTCTTGTGAAGCAGCTCAAAAACCGCAAAACCCTTTCGTCTAGCGAGTTTTTCGTCTTGCGAGGCATTCGTCTTGCGGGGCACCACTGTATATAAAGCAGATATCTTGGGGGAACTTTCATTCCTCACTACAATGAGCTGAATAAAGAGCATGAAATCCACACTCGACTCTGAGTATATTTCACGGGGAATCCTGTGTAGGCTGGGATTCCTCAGGTTCAGCATCCACATCCCAGGCCATCACACCTTCTCCCTTTGGGATGGGGCCCTGGACAAAGGCACCTAAGGATGGAGGCCAGTCCTCGTCACTGAACCACACTCTGAAAAAAACGCTCTGTCCGACCAGGATCAGGAAACGGCGACTCAGCAAAACAGGAAAACGCTGGCTCAGGGGGGCCAAGCTTGCGGCGGTGACCCCTCCCCGTGGACAGAACGCGCCCCTTGACCTCAGCAGCCGGTGGAAGGGGGGGAGTTCGGGCGGGAAGGACGCTCAGCAGGAAAATAACAGGATGTCTCTTGGCCGGGGGCCCAAGAGAGGGTGAAAATTAGTGAAAGGAGCGCAGGCTAAGCCCTGGACACCCTGCCCTTCGCCACCACTGCTTCCGCCTTCAGTTGGGCACAGAAAGTCCTGTCACCTTTTTTCTCCCAGTTGGGAAAGGGCTCCTGTGACTTGGCTTATTCTTGTGAGTCGGGCCACAGGTCCACCTCGCATAGTGCTGCCTACTCAGGCCGGCAGCAGCGTTCTCTTTTCGCATCGTAGAAGCACAGAATCGAAGGTGTGTACTTTTGTAAACCGATAAAATCTTTAATAAACATATTTTTTTAAAAAAAAGAGTTGGAAGGCCGACCGAAAGGGTCATCTAGTCCAGGGGTCAACAAACTTTTTCAGCAGGGGGTCGGTCCACTGTCCCTTAGACTTTGTGGGGAGCCGGACTATATTTTTTTGGGGGGGTGGGAATGAACGAATTCCTATGCCCCACAAATAACCCGGAGATGCATTTTGAATAAAAGGACACATTCTACTCGTGTAAAAACACACTGATGCCCGGACCGTCCGTGGGCCGGATTGAGAAGGCGATTGGGCCGGATCCGGGCCCCAGGTCTTAGTTTGCCTACCCATGGTCTAGTCCAGGAATTTTGTCCAGGAATCTGCTTTATCATGGGACATCTAGAAAGGATAACGCGACGCAGCTACACAAGAACACGAGTCATTCCCAAAATATAATTATAAAGGAGCCTCTTGCATAAGTACCTTAATCATGCTTACAATGAGAGGTGTGAGCTTGAAATATCTTTTGATGCTCTCGTTTCCAAAAGATATCTCTCCACATTCTGCAAATAAAAAATATATTTATATTGATACTATACTACACTGCACTGAAATGTTTAAATGTTTCTGTGATTGTCCTTGAATCTTCCCAGCCACACCCTTTGAGAAGCACTGCTCTAACACTGACTCCATGTTGGCTCTAAAAAAGAACATTTTTGTTGAAATGCAATCATGTGGGAGAATGGGGGACACCTGGGCCTCAGAGGAGCGACGGTACTTAGTATTTTCGGTCCGAATCTCTGTTCTCAAGCAGGGATTCAGCCCAGATCAGTGACACATACAGAGACACAGCAGGGAAGCCCCTTCCCCTGAAGGCGAGTCAGTCTGACGCACCTCTGCTTGAAGAATCCAGTCGCACCCAAACACAATATTGGAGAGTGTTATGAGAATTATAAGGTCTAAGATATAAAATATAAACCACTTGTCTGAAATAGTATAGGAGAACAATCGTGGAGCCATTTTGACTCTTCCAAATTGATCTCAAATATTCTTCTGCAAGGAGGAAGGAAATGGGAAAGCCTCCCCATTGCCTCTTTGCTCACAAATCTTGTCTTAAGGGCGTATCTGTGTATGAATAGGGTGAGCCTGTGACCTGGATTCAGGAACTGAGTGTTTACCATCACAAAAGAATGACCAGATTGCCCAAGTAATACAATCAGTGACCATTATCAGGTACCCTGGCAGACAGGTTTTCTGCTGTAGACCGCCTCTTCTGTGATGTATGTATGATGTATTGGGGAGGTGGTCTTGAGCTAGAGGGTGGGCAATTTCGCAAGTCTATATAAGGGCTTGCACACCATTGTTCTGGGTTCCTCCTCCCTCCTGCGTGTGGTGAGTGGGGACCCTGTTGCAACAGTTTAATAAAGATCAGGCTTACTAGCCGCTTTGCTTCTCAATATTCTCTGCTTGGCCTCTGTTATTTTCTCCTCCCGATAGAGAACTTACATAAGGACTCTATAGAGGCTCTTGGGTACCCCATAAGGGAAAAGGAGCAGGGTTTTTTTCTTATAAGAGACAGAATAAATCATGCTACACTTTTCAGGCTGCATCTGGGATTTGCTGTGCCCAGCTGTGGGCACCACATCGAATCGTAGAGTTGGAAGGGGGACCCCCAGGGGTCATCTAGCCAGACCCCATGCAATGCAGGACTTTAAGGAGGGCACTAGCAAACTGTCCGGAGGGGAAGACCCCAGCGCTCAATAGCCGGGAGAATCGAAGGTTTTAAAGAGAGACATGATGTCTTCAAGTATCTTATGTCTTGTACAGGCTTGTCTCTTGTTGCTCCAGTGACTTGCACCTTCCAAACATCATTCCACTTTAGCAGTTGATGCAATAATACCAATCGTTCCACTTTACTGGGGTGCATTCAGAGACATGGGGATATTCACAATAATAATTTAGTATTTATACCCCGCCCATTTATACCCCGCCACTCTGGGAAGCTTCCAACAAAAGATTAAAAATACAGTGGTACCTCGGGCTACAGATGCTTCAGGTTGCAGACTCCACTAACCCAGAAATAGTACCTCGGGTTAAGAACTTTGCTTCAGGATGAGAACAGAAATCGTGCAGCGGCAGCAGGAGGCCCCATTAGCTAAAGTGGTACCTCAGGTTAAAAACAGTTTCAGGTTAAGAACGGACCTCCGGAACGAATTAAGTTCTTAACCCAAGGTACCACTGTACATTAAAACATCAGTCATTAAATACTCCCCTAAACAGGGCTGCCTTCAGATGTCTTCTAAACATCAGATAGTTGTTTATTTATTTGACATCTGGTGGGAGGGCGTTCCACAGGGCAGGTGCCACTACCGAGAAGGCCCTCTGCCTGGTTCCCTGTAACCTCACTTCTCGCAGGGAGGGAACTGCCAGAAGGCCCTCAGAGCTGGACCTCAGTGTCTGGGCTGAATGATGGGGGTGTAGACGCTCCTTCAGGTATACTGGGCCGAGGCCGTTTAGGGCTTTAAAGGTCACCAACACTTTGAATTGTGCTCGGAAACAACCTGGAGCCAATGTAGGTCTTTCAATACGGTGTTATGTGGTCTCAGTGGCTGCTCCCTGTCACCAGTCTAGCTGCCGCATTCTGGATTAGTTGCAGTTTCCGGGTCACCTTCAAAAGTAGCCCCACGTAGAGCGCATTGCGGTAGTCCAAGCGGGAGATAACCAGAGCATGCACCACTCTGGCGAAGCAGTCCGCGGGCAGGTAGGGTCTCATCCTGCGTACCAGATGGAGCTGGTAGACAGCCGCCCTGGACACAGAATTGACCTGCGCCTCCGTGGACAGCTGTGAGTCCAGAATGACTCCCAGGCTGCGCACCTGCTCCTTCAGGGGCACAGTTGCCCCATTCAGGACCAGGGAGTCCTCCACACCTGCTTACCCCCTGTCCCCCAACAACAGTACTTCTGTCTTGTCAGGATTCAACCTCAATCTGTTAGCCGCCATCCATCCATATTCAAATGTGGGGGATATCGCTAGTGTGGCCCCTCCCGTTTTCTGCTGTTCGTTTCAAACAACAACACAACAACAACATGTCCTTCTGGCCTCCAGACATGTGGGGAAACAGAACGATTGCAGAGTAAAACGACTGGCGGAAGACAGCCTTCCACAAGATGCATTCAGAGAAGAGGGACACACACACATACCCGGCACTGACCTTTGGCCCAGGGATAGGTGGTGCAGTTTACAAGCTAAGGTCTATTTATATCCAGGGAAGACTGGAGAGCTTTGGTTCTTCTTCTGGTTAAAGATAAGCTTTAGAAGAAGCCTGGAGTGTCCTCCACAAGGTTATCAGCTGTTCAGAACGGAGATATTGAACCCGAGACCTTCCGCACGCAAGGCAGGCAATGTGCCACCAAGCTCCATCCCTTGGTAGGCCACAGGCCTTCGATGGCACAAGACTGCCTGAGATGCTGAAGAGACCCTGCCGGTCAAAGCTCGCAATATGGGGTTAGTTCAGAAGTGGGGACCTGTGCTTCTGTAGATGATGGTCACCTGTTAGTTCATAGGACCAATGAAGGCTGCCTTATTCCAGTTCAGACCTTTGGTCCATCCATCTCAGGGGTCAGCAAACTTTTTCAGCAGGGGGCCGGTCCACTGTCCCTCAGACCTTGTGGGGGGCCGGACTATATGGGGGGGGGATGAACGAATTCCTATGCCCCACAAATAACCCAGAGATGCATTTTAAATAAAAGCACACATTGTATTCATGTAAAAACACCAGGCAGGCCCCACAAATAACCCAGAGGTGTATTTTTAATAAAATGACACATTCCACTCATGTAAAAACACGCTGATTCACGGATCATCTACGGGCCGGATTTAGAAGGCGATTGGGCCAGTTCCAGCCCCTGGGCCTTAGTTTGCCTACCCATGATCCAGCTCAATAGTGTACACACTGCACTGAGTGGCAGCAACTGTCCAGGGCAGGCTTCCTCAACCTCAGCCCTCCAGATGTTTTTGGCCTACAACTCCCATGATCCCTAGCTAGCAGGACCAGTGGTCAGGGATGATGGGAATTGTAGTCTCAAAACATCTGGAGGGCCGAGGTTAAGGAAGCCCGGCCCAGGGTTTCATACAGGATATTCCCAGCTCTGCCTGGGGATTCTGCACTCAAAGCACGTGCTCTTTCACTGAGCTACAACTCATCTCCCATTTAAGGAACAGGAAGGCCTCGTGAGCCCTTCCTGGCAGCGCCAGCCAACCGTTTTATTGCCGTTCCGGAGGCACCGGCTCTACATTTCCCTCGGCGGTGAGAAAGTCCGGGGAACATTCCTGACGGAACGCAGAGCAGCCCCAGAAATAGCAGCCGCCCTAGACAACAACAAAGACCCACACCAGGCTGAGAAAACAATCTCGAGCAAAAAGGGGGGTGTGGGTGGAAGTGAGCCAGAGCTGGGGGGGGGGGTAGGGGGAAGGCCAAACAAGCACCTCTGGGATCCCAGCCATTTTGGGTCGCATCCACACAGTGCATTCCAAGAACACGGCTTCCCCCCAAAAGAATCCTGGGTACCTTGCCACAGAGCTACAATTCCCAGCACCCTTAAACTACGGTTCCCGGGATCCAGGAGAGTGGAAACGCGTGCTTTTAAATGTGCATTACGTGTTTGGTGTGGATGTGTCCTTTGAAGAAGAAGAAGAGTTTGGATTTGATATCCCGCTTTATCACTACCTGAAGGAGTCTCAAGGCGGCTAACAGTCTCCTTTCCCTTCCTCCCCCACAACAAACACTCTGTGAGATGAGTGGGGCTGAGATACTTCAAAGAAGTCTGACTAGCCCAAGGTCAGCCAGCAGCTGCATGTGGAGGAGCGGGGAAGCGAACCCGGTTCACCAGATTACGAGTCTACTGCTCTTAACCACTACACCACACCGGCTCCCTTTGTTGCAGGGAACCAACCCAAAACAGAAAGGGTCACCCTAGAGGTGAAAAGTCCAGGTCATATCCACACATACCCCTCCAAATCAAGTAAAATAAAAATACTTAACTATAAGGATGAATATTTGAAAAATTTGAAATGGAAATGAGGTCACTTGGAAGATGCTGTGGCAAATTCTAGCAACACAACCTGCAACCCAACTGAGCGATAGGCTCAGTTTCCTGAATAAAAGGGAAGTTTTTAAGCCACTGAGAAGTCTTCTCATCCTTTGTGCTGGCTGGGGCCAATCAGAATGGAAGGAGTCGGCCACTGAGGATGGGCTCCCGGGGTCACTTTGGAGAAGGTGCGTGGGGAAAACTCAGGAGCAGTTTGTTCTGCACGCTCCAAAGCTACGTGTTGTCAGGACCAGGTTAGCAATAACTCACACAGTGCCAGGGAAGTTCTCCTCTTATTCAAAGAAACAAAGCAGCTCTGGAGGCCAGGCCTAGTGAGCGCAGCAGCTCTTCCCTGTAGAGTTGCGAGGACTGTGACTTCCCCCAGCTCCCTAAGTCTCCTCCTCCTCCAGTTCCTTCCCAAGCAATCTGAGACTCCAATGCCTTGTCTGCCTGTACTCGGCCCTCTTCATACCTCTCCTGGTCCTGGGAGACCAGGGGGCAGGAGGAGAGCTGCCCATCGCAGGAGGGGGAGACCTCTTGGATTCTTTGGCAGCCTGCCTCAACTCGGCCTCTTGGCCCCCTCCTCTCCAGCCTCTGCTTCTGCCTCCGATTCTGCACTGCTCTATGCCACACACTCTCCCTGCTCACAAAAGCCTGTTGCCTCTTCAGATTCCAACACCTCCTCCTCCCGGTCTTCTCCCTTTTCTCCCTCTAACCACTCCTTGTCGTCCCACCGCCACTCCCCTGGCTCTGAGCACTGAGATATCACTTTGACCCTCCCGGCTTCCAAAGAATCCCGGGAGCTTTAGTTTGCTATGGATGCTTGAACCCTGGTAGCAATGAACTGGAAAGGGGGAAATGATCCAACATTCTCGGATTGGCAATGTAAATTACAGGAATATGCAGAAATGGCGCAATTGACTAACAGTTTGAGAGGTAATACAAGACAAGTGTTTGTTCAAAAATGGGATAAATATAAGAGATATCTACAAAACCATAACAGTGGTATAATGTCTATGGAAGAATTCGACTGACCCTCGTTTAAAGTAGCCCATAAGAAACAAGACAAAAGGTACGAATTGTTGTAAGAATGTATTAGAAAATATAGAAAGAGTCAGCTAATAATGATAGGTACATTCATCATCAGAAAAAGAGTATGCACCGGGAAATGATAGGAAGTCTATTCTCATTTATTTTAATTTATGCTAGTAAAAAGATTGGGGGGGGGGAAGAGACAGCATAAATCTTTTGTAAACATATAGAAGACTATTCGTATATGGTTTTTGTTTATACGGTTCTGTTTATATTTTTGTTCATTTAAGAATGGGTACATTATCTATGTTATATACAAATTTCAATAAAGTATTGTTTTTAAAAAGAGAGAGGGGGAGAGAGAGTTATTGGGAGACGCTGTCTTCCCTCGCAAAGCTACCAAAGTTTTACAGCCAATCCCCCGCTTCCCAGGGAACTCTGTACATGGTAGAGGTCTCAGGTCTGACATATTTGAATGGTCTGCACCCCTGCGGCTGGGAGATCCTGTTTTCTTCCTTTTTCCGGCCACATTCGCTTCTCCATCCATTTGCAACTTAACAAGGAGGCACAGAAGGAAAACCAGAACCAGGCTTCTTATTGCAAATTGCAACAACCACTGATCTGAGTATCAGGAAGACCCGGTTTACGTTCTCTCTGCTATGCCTCTTGTGTGAGAGAGACAGCCCATTGTTTGAAGGCAGCTGCCATGCCCCCTCTTAAATCTTCTCTTCTGCAGGCTAAACATACCCAGTTCTTTTCAAAAAATGTCACACACAAACACACACAAGACCTGCTGGATCTAGCCCTGCGTCCTGTTCTCACAGTGGCCAACCAGATGCAGCCTACTAGCAGGAATTAACTGCAAGCGTAAATGTGCATCTGGTATAGCCATTCTTTGCAGGACAGCAGACGTTTCCAGACAACCTCTTTATGTAGCAATCGCCTTCATTTCTGAGCAGGGCGATGGGATGAGCTCAGCTTTCAAAGGAGGTTTCATTCTGATTTGTTGGCAGGGAGGTGAGGTGAGGTTGCCTCAAAGCAAGTTTATATCCCACACTTTCTAGCGCAGCTTCCCCATTGCTCCACTTATGGCAAAAAGTCCAGTAACTTAAGAGGAAGAATCTCTGTGGTGCAAGACCTCCCAATCCACAGCGAATAAGAGGCATTGTGACAGGAACAGTGCTAGAAACTCATATTTATAAGCTAGGCACCAAAGGCTCCCATTTTGGGGCAAGACGGTTCTCGCTTGGACTACTGCAATGCGCTCTATGTGAAGGTGTCACCTTTGAAGGTGACCCGGAAACTACAACTAATCCAGAATGCGGCAGCCAATAAAGCGAGATGAGCGCCGCAACCCCAGAGTCAGCCACAACTGGACCTAACGGTCAGGGGTCCCTTTACCTTTACCTTTAGGTCCAGTCGTGGACGACTCTGGGGTTGTGCACTCATCTCGCTTTACTGGCTGAGGGAGCTGGCATTTGTCCGCAGACAGTTTTTCTGGGTCATGTGGGCAGCATGACTAAGCCGCTTCTGGCGAACCAGAGCAGTGCACAGAAACGCCATTTACCTTCCCGCCGGAGCGGTGCCTATTTATCTACTTGCACTTGGACGTGCTTTCGAACAGCTAGGTTGGCAGGAGCAGGGACTGAACAACGGGAGCTCACCCCATCGTGGGGATTTGAACCACCGACCTTCCGATTGGCAAGCCCTAGGCTCTGTGGTTTAAACCACAGCGCCACCCGCGTCCCTTTGACTACCAACCTAGATGACTTTAAAAGAGCTGTAGGCAAATTCATGGCGGCTGAGGGCTATGGATGGCTGGTAGCCAGGCTGGCTGTGCTCTGCCTCCGCAGTTGGGGGCAATAATGCTTCTGAATACCAGTTGCTGGAAACCTCCGGAGGGGAGAGGGGTTCTGTGTTCGAGTCCTGCTTGTGGGTTCCCATTGGGGCACCTGGTTGGCCACTGTGATGAGAGGACGCCGGACTAGACGGGCCATTGGCCTGATCCAGCAGCCTCTTCTTATGTCCTGGATTTAGTATTCATAGAATTGTCGAGGGACCCCTGAGGGTCATCAAGTCCAACCCGCAGCAGTGCACGAATCTTTGGCTTGAACCCACAACCATGGAAATAGGAGTCTTATGCTCTGCTAACTGAGCTACGCCAGGATTGGAGGGGGAAAGGGCGTGGGATATACCATATTTTTCGCTCTATAAGACGCACTTTCCCCCTCCTAAAAAGTAAGGGGAAATGTGTGTTTGTCTTATGGAGCGAATGCAGGCGGGAGGCTCTGTTCAGCGCTCCCTTTAAAGAGCCCCGTGGTGCGTTGGGGGCTGCCCTTCTCCCTCCTTGGGGAAAACCCTCTAAGAGCCGCACACATACTCTGCATGCTCTTTAAAGGGAGTGCGGCTCTTGGGGGAGCCTTCATCCCGCTGTCCGGAAGAGGCTGCGCGCGGCTATCCCAGAAGCCAGAACAGCAAGAGCTATCCCAGAAGCCAGATCTGGGATTCAGAATATTTTTTTTCTTGTTTCCCCCTCCAAAAACTATGGTCTGGTGCGTCTTATAGAGCGAAAAATACAGTAAATGCAAAGGTGCCAGGGCAAATGAAGCCCACCCACCCCCAATCTGGGAGAGGAGGGAGAAGTCAGACAGCCAGAGCTAAGCACAGGGTCAGGTTTACTCCCTGCACAGCTCTCCTGCCTTGGCCAGAATCCCTGACCCTCCTGCTATGGGGCAGCCCCACTCCACCCGCCACCTTTGACAGGAAAAGTAAGATAGCAGAGCCAAGCTCTTCCGCGAACAAGGCCCCTTTCGAAACCCCAAACGCCTTCCAAAACCCACACCCCGCTGCGGAGACGTCCCTGTTCCTCTCCCAGCTGTTATCAGGCGTGCTGCGGTTAACACCCATCTGAGGTCAGGACCCCGTTGCTATTAAAACTCAGCTCTTGCAACCGGGGCAGGCAGACGGCAGGGGCGAGGGGTGGTGGTGGAAAGAGCCTCTTCCCCCACGGTTCTCAAAATCTGCCAACCTTTTAAAAAAAATTAACTTTCACCCATAGCAGGGATCATCAGTCATGCGATTCAGCACAACGCCCCAAGGTCTTAAAAGTTGAGGCACAGCCCTTTAGCGAACGCCCACCGTGGCTTTGGGACGGGAGGCTAAGAAGCAGGTCTCCAGAACACGTGCAGAGTGCAGGTTGCAGAGGTGCTTTGCAGGCAGCGCTCTAGCACTTCAGTTTTTATGTAATTTTTTAGCTGGAAAAGCCCAGCACGTCCCTTTGGATCGATAGAACATAGCCAGCTGCGGATTATAGGGGCAGAAAAAAAAAAGTTTAAAGTTTTTAATATATGTGTAACAACAGCAGCTTGGATTCTTTATGCGCAGAAATGGAAGGAGGAAGTCGCCACTAAAGAAGAACTAATAAGCAAGATAACGGGCTATGCGGAATTAGCAAAATCAACAGCAAAATTAAGAGACTCCATTGATGAGTGTTTTGTGGAAGAATGGATGTTTTCCCCCACCAGACTGCTAAGATACTACAGCACGATGAATTTGCGAGGATTTGAACTACGAGCAACAGAAGCCACTAGATTATAGAATGGTGGTTATGATTTAATAGTCTTTTACAGGGTTCAGCAGCAGAGGGAAAACAACAGCTCCATGGAAAGCGTGGTGGGAAGTCGACAAAAATAAAAGGGAAAAAATGCAGTTGTGCATTGGACTGTATATGTTTAAAATGTTGAAATTTAGTAAAATACAATGGGGGGGGGAGAATATATACAGTGGTACCTCAGGTTACATCCGCTTCAGGTTACAGACTCCGCTAACCCAGAAATAGCGCTTCAGGTTAAGAGCTTTGCTTCAGGATGAGAACAGAAATTGTGCTATGGCGGCGTGGCAGCAGCGGGAGGCCCCATTAGCTAAAGTGGTGCTTCAGGTTAAGAACAGTTTCAGGTTAAGTACGGACCTCCAGAACAAATTAAGTACTTAACCTGAGGTACCACTGTATAAAGAACATAGCTAGCTGCCTTATATTGAGTCAGACCCATGGCCTATCTAACTCAGTATTGCCTGCACTGGCCGACAGCAGCTCTCTGGGGTTTCAGGCAAAGAGTCTGTCTCTCAGGCAAAGAATCTTATCACCCACCTATAACTGTTCCCCTACTTAAGTAAGATTCTAGTCCTCATGGTGTTGGATAAAAAGACTGCTTTCAAGAGCAACGTAGGGAGCTGCCTTCCAGAAGTCAGATCTAAGCAAGTATACACTGGCAGGCAAGAGAGTCTTTGCAGAGAGGCCGAACCCAGGACTTTCTGCAGGTATCTAGGTCCTCTAGCACTGAGCCACACAGACCGACTGGACATATCTAAATAGAAACACATCTCTAAGCAGCTTGCACGATCCCTTTCTCTGCCCTCTTTTTATAACCAACGGATAATTAAAAAAAAAAAAAAAGCAACAAGTTACCATCAAGCATAGCGGTGACGTCCCTGAGCTATGAGCCAGAAAACTCACTGGTTCAAATCTGACCTTGGCTGCAACTTCACTCATGTAGCTCCGTTCAGTTGCCCACTCCCCTTGCTGCAAAACGGGGATGAAACTAAGCAGCGCTGGCCTACCTTCCAGGGTCGTTGTGAAGGAGTGCAGAGCATGTATACACAAAACATTCCACGGGGCTGCAGCGAAGTGGATTTTATGGCCTTTCCCCCATCCCCACTGCAGGGATAAATAAGAACAAGGGCCTGCCGTTCAGGGTTCTTGCACAACAACAACAACAACAACTTATTATTTCTACCCTGCTCATCTGGCTGGGTTTCGCCAGCCATTACCGAAAACAGACATGAACCACGGTATACGTGCGATTTAAGTGAATTATTTGGGTGAGAGTGTGTGTGTTTTGCAGTGAAATACCTCAGTCTCTCCCACTTCAACTCATGGGCTGCAATGCTCTTCCTCCCATGTGAAGATAAATTTGTTAACACGCACGGTTTGCTGTTTTTCGGCATGTAGGAACTTACAAAAACACCTTGTCCTTGGACCGGCAACTGAGCTAAACACACAGTGAGCCGTGAGCTGTTCCCTCACCCCGGACCCAAAATACTCTCACCTATTTATTCCACGGCTCGACACTCCCATGCAGTTGCAGAAACGCACAAACACACACACTCCCAATGCGGAAAAGCACACAGAGGTCAGAGCAAAGCTGGCCCTCCAATCTGCAGGCCGTGGGCTCCTGGATTTGTGCGTCCAGCTGCTTAACAGGAAAGGAAGATCCAGACCCGTCACAAAAGGAAAAGCGAGGCTTCATTAAGAGCAGCGAGCTCAGATCCCCCCAAAAAATGAGAACAGAAACATCAACAAATGACGGCGGGGCTGGAAATATCCGCAGGTTTGCCAGACAAAAAGCATGTGCACCATGCAGGTTTAACTTACGGAACTCACCGCCACAATATGTCTGTGCGTATATAACTAACTAGGCACATTCTGGGAGGAGATCTAATTGCAGAGATCAGGCAGGGTCACCTCAAAGTGAACCTCGAAGCAACCTACCTCTGATTATAATCAGGGTTTTTTTCAAGGAGGGAGTGTGTGGAGGTGCCCCCTTCGTCCCCCGACCACGAGCCTCTTGGACGCAACAGGGTTCTTGCCCAAACGGCAGCTAATCGGCAAACATTCCCTGCAAACACTTAGATGCGCAGATCCACGGAGGGCAGTTCCCACCTCCATCCATCACCCTGCATAGCTAAGTGTGGACTCCAGATAAAGCCTCAATTTTCAGGGGCAGTCTACCTTTGAATACCAAAGAGGCTCAGATGACAGAGGAGGCTGTTGGCCGAAAGAGGAGCGTGGCCCCAAAGCCGGATTCTGTTTAGGGAAAAGAACGACCTCACAAATACCATAGCAGATGCATCTTATAGGGGGTCAGCGTTCTTGAAATGGAATCATACCAGCATGCTAAACATGCACACATTTAAGAGGCAGGGAGAGGCTGTTTTCTTCCGAGAAAAATCCTTCCTTGCTTACCTCCTGCAGTGGGACAGCAGGAGACCCCCGTGGGAGGCCGGATTAATTACTCTGCTTGGGGACAGAGGAAAACACTTTATACCGAGCAAGGCTGCCGGGGAAGGGATATGGCTCAGGGACAAAGCTTCTCCCTTGCATGCCGAAGGTTCCAGGTTCAATCCCCGCCATCGCCAACCCGGGCTGGGAGAGATTCCCTGCCTGAGAGTTGCTGCCAGCCAGTGTAGGGATTACAGAGAGCTAGGTGCAGCAGCAATTTGAGTCCAATAAAAGGCTCCTTTAAGAACATAAGGATCAGGGCAAAGGGGCCCATCGAGTCCAGCGCCCTGTTTCCACAGCCGCCACCCAAATCCCCAATGAGGCTTCCGGCCACTGGCTTTCAGAAGCGTAATTGCTTCTAACCAGAGCATAGCCATCGTGGCTAATAGCCCTTCTGCTTTGTGGATTTGCCCAGACCTCTTTGATGCCCATCGCTGTCTCCTGCAGAAAGGAGTTCCACAGTTTAACGACTTTATTTTACCTGCCCTGAATCTTCTGATTCCTGGAGGCGATGTGGGAATTGAACCCACGACCGTCTGTATGCAAGGGGAAAGGCCCTGCCATTGAGCTATGCAGGTCTCCCCTCGCTGAACCTCAGCTATTCCACCACCCGACAGGACGCCAGCCCAGGCTTATGAAAAAAGAGCGAGCGTGTCTGCTTCAAAATAAAGAAACAACCACAGGGGAAGTTCAGTTCCACCCCCACCCAGCTAGCCAAGGATTGGGGAAAGGATCTGCGCAGTGGATTCCGCCAAAATAAGCCGGTGCATTGGAGGAGCAGAGTCCCTGAGCCTACCTCACAGAGCTGTTGTGCAAGGATAATGTGGAGTATGGGTTTTGCAAGCGGCTCCAAGCTCCTTGAAGGAGGCTGGGATTTTATGAAATGTACAAAGGGAACCCTAAATTGTTTAACTTGGAGGTGGTGGGGGTTGAAGGTAGGAAATCCAGCAGGGAAAACAAGTGTTTAAAATTGGCTCAGTTGAAGTTGGCTCAGTTCTGCCAACGCTGTCCCTGAAGTGTTTGCCTCAGGGTGAGAATTCTTGCCCACGAATGGAGAAAGGGAGATTGAATAGGGAAATCTGGGGTGGAAAATCAGTGGGGCTGAGGTGGGCAAGGAGTTTTGTTTTGTTGATGGGGATCTGTAGTGGCAAAAAATGATTTACTTGAGGGGGGGCACTCGCTAAAGTAGGGAGGAGATAATGGCAAACCCATTTCTAAACAGGAACGTGCCCCCTAAGGAGCCGGGCTCCCAGCAGCTGTGAACGTTCTCAGTCTCTGCACATGCCCAGAGGTACTCATTTTGGGTACTCCCGAGAAAAAGGCTCTGCAGTCCATCTCTCAACCAAGGGAGCAGAGCGTCCGGGACACAGAGGCGCCCAGAGCTTCACCCAAGATTTTGGGCTCCCCTCAGAACAGACCGAAAAGAGGGCATGTGGAGATTTCTTCAGTCACTACATTCCCACCTGCCCAAGGAAGGAGCTTGAGGCGGCGCATGGCGTTCTGCCCCCTCCCCATTCTGCCCGGACAACAACCCTGAGAGGTAGGCCAGACTGAGACCTAGCAACTGGCCCACCCGGCGGGCTTCATGGCGGAGCGGGGATTCGAACCCAGTCCCCGCACTCTAACCACTCCACCATACTGTCAAGGAACCTCTTTGCCTTCTGAGGTGGACGCAATGCGCCAGGTGAGTCCTACAGGTACGAAAATCAAATCTCAGGTGAGGAACAAGGATATAGCCGAGAGACTCTGTACTTACTCCTGGCTTTTCGCTTGATGTCTCGTATCAGCGCGGTGTAGTTTGCCCCCAGGAAAGGAATGTCCTCCATCGTCATGTTCATCAAGGCTGGCAGCCTGAGGTACAGACCCTCCACGGCGAAGAAACAGGGGCGGTCGTCGTTTTTGTTGTCCCAGTAGAGGAGCATGGCATGGCGCGTCCAGTTGAAGTGCTGGTTGAGGTAGGCCGCAAACTCGCCCAGCTTGCCGTGGCTCGGCCCGGTGCGGGTGGTCAAGGCGTACTCGCTGGCCTTGTTGGCAAAGCCCACGGCCTCGGCCCCGGCGGTCACCAGAGGCAGCCCCCAGTGCCGGGTGAAGCGGGCCACAGGAGCCGCCGTGTAGACGCAGCCGGGCCCCACAAACAGGTCCGGGTTGGCGCTCATCTGAAGGTCCACGGCCGACATGGGCGCCAGGATGTCCGAGCAGACGCCGTGGTCGTCCTCGCTGGTGCCGAAGACCAGCTGGACGGTGTAGCCGGGCAGCAGGTCCGGCCGAGCGTTGACCTTGCGGACGGCGAGCCGTATGGCGGGCGCCACCCGTGGCCAGGCCCAGGGGTACGTGGTGTTGCGCTCTGGAAGCACCACGGCGATGGTCAAGTTGGCTGCGCCGGCCGGGCCCAGCTGGCAGAGGGCCACTAGGATCCACCACACAAACGCCGGGCCGTGGGGCGACGCCGCTTTCAGCGGGGTCCCCGGGCAGAGCCACGGCCCACAGAGGGCCACCCCGCTGCCGCCACGACGCCAGGCCTTCATTCCCTGGCCTCGCCCTGGGTGCCACCCCGATGCCCCCAGCTTCCTCACCCCTTCAAAACCCAACTGATGCCCAAAACTCCGCAGCAGGTGCCACAGGGTGTGCTGTGCTAAAGCCTGCCAATCTCTCAAGGGTGCCCGCTTATGCCCACCGTGCCAGCTCCCTGCATTTTGACGCTTGACCCCTTCCCTTCCGCCTCTCTGCAAACTCTTCTCCTCTCAAGCCGTGCAAAAGAACCACCAAAACACAACCCACCCCACGGCTGTCCTCTGCCAATCTCTGGTCCCCAAGAAGTTGTGCTGAGTTTCGCTGAGCTCGTCTGCCTGGCGTAGGGGGTCCTGCCCCGAGTTCGCGTCCGCCTCTGCCCGCGCTGCCTGCCGCCTTCCTTGCTGTAACTCAGCCTGGAGTGAAGAGAGAGAGAGGAGCAGAGGTTTATCTAACTGCAGGGTCCAGAGTTGCTTCTTTCCTTCTTCTTCTCTTCATTCAATGACAGGGCGGCTGCGATCATCAGCACCACCGACAAGGCGCCTTAACTCCTTCCTGCCCGCGACTCACCCCCCTCTCCTTCCCATTAAAAGCAGGAACACGGGATTTTCCAAACAAAGATCGCCCAGCAAAGGACCCACGACGACGGGTTGTGGGATTTCAAGTCCGGACATCGCAGCCGTCGCCGCCAATATTTATATGCCGCTTAATATGCAGAGTCCCCGAGCGGTTTAACCTAAAGCGGGGGAATTAAAGGAAGGGAGACATACCTGCGAGTCGGGAATGCAAAGAAATACGTCAGTGGCAGCTCAGCTAAATATCAAGGAACAATAAAGCAGCCTGAGAGAGGAGAGCCGAGATTTTTTAATCCTCTCCTCTTGTTATTATTAGCCGTCCTCTTTTAAATTAATTGCCATAATTTTTAGATTGTTTTAGTTAGTTTTTTTAATGTCACTATATCCTGAAATGTTTTAATCTGCTTGCCCCTTAGGGTTTCTCTTTTTAATTGCACGTTTTGTTTATTCGTTTCGTAAAAAGTTATATACCACTCGGCAGTGGGGAAAACTTCCGAGTGGTTTGCAAAAGGAATAAAACAGTAAAATTATTGGGGATTAAAAACAACTATTAAAAAACACACACGTACCAAAAAAAATTGAGTCTAGGTTTGCCACCCTGGGCTCCATGGGTAGGAAGGTGCGGACGTAAATTCAATAATAAATAGAGTAATAACAAGAGTTACTGTTGTTCTTGTAATTAATAATAATTCTTCTAGTAGCAGTATTTTAACTTAGGACGAATCAAAGAACACTATGATTGCTATTAGCACTCCAAATGAGTGCCAGGCGCTGTGTAATTTTGAAGAAGAAAAATCTTGCCAGTGGCATCAAGCAGTTTGCAGTTTTATTTTACCGAGTCGGATCTCACATCTACAGGTTTTTATCTGCTGTTCCAACCAAATAGCTCAAGGCTGCCTATGTGATTTCTCTCCCCCATTCTTTTTTCTTTTGGCTTCACAAGAACCCCGGCGAGGGTTCGAGCCCCACGCTGGGCCAAAGATCCCTGCAGTGCACAGGGTTGGACTAGATGACCCTCGGGGTGTCTTCCAGTTCTACGATTCTTCACAACAATCCTGTGAAGTAAGTTAGGGGAGAGAGAGAGAGAGAGAGAGAGAGAGAGAGACTGGCCAAAGGTCACACGCAGAGTGCTTCATGGTGGAGTTCAGGATTTGAACCCTAGCCTTTCCCGGGTCCTAGTCTAAGCACTACACCCCCACAGCCTCTCTATGTAAAACACAACATTTCTTTCTCCCCCCCCCCACTTTTATATATAAATTTTTATTAGTTTTTTAACATATCATTTTCAACAATAATTAAACATACTTTTATATCTTATACAAATTTTTGACTTCCATCAGTCATATCTGAAAATTTCCCAATCTATTCACTTAATTTGCATTTCTTACTCTACTACATTTAAATCTCACAACTAATGTCTCTATTCTTTCTCTATTTTGCAATATTTCATATATTTCTCCTTACAGACCTTCTTGGAGTCCTACTAGCGTAATTTGTTGATTACAGTTGCTCTTCAAATAGTTCGTATATTTCTTCCAATCTTCTGTAAATCTCTGGTCCCGCAGGTTTCGAATTCTTCCCGTCATTTTATCCAATTCTGCGTAAAACACGACATTTCAGAGCCTTCTGTGCAAAGGTAATGGTCACACCCATTGACCCACCTAAGAGGTGCGGCCCCCGGAAAGCTGCCTAGGAGAGGATTTGGCCCTCAGGCTGGAAAAAGTTTCCCACTCCAGGACTGAGTGAAATGTTGACTCTCAACTTCAGAGGGCTGCGCTGCTAGGCACCCGTTATCTGGGGAAGTTAAGTTGTGGCAAACTGACTTTACCTCTGAGTAAACATGGCAAGGAATGTCTCCAAGCCAAACACACTGATCAGGGCGATAAGTCACAAACCGAGTGACCTCCTTGACCTTCCACTTTTGCAGAGCACCCTGGAGGCATCCAGGGAATTTTAGCGTTGGAAGGGCGAACGCCAGGCGTCATCTCATCTTCCTAAACTACAGTTCCCAAGGTTCTTCAGAGGAAGTTGTGGGCACAACCTTCTTCTTTGGCGATCCCTCGTAGCCGAGTAAGATTGTCTTCCGTAAACACGGTTTTAACAATGAGTCCGTAAGTGACTGTGGAGGCCAGGCATAGGCAAACTCGGCCCGCCAGATGTTTTGGGACTACAACTCCCATCACCCCTAGCTAACAGGACCAGTGGTCAGGGGTGATGGGAATTGTAGTCCCAAAACATCTGGAGGGCCGAGTTTGCCTATGCCTGGTGGAGGCCAATTCTGGACCCACACATCCTTCCACAGTGAGGACATTGGTTTCTGGCCAGGAGTTGATCACGGTGTGGATTTGCCAACCGTGCCTTCCTCTTAGCACGTTTCTCCCTTGCGTCCTGAGTTCAAGTGTCTTCAAAGCCCATGACACCTTTGGTAAAGGCTGTTCTCCAACTGGAGCGCTCGCAGGCCAGTGTTTCCCAGTTGTCTGTGTTTATACTACATTTTTTTAGATTTGCCTTGAGAGAGTCTTTAAACCTCTTTTGTTGACCACCAGCATTACGCTTTCCATTTTTAAGTTCGGAATAGAGTTGTTGCTTTGGAAGACGATAATCAGGCATGACCAACACCTCGATAAACACTACCTTGATGTCTGGGCTACTTCATACTTTTCTTTAAAGTTTTTTTTAATAAAAAAAAATCATTTTATAATGAAAATACTGACCCGGTAAAGAGCAGAGGGGTCCGAAAGGTCTTAGGGAGTCCATTCGGAGTGCCTTGCTCTCTGCATGCCTCAAAAGTAGGGGCCTAGCATTACGCTCAACAGGTGAGCACCGAGTGCGAATTTCGCCATCTGAAGGACAACACTGCCACCTGTAGGACTGAAGAATCCTTGCTTGCTCCAGCATGTACCAGCTCAGGCCGAAAAGAACACACAATGAGAGTTGTAGAATATAACAACCTTTGATTGATAAAGGTTGATTGATTGACTATAACAACCAATTGAAAGGGATTTGAAAACTGAGCAATGGGGGGAAATAATAATATATGAAATAGAGGAATATATTGGATGAAATGTGTGATGTAATCGAGGAATATGTATCGGTGAAAATTGTGATATTACACCGTAGGTAAAAGGGATGGCTATGAAAACACCACAGAAGGGAAGGTGGGAGGTCAAATTATAAGATGAATGCATAACCAATTTGAGGTTTGAAATTAGTTGGTCAAGGTTATGAAAATTTAATAAAAATCTTAATAATTAGAAAACAGAGTTGTAGAATTGTAGAGTTGGGACGGGACTTGTTCCAGCCCATGTTCATAACAGGAATCTTGCAATGACTGTATACTAAAGACTGTAGCTCAACAGGTAGAGATCTACTTTGCATGGAGGCACCAGGTTTAATTGCGGACATCTCCAGGAAGGGCTGGAAAAACCCCAGGAGATCTAGACTGGCCAATGGTCTGAATCAGTATAAGGCAGCTTTCCATGTTCCTGATATATGGGTAAAAATTGTAGGAGATAAGGACCTTACTGAAATCATGATATGCTACATGACACTTATCAAAAAAAGAAAGAATATTTGTCTGTTTTTGATACACCCATGCTGGGTCTTAGTAATCACACTGCTGCAAAAAAATGTGCTGCGTTGGCTTCAACAGAGTTTTTAAAAATTAATTTAAATATTTTCATTAAAATAATCCAACTCGAACTAATTTTAAAAATACCGGGCTAGCAGAGGATGGTTTCGATCCATCGACCTCTGGGTTATGGGCCCAGCACGCTTCCGCTGCGCCACTCTGCTGCTTGCGAGCAAAATGCTTCATTGATGCTCTAGAAGTGCCGCACAATGTTCTGCGCGTGCGCGCTAAGCGCTATTGTCTCCCTCTTTCGGCGTCCTTCTCTCCCTCTAGCGGTCTCCAAAGAGCTCCGCTGCCCAGAAGCCGCACATGCGCCTTCCCCACCTCCCCTTGCGCGGTCCCTCCTCCCCTCCCGCTCCCACTAAGCCCTGCCCTATTGGTCACACTTCCTGCTACCAACTTTGCCATTGGCTCACCGCTCGCGGGGCGTGCGCGAGTCTTCCGAATGACAGACGGTCCAAAGGAACCAATGAGATGACGGAAGCAAAGACGCGGGCGGGAAGCCACTGTGGGACACGAGGACGGGATTGGCTGAAGGAAGGTAGCCGCGGCGGCAGCCAATAACGGCGGCTGCTACTGCCTAAGGGGACCAATAGCGGTGCAGCTTGTTGCGAGGTGCGCAGAGCGGCGGGCGCAAGTGTAGGCCGGGCGGCTTTTCTTTCATATTTCCTCGGCCCCCTCCCCCCACATTCGCTGCACCGTTTCTTTCTTTTTTTTAACGCCTGAGGAGCAGCGACGGTTATTGCTCGTCGGAATCATGAGGCGAGTAAAGGGAGGGGGGGAGAAATGGGGGAGGGGCTGGCACGTGGCGGGGGAGGGGAATTGGGGGAAGGGAGAAGGGAATGGAAGGATTGGGGGTCAAGGCGGGCGCTCACTTTTTGTGAGGAGGGCGCTTATTTGGGGCGAACTGTGCTCAAAAAGCAGGACAAGGAAACCCCCGAACCTCCAGGGACGAAAGGAGTCTACTTTTCTACCTGAATATGGTAGAGAGAGAGATAGACTGCTGCTGCGCTTGGAAGCTCCACCTCCGGCCGTCGTCTGCCTGCCCTATCTCCCTGCCAACTGCCATATAACGGGGAGGGACAGGACGGCTAAAGATGGCATCCCCTTGCCCCTCCTAAGGACGCATGGAAGACGGAGCGAGATTGTTTTCTTCTGCTCTGGAGGGCAGGACTCGAGATTCTAACAGGGGTCGGACTAGCTGACCCTTGGTGCCCCCTTCCAACTCCCACAGGACAGTGGTGCCTCAGGTTACATACGCTTCAGGTTACAGACTCCGCTAACCCAGAAATAGTACCTCGGGTTAAGAATTTTGCTTCAGGATGAGAACAGAAATCGTGCAGCGGCAGCAGCGGGAGGCCCCATTAGCTAAAGTGGTACCTCAGGTTAAGAACAGTTTCAGGTTAAGAACGGACCTCCGGAACGAATTAAGTACTTAACCCGAGGTACCACTGTACTATCATTCCAGGAACAGAACAAGAGCCCAGCTGCTGGATCATCTTAGTCCAGCATCCTGGTCCCACAGCTGCCCCAAAGGGAAGCACACAAGCAAGATTCCAACAAACACAAATAGCTGCCTCTCCCTTTCTGGCCACTGGCATTCAGAGGCATCATGGCTAGTAGCCATGGGTACTTTGCTTCTCCCATGCATTTGCCAAATCCACTTTGATAGCCATCCAAGTTGGTGGACACCACTGCCCTCCTATGGGAGAGAGATACAACAGCCAAAGGGTGGACCCCCAGGTACTGAAGCAATCTACCCTCTCAGCATCAGATAACAGAGAGGCGTGAGATAGTTGAAGGTGAGGCTTCCAGGGGCAGATGAAGTCTACCTCTGCAATCAGCAGATAATGGGGAGATAGACTTCACAACAAGAGCGGGTTGGGCTTGGGGCTTCATGGGCTTGGGTGTTATTGAGCTTCGAAAGGCATGTGTGACTTCACTGAATAGTTACAGGTAGGTAGCCGTGTTGGTCTGCCGTAGTCGAAACAAAATAAAATAAAATAAATTCTTCCAGTAGCACCTTAGAGACCAACTAAGTTAGTTATTGGTTAGTTGGTCTCTAAGGTGCTGCTGGAAGGATTTTTTAAGATTTTATTTTATTCACTGGATAGCAGAAGTGAACTTAGGATAACCTTTGGTCTGCCCAACCTGGTATTGTCAACCCCACACGTGAGGACCCTGTGGCTCGGCAGATGTTGCTAGACTCCAACTCTCATCAGCTCCAGCCAACATGGACAATAGTCATGAATGATGGGCTTCCGAATGGAGGGCACCAGTTGCCCTATGCTTAATGTAAATGGAGAGAAAAGGGTGTAAGGAAACAAACCTCTGGGAACAACTGATAGCAGATTGTGGCTCTTGCTTGTACTTATGATTTCCCCCCCTCTTCTTCCCCCATGATTTCTTTCAGGGGTGACAGAGGCCGTGGTCGTGGCGGACGCTTTGGTTCTCGGGGTGGTCCTGGCAGTGGGTAAGTCCCACATGAAAGTTAGGCATCTGTCCATTTCTAGCAGCACAAACACAGGAAACTGCCGTATATTGTGCAGGGCCATTGGTCCATCTACCTGCTCAGTATTGTCTCCACTAACGGCAGCGGCTGTCCAGGGTTTCAAGCAGGGTTCTCTCCAGGGAATACTGAAGGAAGCCCACTGGTCTGTTCAGCAAAGTTTTACCTGCAATGACTGGAAGCAGGCAGGCATTCAGACAGGAGACATTTCCATCCATACAAGGCCAAAATGGAACAGCTGAAACTGTGTGTCTCAGTAGACAGAACACACTATGGTTTAGATGGCCAAGTTTTCTAGGCAGGAAGCCTTATTGGTTCTGCTGCTGTGGCTTACTCCCAAGCATGTGTGCCTACTTGGGAGTAACTCACTGAATATACTGGGGCTGAATAATCACACATAGGCTCTTGGTGTCGGCTTCACATCGTTCTTCCTTATAACATCCCTTAAGTAAAGTCAGGATAAGCTAAAGAACATGATCAAACCTGTGACATAGGTCTTGAATGTACTGTAAACTCTGGCAAGAGCAAAATCAAAGCTCACCTTCCTATGTTAACTGTGTTTCAGGTTCCGACCCTTCGTGCCTCACATCCCTTTTGACTTCTATGTGGTGAGTAGGCCTGACGGGTGCTTTTGAATGTAGCTGGCAGTCCTAAGTTTGAGAAGTTTGTCTTGGGAAATTAAAAATCAACCCAGCAAGCTGTGGGATTGGAGAACTTGGAAGCTTTCTGGATACAGCCACGAAATGGTGCGCCTGCATTCTCAAAATATGCTAGGAAAAAAGTAGTGTGCAGGGTTGACATCAATTTTTGTAATGCCTTGGAGCAGGAATCAGACTTTTAGACCCACGCATAAGTACACATAAAGAGATGGGTGAGATCAAATTGGAGGCCCTACCTTGCCTTAAAAAACAAAAACTGTCCTGTTTGTTCAATGCCTGCCTGTTGTTGGTGGCTGTGTCATGTGCACAGATTGCTGTTTGGTGGTGCTGAGTGGTGAAACCACATATATGAACACTGCTTAAATGGGACCACTGAGGATGAACATAGTGCACTGTGTGTGTGTGTGAAAGTCTTCATAAAGGTGTCCTCCTTCCTTCAGTGCGAAATGGCTTTCCCCCGTGTGAAACCAGCCCCAGATGAGACTGCCTTCAGCGAAGCCTTGCTAAAGAGAAACCAGGACCTTGCTCCCACTTCTGCTGAACAGGTGTGTTCTGCATGATTGCTGCACTCTCCCCGGTAGAATTAAGAGGTTTCTGTCAAGGAGGTGGGATAGGAACCCTGGATAAAATTATTCAGTTGCTTTTCCTACATAGGGGTGGTCAGACCTCTGTTTCCTCTAGGAGTTAAAATAAAACAATAATAAATTAAAAGGCAGTAATGCTCTTTGAGCTAAAAATTGAAAGCAGTAATCGTCATTAAACGTCACATTGCCTACAATTTCTTAGAGGCCTTTCACCACCCGTTCTCGAAAAATAAGCCACGTTCCTGAATTTAAGACTTAATTTATTCCCGAAATAATAGTTACTAAATCTCCTAGTTAGGATACATTGCAGTCCTTCCTTGATATACGAACATAGTCTTGTCTTTTTTACTTTAGACATTGTAATATGAAGGGCAAAGGATACAGTTAACTGCTATTGTGTAATTTGTGGTTTTGATTGGATGTTTTATTTATTAGTATGTTAAATTTTGCACAGCTGCGTTGAACTGCCATTTGCACATTAAAATACGGTATATAAATCAGGTAATAAACAAATGGCTACATACTACTCTATTTCCCTCTTCTGTACTAGGCTTCTATCCTCTCTCTGGTGACCAAGATCAACAATGTGATTGACAACTTGATTGTGGCTCCAGGAACATTTGAAGTGGTAAGTCAGTCTTCACTGAGAAGACATTAGGAGAATACTCGTATTTAACAAGGGAGTATGTGTTTTCATCTGAAGGGTTGTGGTTTGCTGTGAGACTTCTCTCAGTAGACACAATTGCCAAACTGGGATTGAAACAGAATGTCCGCTGAGCCAACCTCCAGGCAGGATTGCATCAGTCCCTCTAGCCTAGATTTCAGAGTGTCACAGGCAACAGCTTTTTTAAAGTTTACATTTGAATTTCTGAGCAAGTGCTGTGGGCACCATCTTCTCCGCTCCTCTCTCTCCCCACTCCCCTGATCAGCCACCCCAAAAGTGACAGGCTCTGAGCTTGTAAAAAACATAGAGCTGAAAGAGGAAGTGGGAAAGAGTGTCACTTTTCCAACTTCCTTTTTTAGCTCTATGTCCTTTTCAAGAGAGAAGGGCAGTGGGCTTGGAGACTTTGTGGGCCAACTTGGGAAGATCTGAACAGCATATTTATGTGTACATCTCTCTCTCTCTCTTGCCTTACCAGCAAATCGAAGAGGTTCGCCAAGTGGGATCCTACAAGAAAGGAACCATGATGACTGGCCACAATGTGGCAGATCTAGTTGTGATCCTGAAAATCTTGCCTACATGTAAGTTTTTCTATTCGCAAAGGGAAGGGGAAATGGCAGACTGGGGTGGGGAGTGTGTTCTAATGGAGCCTTCTGCAATGAATTTTGACTTCTGCTTCCATCCACAGTGGAAGCTGTTGCCGCCTTGGGAAACAAAGTTGTGGAAAGCCTGAGGACGCAGGATCCTGCTGAAGGTGAGCAGCACGTTTTGTCTGCCATTGCCCTGTTCTATGCATCAGCACACTCAGTGCTGCATTCCAAGCAAAATAACCCCAGGGGGAAAGATATATGCTAGTGGCACAGGCAGGAAACAACACTCAGGAAAACAGCTGTCTTTTGCCTCAAATGCAATTTGCTGGATTTGGGATGGGAAGACTGTGGCATTCCAGATACTGCTTGACTGCAAGTCCCATCATCTCTTATAACTGCTGGGAGTTGGAGTCCAGCAACATCTGAAGGACCACTGATTTGGGCAAGATTCACTACTGGGGTCCAGAGTACTATCTGTTCCACAGTACAGAGAGAAATGTCACCAAGCATTGAGAGCTGTAGCTACTCCTCAGTCACTTCTTGGCTCATTTCATCCCTGATTTTTTCTCCCCTTAGTATTGACCATGCTCACCAATGAGACCGGCTTCGAAATCAGTTCTGCAGACGCAACAGTGAAGATTCTTATAACCACTGTGCCCCCCAACCTCCGCAAGCTGGATCCCGAGCTGCACCGTAAGGAAATCCAGGCAGTTTGTTTTCTCTGCAGTGGAGGGGCAGGGGGAAGGGCAGGATGGATGGAGGTTGACCTTGCTTAAATAGGTTGTGCTTTTGGTAGAAGAGTAGAAAAGAGCAACCTGCCCAGAGGGCCTTGTGTGCTGTTTTTATTGGGTTGAGGTGTGTGTGCCCAGCATAGAAGGCAGGAGTATTTCCCTGCTGAACAGAGTTTTCCTAATGCCGCCACTTCTGTTGTCTTCTCTCCACTCACCAGTGGATATCAAAGTGCTTCAGAGTGCTCTGGCAGCTATCCGACATGCTCGCTGGTTTGAGGAAAACGCGTCTCAGTCCACGTAAGTTCAGTCCACGTAAGTCTCTCTCCCTTTGCGCCTGGGGAGCCACCTTTGCTCCTCCTGCAGAGGTGGCCCTCCAAGCCTTCTAGCCTTGCTTTTGCCCCCAAGGTGTTTTTTTTAAAAAACAAACACCTAACTGCAGTGTGTCCTTGAGCTCTGATAATGTCGCTTGCTGTCTGCATGTAGGACAGAGAGGTGTGTGCAAGAAACTAGCCTATGGCATAACGGTTATATTTACATTTGTTCCTATGCCCAATTTTGCCTCTGCCCCCCCGCCCACCAGAAGGGAATGCCGCCTTCAGGCTCAAAAAGGTTCTCCTGCCCTTGTGGAAGGACATAGGGGAGGAAGCTCCCCAATCTGTAAAACTTAAGGCAGACTAGGGTCAACCTTAGCTCTTACACTGGGAAACATCAAGGCTTTGATGCATCTCTGAGTTTGGACTTGCTCCAGCTGCTTGCTTCTGGTGCTCTTGGTCCAGGTCCTAACCCCTGGCAGAACTCCCATATCTTGGGGACGTATGTCTATTCACAATGAGCCTCCTTCTGATTCTCCAGACTCTGGCATGGGGGCAGTTGAGGCACAAGGATGAGGTGTTCTTTGTGTAGATTTGCTCGCTTCTAGTGCTGCTTGTGCAAGATTCATGCCTTTGCAGTTGGATCTCCTAAGCTGGCATAAGAGCAGAGTAGCCTTGCTGGATCAGATCAAAATGTCAGTTTAGTCCAGCATCCTGTTTTGTAGAGTGGCTTACCAGATGTCTCTGGGAAGCTCACAAGTAGTATATGAAGACAGAAGCCACACTTACACACAGAATTTGCCCCCTTTCAGATGTCATTCAGAGGTAAATGCCTCTAAATAGGGAGATTTCATGTAGCTTTTGTGGCTAATCCACCAATGGACACCCTCCTCTTTAGTAGTATAGAGTCCAGTATTCTAGAGAAAACCATCACCACCATTTGTTTTAGAAAATTTATAAACGGCTTGATCCAAACACACACACACCCCCAGCATGGTTCAAATAAATAAAACATGGCTACAGCCCACAAGCTAATTCAAAACAAATACACACAAAAACTATCATTTTAAAACAAAGATAGTATCAACAACACAATAGATAGATACATATTCTGGGGATGACATTGTTACCTTCTTTCAGAGTGAAAGTCTTGATTCGTCTGCTGAAGGACCTCAGGATGCGGTTCCCAGGCTTTGAACCCCTCACACCCTGGATTCTTGACCTGCTGGTATGTGGAGAGATCAAGGGCAGGTGCTTGGCTTCCACTGTGGGCTGATTCTCTAATGGTGGCTGCTTCATGTTATGCTTTCTTGATCAAAACATTCAAGGATTCTGTTTTTGCAGTTGGGAGAAGCTTGGCAGCGATCTGCATCCCTTTTTCCTGTGTGACAACACTTTGAAGTTGTAGATCAGAACTAGGACTGATCTTTTTTAAAAAAAATCATGAATTTAAAACAGTTAAGGAAAATGAATGTGGAGACTCCATTGGGTCAAAGACAGGCTCCTGAATAATTTAATCCATAACGTAGTGCATACTTAGAAGGGTTGTTTTTCATTTGCAGGTAATTGCATAAGATTGAGGTGCTCCTTAACTTTTTTCCCATGCGAATATAAATATTCTGCAGGGAAGGAAAGGGTGACAACATATTTACTATATATACTGGAAAGTTGTGTGCTGTGCATTTGGACACCTCTTTAGGCAGTGGAACCAATTTGCTGCATGATGTCTCCTGAGATCAATGAGCAGCTTTTCACTTACCTTTGGATCCAGTTGGATGCCATTTTGAATCAAGATGGTAGACTGAACCTTGCCAAACCACCGATTTCAAAACTCCACTGGTTTTCGTTTGTTTCCTAAAATTCCTGAGCAGCTCCAGGTATGAAGCTGCCAGTGCTTAGTGAAATAAAATGTTGAACTGTCTTCTCAGTAAGCCCAACTGAATTTAGTTGGAATCCTTTCCCAAGCCAACACAGACAGAATTGTATTGCCAGTAACTGGGGAAGCAGGATGGAGAAAACAAAGCTCTACTATTTGCTCTTCTCTTTGGTTCTAGGGACACTATGCTGTGATGAACAACCCCACACGGCAGCCCTTGGCTCTCAATGTTGCCTACAGGTATAGTCAAAACCCTTTTAAAATTCAGGGGGGAAGAAGAGAATTTGTGTCTTCCAAGTGCCACATGGCGGGGGGTATTATTATTACTAATCTTGCTGCTTCTTCGCAGGCGCTGCCTTCAGATCTTGGCTGCTGGGCTCTTCCTTCCTGGCTCTGTCGGCATCACTGACCCCTGTGAGAGCGGGAACTTCAGAGTCCACACAGTTATGACCCTGGAGCAGCAGGTAACCCATCCCCCTCCTTTAACTGAGATACCGTACAGTCCAAGGATTTAGGTTGGGGCGGGGGACACCCGTACAAGAATGTACAAGAAGGGTTGAGGACCTGTGGCTCTCCCAAGTGTTGTTGGAACCACAACTCAACATCGTCCCTCACCGTTGGCCATGCTGGCTGGGGCTGATGGGAGTTGGGAGCCCATCAACTTCTGCAGGGCCACGTGATCCACACACACATACACCAGTTACATATGCATGCCTGATTGGTTGAGATACGTGTCTGGGAAAGGGGTTGGGGATCCTGTAGCCCTCCAAATGCTGCTGGACTCCCAGCTCACATTATCCCTAGCCACTGGCCCTTCTGGGGCTTATGGGAGCTCAACACCACATGGAGGACCATCGCTGGTATAGTGGCTATAAACATGAGCTGAAAGCCCTTGCCTCTGCCACAAACTTAGCATACATGGCTTTAGCCAAACCTCTACTCTTAATAACATTGGCCGGCCTGCCAGGGCTGTTTCAAAGTACACTCTGTGAAAGAGGTGTCAACTATTCAAATACTTTCTGGAGCAAGATGAGCACCATGCCTCCAGCTTATCAGCAGATTTTGGCCACCTACAAATAATTCTAATCCTCATGGCTAAAATGCCTGCATAGGATTGTCAGAGTTGGCAATGAGCCCATAGGTTTCACACATGCTTTGAGATGCTTTGCAGATTACAAAAGCATGAAGTTCAACTACTGTGTGTCGTGCACTGTTTGAAGAGGCAAGCGTGTGTGCCCTTGCTGTCGGTTAGAGAGAAATGTGCTGTGCAGGTGGATCTTCAAGAAGCCTTGAAGATGCTCTGAAAGTGCAGGGAGGGGGCGATGTGTGACTGGCCTTTCTCTTTCCATCTAGGACATGGTCTGCTACACAGCCCAAACCCTGGTCCGCATTCTCTCTCATGGCGGATACCGGAAGATCCTTGGGCAAGAAGGAGATGCCAACTGTAAGTAGGAGCTCTTGGAAGGAGCTGTGGCTCAGTGGCTGGAGCATATGTCCGGGATCTCCTTGTTGGGCTGGGACACCCTCCAGATGGAAACCTTGGAGAATGCCAGTCAGAGTAGACAGTATAGAGCTAGATGGACCCAAGAGTCTCACCAGGTACAAGGCAGGTTCCTATGTTGGAAAGACAGATGGAAAGTGGGGCTCTCTCAAACAGTTTTGCTGGGACAGGCCTGCTCAATCAGGCCTCCTCTCCTTCAGCTGTCACCTGGGAGCAGGTGTTTCTTCAGACTGCCTCCATGGGAGATAGGAAGAAGGGCTCACTCACTCCTGTTTCATCAGGTGCCTCCTGCCCCTGAACTGGGCCACCTGGCCATTATAAAAACAACTGTTTAAGAAGCAGTGCCCAAGTTTTTTGTCCCCCAATTCCTTTTGTGTGCAGTGTTCCTTTAAATTGCAAGTATATAGGCAGGGTCTGTCTTGTTTTAACTGATTGTACATAAGCCAATCTGGGAGCCCTTTGGGCCAAAACCAGGGTGCAGATGTTCTAAATAAATAAATAAATAAAATGAAGAGTGGGGGCACTGGCACACATTATCACTCAGCTATTGTAACCAAGGAAGTAACTAGTCTACCTCTAGGCAAGTGAGCAGCAGCAGCCTCAGGTGTTAAAATATTATTGGCTCCAAATCTTGTGCTAGAGGAATCGGGTGGTCTACATATAGAAATAAGGCCACACTTTGTTCTACTACATTGCAGCCTTTGGCTGTAGTTGAGGTGAAAGATGTTTAGAAATAGGCAGCGAAAATCCAACAGGAGAATTACCTTAGGGGAGATGTGCCATGGCCGACAGATGGCTTGTCAGCAGCATCAAACAACAATCCTAATCACATTTATCCTGAGTGTAAGCCCCATTGAACTTGATATGACTTAAATTCAGAATAAGACGAGCATAGGATTGCATGCTGGCCCTGGGCTGCTCGTTCCTCGGTGCACTTAGCCCAGGTATTTGGAACCCATGGCCTTGCGGGTGAACTACAACCCCCCTCATTCCTGGTCTACAGCTGGGAGTTGTAGTTCAGCAACATCTGGAGAGCTAAAGGTTCCTGCTCTAGTGCAGTGTTGGTTGTACAGGCTTAACTACCTGACTCACCACCACCCTGGAACGTCCCTTGTTTCGCAGACCTGGCTACCGAGATGTCTACCTGGGAAGGTGTGATCGTGACCCCGTCGGAGAAAGCATACGAGAAACCACCTGAGAAGAAGGAAGGGGAAGAGGAGGAAGAGAACCAGGAAGAGACTGCTACCGGAGAAGAGGAAGAGAGCATGGAAACCCAAGAGTGACCTGCCAGGTGTGATGTGGTGGATTCAAGGGGGCAGCCCTCTCTGGTTTCTCTCACCCCCGACAGTAACACAGCTCTCCCAGCACACCTGATTGATAGCTGGTTATGCCAAGAGCTCCACTCCAGCCACCTTTATTCCCTCTTCCTGGCTTCCCTTCCACTGAGCCCATTGACTTGGTGTCTGTTCTGGATATGTTCACCCTGGTGGTGACAGCTACAGATGGCACTCTGTCCCACACCCTCTTGGAGCTGTGTGTGCTTTCCAAGGCCAAGGTTAAATTTCCTAGGTCATACTTTTTACCCAGAACCCCTTGAAAAGTGGTGTGCCTGCTTGTTTTATTTGACTGGTGGGGGGTGGGGTGGATAAGAGACTAGTGACCCCTGGATAATTATGGTGTGGAATACCTGTGTTGCTTAGAATGCTGATTAAGAAGCAAAGAAGAGGAGAAATGGCCTGAGCTGGTGTTCAAAGCTGTTTTGCTTCTGTCTTTCAGTGACCCTCTCCCCTTGCCTCTGCTACTGATGGATGAACAGTTGAAGAAGGCCAAACCTGACTCCCCTTTTCTGTGTGTTATTCTAATTGTCTTGTTTTTTAAAATTCTTGCTATTAAAATTGTGTTTTCCTTTTAAAAGCTGTTAGTTGGTTTGTCTGCCTGGGTGCTGGATCTACCAATTGGTTACATCAACTGATGAGAACCAAGATCTGTTACAAAAGTGACCTCCAGAAAATGGTCAAGCTCCTAAAATGGCAACTTTTTTTGATGAAAAGGTTAGCAACTCTTGCAAACTCTTAGCTATCTCTCAGCAGGACCTCCTTTATTTAGATCAAGAGTGAGAACTAGGAGACTTTTTTTTAGCAGAAGAAATAGTAAACGGAGCTGAAACCAAGCTTATTGGGCACTGAGCACCAGGCTTGGAACTTCAGGCCAGGGGATGCTCAAGAAAAGCACAAAATCTATTTAAAAGTCAGACTTCCAGCGTGTTGCTATTCCCAAATACAGTGGTACCTCGCAAGACGAATGCCTCGCAAGACAAAGAACTCGCTAGACGAAAGGGTTTTTTGTTTTTTGAGCTGCTTCGCAAGACGATTTTCCCTATGGGCCTGCTTCGCAAGACGGAAACGTCTTGCAAGTTTGTTTCCTTTTTCTTAACACCGCTGATACAGTTGCGACTTGACTTCGAGGAGCAACTCATAGAACGCGGTGTGGTAGCCTTTTTTGAGGTTTTTTAAGACTTTGGTGATTTTTGAAGCTTTTCCAAAACTTTCCCGACACCGTGCTTCGCAAGACAAAAAAAATCGCAAGACGACAAAACTCGCGGAACGAATTAATTTCGTCTTGCGAGGCACCACTGTATGTCCCTTAGCTTGGATCATCTTTGTTCCCATTTGCTTTTCCTTTGCATGAAAAGTTTCTGTGACTAGCGGCTTAACCCCGCATTCCCTACAACAGCTTTCAGAAACCCCCAAAGTGCAACAGACCGAGCACAGGAGGCCTTGTCCCATGTTAACTAGCAGTGAACTTTTATTGCACAAGCAAGAGGCACCATTCTCGGCCACGTTCCGTGTCACTCTGCAGCCATAAGCAGGCCCAATTGCACCAACTCCACCTGAAAGAGTACCTCGGCAGGGGGAAGCATGATAGGAAATTTGTGCCCAAAACCTTTCTTTCTTTATGAGATGAGGAGTCTTCCATATGCAGGAATTCCTGTCCGCGGGGCAGGAGCTTTTCCTAGCACCATGCAGTGCCCAACAGCCCAACTCTTTATCTTTCTCCGTGTTGTGCTTAGAAGCTGGCAGCATCCGTAAGGAAATGGCAGCTCTGGAAATTGCACCACTTTTCCCTTATGAAAGGTCCTCTCATTTGCTGGGCGAGCCTTGGGGGTAGCTACCGCCGGCTTCAAGCATGGCTTTTCTGCGGGCAGTCTCCTTGGCTATACCATGGCTGAGCCTTCTCAAGCGCTCCTGTAAAGGAGAGGAAATGGTTTCAGCAAGAGTTTCGTAAGCAGTGAAGGCAGCTCCATTTACAAGTTCTTGAGGTGCAGGAGACACTCGCCAACTGGGCAGAGCTACGTTGTTGTGCTGCCAGCCCTTTGTACCATAGGTTTTCAGTCAGGACTTGCACCTTCCAACAATATCTCGGTGAAAAAATGAAGGGTCAGCATTCTAAATAGCCTGCCTGCTGGTCCTATAGTCCAAGGGCGAGGGAGAAAGAGTATCATAGCAGTTAAATCAATCCATAGTGTTAAATGCCATCCATAATATCTGGAAGGCAGTGGGTTAACAAAGGAGACCTTCAAGACTTCTTTTTTCCCCAAGCACATGCTGACACCTCCGCGTGTTTCTATAATTACTGGGGCTGAAAAGGACTATAGGAGATGTTGAGCATGGAAGCAAATGAACCACCAAAACTAGAACAGAATCAGTGTAATGTGCTTCTACATGCCCAACCTCTAGGTCCCGATCATCACAGTTAAATATTTTTATATTGCAAATCACCCTGTGACCCTCAGATACTAAGGGTGGTATATAAATTTAATAAATAAATTACAGTCCTGAGTTTCCAGGTAGGAACGTAGGAACCTGCCTTAAACCAGGTCCAATGACTAGTCCATCTGGCTCAATACTGTCTACTCTCGCTAGCAGCAGCCCTCTGGATTTTCAGGCTAAGAGCCCCCCCTTTCCCCCCCCTTCCACGTACCTGAAGATGCTGTGGATCAAATACAAGGCGGGCAAGACAGATTTTCTATCACAGAGCAGTGAGGGCCTACTCTGGCTGCTAGCTCCAGCAACTTAAAGTGCTGTAACATGTTACATAAGAGGAAAGTTGGTATAAAAAGTCCATCCCTCTCTCACACACACCTGAGCATTTTGCAGGATGTTATTAACAAGGACGACTCTGCGCCGGGCATTGAGCAGCTTCTTGACGTAAGGGTCCAGGTCGAGGGCTACCTTCTGGTCTTCGTTGATGCGACACAGCTCTAGTTGGGGAAGAGAGAAGGGGGAAAGCTTTTTAGGGACAAGTCCGATCGGGATTCGAACCATGAATTTCCACATCGCCCATGGCGGAGTAGACCTCAGCAACTGACCTACAAGGGAAGATCTAGGATTGGTTGTTAACATTTATTTTACCCACCTTTCACCATAGGTCCCAGGGTGGGTTCCGACAGTTTGAAATTCAGAATGTAAAACAAATTACAGCTGCAGGAATAAGGTGGGCGCTGAAAACACACATCTTGGGCATCAAAAGGCCCTGAATTCAATATGAAATAGTGCCAATTGGCTACTAACGTGCCCTCCAGCACCTATCAATCACAGCCAGCAGGGCCCAACAGGGGTAGATGGGAGTTATGGTCCAGATAACATTTGGAGGGCCTCATTTTTCCTTCCCCTAAAATAAAAGATGCCACACAAATTTAACACTATTCCCTGGAGGTGTATGGTGGGGAAATATCTCAGATTGTTTACAGGAGCACTATAATGTATTATTGGCCCTCTGCTGAAGGCCAGAGTGCATATCCTTGCCAGTAAAGGTAAAGGGACCCCTGACCATTGGGTCCAGTCATGGACGACTCTGGGGTTGCGGTGCTCATCTCGCTTTATTGGCCGAGGGAGCCGGCGTACAGTTTCCGGGTCATGTGGCCAGCATGACTAAGCCGCTTCCGGCGAACCAGAGCAGTGCACGGAAACGCCGTTTACCTTCCCGCCGGAGCGGTACCTATTTATCTACTTGCACTTTGACATGCTTTCGAACTGCTAGGTTGGCATTGGCTAAAATTTTAAAAGGGGGTAGGGCCTATTTTAGCACTTTCTACTTTCAAGGAGATGCTGAGTCTTAACAAAGGGGTGACTCCATCTTGGAATCAGGGAATGCTACGTTATTGATAAGTATGATCTTTCTTTGGACTTTCTTAGTTTGTTACATTTTGAGATGGCATCTCACCACATGAAATATTCTATTTTAAAGCATTGTTTTTGTGCTGATCACACTTCTGCCTGGTATGCCAAACTACCCATTCAGACCCCTCGCCCTCACTACGTAACCAGCACCACAAATGCCAAACAGAAAAGCCTTTACAGCTCTGCAACTCCTGTCTATGTACGCTGCCATAGGTGAAAGATGCTACTGCCAGATCCCCCTATGAAGAGAGAGTTTGCCCATGTGCCTGAAGACTTACCCCATTACTTACTGGTTTGCCCAGTCTACTAGGACTTAAGAGCAGCTTCGTTCAAAGATTTAAATCTCCCAGTTAGATCAATTGGGTATTTAATTAACTTTTTATTATAGGATAGGTCCTCCTACACCTCTGAAAAAGTGGTCTGTTTTGCCTTTAGAGAGCAATTTTAAAGAGAAAAGTTTATGGAGATAAAAAGCTAAATTCTTCAGGGGAGCAAACTCTTATCTGATAAAATGTCCGATTTTAATAATTATTTTAACTGTGTAATGTATTTTAACTTTTATAACAGCTTCAGCTAGACTAAATAAATAAATAACAATTTTAACAATATTGGCCCTTTGGGACAGAAACTGCTGCTTAAAGAGGCCTCTTCTAACAAGACACTGCAGACTCTTTACTGCTCAGTGAATATGGGGCAGTTATTGCTTCATTTCTCTAGCAGGTGGGGCAATACTTAAGTCCCCTTGGATATGATTCCAATGAGCTTATACAGGAAGGAATGAAATATTTTACAAACCAATATTGAAGTTGCTGTTACTTCCTGGTTGGGATAAAAAGGGGTAAAGTATTTAACAAATCCCAGAAGCAACCAGTTTCTTCTGCCCTCCCAGTTATGTTCTCATTCTTCCCACTGTGCAGATATTTTTACCTGTGGCCAGGCTGTCGATGTGTTCCCGCAATTCCACTTGACTCTCCCTGCAAGGAGAAACAAGAAAGGAATATAACAGCCTGGGAGTTGGTTGGGGAGAATGTCATGGAGATTTACTAGCTCACAAAAAATAACATTCATGCCGGAGGACCGGGCTCCAAAAACCCCATGCAGCCAGGAAGCTCATTGGGGTGACCTCAGACCGGTCACCATCTCTCCCAGCCTAACCTACCTCACAGGGTCGTTGTGAGGATAAAATAGAGAACCACATGCACCACCTTGAAGGGAAAGTGGGCTAGAAGAGTAACAATGAACTAAAATACCAGAGGGAGGTTCGTTCCCTCTCACGGGGTGAGGGGACCACAAATAATACGAATCAAAGGAGTTCGGAGAAAAGCCACAGCTCATTGATAAAAGTGTCTGTCTTGCAAGCAAAAATTCCCAGGTTCAACTGCTTTTTCCAGGTAGGACTGGGAGACTCCCTGACTTGAAGCCCTGGAGAGCCACTGCCGGTAAGTGTGGACAATACTGAGCTAGATGGACTCCGTATAATCAGGGCCGGATTTGGGTTTGATGAGGCCCTAAGCTACTGAAGGTAATGGGGCCCTTTATATGTCCAGCTGTCCTTCGTCAACAACAAATTGTCGCTCTTTTTGTGTTGCATATATGCTATATGGTAATTTATGGACCTAATAGGTATTTAAGCCATTTGCACATAACAAAATATGTATTTTATCAAAGTAATTGTCGAACTAAAATACAATTAAGAAGTATATTAATAGTGAAATACAATTAAGAAGTATATTAACAGTGAAATAATTATTAAGCTCTAACTTAAAATGATTTTTTATTCATAATAAACTTAATAATGCAAACCTATATTTTTCCTTTAAATTTTTTGGGGGCCCACAAGAGAGTGGGGCCCTAATCTATAGCTTGTTTAGGTAAAGGTAAAGGGACCCCTGACCATTAGGTCCAGTTGTGGCCGACTCTGGGGTTGCAGCGCTCATCTCGTTTTATTGGCCGAGGGAGCCGGCGTTTGTCCACAGACAGTTCTTTCGGGTCATGTGGCCAGCATGACAAAGCCTGGCGAAACCAGAGCAGTGGAAACACCATTTACCTTCCCGCTGGAGTGGTACCTATTTATCTACTTGCACTTTGACGTGCTTTCAAACTGCTGGTTGGCAGGAGGAGGGACCGAGCAACGGGAGCTCACCCCGTCACAGGGATTCGAACCGCCGACCTTCTGATCGGCAAGTCCTAGGCTCTGTGGTTTAATCTGGCACTGCACGGTATAATCCTGTGAATTCTTGTCTTCAGATATGGGAAAGGCTTCCTCCCTCGGAAGACGGCAGCAGGGCTTGTTCTCTGCTGCTGCAGAACTTACGGAGGGAAATACACTTTAGAAAGCTGCATCCCTATTGATCTACCAACAGGGGCTGGGCAGGGTAGAGGAGCTGCACCTGGCTGACTTCTACCTGCCAAGGCGCACATCTATCAAGTGCCGGCTCTGAGCCAGGCAGCCGCTTTGGAGAGGCTGCGTTCCCCGCTCTCCGCAGGGGCGGGGCTGGCGCGAAGCAGCTGCACCTGGAGAACTTCTGCCTGCCAAGGCGCACATCTATCAAGTACCGGCTCTGAGCCAGGCAGCCGCTTTGGAGAGGCTGCGTTCCCCGCTCTCCGCAGGGTCGGGGCCGGCGCGAAGCAGCTGCACCTGGAGAACTTCTGCCTGCCAAGGCGCACATCTATCAAGTGCCGGCTCTGAGCCAGGCAGCCGCTTTGGAGAGGCTGCGTTCCCCGCTCTCCGCAGGGGCGGGGCTGGCGCGAAGCAGCTGCACCTGGAGAACTTCTGCCTGCCAAGGCGCACATCTATCAAGTACCGGCTCTGAGCCAGGCAGCCGCTTTGGAGAGGCTGCGTTCCCCGCTCTCCGCAGGGGCGGGGCTGGCGCGAAGCAGCTGCACCTGGAGAACTTCTGCCTGCCAAGGCGCACATCTATCAAGTACCGGCTCTGAGCCAGGCAGCCGCTTTGGAGAGGCTGCGTTCCCCGCTCTCCGCAGGGGCGGGGCTGGCGCGAAGCAGCTACACCTGGAGAACTTCTGCCTGCCAAGGCGCACATCTATCAAGTACCGGCTCTGAGCCAGGCAGCCGCTTTGGAGAGGCTGCGTTCCCCGCTCTCCGCAGGGGCGGGGCTGGCGCGAAGCTGCTGCACCTGGAGAACATCTGCCTGCCGAGGCGCACATCTATCAAGTGCCGGCTCTGAGCCAGGCAGCCGCTTTGGAGAGGCTGCGTTCCCCGCTCTCCGCAGGGTCGGGGCCGGCGCGAAGCAGCTGCACCTGGAGAACCTCTGCCTGCCAAGGCGCACATCTATCAAGTGCCGGCTCTGGGCCAGGCAGCCGCTTTGGAGAGGCTGCGTTCCCCGCTCTCCGCAGGGTCGGGGCCGGCGCGAAGCGGCTGCACCTGGAGAACTTCTGCCTGCCAAGGCGCACATTTATCAAGTGCCGGCTCTGAGCCAGGCCGCCGCTTTGGAGAGGCTGCGTTCCCCGCTCTCCGCAGGGGCGGGGCCGGCGCGAAGCAGCTGCACCTGGAGAACTTCTGCCTGCCGCGCAGCAACTTGCCTGACGGCGTGGACGTGCGTGTCCAGCTGCCGCACGGCCGGCCGCAGGAACTCCAGCAGCCCCTCCGCGAAGAGGTCTCTGGCCGCGGGGCCAGCCGGGCTCGCCGGACCCGAAGGAACCGCCGCCGCCTCCGTCGTTGTGCTGGTTGTTGTTGTCGTTGCCGCCGCCGCCGCCGCCATCGCGCTTTACTTGACTGGCCGCCGCAAGGCCTGCCGGGACAACTTTGGTCAAGGGAAGCGAGAGCAACGCCGCAAAGGATCACGGGAGGCCAGAGAACGGCCGAGGAACGGGACGGGGGAAGGAGAAGGCGGGATAGCTGAAGTCTCGCGAGGAGTTCCGAGGGAAGGACGGGAACGCTGCCAGTGGGATTGTGGGAAATGAAGTCCTCTGCAGGCAGCTGGGAAATGTATTAATTGTGAAGCTTTTTGTGCCTCTTTTTTTAACAGGGTTGTGTTGCTTTTTAAAAGTAGAACATAGAGAGAGGGTTGCACTTTTTTTGGCGGGTGACTCAACTTGCTGCATGTATCATTCTTTATTCAGACTGGAAATAAGTCGCCTTTTATGAACGCTGTGGGATTCTCAGTGCAGTCCATAGATATACATATATATATATAGATACATATATATATATATAATAAATAATATTATATATATATATATATATATATATATACATATATATAATAAATAATATGAGATATATATAGATATATATATATATATATCATATTATATATATATATATATATATATACACACACACATACACACACACACACATATGTATATATATAATATTATATATATAATATATATATATATATAAAATATTATATATATATATATATATTGCAATTTAAATCTGTTGCTGTGACTTTTTTGCATAGCTTAAGCCCTGCTGGAATCCATGGGCTGTGGCTGTTTGGCACACCCCCCCCCCCCCGCTACATATTAATACGTGGCTGTTGTGAGGATGAAATGCCCCCTTGAGATGCTCGGAGCAAAGGCGAGAAATAAATGCAACAATACAGGTAGGGAGAGCTACGTTAGAAGGGGGGGGAAACACCATTCTGTTCCAAATGATTAATAAGAAACAACCCCTTTAAAGTGGGAGGTGGGGAACACACATTAAAAGCAATCATTCTGTTCCACAGAGACTCAGATTCTGCATTAAGAATCCTGCAACCTGTATATAATGCAGATTAACCTGATGGGAGGATGGGGGGAAACTGCCTAATACCAGATTGTTTGCCCATCAACCCCGATACAGGCTATTCTGGAGGGCCTTTCCTATCACCTGATGCCCAATCAGTTTAACCAGACCTGCTTGCCTGGGGATTGACTCCTCTGCCCACAAGTCTTGTGTTCTACAGCCTCTCCCTCTTCCACAATCCTGCATTGCGAGAAAAAGCCGGGAGGTCACTTAGGCTGGCCGCTTCTCCACCTTTTCCGATTTCTCCAGCCTGTACGCGCATCTTAAACTCTTCCCTTAAGGAATAGAAACTTGCATTCGAAACAAAACCGTGAGATTCTCGGGATATAGGATTCTGCACCCACCATCGCTTCCTGCCCTCTGGTAGAATCTACATATGTATAAAAAAACATTCTGAAAATGCTTTTTTTAAAAAGCGTTTTTAAAAATACATTGAATTTTCCATAAGGCTGACCATTGCCATCTAGTGTCACCTTGTATATTGTGCTTAAAACACACTGCAAACGTTTTATTTGCTGCTGTATAGCTGAGTCCTCTCTCTCTCTCTCTCACACACACAGACACATTCACGGAATAGCCACAGCTATACCCATAAAATAAGGAACCTCAGCTCCCAAGGCTCAAATGTGGCCCCCAAGCCTCTCTGTCTGGCCCCAGTGATAATCTCCCCACTGCACCCTCAAGTGGCCCTGCTTCACACATTCCCATGTTTTGTGCTGTGTCTCTGAACTCTGATATTGCTGCCTCCATCTTCCCTACATGGACAATAGGGGAGGAGGGTCAGAGGGTGAAGAAGCTAGCCTAGTGCACAGAGGTAAAAAAATAAACAAATCTACATTTGTTGCCCCGCCCACTTTTGTTGCCCTGCCCACCATTAATAAAATTTATTATTATTATTATTATTGCCCTGCCCACCATTAGCATATGGCTTCCATAAGGTCACCCAGAGGCAAATCTAGCCCCTGTCCTGAAAAAAAGGCCCTTTGCTCCTGTCGTGAGAGAACTTGCTTGCACTACTAGGCAAGCCAGCTGTTTTACTTGGCACACACCCCCTTACCCCAGAGGCTCCCCACCATCTTGAAGGGTCAATCTTGTTTTGAGCAGAGGCAGAAACCCAAAGGTAAAGCCCAGCTGCCTTTTTGACCATGAGAAGTGAAACACAAGCCACGTGAAAAGCAAAATCTCCTTTAAATAATGGTTACTAAAAACAACAGAACTGTCAGAGGCGAAACAAGAGGAATCAAACAAGTGCATTACAGAGGAATGTCAGTGCGAAATAACAGGCCCGAAACCACAGGATTGGGCCCGGGACTGGAGACCCTAAGCCAGCCTTTGCTGACCTGATGCCCTCTCCAAAAGCGCTGGCTGGGCCTGTCAACAAAACGTCTTGAGAGGGCTCCCACCACTTTGGCAAAAGCTGTCTTAATCTGTTCCTGGCTGAGTGCCGTGCCCTGTGCAAGACACAAGGACCGTATAAGGCTGCCCTCTTATCAGGAATATATAAAAACCATTCTGGGGGGCTCCACTCCTGTACCTTTAAAGTCCCCCCTCGTCTACAGAAACGTCGGTGAAATGTCCTCACAGCACAGAAATTAAGAAAAAAATCATCTGCAGTGTTTTGTGTGGTTTGTTCGTTTCAGATCAAGCCATGGTTAAAAGACGCAGCTACAAAGGCCCGTCAGGAAGTTGGCAACGTTGTTGAGTCAAGAGATGGGGTGATCACATCCGATCTTCCCAGTGGATCTCCCTTGGCAAATCCGGTTCAGCGTGGCACCGTTCCCCTCTGTCCTCACAACAAAATGGCTGATGGGGGGTGTTTGGTGCAGTCTTTTGCAGGGGTGTTGGCAAGGTATCAGACTTCCCTCTGAGGAGGGAGCAACATATGTTGTTACTTGTGCTGGGGGTAGCCAACATGGCGCCCTGCAATGTTGTTGGACTACATATCCCATCAGTCTTCCCCAGCATGGGATTATAATCTTGCCACATCTGGAGGGGGCTATGCTAGCTGCTCCTGGATTTATGCAGTCCAGGATCCAGCTACCAAGTGGCTCTGCTCTACTGTAAGCGGTCCCAGATAGACAGGGGGATGTCACAACATGAGTGACATCTGCTGGAAAGACCTAGGCAGCCGTCACACAGGTCTATGGAGCAGAGGAGCAGAATGAAGACAGCTACTTTCCCTCCATTTTCAGGGCTCATGTGCCTTTTTTGGTCAGAGTAGCAGGCAGAAGTGCAACAGGTACAGCTTTTACACACAACCTGCCTAAGGAGCAAAGCTGCGGCTGTTGAATTTTGGCAAACTAGACGTCTGTTAAAAAAAAAAAAAAGGAAAGCAATCACACTACATAAACCCCTCCTGGCTTTCCTGACGGCCAGAAATATATACGAGGCTTTGCCCCCATAACCTCATCTCCCTGCTAAGAAAAAGGGGCTGCACCAGTTGAGCTGGTGCCTGTCACCACCAGAGATTGGTGATTGGTTGGCAGGTCTGTCATGAGCATAGAAGCCATTCCATAAGTCAGTCTGGACAGTTCTGTTGGTTAGAGCATGGTGCTGATAATGCCAAGGTTGCGGGTTCGATGCCAAGGTTGCGGGTTCGAGAGTTGCATAGTCCTGCATTGCAGGGGGGTTGGACTAGATGATCCTCCGGGTCCCTTCCAACTCTGTGATTCTGCTCCCAAGCCAGTCAAGAGCCTGCAATCTTCATAGAAGGTCATGCAGCTTAAAACACCATTCCCCCACCACCCTGCTGCTTACCCTCACAGTCACAAAGGGCTAGAAACTTGGCCACAAAAGATGAATTTTTCCAGAAAGGCTACGCCTTGATACCACGTTCAACCTGTTTTCCTGAGCTCCTGCAGAATTGGCCCCACGCACATAGCTCCAGTTAAGTCTGCAGTGGCACAGGAAGGAACCAACCAGCTAACCAACGGATATGTCGTGGGGCAGAATTTGAGGACCAAGGCTGATTGCTGCCTCCCACAGAGATAAGAGGTCCAGTTTGGGTGGCAAACCCCAGAGATTTGAAATGGGTTGTTTGATCAGTTAGGCTTTTGGTCCCCGCCCCCCAGCACAATTATTTGGTGTTTTGAACTGCAACCCAGTAGATTCAAGAAATCTAGATTAATAGATCCTGCGACATTCACTAGACGGAATCTGCATGGGATAGGGAAACACTGCTTCTGAGTCTAGAAGCAAACATTTTGGCTTGGTTTCCAGATGATGCATGACCGCATCTTGGCAGACAACATTTTAGAGGTTTCATTACGACGTGACTGTGCTCCCCACCTGCAGATGTGGGGGGATACAAGTCCCACGGAAGAGTAAGACCACTTGAAATCAACAGGAATGACAAATGAAAGCCTGCAGATTTCAACGGGCCTACTCTGAGTTGGAGTTCGTTGATTGCAACCCTTTATAATAGGTGTGTGTGCAGGAAAATCTTTGACCTTCCAGGCCTTGTTGAACTACAACTCCCATCACCCCTGGCAATGCTTGCTGGGGCAGATAGGAGTTGCCATTCAGCCTCATCTAGAGGGTCAGAGGTTCCCCACACCCAAATTTGCAAGGGCTTCATTTTTGTCCTTTCCGAGTTGTCAGGGGCATCGTTCGACTCGATTACTTTAACTGATTAAAGTCATATATTGCAGCCTCCGTTTGGGGATTTAAAGCATAAAAATCAGAGCTGGCCAAATATGTCCTTGCACGTCAGGGCAAAGGACAATATGGCTCCCTCCATTTCGCGTGCTGGGAAGCATCACCGGCGGTTGGATTTCTCTTCAATGCTGGCGATAGCACACCATCCTCTCTTAGGGCAGCAACAACTGAGAGGAGGCTAGCTAAGGGGCTGCGAAGGAGCCCATCCTGCAAGTCCAGCTCTGCACTCACACATCCTCGCTGCCATTCCCGCCTCCCAGCATTTGCCACCTGAGAAGCACCTGCCTCCCTCTATCTAGCGGTAGGACCGGCTCCTAGAAGAAAGTCTCTAAGAGCCAGATTTTCAGATGTGGGGGGGTGGAGATTCTCCGGCAATTCTCAGCTGCTCAGCCGAGCCGCAACCGGGTCGTTGGCGCTCAGGAGAGAAAAGCTGGCGAGAAAAGGACCAGTCCTTTGAGATGGCCGGAAAGGTGACCCGCTTCGAAGTCATTCATTCCGCCGCTGGTCTGGGAACAGAGAAAGTCGCGGCACCCCTTCGAAAGGTGGCAGGGCATGTTCAAGGGCAAATTCCGCCGTCTCCGTCCTTTTGGGGACTCCAGGGAACTTGCCCCCACTGCTTTCATGAGCGTGGGGACCAGGGCCTCCTCCGCAGCGCCGACGGCAGTCCCCGCCCCTCTGCAAACCCCAGAGGCTGCGGGATGGGCGAAAACCTCTCCGTCTTCCTTGCCTCGCAATTTAATCTAGTTGATGGAGCCCGGGTCAGCCAAGGGCATGGTGTGCAGGACCTCATCCAGCAGCTGCAGGGCTCGGTGCAAGTGGACTTCGATCCAGCAGGGAGTGTGCTTGATGCTCTGGCGGGGGTAGTCCGGCCCCCAGCCCTTGACGAAGCTCAGGCGGAGGATGCACAGGCGGCGGAGGTCGTCAACGCCAATGCCGGCTGCCGCTGAGAGGCCTGGAGGGAAAGAAAGGGAAGAGTGCAAGGCTTGGCTGCGGCTGCAGCTACTGCTGAGTGATACCTGTTTTTCAACATCGTGATAGATCACCAGCTAAACATTGCGCTATACAGTGGTACCCCGGGTTGCGAACGGGATCCGTTCGGAGCCCCATTCGCATCCTGAACAGGACGTAAGACGCAACTGCACGTCAGCGCGGGTCGCGTTTCGCCGCTTCCGCGCATGCGTGTGACGTCATTTTGACCGTCTGCACATGCGCGAGTGGCGAAAACCGGAAGTAACGCGTTCCGTTACTTCCTTTTTTTTTTAATGATATTTATTAAAGTTTCAAAGAATACAAGAATTACACAAAGACAAAAAATAAAAATACAAGAAAATACAAAATACAGAAAAAAGAATAAAGTTTTTAAGATATAACAAAAAAATGAAGAAAAAAAAACCATACAAAATAAAAACAGTTAAAAACACGTTAATTTTCCATAGCATATCTTCCTTACACTTATTTCCCCGGACCTCCTCGTACCTCCCTTTTTTGTATTCCAGTTCAGTTTGTTAGTTCAGCAAATCCTTACCATTAAGCTTTTACCCATTTGTAAACCTTTTTTCGTATCTCTTAAGGCATTACAGCTGGAAACCACTTAGTTTCTATCCAACATCCTTCTAAGATTCATTAATTTTACAATATTTCTGTAAATAGTCTTTAAATTTCTTCCAGTCTTCTTTCACCGACTCTTCTCCCTGGTCTCGGATTCTGCCAGTCATTTCTGCCAATTCCATGTAGTCGCGTTCCGTTACTTCCAGGTCACCGCGGGGCGCAACCCAAAAATACTTATCCTGAAGCGTACGTATCCCGAGCTATGACTGTACCGATATATTGCCGTGTCTAAAATAAGGACGGAGAGCTCCATAGAGGCATTGGCTGGCTTCACAGTTCCCCCCCGCTTCGTAGGGTTGCCATACGCCCGGGATTTCCCAGACATACCCAGAATACTGCAGTCGGAAGTAGCATCTGGGGGCACCTCAGTGGGGGTGAATCCACTTGGCACTTACCCACAGCTGGTGCGATGCCCCCCACGGAGCCAGGCCCAGGGATGCTCCCCGACACAGCGGCTGCCTGAGCCGCCGCTGCCGCCTGCGCTGTCGCTGCTTGTTGGTGCATCTGGCGGTGGCACTGGCGAAGGTCAAAGACCTGCATGGAAAGGAAGGAGCGGGGACTCTGTGTTAGAAACTTCAGCACCTGCTGCGAGTGATGCTCAGGAAGGATAGCAGCTGACAATCCGTACCACCAGGAAGGTGGCAAGGTGACAATATTAATGATAAGATGATGATAATAATAATAATTAGACAGGCAGAGGTACTTGTGGTGTGCACAGACACCAGCAAACCTATTCAGACACAGGATTCAGTTACATTGCTTTTAAGTTTTCTTTATTTTATACTGAGTCAAACTAACAGCCCATGCAGCTTTATACTGCCTACACTGTCTGGCAGCAGCTCTCCAGGGTACCAGGCAAGGGACAATTCCAAGCCCTATGTGGAGATGCTGGGGATTGAACCTTCGGTACACAAAGCAGATGTTCGGAGCTATGGTCCTTCCCTGTTAGATTTGCCCTTGGCAACCCTCTTGCTCCCAGGCCCTCAAAAAAACCCAGCACCCGCCCTGACCTTGATGTAGGCGCCAGGGTAGATCTTGTGCACAGCATCCCCCGGAGCACGCCCAGCCTCCCGGTCCAGATAGTAGCTCTGTACAAAGACGGCGTGGTCGCTGAGACACCGCATCCAGACGTCACCTTCCCCACGGCACTGCAGCTGGACTCCTTTCCCGATGTGCAGCCTGGAAAATAGAATACTCCAGTTCCCCTTCCTGCCTGGTTCCCTATCCCCCACTGCCAGGGGGAGGTCAGCAAAACAACAACAACAAATCACTCGGGGCCAGTGAAATTACCGTATTTTTCGCTCCATAAGACGCACCAGACCATAAGACGCACCTAGTTTTTGGTGGAGGAAAACAAGAAAAAAAATATTCTGAATCTCAGAAGCCAGAACAGCAAGAGGGATTGCTGCGCAGTGAAAGCAGCGATCCCTCTTCCTGTTCTGGCTTCTGGGATAGCTGTGCAGCCTGCATTCGCTCCATAAGACGCACACACATTTCCCCTTACTTTTTAGGAGGGAAAAAGCGAGTCTTATAGAGCAAAAAATACGGCAAATCTATATTCCAGGAGACGAACCACAGCTCAGGCCTAATGGTCTCAGCAACTCTTTCTAGGAGGTCTTGCCCCAACAACACAGTTGCAAAGACCTTCCCATCCCTCTCTAAGGCTCCTCCTTTCTCGGGGTTTTTTCCGTGCAGTCTCAAACCATGTCTGCACACAACTATCTTATCTTTTCATTTCTGTGTGTGTCACAGCAACCTGCCCCAATTCCTCTCCAGCCTCCGCTTTGATTCTGGACTGCTCTCTGCCACAGAATCCGCTAAAGAGTGCCACAGCAATTCTTCGGTGGGTCTTGCCCCTAGGAGGCAGTTGCAGAGACTGAAGGCCCCCCTTCCCACAGCTGCCCTAAGCCTTCTCCTTTCTCAGGTTTCCCCCAAGCAATCTGAGACTGTGCCTGCGCAAAGCTAACTTCTTCTCCACCCTTTTCATGCCTCTTCTGGTTCTGGGAGACCAGAGGAGAGGAGAGTTTGTTACAGCAGGAGAGGGAGACCAGCCTGACTCATCTCTGCCTCTTGGCCTTCCTACTCTCCAGTGTCACAGTCCTGGTGGAGGATGTCGGGACTGGGGGCAAGACGGCAGGGTGGGAGCAGGGAGTCCGGAAGCCAGGAGTCAGGAAGCCAAGGGTCAGAGACCCGGGAGTCAAGAAGCCAAGGGTCGGAGGGTCAGGAAGCAAGGACTCAAGGAGCCAAACGTAGCAAGGCAGGGAACGTGTTGCTGTGGCCAAGAGCCAAAGGGAAATGCTGACCTTATATCCCTTCCCGGCTCTTGCCACCTGGTGCTGTGAGTTACCAAGCGGCCTCACCTGTGCGGCCGCGCCTTCCCTCTTCAGAACAAACTTAGGAAAGCCCCAGTCCTGCGAAGCCCTACCGGTCACAGGGCCTGGCTCCTGCACGCACTCCTGACATCCAGTTTCTGCTTCTGCCTCTGCTTCTGGACTCCTCTCTGCCACAGATTCTCCCTGCTCGCCAAAGCCTGTTGCCTCTTCTGCTTCCGACACCTCCTCCTACCAGTCTGCTCCCTCCAACAGCTCATCTTCACCCCACCACCAATCCCCGGGCTCTGAGCCTTCTTCCCCTGGGGGCTCCCTTGGGGGTTCCCCGGCTGGTACCTTCCACCACTCCTCAGCACCCAGCCGGTCAATGACTCCCGCTTGCTGCAACAGCCACGATTCAGTGCTGCTCGGTGTTTAGCTAAAGTTGCCGTTCCGCAAACCTTAAGCCTTCCTCCACGAACCCTGCAGATAAACCCCATTCTGTGCCCGGTCGCTGCCACTTAAGCAGTCAACCCCTCAACATCAGAAATAGCGGGAGGGTTCTTTTGCGATGGAAACCTGTTGCTCTCTGTGTGCACCTTTCACACTGAGGTCCAGCGCCGAGGACCTTCTGGCAGTTCCCTCACTGCGAGAAGCCAAGTTACAGGGAACCAGGCAGAGGGCCTTCTCGGTGGTGGCACCCGCCCTGTAGAACGCCCTCCCACCAGATGTCAAAGAGAACAACAACTACCAGACTTTAAGAAGACATCTGAAAGCAGCCCTGTTTATGGAAGCTTCTAATGTTTAACAGACCACTGTATTTTAATACTTTGTTGGAAGCCGCCCAGGGTGGCTGGGGAAACCCAGCCAGATGGGCGGGGTATAAATAATAAATTATTATTATTATTATATCTCTCCCTCCCCACTGCCCTGACCTGGCGCGCTCGCTGGTGTCAGTGCGGTGGACATTTGAGAGCTGTCCCAGGCAGAAGCGGTCGCCGCCCGAAGGGTCCACGTATCCGTCCACAGTGACCACGGCGCAGTTGGCGGGCACCTTGAAGATCTCGCCCACTTGCACGTCCATCTCGAAATAGGCGATCGAGCACCAGAACTCAGGGCCTGGGGAGAGACGGGCATTCATCTTAAAAATCCGGGCCGTTGTGGGAATGGGGGAGAGAAAAAGTCAAATGAGGGAGGTTGTGTCCCTTACCAGGGTGACTGGAGACTGGTGGCTGGTAGGGAGGAGAACCGTGATGGGCAGGCCCTGAAATATAAGGCAAGGAGGGGTTTTGAGGTAAATAGGGACAGGAATGCCAAGACCTTTGCTCTTCTGTTTCCTACATTCACTATACAGTGGTACCTCGGGTTAAGTACTTAATTCGTTCTGGAGGTCCGTACTTAACCTGAAACTGTTCTTAACCTGAAGCACCACTTTAGCTAATGGAGCCTCCTGCTGCTGCTGCCGCGCCGCCGGAGCACAATTTCTGTTCTCATTCTGAAGCAAAGTTCTGAACCTGAAGCACTATTTCTGGGTTAGCGGAGTCTGTAACCTGAAGCGTATGTAACCTGAAGCGTATGTAACCCGAGGTACCACTGTAACTCATTCCGCGGAAGTTTGAACCCAGGACTCCTGGCCCACAGACGCTTCCTAAACCACCAGTGAGCTTCAAAGCTACTGTTGGACTCCAACTCCCAGCAGCCCCCAGTCAGCATGGCCAATGGCCAGAGATGATGGGAGTTGTAGTTCCAACAGTGTTCTTGGACTCCAGCTGATTCCTGGGAACCTGTAGTTTTGTCAAGGGAGCTGAGAGTTGCTAAAAGGAGACCCCAATTCCCCCCCCCCCGAGCTACATTTCCCAGAATAAACCACTTTGGGAATTGTAGCTCTGTGAGGGGGAACAAGGGTCTCCTAACAAGCCCCAGCACTTATAAAAACTACGGTTCCCAGAATTCTTTGGTGGAAGCCAGGACCGTATAACGTAGTATAACTGCAGGTGCAGTTACGTGATTCCACCACAGGGGGCAGCAAGATGAATAATGCTGTTTTTTGGGGTTTTTTTTGAGAAAGTGAACTGCAGTGGAACCGAAACAGTGCTGCAGACACCCAGGCCCCTCCTTTTTTGCTTGCCAAGACGCACAGTAATGGTTTGAATGGTGAAGAGGAGGCTGAGGGTAACTCCGTCCGTTCTGCTGCTGCTGGGGAGCGGGGAGCGGAGGCGGGGTGGGCTCCTGGCTCCTCCCACCGGAGCTGTAGCTTGGGGTGCCGCCGTTCCCTGTCCAGCTGGTTGTCGAATCTTCCAGAGGCCCAGGGAAGGAAGAGAAGAAACAGGTGAGAGCTTATCATTTGAACGCCTCCGTCCTGCACCCGGACCGACAATGGCACCCTATACTTACTCTGGTAGGGCAGTTTGGGGGCACACCCATTTTGCTGGGCGCTCGGGGGAGCCGGAGAAGGGGCTGGGGGGTGCGAGGGGGTGGAGATCTGAAGAAGACCCTCACCATGAAGGAGAGGGAGCAGGGGCCCCCCAGGAGGGCCTAAGAGTGAGCATGAGAGAGAGAGAGAGAGATCAATTTTATCTGCAAGCTACTATTGCAGATTCATTTCATTTCCCCATCACATTGCATTTCTCTTTTACATTTCACCAACATGTCACATTTCCCCATCACAGATCCACCACATTTCCCCAATATATTGCATTTCCCAGTCATATTGCATTTCCCCATCGCAGGCCCATTGCATTGCCCCCATTATATTGCATTTCCCCGTTGCAGATCCACCACATTTTCCCATCATATTGCATTTCCCCGTCACATTGCATGTCCCCATGGCAGGCCCATTGCATTGCCCCCATTATATTCCATTTCCCAGTCATATTGCATTTCCCCATCACAGATCCATTGCATTCCCCCCATTATATTGCATTTCCCCATTGCAGATCCACCACATTTTCCCAACATATTGCATTTCCCCGTCATATTGCATTTCCCCGTCATATTGCATTTCCCCATCACAGATCCATCGCATTGCCCCCATCATATTGGATTTCCATGTTGCAGATCCCCCACATTTCCCCATCGTATTGCATTTCCCAGTCACATTGCATGTCCCCATCGCAGGCCCATTGCACTGCCCCCATTATATTGCATTTCCCCATCACTGATCCATTGCCCCCATCATATTGCATTTCCATGTTGCAGATCCCCCACATTTCCCCAACATATTGCATTTCCCCGTCATATTGCATTTCCCCATCACTGATCCATTGCACTGCCCCCATCGTATTGCATTTCCCCATTGCAGATCCCAACATTTTCCCAACATATTGCATTTCCCAGTCACATTGCATTTCCCCTTCACAGGTCCATTGCATTTCCCCATCACAAATCCAACCCACTTGAGAGGAGGCGAGAACCGTTCCTTTCCCTTTCCCTTATGTCTCCCTTCCTCCCTGCTGCTGCCCCCCAAAAAGAAAAAGAAAGGACTTACCTGGGGGAGACAAAGGCAATGCGGGGTAGATGCCAGCGGTAGGATGGGGCGGTTCCGGAAGCTGCAGGGGCGATAAGGGCTGGTAGGGCTCTGCCTGAGGAAGACCGGCCTTGATCCCAGGGCCGGGGTGATCTGCCGGCGGAGGAGGCGGGACCTCCATCTGGATGCAGTCGGGAATGAATTCCTCTTTCACGAGCCGTGGGGGAGGCGCTGCAGGGGGCGGAAAGAGGAGGCGGCTCAAACACAGTGAAGACGGGAGAAAACAAGCCGGCTGAAGCAGCAACTGCTGTTCAGAACGACATCTGAAGGCACAGGGAAGCTTTTCATAGAATTATAGCATTGCAGAGTTAGAAGGGACCCGAGGGTCATCTAGTCCAACCCCCCTGCAATGCAGGAATATGCAGGTGTCTCTTGCGGGGATCGAACCTGCCGCCTTGGCATCATCGGCAGAACGCTCTAAGGATGTGATATTCTGTCGTGTTTTTGTATACAGCCGTACCTTGGTTCTCAAACGGAATCCGTTCCGGAAGTCCGTTCGACTTCCGAAAAAGTTCAGAAACCGAGGCACGGCTTCCGGTTGGCTGCAGGAGCTTCCGGCACTCCATTGGAAGCCGCGTCGGACGTCCGGCTTCCCAAAAGTGTTTGCAAACCGGAATGCTCGCTTTCGGGTTTGCGGCGTTCAGGAGCCAAAACGTTTGAGTCACCAGGCGTTTGAGATTCAAGGCACGACTGTATTCTGTTGGAAGCTGCCCAGAGTGGCTGGGGCAACACAGTCCGATGGATAGCATATAAATTGTTGTTGTTGTTGTTCAGCAATACCTGGAAGGTCAGAGGTCCGCCCCCAGTCCTGTCCTAGGCCATCATCCAGAAAAACAAAGCAGGATTGTATCTCACCTGTATTCTGGATGTTCAGTCCTGTAGAACGAGAGAGAAAAGAAAGTGGTTGCGTTATATATCCTATGAGCTCCAGCTGACATTCTCTGAGGCCAGAAATGTGCTTGACATCTTTCCGAAGGGCCTGCAAGACAGAGCTGTTCTGCCTGGCCTTTGGTTTGGACTCAGTCTGACCCTTATGTTTCCCTCCCCTTATGGTTTTGATCTATGGGCCACTTTTAAAATGAGGCTGCATTTTAAATTGCATTTTAACCTGTATTTTAAATTGGGTCCCCCGCCCCTATTATTTTTTTGCTGTAATTTTATTGGTGTTTGCCGCCCTGAGCCTGGCTCTGGCTGGAGAGGGCGGGGTATAAATAATTTTATTATTATTATTATTATTATTATTATTATTATTATTATTATTATGTCCAGCCTAGGGGCTCGATTTGACTGACATTTCAACGAGGAGCCAGTGTGGGACCCTTTCTGGTCCAACCCCCTCCCTTCTCCCCAGCCAACCTCCTAGGCCAAACGACATGGGCAGACATCTTTTCTGCGGCCCACCCCCGACCCAGTGCCTCGCGATGGGTGCCTCTGACCATGTGCAGAGTTGGCTTGGGAGCCCTTTCAGGGGCCCCAAAGTAGGGTTGGGATATTCAAAGGGTAAGAAAAAGAAACAAACTCTCCCTCAGCAAAACAATAAAAAATTACATTTCAAGTCGAACTGTGGCCGAATTGCCTCTGAGCATGTCCAGACAGCACGCAACAAATGGCCCGTGTGTACACATAGCTAAGGTTAAATACCTTCCAAGGGCATGCAAAGTACATTTTCTCTCAGAGGAGCAATTAATATTTTGTTTGGAAAAGCAGCTACAGTCAAGTTGCCTCAGAGTGTGTACACTGCCAGTTTTCATCTGAATGAGGTGGTTTGAAAAAGCAACACTAGAATGAATTTAAGGAAATGGTGCCTCCGGGCAATTGAAGATTGTCTCATCCAGAAAACACCTTATGCTGAAAATCTGTAAGTTAAGGTATCGTTGCGGGGAGGGGGGGCCGAATAATGAAAACACGGAGCACACAATGTAGGTTATTATTATTTTAATTCCTGCCCTCCTGTTCTGGCAAATCTTCAGTCGGTGGAGATGCCAGGCTGGGCATAATAAATTTGGATCGGTTGGCATAGCAACCTGCTAATATCCACTGTGTGCTCCGTGGAGTCGAATATTTCCATTTACAGATAGGTAAGAAGGCAGGTATGGGACGTGGGTGGCGCTGTGGGTTAAACCACGGAGCCTAGGACTTGCCGATCAGAAGGTCAGCGGTTCGAATCCCCACGACGGGGTGAGCTCCCGTTCTTCGGTCCCTGCTCCTGCCCACCTAGCAGTTTGAAAGCACGTCAAAGTGCAAGTAGATAAATAGGTACCGCTCCGGCGGGAAGGTAAACGGCGTTTCCGTGCGCTGCTCTGATTCACCAGAAGCGGCTTCGTCATGCTGGCCACATGACCCTGAAGCTGTATGCCGGCTCCCTCAGCTAATAATGCAAGATGAGCGCCGCAACCCCAAAGTCGGCCACGACTGGACCTAATGGTCAGCGGTGCCTTTACCTTTACGTTTAAGAAGGCAGGTGGAAACGGCCAAGTGCCCTTTGCCTGCCTGCCTGCCTGCCTGCCTTGGGAGCAGAGGTGATGTTAGGAGGCTCAGAAACAGTGGCAGAGAAACTTTCCTCTCTGTCTCCAGACGAAGGGCCGCACCCCATTCTGAGCAACTTTCTGGGGGCCACATGAGGGTGGGGGGGGCAGAGGCAAAAGGGGTGCGAAATTTACCTTCGTACAGTAGGCTACACACATTCACACAACCCTCGCTTTCCTCTATCCAAGAGGTGTGATCTAGCTGTGCAAGGAGAGAGTGCAAAGCGAGGGCCGGTGAGGGAGTGTTTTGAGGGCCGGATGGAGAGACCCAGAGGGCCGCATTGGGTTCCCGAACTTGAGCTCCCACTCTTGACACCCCATTGGCCTATTCTGAAGTAGATCCACTGAGGCAGCTGTGGGGCTACTCGGCTTCTGTAGGCGCCACCCACGAGGGACCCACTCACCGATGCCCGGAGACACCACCCGCTCGTAGTGGTAGGGGTTGACGCAGACGCTGTCGTACTTGAGGTCGAAGGCGAATTGGCAGAACTTGACGTGCTTGAGCTCGTTCTTGTGCAAGTCCGGCCAGCGCCACAGGCGGGAGTAGATCACATGGGGGAAGCCTTTGCGCCCGGCCACCTGGTTGCGGGGAGCAGGGGGTACATGGAAGGGGGAAAGATGGCAGAGGACACCGTTAGCGCAGGAGCGGAGATGGCGAGGGCAGATGCAGACCCTCCAAGTCTCCCTATTTTCTGGGGACCGTCCGGGATTTACAGAAGCCGTCCTTGGTTTCTGATTTGATCCATGAACGTCCCACTTTTCCCTATTTTCATCAGAGAAATGTGGGAGGGTATGGAGTTATGTGACCCCTGAGTAACTATGCAACCTTTAGAAGACATCTGAAGGCAGCCCTGTATAGGGAAATTTTGTTTTTTTAATGTTTAACGATTTATTATGTTTTTATATACCTGAAGGGAGCATCAGGTATATACCTGAAGGAGCGTCTCCACGCCCGGACGCCGAGGTCCAGTGCCGAGGGCCTTCTGGCGGTTCCCTCACTGCAAGAAGCAAAGCTACAGGGAACCAGGCAGAGGGCCTTCTCGGTGGTGGTGCCCACCCTGTGGAACGGCCTCCCACCAGATGTCAAAGAGATAAACAACTACCTGACATTTAGAAGATATCTGAAGGCAGCCCTGTTCAGGGAAGTTTTTAATGTGTGACATTTTAATGTATTTTTCATCTTTGTTGGAAGCTGCCCAGAGTGGCGGGGTGCAAATAATAAATTATTACTATTATTATTATTATTATTATTATTTTATACATGTTGGAAGCTGTCCAGAGTTGCTTGGGCAACCCAGTCAGATGTATGGGGTATAAATAACGTCATCATTGTTATCATGGAATAGGACATCCCTATTTTCATCGGAGAAATGTTGGAGGGTATGTTAAGAGGAGCCCACCTGGAGCAGATTTAAAGGACACGAGGGCCTCTGCTGTGCGGCAGGGGGTTATTTACATATTTATTATTACATTTTTATGCCACTGAAGAGCTCAACACGACCCCGCTCTACATTTCATTCTCACAGCAACCCTGAGAGGTTGCTACCCTGAGAGGTAGCTTCAGACAGTGACTGGCCCCAAGTTGCCCAGCAGGTTTCATGACTGAGGGGGGACTTGAACCCGTGTTTTCCAGGCCCTAGACCCGACATTGCTTCACATGGGCTCTCCACTCACACGCAGGACAGATATGGACCGGGGAACCTCTGACCCCATAGAGAAGAGTCAAGGAATCTTTTACAGACCGAGGGCCGTGTTCCCATCTGCCGAGGGCCACCTTGCAGTGGTGGGCGGGGCCAGAGGTCCAAAGTGGGTGGGGCAATGGAGGTCTATGAATGTAGATGTTGCCTTTGTAGAGTAGGCTGGCTTCAACACACTCACACATCCTGCAGCCAGGCAAGGAAGAAGCACGATTCGGGTCAAGGAGACGCTCCGGCCAGGGTGGAGTTGCCTGGATCTTGGCACACTCCTCCGCTGAGCTCCCCACTGAAAGCCCCACAGGACTCCAACTCCGACTCCTCCTCATTTTATTATTTATACCCCAACCATCTGGCTGGATTTCCCCAGCCACTCTGGGCGGCTCCCAACAGAACACTAAAAACGGAATAAAACATCAAACATTACAAACTTCCCTAAACAGGGCTGCCTTCAGATGTCTTCTAAGTCAGATAGTTGTTTATTTCCTTGACATCTGGTGGGAGGGTGTTCCACAGGGCGGGTGCCACCACCGAGAAGACCCTCTGCCTGGTTCCCTGTAACCTCACTTCTTGCTGGGAGGGAACCGCCAGAAGGCCCTCGGAGCTGGACCTCCATGTCCGGGCTGAACAATGGGGGTGGAGACGCTTCTTCAGGTATACAGTGGTACCTCAGGTTAAGTACTTAATTCGTTCCCGAGGTCCGTACTTAACCTGAAACTGTTCTTAACCTGAAGCACCACTTTAGCTAATAGCGCCTCCTGCTGCCGCTGCGCCGCCGGAGCCCGATTTCTGTTCTCATCCTGAAGCAAAGTTCTTAACCTGAAGCACTATTTCTGGGTTAGCGGAGTCTGTAACCTGAAGCGTATGTAACCCGAGGTACCACTGTACTGGGCTGAGGCTGTTTAGGGCTTTAAAGATCAGCACCAAGACGTTGAATCATAGCTGTCAACTTTCCCCTTTTCTTGTGAGGAATCCTATTCGGAATAAGGGAATTTCCCTTGAAAAAAGGGAAACGTTGACAGCTGTGCTTTGAATTGTGCTCCTAAACGTAATGCTCAGGCACTCCTGTTGCCAGAGCTGCAAATTCCATGTATCTCACAGCAAAGGGAGAGAAGGAATCAACCCCCATTTTCCTCCAACTCGATGCAAGAAAATACAAAACAAACAGGCGTAGTTTTATCCCCTCCACCCTCCGCAAGAACCTTCCTTTCTTTCCTGGGGGGGCGGTGCATGCATGTGTTGTGGACAGGGCCCTCACACTCATTTTTGGCCCTCACACTCATATTTCCCCATACGGTTTCTGGCTGACGCTGAATTCAGACATAACAACAGCCCCCCCTCCCTTTCCCCGCGGCTTCAAGAACCAGACAGTGACTCATCCTCTGGGCAGACAGGGAGGGAGGGGGCACAGCGTGGCTAGCAGAGAAAAAGAAAGAGATTTGTTTGGGGGTGAGGGTTAAAAGGGAAGGCGTTGGTGACCCCCCACCCCCCAAAACGAAACCTCAAGAGTCCTCTTTATCTGGTGATATGTTGGGCAGGGGTCAAAAATGGGACACACACACACACACGCTGCTTCCATCCAAGCCAGCAATAATCCCTCCCAAATTTCAAGGCCTTTTGAGAAGGATTTGCTTTTCGCTCTTTGGGTGGGCTCCGATTTAAGGAGACCAAAAAACGGACGCAGCTGTCGCCTTTCCTTGTCCCGCCCCCCAATATTATTCTTAATTTAATTCATTAACCCTAACCCTTCACCCTAAGGTCCCAGGCTAGGTTGTATTAGATTAAAAAAAGCAAACACTTACAACGGCAAAGAATAACAACAAATAACTATAAAAGCAACAAAATCCAAACATATATTTAGATTTGCAATGGTTCTGTGTTAGAAATCTTCACTGCTGTTTTCTAAAGAGAGATTACTTTTACCTCATGGGATGTGTGCGCGCAGGAATATAATTGGTTTAATACTTCAAACTGCCTCGAAACCTCTTTGCCAATCGATAGTATATTCAAATCGCCGCTACCCCACCCCAATCACGGTAATTATTATTTTTTCCGATTTCAAGAGGCAAAATCCTAAGGCAAAAAAGTAGGTCAAGAAGGGATTCAACAATCCCCGGGAGATGTGGGGCAGGGGCTCCTGGACTTAAATCTCCTTCCTTATTTGTAGAGCAAGGGGTTGTAACACACACACACACACACACACACACACACACAGAAATATACTCAGAGTCGCAAAGTGATTTCATGCTCTTTATTCAGCTCATAGTGGTGAGGAGGAGTGAATGGAAGTCTCCTCACAGTATCTGCTTTATATACATTATTTACACAATGGGTTGCACATGATTGGCTAATTCCGGAATTCTACTGTAAGCCAATCAGGTTGTGGATTCACTTCTATCTGGAGCAGGATTGGGTGGTTCCTGCCAACCAATCATATTGCTGCATTGTTCTAGGACCAATCAGACTGCTGCATTCTGAATCCTATTGTTCTAGGACCAATCAGACTGCTGCATTTTGGATCCTATTGTTCTAGGACCAATCAGACTGCTGCAGTTTGGATCCTATTCAACTCAGTACATAACACACACACACACACACTTTTCTAGCCTTGGCCAAACTCGAGGGTTTCCCATTGCAGCCTTTCTCAACTTGTGGGTCCCCAGATGTTGTTGAACTACAACTCCCATCACCCCTAGCTAGCAAGGCCAGAGCTCAGGGATGATGGGAGTTGTAGTCCATCAACATCTGGGGACCCACAGGTTGAGAAGCGCTGCATTAGGGCATCCGATTGGCTGCTGTGAGAACAGGATGCTGGGCTGGATGGGCCCCCATTGGCTGGATCTTCTCCAGGACTCTTCTGATGCTCTTATTGTCCCGCCCCCCACACTGAGTGTTTTGCACTACAACTTCCATCAGCCCCTGGCTAGCACAGTCAATGATCAGGGATGATGGGAACTGTAGTTCAAAACATCTGTCGGTCTTGGCAGTTCTGGGTCACTCATTGTTTAAGACAGAAATGGGAGGAGGGTGGTCAACGACTTTGTCCAGACTCTCACTTTTGGGAATATGGCAACCCCAGCCATGATAGCTGGGGCTGATGGGAACTGTAGTCCAATATCATCTGGAAGGCTTTGGGCTCCTCAACCCTGCTTTATACCTCTGAAACGTCCATTAATATATGTCAGAACGTATATTAATATATGTTAATATCAATCCAGACGGTGACAGCAGTCACGAAATTAAAAGACGCCTGCTTCTTGGGAGAAAAGCAATGACAAACCTAGACAGCATCTTAAAAAGCAGAGACATCACCTTGCTGACAAGGTCCGTATAGTTAAAGCTATGGTTTTCCCAGTAGTGATGTATGGAAGTGAGAGCTGGATCATAAAGAAGGCTGATCGCTGAAGAATTGATGCTTTTGAATTATGGTGCTGGAGGAGACTCTTGAGAGTCCCATGGACTGCAAGAAGATCAACCCTATCCATTCTGAGGGAAATCAGCCCTGAGTGCTCACTGGAAGGACAGATCCTGAAGCTGAGGCTCCAAGACTTTGGCCACCTCATGAGAAGAGAAGACTCCCTGAAAAAGACCCTGATGTTGGGAAAGATGGAGGGCACAAGGAGAAGGGGACGACAGAGGACGAGATGGTGGGACAGTGTTCTCAAAGCTACGAACATGAGATTCACCAAACTGCGGGAGGCAGTGGAAGACAGGAGTGCCTGGCGTGTTCTGGTCCACGGGGTCACGAAGAGTCAGACATGACTAAACGACTAAACAAAACAATAATATAAATCCAACCTCTCAGACCAAGTGGGAAGCAAGAGTCCTTTGACAGGAGGCCACACACTGATTCAAATTTCCATATTGTAAATTAAAGTGTTTGAGATATATTTGATACTATTTAATTTACACTATCTATTTATATTATGTGTATGTGTGTATAACATGACACAATTGGTAGTCTTAATGTATTTCATTATTAAGCCAATTGAATACACAAACAGATGGGCGTGCTTTCACTGACAACGCAAAAGAATTGCTTTAAGAGGGGTTTTTTCTTGAGTGGACCACCCTAATTGGTTGGGATATGAAAGAGCCTGTGGCGCTCCATCGACATTGCTGGACTCCCAACTCCACCAGCCCCTGACCATCAGCCATGCTGGCTGGGGATGATGGGAGCCTGACCCTACAACATCTGGAAGGCCCATCAATGGTTTAAAATAGGTGCAAGCTTTTGGGCCACACGGGATCTTTTTTTTAAAAAAGATCTCCAATAACGAAGTTGTTTAGAAAGTTCAAAGCTCCGTCTAGATTTTAGATGCTGAAAAACTTGCTTCAGACATGCTGTTTTCCACAGCGGGTAAGGCTGTAGCTCCGTGGCAGAGAGCACCTGCTTGGCATGCAGAATGACGCAACTCTCATAGACACACTTTTTTTTGTGCTTTAGAGGATGGATGAGGACCCTCAGGCTCTGAACTCGCCATCCTCTCCTGGGCTCCACTGTGCACCCTTTGTGCTCCTGCTGCGCTGGGGTGCATAATTGAACCTTCATCAAGAGGGGAGTGGGTGCGAGCGAGTGAACTAGCCTACCGCACAAAAGTAATGTTTATATTCATTGCTCCGTTCACTCAGTGGCATGTGGCCCTTCAAAGGTGGCCCAGGAGGGACAGCGGCCCTCAGCCTGAACAAGATTTCTAGCTAGAGACTCTGATCCTAAGGTACAAACCACCACCTGGGAGACGCATCCACAGCATACATTTAAATAGAAATCGTGGGGCATGTTTTCTTGTTCTTTCTGTTGTGATATCTGCCACCGTTTCATTACGGTAATCCAATTTTACAAAGTAGGAAGATCCAAATATTGATTATCTTTCGACTGATCGGTCTCCTGAGATTACTGCCAAAATACCTAGATTTCTTGTGCAGCAACCATAGCTTATCGGCGCAGGATCTTGTCCGAACTACTGACACCTCAAATTGTTCCTCATCATTTTAATATAATTACTTCATATTCCCCACTTTTTTTATATATTTTACATTGTTTCTAATGCCTATATTTAATATTGTACTTAATGTACCCTACTGTGTTTTACTGTCTTTTTGTTTTCTTCCCTCCTCCTCAACTGGTTATTGGCTGAAATAAATTAATGCAACCATTCAAATCACCATTACATCACTTTAAACAGTCATGGCTTCCCCCACCCCATTAATTCTGGGAGCTGTAGCGTGTTAAGGGTGCTGAGAGTGGTTCAGAGAACCCCTTTTCCCCTCACAGAGCTGCAATTCCCAGAGGGTCCTGTGAAGAGGGGCTAAACCACTCTGGGAACTATAGCTCTGTGGGGAGAATAAGTGATGCCTCCTTGCAACTCTCAGCATCCTTAACAAACTACAGTTCCCAGGATTCTTTGGGGAGGCTGGAACTTAGTTGAATACAACTGTACGGTGCATTTCGTGTGCCCCTGGGAACCTTAGTTTCTTAAGGGTGCTGGGAGTTGTCAGGAGATCCCTGCTCCCCTCAGAAAACCGCAGTTCCCAGAGTTCCCTGGGAAGAGGGACCAACTCTGGGAGTTGTAGTTTTGTGACAAGACCTGACAACAACTCCCAGCAACCTTAACAAACCACAGTTCCCAGAATCCTTTGGGGGGGAGCCATGGGTGTTTAAACTGCTACCAAGAAGACAAAAACTTCAAGAAAGAATGGGGGAAATTGATAACTTACTTAGGAGACCGCTGTAAGCAGATGAAAACATTAGCAGGATTTTAATCGCACTTGCAATGTGACAGATAAGGTGGGTAATATGGATAGATATAAAACATAGACGAGGATATCATATGCAGCTGAAAATGTTGAAATTAGGACCCAGTGGTGGGATGAGGCGAAATCTCAAAATGCGGCTATGTAGTTGGCATCGTTAAAAATCCAATTAAAAAAATAAATAATTTTTATTAGTTTTCATTTTGGAAAATGTGTATATAAGTGTGTTTACAGTGTTACGTAGTGTTCTTTGTTTAATTTCTATTTTTTGAAAAAAGTAATAAAAATTAATTTAAAAAATAAATAAAGTGGTATCATAGTGCTTTAAATGTGTCGTGTGACTGTGGCCTCACTGGGGAGACGGTAATGCCTCTAGCTGAGTTGGTGGAGCGGTGGTGGCGCAGTTGTTCCCATGCGCCGGCTGTGCCACCCCGAGAAACCCCAGCGCCACGGGTTTACCTGCAGGCGGCCATCGAGGGTGCGCTGGATGGTGACGCACTTGCTGGGATGAGCGCCGTTGGTGGTGATGGCCGTGATGAGGGAGTCCAGCTCATCCTTCTTCTCCTTCAGCTTCTTGACCAGGCTCTCGATGGCCCGCTTGGCAAACGACTCGTTCTCCCCGCCTTGCCGGTGGCACATCAGGCTGTGGACAATGCTCAGGCACGCATCGCTGCTGCTGGGCTGGCTCAAGGACATGGCGGGAGCAGCGTTGTTCTGGACGGGGGCGGGGGGGGAGAAGCCAAGCAGACAGCCATCAGCCTCCCCCACACCAAATAATAATAATAATAATAATAATAATAATAATAATAATAATAATATGGAGATACATAATTCGTCAAGTTTCCCCAAAGAAGAAATTGATCTTTTAATGGAGTACCACCTTTGGAACTCATCGCCTCTTGATATCAGGCAGGTCCCTTCCCTTCTTTTCCGCATCGGCTAAAAAGGTTTTCGTTTAGAGAAGCCTGCCCAGACTGGTGTGTGTTTTAATCTATTTCTAATTTAACTTTTTAAAAATCACTTTATTTCAAAGCAGTTTGCTGGAGGGAGGAGATAAAGCAATGAAATCGTCAATAGGAAAAATGGACAACAACAGCTTAAGACTTTTGAGAAGTTAAAATTACAGTAGACAAAAAAAAGAGAGATAATTTTATTAGAATCATAGAATTGGAAGGGACCTTGAGGATCATCTAGTCTGACCCCACCGCAATGTAGCTGTCTCATACAGGAATCGAACCTGCGACCTTGGCATTATCAGTACCAAGCTCTACCTTGGATTTCTTTAATCTTTTTTCTTTTACAATTGAGCAGTGTCTAAATTTCACAAAATAAAATCAATAAACAAACAATGGCTTGTCCGAATCTTTCAAGCTATGGGACAGGAACACTTTATTCAAGAGCTGCTCAATGCTCCATGCAGTGTTTCAAAAGGCTGGCAGCCTCCAGACTCAAAACACCGTGTTGTGTTTTATTAGATTATAAACCTGAGGACAGAGATTGGGTTTCTTTTCTGTTTTTCGTGAACTTGTAAGATGCTCCAGAAGCCCCCCCCTTTTTTTTTGGCTGACGAAACTCTTTTAGTCAATAAACTTACAAAATTCTTTTAGTAAACAAACTTGCAATAAAAATTTTTCCTTTAAAAAAACAACCACAACCAGATTCAGGAAAACTGGTGGAAAGCCTTGCTGAAGACAGAATTACCGTGTTTTCCGCTCCATAAGACGTACCTGACCATAAGGCGCACCTGGTTTTTAGAGGGGGAATGCAAGGGGGGGGGAAATTCTTTAAAGGGCTCTGCTCAGCATTCCAGGCTCTGCTCAGCGCTCCCTTTCACGAGCCGCGTGGAGCATATGTGCGGTGCTTGCGGGCTTTTCCCCGAGGAGGGAGAAGGGCAGCCTGCCACTGATGGGCTGCCTTTCTCCCTCCTCGGGGAAAAGCCCCCAAGAGCCACACACACGCTCCACGCGGCTCTTGGGGGCTTTTGCGGGAGGTGGGGGAAGTGAGAGAGCCTGCGGAGGCGTCGCGCGACGCAGCGCTCCCTCTAGAGCCAGTTTGGTGTAGTGGTTAAGAGCGGTGGACTCGTAGTCTGGTGAACTGGGTTCGCGCCTCCGCTCCTCCACATGCAGCTGCTGGGTGACCTTGGGCCAGTCACACTTCCCTGAAGTCTCTCAGCCCCACTCACCTCACAGAGTGTTTATTGTGGGGGAGGAAGGGAAAGGAGAATGGTAGCCGCTTTGAGACTCCTTCGGGTAGCGATAAAGCGGGATATCAAATTCAAACTCTTCTTCTTCTTCTAGCTGTTCTGGCTTTTGGATAGCCCCATGAAGCCTCCGCAGGGCACGGGGATGAAGGCTCCCCATGCCCTGCGGAGGCTTTGCACGGCTAAGCCAGAACTTAGGACAGCTAGAGGGAGCGCTGCACAGCTCTCCCTCTTGCTGTTCTGGCTTCTGGGATAGCCTGCGAATCCTGCATTCGCTCCATAAGACGCACACACATTTCCCCTTACTTTTTAGGAGTGCTTATAGAGCGAAAAATACGGTAACTAGTGAACAGAAGAAGAACAAGCCTTGTTGAAGCAGAACCAGCAAGGCTGCTTGAAGGATGGGTCCCGTCACACCAACCCGAGAGAGTTTTGAGAGTGTCAGTAAGCTTATAGAGGTGGATCCAGTCATTATTGTGGGCTTAAAAAAAAAAATTATTTTGATAAAGTCCTACACACCAAAGACTCCTGATTATTTGGGAACATGAGATGAGAGGGCTGGTGGGTCAGCAACTAGAGAAGGAACAGAGAGAAGAAATAAATGGACAGTGCTCCCAATGGAGAGATGTGGAAAGTAGAGTCTCACAAGGGCTGATATTGGGACCTGTTAAGGGTGCTGGGAATTGTAGCCGTGCAAGGGGCAAACTAGTTTCCAGGATTTTTTGGGCAAAGCCACATGCTTTAAATGTATGGTGTGTTTATGGGACCCTCAACAGTTCAGAGAAATGTTTTAGCACACATAAACAATTTCAAGCTGTTGGGGGGGAAAACCTGGTAAAACCTGCCACAGTTCAAGGATTCTATAACACGGCTTTAAAAAATTCACGTGATTGTTTTTGTGTGTCAAGGGCAAGTATGAACTGGAAGGGGGGGGAATACAAAACAACCCCCTCCCAAATGATTCAAACTTATCTCCATTGCCTTGAGAACTAGAAATTTGCTCGTTTCTTTTTTAATGAAAAGGGACGTCCTTTGGTGGATGAGCTCTGAGCTCAATACCAAACACTTTGTCACAAACACTGATAACACACACACACAGCGCAGGTTTTACGGCAAATGTGCTCCTGCAAGATGTAGTGACAGCAAAACACTGGGATGGATAATTTGGAAGAAGATTAGGCAAATGAACGCAGGATAAAGCTACCAATGGCTATGCTCTAACACAGGGGTCAGCAAACTTTTTCAGCAGGGGGCCGAACCACCATCCCTCAGACCCAGTGGGAGGCCGGACTATATGGGGGGGGGGAAATGAACAAATTCCTATGCCCCACAAATAACCCAGAGATGCATTTTAAATAAAAGGACACCTTCTACTCATGTAAAAACACGCTGATTCCTGGACCATCCGCGGGCCGGATTTAGAAGGCAATTGGGCTGGATCCGGCCCCCGGGCCTTAGTTTGCCTACCCATGCTCTAACTACACTGCTGGAGGCAGTATGCTGGGAATCGCATGCAGGGAGCACGCTGTTGAGCTTTGTCCGCACTTGTGGGCTTCCCATTAAGATTTCTGGCTGGCCAATGCGAGAACAGATGGCCCTTGAGCCTGATCCAGCAGTTATATTATTGCTCTCCACTACCCACTGAGGGCTAGAAACTTACTTGATCCTTTTTACCGAAAGGGGGCATTCTGAGGATGCTTGCAAGATTATGCTCACATGATTACAGCGGTACCTCAGTTACCGAACATAATCTGTTCCAGGAGACCGTTTGCGTTCCAAAACGTTCGAAAGCCGAAAACTCAGTACGGAAGCCTCAAAACAGAAAACTCAATATGGAAGCCGCGTTTCATGTTCAACTTCTGAGGCGCGTTCGAAAACCAGAGCATTTGCGGCGTTCGAAAACCGAAACGTTTGTCAATGCTCGGAAACCGAGGTACCGCTGTGTTTTATTATTACTATGCTCTGTAAAATGTGTTCTTAGTGTGGTAAAATGCCCGGGGATATTTTCATAGAGTCACATAATCACAGTTATAAGGGACCTCAAGGATCATTTCATCCAACCCCTCGCAATGCAGGAATAAGCAACTGTCCTATATGTTTATCAGCTCCACCTGATACGCAGGCTGAGACCCTACCTGCCCGCGGACTCTCTCGCCAGAGTGGTGCATGCTCTGGTTATCTCCCGCTTGTACTACTGCAATGCGCTCTATGTGGGACTACCTTTGAAGGTGACCCGGAAACTGCAACTAATCCAGAATGCGGCAGCTAGACTGGTGACTGGGAGCGGGTGCCAAAACTACATAACACCAGTCCTGAAAGACCTACATTGGCTCCCAGTACGTTTTGGGGCCCAATTCAAAGTGTTGGTGCTGACCTTTAAGGCCCTAAATGGCCTCGGCCCAGTATACCTGAAGGAGCGTCTCCACCTCCATTGTTCTGCCCGGACACTGAGGTCCAGCTCCGAGGGCCTTCTGGTGGTTCCCTCGCTGCGAGAAGCAAAGTTACAGGGAACCAGGCAGAGGGCCTTCTCAGTAGTGGCGCCCACCCTGTGGAATGCCCTCCCACCAGATGTCAAAGGAATAAACAACTATCTGACGTTTAGAAGACGTCTGAAAGCAGCCCTGTTAAGGGAAGCTTTTAATGTTTAATAGACTATTATATTTTAATATTCTGCTGAAAGCTGCCCAGAGTGGCTGGGGAAGCCCAGCCAGATGGGCGGGGTATAAATAAATTATTATTATTATTATTATTATTATTATTATTATTAGGATCAAACCTGCAACATTGAAGTTATCAGCACCGCGCTCTAACCAACTGAGTGCTATATAAATTGAAATCATCATCATATCTGAGCTGAATACCAGATTACTCACTGCAAACATTGATGCACTCAGCACTGGATTGGGGGGGGGGGGAGTCTCTTGAAGCATTTTGGGGGAAGTGCATGATGGGAAATTTATGCTAATAGGTGAACGAGGGCGGTCATTGGTTTGCTTCAGAAAGAGAGGTCAACAGCTGGGGGTGGAAGCCACCAGGGTTGTGAATAAACTGAGCTTCCTGGTCCAGGGACAGTCTACCTCTTAAGTTCCTGTCCTGGAGGGGGGTATAAACAGTGGGCTTCCTACAGGCATCCTGGAAACGGGGACGAGTTAATCCAGCAGGCCTCTCCTTACAGAAACAGCCATGGCTGTTGAGAATGCAGCCTCCCTATTCAGACGCAGTCTACCTCCAAAGGCCAGGTACTAGGGGTGAGCTGTTGCTTGTGAGCTTTGTGGCTTCTTCCTTTCAGAGTCAGGATATTGGGCTAGATGGGCATTTGACCTAACAAAGATCTTCTTAGGTTCTTAAGGACTGGAGCAGAGATTTGGGTCAGGGCTGGCAACGTTCCAATTTATATATATATCTCCCTCCCCTACTATACACACACACAAACAGGGTCCCTTCAGAGTACTACAACTCAGGAAGAGGGCTGCCTGTACTACACTTTATATAAGCATGTTTACATTATGCAGATTTCCAGCAAAACCTCTGTTGCCTTGACCCAATTTATTATGCAACTGCTTTTACTACTTTCCAGGAATTATTCTGGAATTCACAGAGAGCAGAGATAAGGGGCCATGAGCAAGGCTCTGAAGTATCCGCCTTCTAAAGCGGGACAGGGAACTCTCCAAATATTGTGGGACTCCAACTCCCATCATGCAGGGCATCCAGCGGTCATGGATAATGGGAGTTGTAGTCGAGCGATGTCTGGAGAGCCACCGATTCTCTTCTAAAAGACGGGCACCTCTTTCAGAAACTCCCTGAGGCTTTCTGAGATTCCACCCGCCTATCTTCTATCATTGCTTAGAACCATGAGAGCTAGTAAGTTTGCCCGGCTTAGAAAGGAAAGAAAGCAAAGGTTCTTTGGAACGTAACTGAATGGCCTCACTAGTCAGAGATATATCTAAGCCAGAAATGAACCTACGTGAGACATAAGACAAAAATTTCTGGAAGGAGTGAGGTGGAAAAACAGTCACCGCTGAGCCGGACGGAGCAATGGTCTGAGTCAGCGCAAGGTGGCTTCCTACATCCACATTTAAATCAGGCCTTTATTAGAATTGTAGATTTGGGACCCCAAGGTTCATCTAGTCCAACCCCCTGCAATGCGTGGGTGGTGCTGTGGGTTAAACCACAGAGCCTAGGACTTGCCGATCAGAAGGTCGGCGGTTCGAATCCCCACGATGGGGTGAGCTCCCATTGCTTGGTCCCTGCTCCTGCCAACCTAGCAGTTCCAAAGCATGCCAGTGCAAGTAGATAAATAGGTACTGCTTCGGCGGGAAGGTAAACGGCTTTTCCGTGCGCTGCTCTGGTTCGCCAGAAGCGGCTTAGTCATGCTGGCCACATGACCCGGAAGCTGTACGCCGGCTCCCTCGGCCAATAAAGCGAGATGAGCGCCGCAACCCCAGAGTCGGCCACGACTGGACCTAATGGTCAGGGGTCCCTTTACCTTTACAACACAGAATACATTTGACCATGAGGACTAGAAACTTAGCGTTACATTTAAGGGAAAGGCCACAAAGTCACTGGTTGATAATATGCTTTGCACACACAGAAGATACCCAGCGTCTGAAGAGTCACTGCCAGTCCGAGCTGAACAGACCAACATTTTGACTTGGCGTAAGGTCACATTCAGGGAGGCGACCGTCACCCACCTAATCCTGGAATAAAACAAGAACGGATGTAGCAGCAATAAAGGAACGTGCTTGTGCCAGGATGACGGGAGTCATGCGAGGGGAAAAGGATTCCTCCCTGTAACTTTGGAAGGAGGGACAGGGAGGCAGAAAAACTGGAGACTGTGGGTGGGTCACGTGCAAGATTCCCTGCCCTTTAATAAGTTTCAGAAGAGAAGGATATTTATTCACCAGTCTGAGCTCCCTGGGGAAAGAGGAAAGGGGAAAAGGGCAGATCGACTAGAGGTTTTGTCTTGTTTTTGTTTTCCATGTTCTAGGTGGGCAGATAAAATAATATTGGGGTGCAGTGTTTATCCCACGCTGAGTAGACACACATTGAAATCAGCAGTTAAAAACTAGCCTGCTTTGTTTGACTGTGTCTGCTCAGGGCAGAAAGAGCATCAAACTCGACCCAGGCTTCTTTCGCTCAGAAGAGAAGTAGAGCCTAGTGGTTAGGGGTGAGCAGAGGGAAGACTCGTGGTGGTGGGGGAGTGGAATGTGAGGTCCCGGACTCCTGGGTTCTTTCTCTCCCCGCACTTTCTCTTTGGGCCCAAGCATGGGTCAAAGCTGGTGGGGATAATGTAGCCCAGTCAAACATATTCATGTCCCCCAAGCAGCACATCCAGGTACAGAGACTTAGAGGCGGGAATCATCTTGAAATGACACAGAAACACAAAAAACTGCCTTGCACTGAGTCAGACGGTTGGTCTATCTAGCTCAGTATTGTCAACACGGGCCGGCAGCAGCTCTCCGGGGCTTCGGGCAGGAGGGTGTGTGTGTGCATCTCTCCATGCCCTACCCGGAGATGCCATCGTGAATCGAACCTGGCACCGCCTGCGTGCAAAGCCACCGCACTGCAGCCTTTCCCCATAAACAATGCAAGTTTCTAGTCCTCATCGTTCTGAACAAAGCACAAGCCCTCTCCGGGGGTTTCAGGCAGGGCCCTCTCCTCCCAGCCCTACCTGGCGATGCCTGGGACCTTTTGCAGGCCAAGCAGATGAGCTGCCTCGGCCCCTCCCGGAGAAGTGGGGTGGGGGACAGGGAAAGGAGGGGCAGCGATCTGAAGCTGGAGGAGAGGAAACTCCGGACCCCGGTGCCCAGAAGTGGCGTGGAAAGGTTGGGGGGCAGCGATGCGGGAGACCCTCCTACCAAATCAAACGGGGGGGGGGGGAACTCACCGGCTATGGGCGATCCCTCTCCGGGGTGCACTGATGCTCTCCGTGGGGCTCAGGCATGCTCCCCTGGACGTGGCAGGCGCAGAAAGCCCCCCTTGAAGGCGGCGGGACGCGCGTCGGCGGCGGCTGCTTTTGGAGAGGCGCGCGCGCTCTCTTTGCGCTCCCTTCTCCAAATGGGAGCGAAAGACGGGGAAGGAGGCGGCGGCGAAGGCGCAGACTAAACACAGCCGAGCCAGACAATCGCCTGCCTGCTAGTCATGCTGTCAGCCGCAGCTTCGCCTCGGGGGGAGAGAGAGAAAGAGGGAGAGGGAGGGAGATGGGAAAAAGCAAATAGCGAATTCTCCACGGGGTCAGGCTGAGCGCAGCCCCTGCCGCCCTCCCGCTTCCCCATCTCCCGCCTCTCTCTCAACCGAACGAGATATTTATTGACATTTCTACCCCCGTCTTTCTTATCCCAGGAGATCACGCTTCCCTTCCCTGTTTGGTCCTTACAACAACCCTGGGGGGTAGGCTGGGGGGAGAGCGCGCAGATGGCTGAGTGGGGAGGATTCGAACCCTGTACGTTGCCATCTCTGTTCGTTTTGATTTGCATACCGCCTTTCCAGATTACTGCGCGCGAGGCGGGTTTGCAAAGCCGGAGAAACAGCAAAACAGGCGGTAGAGATCACACACGCGCCTGATCACAATCTGATCCAATATGGAAATGTCATACTAAAGACATAACTTTGGAACAAACTGCTTCTATCCAAGAAAGCAATGTTCAGCACTCCATTAGAATACAATAGTAATCAGCAAAATTAAAAATCAGAAAATGATAATTAAGCAAATCCAGTCTTAACATTTGCAATAATTACTAAACTATAATCAATAAAAATAACAGCAATGTATAAAATGCATAAAATACAAAACCATGTAAAAGGATCAAATTGAGAAACAAGGACACACAACTTATTTTTTTTTAAAAAAAAGATATCCCTGAATTCCCAGGCACTGTAAGCTGCTAAACCGCACTCGAACCTGTAAGCCAGGGCTGAGGGGTGGGAGGGGCTAAGGGGAAGTAGGCAGGGCAACAGATGCAAATTTCACCTTTGTATGGCAGGTGAGTTTCTTCTACACCTGCACCTACCTCTCTATCCTCTGTCCAGGGAAGCGAGGGGCATGTGCAGAGTTTGAGGACACATTCCAGTCAGCCTCCTCCAAAAAACCTAGCATGAAGCAGGACCAGTGAAGGCCTGGGAAATGCCCCAAGGGCCGGAGAAAGAAGTCTGGAGGGCCACATTCAGTGCCCAGACCTGAAGTTCCCCATGCATTCTTTATTCACCAGATCCTTCTTCTTTTCTCAACCTGGGCAACCATAGCTAGGATTACCCCTTTAGCCCTTCTTCTCTCTTCCAGAACTTAACAACAATAACTGAGCAGCTTCTATTCTTCGCTCTCCCCTGTAATAAAAAGGTAAAGGGACCCCTGACCATTAGGTCCAGTCATGGCCGACTCTGGGGTTGCGGCGCTCATCTCGCTTTACTGGCCGAGGGAGCCGGCGTACAGCTTCCGGGCCATGTGGCCAGCATGACTAAGCCGCTTCTGGCGAACCAGAGTAGCGCATGGAAACGCCGTTTACCTTCCCGCCGGAGGGGTACCTATTTATCTACTTGCACTTTGATGTGCTTTTGAACTGCTAGGTTGGCAGAAGCAGGGACCGAGCAACGGGAGCTCACCCCGTTGTGGGGATTAGAACCACCAACCTTCTGATCGGCAAGTCTTAGGCTCTGTGGTTTAACCCACAGCGCCACCCACGTCCCTCTCCCCTGTAATATCCCCTGGTTATTACCTCTCTCCTGAGACTTATAAAAGATCAGAGCAGTCTCTCCTTCCTCCCACCAATTCACAGGCCTTGGCTCCCCACATTGTCGTATCCCAGGTCGGGGGGGGGGGTAGAGTTGGGAACTGCGCCTGTTGAATTTCAGCCTGTCGGCATCAAAATCAGTCAGCAGGAACCTTGACTTGAGCCAGAAAGTCCCTATCAACATTTCCCAAAGTGTGTGCCAGGCGCAGACTAAAGTGTCAGACGGACTAAATGTGTAAAAGTCTTTCATTAGGCACAAAAAACCCCAAAATACTAGCTGTGGAAGCACCTGTCCTCTGTATCTCAGGGTGATTCACTGCCCAAATTTTGCCTCCTTCATTTATTTAGTATCTGTTACCATTTTTTTTTTTTCTTCTCACTCTTCCAAAAGAATGAAGGATTCTCCCCGGTCTTAACCTGCACAACAACCCTGCAAAGTAGTTAGGGCTGAGGGCTCTCTCAAGGCTGCACCCGCCAGACTTTTGTGTACCCCACCAGACCCATCCAGCATTGCCAAAGTTCAGGGATGATGGGAGAAGAAGAAGAAGAAGAAGAAGAGTTTGGATTTGATATTCCGCTTTCTCACTACCTTAAGGAGTCTCGAAGCGGCTAACATTCTCCTTTCCCTTCCTCCCCCACAACAAACACTCTGGGAGGTGAGTGGGGCTGAGAGACTTCAGAGAAGTGTGACTGGCCCAAGGTCACCCAGCAGCTGCATGTGGAGGAGCAGGGAATCGAACCCGGTTCACCAGATTACGAGTCCACTGCTCTTAACCACTACACCATGCTGGCTCTCTTTGTAATCCACAACCTCCGGAGGGTAACCATTCACACTGATTACCCCAGGTCAACTGTTTTGGGGAGATGCGAGAGTCACAGGCAATTCCGATTTTAATTCAGAAAATAAGCATCCTTCTTTGGGGGGCGTTAGACGTTTAAGGGGAACACAGGAAAAGCCTGCTAGATCAGGCCAATGGCATCCTATTCTCACAGCGGCCACTGGGGAACCAGGACGCAGGATCTGACCACAAGAGCAACTCTCCCCCTCTGTGGGATTCGAAAGCATCACTGCCTCTGGCAGAGCCATTGATCATAGAACTGGAAGGGACCCTGAAGATCATCTGCATTGCAGGAATACGCAGCTGCCCCTTATGGGGATCGAACCTGCAACCTTTGCATTATTAGCACCATGCTCTAACCAGCTGAGCTATCCAGGCTGTTCAATAGCCCTGTCCTCCATGAATCTGTCCAATCCTCTTATAAAGCCATCAGAGTTGGTGGTGGGGTGTTAGGGGAGAGGTAGTGCCTCTGATAAGGGACACGGGTGGTGTTGTGGGTTAAACCACAGAGCCTAGGACTTGCCGATCAGAAGGTCGGCAGTTCGAATCCCCGCAACTGGGTGAGCTCCCGTTGCTCGGTCCCTGCTCCTGCCTACCTAGCAGTTCAAGAGCACAAAAGTGCAAGTAGATAAATAGGTACCGCTCTGGCAGGAAGGTAAACGGCGTTTCCATGCGCTGCTCTGGTTCGCCAGAAGCGGCTTAGTCATGCTGGCCACATGACCTGGAAGCTGTACGCCGGCTCCCTCAGCCAATAAAGTGAGATGAGCGCCGCAACCCCAGAGTCGGTCATGACTGGACCTAATGGTCAGGGGTCCCTTTACTTTACTAGTGCCTCTGATAGGGGGGCACGCCATGCTCCTTCTGGGGCAGTTTGTCCACCTTTGGTCCCCACCCTGCACTCAGCTCTCACCTGCGGCTCCCAGAAGCTGTCGGCATGCGATAGCGCCCACACTCCGGGAAACGGCTTTGACTGGCCAGCTAAAGCAGATGAGGGGAGCCAATGGGTCTCAAACCCTAGGTGAGTTAGGGGCTTCCCCTGCATGCGAAAACAGGCTCTGGAGGACTGAGCGGACGAGACCAAGAGTGGGTCTCTTTTGGGACGAGAAGGCTGTAGAACATGGGTGGGCAAACTAAGGCCCGGGGGCCGGATCCGGCCCAATCGCCTTCTCAATCCAGCCCACGGATGGTCCGGGAATCAGCATGTTTTTACATGAGTAGATTGTGTCCTTTTATTTAAAATGCACCTCTGAGTTATTTGTGGGGCCTGCCTGGGGTTTTTACATGAGTAGAATGTGTCCTTTTATTTAAAATGCATCTCTGTGTTATTTGTGGGGCCTGCCTGGTGTTTTCACATGAGCAGAATGTGTGCTTTTACAGCGGTACCTCTGGATGCGAACGGGATCCGTTCTGGAGCCCTGTTCACATCCTGAAGCGAATGCAATCCGCATCTGCGAGGGTCGAGATTCACCACTTCCGCGCATGTGCGTGATGTCATTTTGAGCATCTGCGCGAGCGGCGAAACCCAGAAGTAACGCGCTCCGTAACGCCGCGGACAGCAACCTGAAAACGCTCAGCCCAAAGCTACTTCAACCCGAGGTATGACTGTATTTAAAATGCATCTCTGGGTTATTTGCGGGGGATAGGGATTCATTCATTTCCCCCCAAAACAATATAGTATGGCCCCCCCACGAGGTCTGAGGGAAGTGGACTGGCCCCCTGCTGAAAAAGTTTGCTGACCCCTGATGTAGAAAGAAGTGAGGGGCAGATGGGGCTCGTCCGCCTGGGAAGGGAGCCCATCTAGAAGAAGGAAAACTCTGATCCTAAACCTCTACCTTTGGGAGAAGAAAAGGCTTAGGAATAAATCCTATACAAATCCAGAGTGGAGCCCCTAAGACGGTTGGACGGCGCCTTGTACGCCTCCTTCTGGCAACTCCTGTAGCCAAGCTGGTGTCAAATGTATTGCTGTTTTCTTTTTGACTACATCAGTGAGGCTGAGAGGGGGGTCTGTGTAGCCCAGGACCTCCAGACACACGGCCCAGGCTTGTGCCCCAAAGAGATCACTTTGGTGCTGGTTTGACTCCCCTCCACTGTCTCTCAAGACAGACGGATGTCAACAAACAGAGTTGGTGGCCATTGCTGCCTCCAGTGGCCATGAGTTCCACAGTCTTAACTAAGCGCTGAATGTTTATCTGTCCTGAATCTTCCAACATTCAGCTTCACTGCACTTCCACGACTTCTGGTGTTATAAGGGGTAAAAGATTTCCTTTACTCGCTTCCTCCATGCCACGCATCGTTTTATAAACCGTGTCGCCTTTTCTCTAAACGAAAGAGTCCCAAAGGTGGCAATCTTTCCTTATAAGGGAGAACACGGAGCTGGTGTTTTTCTGAAAGGAGCATTTGCAAATGGGAAAAAAAACAAACACCAGAATTCATGGGGCAGAGATGGAAATATTGTGTGAGGGGCAGGTGTGGGAACGCAAATCCTCCCTCCATATAACACGCTCTTGTTGTGCATTGCTGTGTCTCAGCAAGCTGATTTCCGAGCAAACTCTGGGAAAATCCTTGGCGGTTCCGCAGACACAACAACAGGAGGAGAGAAATTAATCTCTTGCGAGCCTGGGACACTATAAGATAGCAGACACAATGTTTTCACACCCTATAAACCCTTCTCCCTTCCAAGAGAATAATAAAAAAGTCCCACAAACTACACATCTGTTGATTATGGTTATGCTTTGTCTCTGCCAGAGGCAGCAACAAATCCAAGTCGCTGGAAAAACACAGGAGGGAGGGAAAAGTGAATAGAAAGGTTTTCCCCCTCCCTCTCTTATAACACTGAACATCCAATGAAGGTGAAGGTTCAGGTAAGGTAAAAAAAGGTAAAGGACCCCTGGACGGTTAAGTCCAGTCAAAGGCGACTATTAGGTTGCGGCACTCATCTCGCTTTCAGGACGAGGGAGCTGGCGTTTGTCCACAGACAGCTTTCTGGGTCATGTGGCCAGAGGGACTAAACCGCTTCTGGTGCAGCGGAACACCGTGACGGAAACCAGAGAGCACGGAAACGCCTTTTACCTTCCCGCTGCAGCGGTACCTATTTATCTACTTGCACTGGTGTGCTTTCGAACTGCTAGGTTGGCAGGAGCTGGGACCGAGCAACGGGAGCTCACCCCATCACGGGGATTCAAACCGCCGACCTTCTGATCGGCAAGCCTAAGAGGCTCAGTGGTTTAGGCCACAGCGCCACCCACAGAAAAGGACCAGCCGCCTGAGAAACAGTTTCTATTCAAATGCGATTTTGGTTTTAAACGCAGTGTAAGGTAGTTTCTATGACAGTATATTGTATTTAATTATGGGGTATCAGAGTTTTTAGGGGGCTAACCGGGCTGGGATAGCTGGCTTGTTGGTTTGTGAATATCTGGTGTAGATTTTTGGTTTCCTGTATGGGACAATGACAATAAAGATTATCGTATCGTATAAAAGCTGGCCACTATGAGAACAGGATCATGGACTAGATGGGCTGCTGGTCTGATCCAGTAGCCAGGGTGTTTTAATGCTCTTGTGGAACCTCCAGCGCCAGGGCCAGTCTACCTGATTCCTGGGTTCTTACGGGCATCTGGACACTGTGAGGACAGGATGCTGAACTAGATAGGCTGCTGGTTTGATCCAGAAGGGATCTTATGTTCCTACGGGCTCTGGTGATGGTTCTGGGTGCAGGGGAAGGGAATTGGGGAGGGAAGTTATAGTTCAGATCTGACTTTCTTTAGACAACCAGTTGACAGTAGTCGGGCGAGCCAGCTATTCCTGGACCTGGGGAGAGGTGTGCGCATCTGTTGCGGGGTGCAAAGAAATCATATAAGGGGTGGATAATAAAATAATATGCAGGGGGAGAAAAAATGGAAGCCGTTGGGAATGAGCTAGGTACTCACCCCATAGGCGCTGGTTGGTCCCTCCTGCTCAGCAACCCACCCGCCTTCCCAACACTTGGAAAAACAAAATCAAAATCAGCCCCTCCGCTTTGCAACTTGTTCACAACAATAACATAAAGAACAGCCTTTGGGAACGTGTGGAAGCACACCAAGGCCGGCAGCCAATGGGAAGCGTCGGCACAGGCAGCCGCCAAGATTCCGGCCAATAGGCGCCTCGGGCCCATCAAAGCTTGGGGCGGGGGGGGGAGCGGGGCGTGGCCAGCCCGTTCCATGAAAGGCAATATATACGTTCGGCGGACTCGAAAGGGAGCAAAAGCTTTTGTTTTGGGCTGTACCACTTTCTTCAGCAGAAAGGGGGGGGGGGTTATTTTAGGCTTTGCGAGCTCTGCAGCTGATGCAAATATATATACAGTATCTGACTTCTCAGCTCAAGAAACTGGCTTGAGACTTATGCTACCGACAGAGCAACATGTAAATGTCATGAAATAGAAAATAAACCCTGAACCACACGCACCATTTTACATGTGAACTACTAAATGAAAATCCCTGGGGTGGGCAGAAAGAGAATCTTCTCTTAGTTCTGGAAACAAGGCAAGACATATGTGCTGGTAGTTCAGGTCAGGTCAAGTGACAGGTTTTTGAAGGTGTTTTCTCTGGAGGCTAGCAAGGCTGCAAGCGATGGGCATTGTTGTTGTTTAGTCGTGTCCGACTCTTCATGACCCCATGGACCAGAGCACGCCAGGCACTCCTGTCTTCCACTGCCTCCCGCAGTTTGGTCAAACTCATGCTAGTAGCTTCGAGAACACTGTCCAACCATCTCGTCCTCTGTCGTCCCCTTCTCCTTGTGCCCTCCATCTTTCCCAACATCAGGGTCTTTTCCAGGGAGTCTTCTCTTCTCATGAGGTGGCCAAAGTACTGGAGCCTCAGCTTCAGGATCTGTCCTTCCAGTGAGTACTCAGGGCTGATTTCTTTCAGAATGGAGAGGTTTGGTCTTCTTGCAGTCCATGGGACTCCCCAGCACCAGAATTCAAAAGCATCAATTCTTCGGCAAAGCTACCAGTCCTGAATGATCAAGGGGTGTGTGTGTTGTTAGAAGCAAAGGAAGATGCTTCAGAGTCAAACCGTTGGTTCATCTAGGTTTAGTACCATCTACATCAGGGCTTCCCAAACTTGGGTCTCCAGCTGTTTTTGGACTACAACTCCCATCATCCCTAGCTAGCAGGATCAGTGGTCAGGGATGATGGGAACTGTAGTCCAAAAACAGCTGGAGACCCAAGTTTGGGAAACACTGGTCTACACAGTCAGTGGAATTCATACAGGTGTATTTTCCCACCAGTCCTACCTGGAGATTGAATCCGGGCCCTTCTACATGCAAAAGCAGATGCTCTACCACTGAGCTACTTCCCCTACTTTGCTGCATCAGTAACACTCCTTGCTCAACACCTCTATAGATGCTACCAAAATAAAAACATGAATGCATTCTTGCATGACAAGCACCAAAGTGGCTAGGCAATTTTTTTTAGCATTAATGGGGTATTCTTCCACATTTCCAGAGGGCAGCAAATACCATCACCTCTGCAAACATCTCACAGCTCCAGCTAGTTCTGAACAAGAGATTCCCCATGGATCAGATATTTAAAGCCAGCTGCTAACAATGCTTCATAGCAAACTACATTGATTAAAAAAATAACAAGCTTAGAGGATGTATTCTAAGCCAGAGGGCATTTGTGGTCCTCAAATCTGCTCCCACAACCATGGTTACAGCTGCAGCACTGTCCCCACACATAATCACAGGCTTGCACCCCATTGCATAACCACTCGTCTCTTACCTGTGTCCCATCGTAAGCTGCACTCTTTTCATTCATACCCTCAAAGCTCCTTCAAATTTAATGGTGGATGGAAAACAAAGGCTTTGGGAAAACAGGGGTGTGTAACTAAGCAGAGTGGCTGGTAAAGAACTTTCCTGCGATCCCTTTGCTGGTATCAACAGGCAAAGAAATATTTGAACAGCTTGCATTTTTGCTAGAGAGGGTACCACTGACTCCAAATATGAAATACTGAAATCTTCTTTGTTTCACATTCTGTGTTCGGCAAGTTTCAAAACTCCAGAGATTGACCATTATTATAGTTTTGGATGAATTTCCGGAGGGGTAAGTGTGTTAAGGGACTATTTGTTTTTCTGCAATCACTCAAGGATCTTGTCGCATCAACTTTTGTGGATTGGGTCCACAGATGCACCTAACAAAAGTAGACTTGAGTCCAGAAGAAATCTGTTAAATTGTTTGTTTTTGGTAGTCTGGAGAGAAGGAGGTGGCTTGTATCTAAATGCAACATATGTACAAATCCATCCATTTCTGCATCTTTTCCTCCCTGTTTCAGACACTAGAAACAAGCTGGGAGACAGATACTTAAATTGCAAAACAATGCTCATTTCTATGCTTAGGGACCCAGAGCCAAGGTTGTTTCAGAGATGGTGAAAGGTAAAGGACCTCTGGATGGTTAAGTCCAGCTAAAGGTGACTATGGGGTTGTGGCACTCATTTCGCTTTCAGGCCGAGGGAGCCGACATTCGTCCACACACAAGCTTTCCGAGTCATGTGGCCAGCATGACTAAACCGCTTCTGGTGCAACAGGACACTGTGACGGAAACCAGAGCTCATGGAAACGCTGTTTACTTTCCCATCGCAGTGGCACCTATTTATCTACTTGCACTGGCGTGCTTTCGAACTGCTAGGTTGGCAGGAGCTGGGACAGAGCAACGGGAGCTCACCCCGTTGTGGGGATTCGAACCACCGACCTTCCTGCGGCTGCTCTTAATGTTGTGGAGTTTCCTCGAAAGAGAGGTTAAATTGGCTGTGTTTGTTATCCCTCCGTTTAGACAGGCCTCTAGAAGCTCGTGCAGACAAAGTTGATCAATGGGCTGCAAATTTTATTTTAGTGGCTGGTTTTCAATATGTTGTAATGTATATTCATTATTGTTTTAACTAGTGTGTTTTTATCACGGTGGTAGTTCAAGTTACGAACTTAATTCGTTCTGGAGGTTCGTTCTTAACCTGAAACTGTTAACTAGAGGCGTGCTTTCACTAATGGGGCCTCTTGCTGCTGCTGCGCCGCTGGCACACGATTTCCGTTCTCATCCTAGGACAAAGTTCTTAACTCTTCCAGGTTAGTGGAGTTTGCAACCTGAAGTGTTTGTAACTCGAGGTACTACTGCATTCTGTATTATTCTGTATTTGTAATTGGTGTATTTTAAATGCAGCAAGCCTCCTTGAATCCCAACCTGGGAGAAAAGTGGGATACGAATATATAAAATGAAATACCGTATTTTTTGCTCTATAAGACTCACTTTTTCCCTCCTAAAAAGTAAGGGGAAATGTGTGTGTGTCTTATGGAGCGAATGCAGGCTGCACAGCTATCCCAGAAGCCGGAACATCAAGAGAGATTGCTGCTTTCACTGCGCAGCGATCCCTCTTGCTGTTCTGGCTTCTGAGATTCAGAATATTTTTTTTCTTGTTTTCCTCCTCCAAAAACTAGGTGCATCTTGTGGTCTGGCGCGTCTTATAGAGCGAAAAATACGGTAGATGCACCAGGGCATTTCCTGCAGGGAACACACTGGCAAAGCAGATCCCTCCTCCCAACCGGTGGGTTAACTTTGGCAAGTGTGTAGGACTGCCCATCTATCAGTCAGCTGACACTCTCATGATATGAAATGGTAGGCAGGTAGGTGCTCCACCTACCTATTAAAAGATGACCAAAAAGGTCATAGTAGTAGTGGCTTATTCAATTTACCGTAAGTTTCCAACAACAGTCCCCGCCCCACCAACAACAAAAAACCAAGACAAAGGCATTTTTTTCCTTTTCCCTGCAATTGTTTCTTATGGTAAACCAGAAAATACAAGATGCCGTTCAAAACCAGAACAGAACAGTTGAGCTCACAAGACACTGGGCGGCAAATAGAGAAAGACATTTGCCTTCCTAGTGTCTTCAAACACACACAAACAAAATACCAACCAGCAGGCTGGCCACAAGAGCATAAACATAAAAATGAAAAGTTTGCTGCCATTGTTTATTATTATTATTATTAAAAAAAAAAAATCTGCTTTCGGCCACAACAGGTTTGGTGAATTAAACACTAGTTGGGCCTAATCCTTTTTGAGGGTTGGAGGAAGGAGAGGGGCAGGGAAGGAAGAACTCCACTGATTTGTGCTCACCATATATAAAAGTCACAGAATTATTTGTTGGGCCTGGGGTGTGGACGTAAGCAGAAACATCAGAAACGAAATACGGGATTCAGCATCACTGTGCATGAGCAGCCACCTTGAAACCCAACTCTTACAGCAGCTGTAGCTGCCGAGACTGCAATTTATAAGCACCTGAGACCTTCTGTCTACAGCAAGGTCAAAAAAAATTTTTTTGGGAGGGGGGTTGAGGAAGACAGGAGAGGAAGGGGGACAGTCATGCATGTAATGTCCTGTTGAGGAGCTTCAAGATGATGCCATCTACAGACAGCAGGTCAGTCACATTTGTTTTTGGAAGTCGTTTAAGAAATGTGTGTGTGTGTGTGTGTGTGCGCGCGCGCATGTAGATAAACACACAATTCTCTCCCGCCCGCCAGTTTCATACAACGCAGGAGTATCAAAATGCAAGAGAAACCCGTGAAAGTTATTGTCTCCTACCCCTCCCCACGCCGTCAGGGCGGCTGTTGCCGGTCATGGCTTACAGGAGAGGGCTTGGGTGGGGAAGGACCAGCGCACAGAACACACAACCTCAGCGAGTGTCTACAGCAAGGGTGGGTCAGTCGTTGGCTTCGGGGTCTGTCTGGGCCATGTAGGCGTCCAGTTCAGCATCCAGGTGTCCTTTCGTTTTCGACATGTACGCGTCAAGCTGGTTGTCGAGCTGCTCCTTGGTCAGGGCGGGGCGAGGGGCGCCTCTGCCTCTGCCCCGGCCTCTCCCACGGCTGCCGAAGCCACCTCGTCCCCGGCCCACCATGCCACGACCTGGGCGGGAGAGGAGGAGGACAGGGTTAGGCACTGCACCACTGGAGCTCAGCTGCCTCCTCTTCTAGGATGAAGTTCAAACCGCCCCCCGCTCCCGCCCCATAGCCTCCCCAGTGCAAAAGATGGCTAAAATGCGATCAGAGGGCTGCTGTCAATCGGAGTAGACACAGAAAGCTTCCTTCGACTGCACCAGGCTATCGGTCCATCTAGTTAACTCAGTATTGCCTAGATCAGGGTTCCCCAAACTTGGGTCTCCAGCTGTTTTTGGACTACAGTTCCTATCATCCCTGACTACTTGTTCTTCTAGCTAGGGATGATGGGAAACAGCTGAAAGACCCAAGTTTGGGAAACCCCGGTCTATATTGATTGGCAGGGGCTCTCCAATGTTTGAGGAAGGGGATATTCTCAGCCCTTCCTGGATATCAGTGACTGAACTGTAGCTCTTTTGCATTCACAGCTGATGTTCTATCATTGAGTTATGGCTTGTCTCCTAAAGTTAAAGCAAGATCCCAGATCTTAGTTTTCCCGATTAAATGGCCTATTCTAGTCCTCATAGAAAGCTGCCTTATGTTGAATAATAATGTTTGTCTATCCCACAGAGCTCTCTTGGGTTTCAATGTTTTTCCTGTGTTTGGTTTTAACGTTTTTTGCTATTCCTGCTTATTCATTTCAAGTCGCTTCGAAATACTTTGGTGTAAAAAGCGGCAAACGAATATAACTGACCTCTCCTGTGCTGTGGTTTTCACACATGCAGTAAATCTACTGTATATTTTTTGGAAAGCTGTTTGTTCCTTCGCTCAGCATTTAGATGCCTCTTAAAGATACCGCCACCAAATTTGGCATGCCGGTTCCTGAGGTGACGGAGCAGGTGTTCGTCTAAAGTTTGGAAACAGCTGGAAGCCATTCTGAATCGAGATGGCAGACTAAACCTTTTCAGTACGGGACTGATGTTTTCGCTTCTTAGAATTTCTCTGCAATGCCAGGTACGAGGCTGCAGGAATAAAATGAAAGTGAGTGTAACATCCCAAGTTAGTTGTGCTCACCTCTGCCGCCAATGCCACCTCGGCCCATGGCTCCTCTGCCAAGCCCTCCTCTGCCAAGCCCACCCCGTCCTCTAAGGCCTCCTCTTCTCAGGCCCATTCGAGCAGCTATGCCGCGTCCTCCCCGAAGTAAACCCTGTCCTTTAAAGGGGAAGAGAGAGAGAAAGAGAGAAAAGAGACAGTCAACCGTCAGTTGAGCTTTTGAAGAAAAGGTCTTGCCAGCAAACTCAGGATATTTCTGCACTACAGGTCTACTTTCAAATTCTACAGTGGCTTAATAATAATGGTGTCTCCAAAGCACATTTTGCTTGAGAATTCTCTTTTGGATCCTAGCCCCTTCACTGGTTGTCGGCTTCCTATTTCAAAAAAAGTTGCAACAGCCCAGGTAACTGTTATGCCAAAATGCGCTATGGCAAATGTGGGGAGGCTTTGTAGCCTTACAGTTGTTGTTGGACTCCCATGTCCCAGCAGCTGGCATGGCCACAGTCAGGGATGATGGGAGTCACAGCTGAAAGTTCACCACCCATTACCTATGGGCTTCAAAGCCTACCAGCCTCGTTTTCCATTTTCCAGGCTTCTCTCTGCAGTTACAGAAGCTAGGGACTTAAAACAAAACAAAACAAGCAGAGCTTACTCCAGGATAGCAAACTTAGCTGAAGAGAAGCAGAGCTCTGCTAAAGGCGGCTGAGTCTTTGGTAATATGGTGCCCTGAACAAGGACAAAAATCCACACACCCCAAATATCTTATTTTAGTAATACTTCCTTTTGGTACAGTTGCATTTTTATGGATCTTAGTAAATACATGTTTTTAAATAATAAATAATAATAATAATAATAGTAATAATAATTATTAGCCCCCTTGGTAGTATGTCCTAAATCTGGCACCGGAAAACTGTTTCATCTGTTGGGGGCAGGCTCCCAAGTTTCTCTTTCCTCAACTCCTTGCTCTCCCACCCCCTCTCAAGTTTGCACCAAGTATACTAAATCCACTGAAGTCACGCCATGCAATCAGACTCATGTAGATTAACATGTGGACTATGTCAAAGTTTATGTACTGAGCCCCCAAACTGGGGGAGCAGAGCACACAGCAAACAGGCTGTGTGAAGAATGGACATCAGTTCTGCCCCCCCCATAGTATTATTGTTCATCAGATATATCTTTGGGGGGGTGTCAAGTGATATTTGGCAAGTAAAGTTTGGGGAGCCTCAGACCTGAGGGCTGAGTTGAATGTGGCCCTCAAGGTCTCCCTATCTGGCCCTCAGAACTCTCCCAGGCCCCACCCCTGCTCCCAGGCCCCTGGGCCCTGCTTCACACCCTCTCCTTGAGTGTTTTTGCCTGGCTGGGACGTGCCTTTGAACTCTGACCATGCCTCTCTGGGTGGAAGATGGAGAAGGGCACGCGTGTGTATGTGCAGAAAGTAGCCTACAGTACAAAGGTAAAATTGGCCTTAACTTTTCCACCCATTGTTCCTCCTTGCCCTGCCCAACACTGGCACGTGGCCCTTCTTGGAAGGGTACCCAGAAAGGATTGCTGCCTCCAGACAGAAAACGGAGCCGCCCCCCCCAGTCCTAAGTGAACTAATTCACTGACACACTAACCTCGGAGGGGAATTCCTCCCCGTAGCAACGCTCTGGTGCCACGCCCGCCGCGCATGGCTCCTCGGGGCAAGCCTCTCTGACCCATGGGCAAGCCTCGGCTCCCTAATGCACCCCGGGCCAGGGGTCCCGCCGGCCGGCCTAAACGCGCCTGGATGTTGCTCTTCCCCAGGCGTTGCTTCAGGCTCTTCTGGAAGAAGAGAGTGTTAGACAGGAAAACGTCGCACAGAAACAAGCAGCGAGCAGCGGGCACGGAAGGGCGGGCGCAAGCTGCTTGAGATGGGAGTAATGGGGGGGAAAGAGAGAGAGAGGGTCACATGTGATCACCACGGCTCTTGGTTCAATGCAGGAAAGGTCTGGGGAAGAAAAAGGGTGAAGCAACATGGTTTGGTTTGAGGAGGGAATGAAGATGTGCCCAGAACATTTTGAGAGATGCGCTGCATTTTTATTTTAAATACCATTACATAAAACCTATGCAATGGTTTATCACATCAGCAGACCAGTGTATAATGGATTATTATGTGAGTGGCGGTAAATATATGAAATGTTAAACATGGTTCTCCAGCTCTCACAAGTCACCTGGTAGCTCATGAAATCATACCAAGGTACATCCTCACAGGGACACGGGTGGCGCTGTGGTCTAAACCAGAGCCTAGGGCTTTCCAATCAGAAGGCCAGCTGTTCAAATCCCTGCGTGGGGTGAGATCCCGTTGCTGGGTCCCTGCTCCTGCCAACCTAGCTGTTCGAAAGCACATCAAAGTGCAAGTAGATACCGTATTTTTCGCCCTATAGGACGCACTTTCCCCCCTCCAAAAATGAAGGGGAAATGTGTGTGCGTCCTATGGGGCGAATGCAGGCTTTCGCTGAAGCCTGGAGAGCGAGAGGGGTCGGTGCACACCGACCCCTCTCGCTCTCCAGGCTTCAGGAAGCTATCCGCAAGCCGGGGGAGGGCTGCGCAAAGTCGCGCAGCTCTCCCATGGCTTGGGGAGAGGTGCCTGCACCCGAAACCTGGGGGCCCGCTGAGCTCAGCGCCCCCCCAGGCTTCGGGCTTAGCGCAGCTCTCTGCACCCAGAAGCTTGGGGCGCGCTGAGCTCAGCACGCCCCAAGCTTCGGGCTTTGCGCAGCTCTCTGCTGGCCGTGGGAGAGCTGCGCGAAGTCGCGCAGCTCTCCCACGGCTAGCGGACAGCAGCCTGTTCTGGGGGCTGGGGAAGCTCGGGCTTCCCCCGCCCCAGCCCCGCACCTGGGGGGGGGGGGAAATAATTTTTATTTCCCCCCCCAAAAACTAGGTGCGCCCTATGGGCCGAAAAATATGGTAAATAAGTACTGCTTCGGCGGGAAGGTAAACGGCGTTTCCGTGCGCTGCTCTGGTTCACCAGAAGCGGCTTAGTCATGCTGGCCACATGACCCGGAAGCTGTACGCCGGCTCCCTTGGCCAATGAAGCGAGATGAGCACCGCAACCCCAGAGTCGTCTGCGACTGGACCTAACGGTCAGGGGCCCCTTTACCTTTACATCCTAACAAGATCAGACAAAGGGAAAGGAGGGGACCGCAGATGCACCCTGAGATAAATCAGAGCCACCTTTTGCAAGTAGGGGATGACCATGCCTCTTTCAGGGAGCAGCACCCGTTCAGGACTCTACTGCATTTTAGCTCCTGCCATATGTTCTCATTTGAAAAGGGTCATTTCACACAAGTCGTCCAATGGAGCCGCACCTGCTACACACGTGTCACGGCTGCCTGCGCCACCCTGGGGCCCAAATGTAGATGGAGACTAAAGCTACACAGGGGGGGAAATGATTGCATGATCAAAACCAGCAAAGCTGCACCACCACCCTGGTCCTCTGAGGCCCAAACTCAGAAGGGCAAACTCTCCCAGAATGGGATTTCGGTCACAAGCCTGTAATCTTTTGGGGCCTACCACAGCGAGGTGCAAGGGAACCTCCTCTGCTGTAGCCAAGTCCCTGAGATCAACCCACGTTGCTTTAACCTTACGCAGCACAATGACATAGGCGGCCATTTTCTGTTTCTGGGATGGCATGCAATCGTTCTTGCCTTTTGTGTGGTTGTGTTTGCGGTTTCTTTTTTGTTATTTTTCACACAATGAATACTAGAAGTAAACAAATAATGGGTACGTCTATGTGGTGCCTTCCAGATCTGTCGTGAACAACAGCTCCCACCACACACCCTCCATCACTGACTGAGCTGGGACTGATGCAAGTGGCCACCCGAAACAGGTGGAGGGCACCAGGTTAGCAACCCCTGAGTGAAGCCATATGGTGATTGCTATGCAGTCCTTCCTTAAGAGCCCTGGTGGATCAGACCACCTGGACAAAGGATTATTTCCTAGAAGGCAGCAGGAGGTGTCGTGGGACGTGGCCCACCAGCAGGAACATCGACCAAAGATTTGCATAAGGAGAGCCTTGCTGGGTCAGGCCAATGGCCCATCTAGCCCAGAATCCTAATCTCACAAGAGGACCACGCTGTGGGAAACCTGCAAGCAGGACCCTGTGGTTTCCAGAAGCTGGCATCCATCTATCACACCTGTGCTTCCCACCCAAATGAAGCCCCCGGCTGCCAAGGCTCCATTGCTGGCTCTCCTGCGCCTCTCTCACCTGCTTGAGCTTTAACGCAGCCTGCACAGAAGGTCTGTTCTCCATCTGCTGGGCCAGCCTCCTGTTCCGGGCACTGGCTAGCTGTTGCTGCTGCATGGTGGCTCGAATGTTCACGGGGATCGGCTGTTTGTTCTTCAGCATATTAGTAAAGCTTCAAGGTCGAACAAAACGGGTGTTTAAACAAAAGCTTGTCATTACAAAAGCATCTCAACTGGCATTTCATGGCCCTTAAGAGTGGGCGGCCGCGGCCCACAATTTTTTTTTTTTAACGCCAACAACGTGGTACACATTTTAATTTATCGCAGGTTAATGAGCTACAGACTTTTCCTCGTTTTCCAGAAGACGTGCAAGGACAGGACATTCAAAAGGGTATGGATTAGTGCAGTATATTTAAAACAGAAGTGATTTTTTTAAATAAAAAAATCAAATTTCATGTGATCTCAAAATGAAGAAGCAAAGATGGAAAAAGCACACAAAGCAGTTAAGCAAGATGGAGAGAAAGGTGAAGGGAAAGCAGTGCTGGTTGCAAATGGACTGACTCAATTGGCCAGCAAAGGGAGGCTAAGAGAGGAATTGCCAAATCAAGCTGCTTTGAACCACTAGGTCATCTTGAAGCTGCAACGGACCTCTTCGCCCCATAGGAACCAGCCCAGACCCTGCGGTCTTCATCTAAAGCCCTTCTCATTGAGTGCTCCACCTGAGGGAGGTGCGGAGGGTGATCACACAAGAACACGCCTTTTCTAGTGGTCCCATGCTGCCACCTGGAGGTCCCAGGAAGACATGCCTGATGCCAACCTTGCCAATCTTTAGGCATCAGGCCAATACTTTTTAACTCAACCAGGCCTTTGATTAATTAATGTTGCCGTCTGTGGCAGTGCTCAGCTTTAAGCAGGGCAGGCAGGCCTTGGTCCTTATTTATATGTTGCTATATTTTGGTATGGTTCATGGTTTCAGAATCCCCCTCACTCCTAGGGATTTACATTGCTTTTATAAGTTGTATTTCACCTTGTCAAGCTGCTCTGATACTTGCTATATAAAATGACTGATATAATAAATAATTATTATTATACAATGCTTCAAAGGTAGCAAAATTAAAGAACCAGCCCTATATTTAATAATTCTCCTGGCAGCCACATACAGTGAGTACTTTTAGGCAGGGCATGTGCCGGAAGGATGGGGGGCTGAGAGGTGAGAACTACTAGTTTCTTAGCAAGCTAGTCACTTTCGTTAGCTTATTTATGAGGGAGCTACGAAATGGGACGTGTCCCCCCCATAACTACAATCCCAGGGGTTTCTAATACTATGGCAAAAATGCCGTTCCAATTCTTATGGCAGTTTCCATCTTTTGGACACATAAGGGAACACACAAACTGCCAATCGGCTTTATGCCACTAGCATACTGCTAGATTTGCACCCAGTCCAAACGAGGGTTGGATCCAGATTCTGAAAGGCGGCTGCTGCTCACAAACAAGGTTTTTCAGCTCTCCCTTTATGGGCCTGAGCAGCACCCTAAACCAGGAGACACAAAGGGCTGCCAGCTGGAAAGAAACCAGTCGTTGGCAGGAAGCGTTCTCTGCTCATTCCGGGGGCATTCAAACCCTATGAGTAAGGATCTCAAACAGCACACAGGATGTGCTTTCGAAGTAAAGTTTGGACCTGGCTCCAGAAATGGTTCCTTCAGCAAATAACTGGCCATGCTGGCTGGGGCTGGTGGAAGTCAGGAGCCCAACTGCAGCTGGAAGGGCAACAGGTTTTCCCCACATGGAGACCCCCCTCCCCACCAAAAACTCCATGCCCTGGCAGGTGCAGGGACAGAGCAAGCAATTGGAGCCTGCTGCCCAATCTAGGCCCAGAGCCACAAGGTCAAATGCAGACAGGACAAGGGCACACTGGTGAGCAACTGTTAAAAATGAGTCATAAATCAATCACATTACGGGAGGGGTATTTCTCGGACTAAGGCGAAACTATGAAGCTCCTTTGTCATTTTTGCTTTTGGTTTTCTGGATGCTGTTTAAGTAATATTGTGATGTTTTTTAGTATTGAAATGTGGGGTTTTGCTATGCTATTGTAATTGTTAATGTTTGCTAAGTTATTGTAAAAATAGTCTTTGTAGCATTCGTTTGCAATGTGTTCCCGTTTTCTTTGTTATAAGCCGCTCTGAGCATGATTTATTTTCTGGAAAAGCAGCATACAAATTGAGTGGCTGAATGAAATCAAACGGATTTTCTCTGGGCAAGGACCTAGCCCCTTTCCACGTCTATGATGCCACTCACCCTGCCAAGTTAGCAAGGGCTCAATATCAAATAGTACTAATACAACCTTCAAAATACGATGGGAAGCAGCTACCCCCTGACGGTGGAGTCCAATCTCGTTGGTGAAGCCTTCCAATAAATCAAAAATTTGAGCGCACGCCACTAACATATAGGAAGCCCCCTACAGTGTGGTGTGGCCTGACCACTGGTTCCCCAATTGAAGGAGAAAGATGGCCACAAGTGCAAACCTGTTGCTATGGAATAGAGCAGAGCTTTCCAAACTTTTCAAGTTGGTGACATGCTTTTTGGACACGCATCATTTTGCAACACAGCAATTCAGTTTTACTATCAAACTGGAGGTTAAACTAACCCTTTCCATTGCCAGGAGGAGCACAGGGAGCGTTCGTGCAACACAACTACACACTGCAGCTGACACACTAACGTATTGTGACACAGAGTTTGGAAAACTCTGGAATAGAGTCTACAGCAGGTGTGGGGAACCACCGGCCCTCCAGATGTTACTGACTCCAAGTTCCATCAGCTCCAGCAAGCATGGCCAACAGCCGGGGATGATGGGAGTTGTAGTCCAGCAACATCTGGAGGGTACTAGGATCCATGACTCCCAGGGTTTAACAAAACTCACACACCTACAATTTTGAGAAGGGGCAAGAAATCCAAAAAAATTCAAATGGAAACTTAGAATTCATTTTCTGAATGCCGAAAGGCATGTTTCCCACTCCTGGTCTACAGCATAGCTAGCAGGCTCCCCCGATTGTTCAGAAAGGCTGCAAACCCTATTGCCTGTGTGTGTGTATTCCTATCCAATAATGCTATGAAGATTTACTTGGAAGTGCACTTGATTGAGCAAAGTGGGACTTAATTCCAAATAAGCTTATGTAGTACTGCACTGTTTATTAAATAGTATTCTGCAGATTGCAAAAGGACTATCCCTACACCCTCAAAGAACACCTGATGAAAACTTTAGACACAAATGAAATGCCAATCCAAGAACAGGAGATATGTTATTCAGCAACATGGCTGTAAAAAGGCACAATTTATTCTCTAACAGAATAGACATTATGTAAGGCTAGAAAGAATTTTGTTTGCAATTGTAATGTCATGCATTTATACCAAAGGTGGGCAGAACCCATGGTCTTCCTGGCGTTGTTTGACTAAAACTCCTTGTCCACTGAGCAGGCTGGCTGGGGTGGATGGAGAACTGGAAGTCCAGCAATACCTGGAGAGTGACAGGTTCCCCATCCCTGATCAAAGAGCAGCTGACTGTGAGTTGTATGGTCTCCTCAGAGCAGACCTACTGAAATTAATGGACAGAATGGATGTAGATGCCCAACTGTTTCAAGGGACCAATTCAAAGTACAACTAGTACTGGAACCACCCCAACAGAGCAGCTCAATGAGTTTCTCAGATAATCCAAGCCTGCCATACCTCTGTACACTGGATCCCTCTTCTCCTGGCCTGCCATTGAAACCAGCTGTGCGTTTCCCAGAGAGATGACCAGGTTTTAAGATTACCAACCCTCTTAACAGAGACAGAGTACACAAGGGCCACACAATGTAAGCACCACCTATTAGTTGGAAATTTTACATATAGGAATGCACTGGAGAGGAGAGGAGAAAAAGGAAGGAGAAGAGAGGGCATGCAGAGGGCAAAGGAAGCAGATGATGAATGGAGCGGAGCACTTGCCTCTTACAAGGTCCAAGGACTGTGGCCAAGGAGCCTTCGGGCTGATCAGAGCGGCCAGCTGCCTGCCTCTTACAGGCCAGACCACACAAGGATGTGTGTCCGCCTTGGACACCGCAGCAAAGCCTCCTGCAGCTTAGGTCACATGCTACCGCACTGCAGGGGTCACCTATATAATGTGAACACATGTGGAAGAAAAAAAGGAGGGTGCGAGGTTTTCCTTAGAACACATCCCACCAGATTACCGTTTTCAGCTTTATCATCAGACAGACAATTTTGGCCCTTTTAACCTTGTGTACCATCGCTTGCTGTCGGATTTAAGGCAGACGCAAAGCTGCCCCCTGCTTCTCTGCATCTGGGTAGGTTAAAAGCAGGGCAAGGACCATGTTGGCTCTGGATATCGAACACAGTGATAACTAAGCAAAAATAAAAATTTTAAAAAAATCTTATGAGCTGAAGTTGGCCGTTGGGCTCCTCACCGCTCGTTGAGGGACATCTTGGTGGTGCTCTTAAGCACGACTTTCGGCGCTGACTGCGCGGCCATCTCAGGTCCCCAGAATCTGCAAAAGAAGAAGACAGGGCCAGTTCAGAAAAAAGAAAAAAACATTAACTGTTGCTAAAGGAAGAGCTTCTTCACACAGCTCACAGCTAAATGTTGAAATTCACCCACAAGAGGCAGTTACGGCCACTAACTTGGCTGGCTTTAAAGGAGGATTGGAGAAATTCCTGGGGGATAAAGGCTATGGATGGATACGAGCCATGATGGCTAATTTCTGCTTTCATGATCAGAGGCAGTAATGCTTCTGAATACCAGCCCTGGGAACTGGTAGGAGGGGAAAGCACTCTTACACTCGGGCCCTGCTTTTTGCTATCTGGTTGGCCACTATGAGAACAAGTGGAAGGACTACATGGGTCTTTGGCCTGATCCATCGGGCTCTTATGTTCTGGGAAGCAGGGAGCTCATTGGTCCTCTTGCTAGTAGCAAAAGCATCTGCCTCACAGTCAGTCTCAGGGAACTTTCCCCCTCTTTTTAAAAGAGCCAAACAAGATTCCTCAATACAATTATGGAGGAGAAGGCTATCAACAGCTACCTGAGCCTGTCTTCACATGCAGGGTAAGTTCCTAACTCACTGAGGGTTTGAGACCTATCGTTGACCCTCGCCTAGTTTAGTTGGCCAGTCAAATTCATTTCCCAGAAGGAGCATTACTGTGCTACAGGAGGAGTCTACACTGTGCTGCATTCATTGGTGTTTCAGGGGCCTAATCTGGCCCGCCAGTCGATTTAATCCGGCCCCCATGGCAGTATATGTCCCGGGGTAAAATCCAAAAAAAAGCTCAAGAACTTCAATCCTAAAAGAAGCTCAACAGCTTTGGTTGGCCCTCACTCACGTTCACTTCATCAAATCTGGCTCAGAGTTCTAGTCCCTGCTCAGCCATGAAGCTTAGGCCAATCACTGTCTCTCAGCCCAACCTACCTCACAGGGTCATTGAAAGACCAAATGGGGGTGGGGTGGACAACCAAGTTCACCACCTTGGCGAAAAAGTGGGATATAAATGTAATAAATAATAAAGGAGGGCAGAGTAGAGCCAACATCAAAAGTGATTTTATACAGGTTTTTTTTTTCTTTTTTAAGCAGGAACTGAGGGCAACTGAGTTTCCTGACCTTTAAAAAAATAAATCATTTTTTTTTTTGGTCTGACGGGGCTGATATGGAGATACACCCAATGCCTGAGCCAAAAATCCACCTATATCTGTAATCAATAAATTCGTGGCCATTTCTAATTCAGATCCTTGTCTGCTTGAGCTGATTAATCACAACTTAACATTTAGCCACTGCTGGGGTGTGTGTGTGTCGGTACTGCGACTGGGCCCGCAATAAACTTCGCGGTAACTTCCCCCACCTCTTCCCCCCCCCCGGAAAAAAACCACTGATTTTACAGGAGACCCATTCATTCATTCATTCTGGAGAGAAGGGAACGCATGGGAATGCACTGGAGTCGCCCCGCCCACCACAGAACCCCGTTGCATCCGGGCATTCCCCCGCTGCTCGCCAGGCTTATGAACCGGTCACGTGCGCGGCCGGGGCGAATGCCTCCCTCTCCCCCCCCCACCCGGCGCGGCCTGCTGGAAGGCGCCAACGGTCCTCGAGGCCCCGCCCCCTCCGCGCGCGGCCTACACGACCCAACGGTCTCCTCACTCACCGTCGGGGGCGGGGCTCGCTCTGCTCTGTCTGCGGCTCCGGCGGGGCCAGCGGAGGCGGCGGGAGGCTCCGCTCAGGCTTAGCCCGGCCTCCCCCGTCAGGCGCCCCAAACGCAAAGATGGTGGCGGTGGTTGGTTCCCCCCTCAGCTTCCCCTCCTCCTCCAACCTCCCGTCGTCTCTCTCTCGGGAGGACGACGACGGCGACGACTCTCTCACTTCAGCCGCTCGGAGCCTTCCTCGCTTCAAATTCCCCTTCAGAAAGGAGCCCGGCAAAATGGCGGAGCTTTTTCCCCCCCCTCAAAAAATTAATATATATATATAAAAAAGGCCGGAGCTGCGCACGCGTCAAGCAGCGGCCGCGCGTGCGCCAGGAGGTTGAGGCGAGGCTGCCTCTCTGCGCATGCGCGGAGAAACGTCCTCTCCGGACGGGAGGAGGAGACCCGGAGCGCACCGTGGTTACGTCTCCTAGAAAGAGAGGGAGAAGGCGGGCTCCGACGTGCTACGTAGAGTGGTTGGCCGTTTGTCGCTTTCTGAGTGGTTGGAGCTGAGGGAGGGGCGTGGCTCTGCCGGGGCGACGCTCATTCTCAAGAGAGGAAGCTTTTTTTGTGAATGGATGGAGTTGGTTTAGAAGCGGGCGCGGTTTGGTTTAAAGGGGCGCGGCTGCTTTTAAGTGCGAGGGGGTTTCGGAGCGAGGCCTGCATACAGTGGGTTGAGGTTTGTGCATAAGAACAGAAGGTGTTTCCTGTTGGAGTAGGTGAACGGCCCATCTAAGTCATAGAATCTCAGAATTGTAGAATTGGAAGGGACGATGAAGACCATCTGGTCCAATCCCCTGAAATGCAGGAATCTTTGGCCCAACCCACAACCCTGATTGATATTAAGAATTTCATGCTTTACCGCTTGAGCTATCTAGCATCCTGGTCTCACAGTGGCCAGCCAGATGGCCTCACTGGGAAGCCTGCACACAGGACCTGAGCACAACAGCACATACCCTGCTAAGGTTTGATGCTAGGCTGTGCATGAATACAGTACCAGCAACTCGAATTCAGATGCATCCTGCCTCTGAGGGTGGAGGTGGAACAGAACACCAACACCACAAACTGGCTTATGAGTATAAAACCAAATTTACTAGAATAATAACTAGAATGGAGATAGACTTGTAACCATTCAAGCAACAAACATACTAAGGTGCCATGTGCAAAACAAAGCCTGGAGATACTGTAAACATGGAGTGGACAAATGTACAACCGGTTCTGTGATTGGACTTATGCTACTTGTTGAACGGTTCATTATCCAGTCTATAACGTTTATTGCACATGTAACTTGTTAAGATACAGTTGTACATTTATCCACTCCAAGCTTTTGTTTTGCACATGGCACCTTAGTATGTTTGTTGCTTGAATGGTTACAAGTCTATTCTACTTGGTATTCTAGTAAATTTGGTTTTATACTCATAAGCCAGTTTGTGGTGTTGTTTTGTTGCATTATTATTACTGTCACCACATTTGATACTTTGTGTATATACTATGGAGGTAGAACAGAGCCATTGTGGCTAGTAGCCACGGATAACCTTATTCTCTGTGAATTTGTCTACTTTTAAGGCCATCCAAATTGGTGGCTGCTGTTGCATCTTGTGGGAGCAGATTTCATAGTTTTAGCTATGTGCTGTGTGAAGGAGGACTTTCGTTTGCCTGTCCTGAGTCTTTTTTAACTTCTCAAACACATGGGCTTTGTCTATGCTAAGGGAAATTGGGTACTCTGAAAGCGTCTTAGGAGAGGATATTTTAAAGTCCCATCAGTTTATATTCCCACACTTTACTTTCCTGCCTGTTTTGTGGTTTTAATTTAAATCTCTGCTGGGGCTCTCTCACCAGAGTACCTGCCCCAAACCTGGATCTGTGCATTCAGGGAATACTCCTTTTACCATATCTATTATCCTTTAAAACCAACAGTGTATGCGGCCCATAATCTTAAGCACCTCTATCATGTCTTCCCAACTTACCTTTCCCTCCTAAAATAAAAAAGCTCTAAATGTCATCTTTCCTAGTAGAGGAGTTGCTTTAACTCCTTGATCATTTGGGTTGTTCTTTTCTGAAACTTTTATGAGTAAAAATGCATAGGATCAAGATGTATCATTTATTGGTTGTATTTATTGGTTGACCACGAGGTGGCAGTCCTCTACAGTCAGAGAGATGCTCATCCACTCCCAGATCAAGGTTTTCTTCACTTCCTGCAGGTCCTATCCAGGTTTCCTCAGAAGTAAATCTCACTGAATTTAATAAGATTAATTCCACAGTGTGCATTGTAGCCTCACAGCGCTATCTTGTACAAGTCTGTTCAGAATCCATTCCCATTGAATAGATTGGGACTTCACCTTTTTGGGAAATTGGGTAGGATTGCAGCTTTGAAGATGGAAGGTGCTGAAAAATCTTGGGTGCAATACATGAGTCAGCCAATCCCTTGCTGCAGTGAACATTTCTCTGGTTTTGTTTTGTTTATAGTAAAGTTAGAGCTGCAACAAAGTTTAATCTATTTTGAGTAACAAAAAAGTACCCTATATATATATTAATCGGGACACCTTTTTAGATGATTTTTAATGCATCAAAGAGCAGTTTGGATAAATTTGTTCTGTATCCTGGAAGGATGTTGTTAATCACCAATGAAACCATATCTTTATTTTCAGTGACTAAGGTCACAGAGATACTGGTTTACTCTGTTATGTTAGTCACATACACATGACCTTCCTCCACGACCACACACACACACACACAAATTATGCAGACCAGCACAGCAGAAACATATTGCTCAATCTACTGGTAAAAAGAAAAAAAACCCTACAAGGCTTGTAGCCAACATTTCCATGCTGGTTGAAGAGTGGGCTTCTAAGCAAAATATTTTTGCAGGCCAGTAAAATTAATGGCAGGCTACTGACATTCGTGGGCGTATTTATTTTAACAACACTGGCCGCATCAGTTGGTGCCGCCAGCGGTAGAAGTGAAATTGAATTTTTCTGTTTTTTAGTTTCAGCCCTTGCGTGGATAGCTGAGTAGAAAGCCCGTGAAAGGTCCCAATCCTGGAACCGGAGGTGGTTGGCCCATCCCCAAATCTGCTCCTCCCCACTTTCCCCTGCAAGAAAAGCAGACCAGACCACCAGCAAAGGGTTGGGTGGGGGATGGCTTTTAATAAGCAGCGTTGTCTGGCGAGCGATTACATGGCACTGAAAGGTGCTCTCTTTCCTCCAGGCTGGAGGGAGAAGCCAAGGAGGCTAGGAGGGGGACCCGGAAGGAGACGGCAAGAGGGGTGCCATGCCAGGCTTGGCAAAGCAGCTGCTTCCGTGGCTCGCCAGGGCTTCAAGCCCCTCAGGAGTTCTCCCAGAAGAAGTTGTTGCAAGCCACAGTGAGGGCTGCCACCAGGACCACGAATTCCTGGAAATCGACCTCCCCATCGCCGTTCTCATCCAGGTCATGCATGATCTTGTCCACTGCTTCTGTGTCCTTCTGGGCCTGCAACACAGGAGAGAAGGGGTTCATTTTTTACAATTGTGTCGTTTTACTACTGCTGTTTGCATTGCTCCCCAACCCCGCTTACTCCCTGCCCCATGTATTCACAGCTCCATCTAACCCACTCCCTGTTCTCACAGCTCCTCTGTATCTCTCCCTCTCTGCTTTACTCTGCGGTTGTTTAGAAACCATTTAAGAACCTGCCTTCTCTCCCACTCCCCTATCCTGCTCTGACTTCCTGCAAATCCAGGATTGTGATGCTGCTCTACAAATCATCCAATGGGAGCTGTGCTTTGACTTCCTAACCTCTTTATGTATGCAGGGAGATTGTATGCTACCAGTCCCGTACACAGCATTGCTTGGGAATTCCCGGGAACCAAAAAGATGAGAGCGGTTTTGAAAACAGTGGTTAAAATCGGTACATTTTCGAAAGGTTCAGCCTGCCATCTTGAATCAAAATGGCACCCGGCTGCATCCAAACATAGAAGAAAAACCTTCTTCTTGATCTCTGGAACCATCATGCAAAATTTGGTTAGAATGAGCACTGCTTTGAAGGATTCAGCAATCCATCTTGATTCAAAATGGCACCCAGTTATATCCAAACACAGGCAGAAAACCTGCTCCTTGATCTCAGGAAACCCCATTCAAAATTTGGTTACATTATTGTAAGATGTGTCCGAATGCATAGCAAACAAACAGAATTCCAAAATATTTAACAGGACTAGCAGAAAGTTCCTGGTGCTGTTCAAACACCTGGTTTTCTGCAGCAAACTACCCTTGAACATGGAAGATCTATTTCACTGTATTGACAAAGAAGCACTGATAGAACTATCCTTTATAAGTAAACCAGTTTGCATTGGCATGCAATGCGAACAGAACCCAAGAAAGGCATGCACGAATGACGGCAGATGAAGTTGTGCATCATCCCTCTGTTTAAATCCACCCAATGCCGGATTTGTGTGCTGCGGAGAGGTCCGGTATCGCTGTGCCGGCCAGTCAGGCTTGCCCTCCTCAGGGATTACTCCATTCCGTTTCCCCATTAAAACTTTCCATACCTCCAGGAAGCAGCCGAGCTCGTTCTGCAGCAGATCCTTCAGCTCCTTCTTGCTCAGCTTGTACTTGTCGCCCTCCTTGCCCGAGTAGCTGTGGAAGACGGAGATGAGGCCGTCCATTGCGCTCTCCAGCTGCGACGTCATTTCTGCGGTGGTGGTGGAGGAGGAGGAGGAGAGAAGCCCGATAAAAGAATTGACCCTGTGGAGGAATGGAAGTTGACCATCAAACTCCCTGGGTGCATGCATGCAGCCATTAACACACAGCCCGGAAATGTCACACAAGGTGGGAAAACCCACCTACCCCATGCTATAAGAACAGGAGCCTTCTGGGTCTCAGGCCAATGGCCCATCTAGTCCTGTTTCTCACAGTGGCCAAGCAGATGCCATAATGGGAAGCTCTCAAGCAGGATTCGAACACAAGAGCCCTCTCCCCTCCTATGGTTTCCAGCCACTGGTATCCAGAAGATTTGCTGCCTCTGTCTGGATGCAGAGTGTAGCCATCAATGGCCTTATCCTCAACAAAATTTATCCAGTCCTCTCTTAAAGCCATGCAACTCGCTGCCTCCTGTGGCAGCAAGTTCCGTAGTTTAACAGCACCGCACAAAGAAGTACCGTATTTTTCGCTCTATAAGACGCACCAGACCACAAGACGCACCTAGTTTTTGGAGGAGGAAAACAAGGAAAGAAATATCTCAGAAGCCAGAACAGCAAGAGGGATCGCTGCACCGTGAAAGCAGCAACCCCTCTTGCTGTTCTGGCTTCTGGGATAGCTGCGCTAGCCTGCATTCGCTCCATAAGACACACACACATTTCCCCTTACTTTTTAGGAGGGAAAAAGTGAGTCTTATAGAGCAAAAAATACGGTACTTTCTTTTACCTCTCCCAAACCTCCTGACGACCCCTTTCTGTAGTCAGAAATACACCGTAGATTTGAAGCATGCTTAAAGCACATGACGTCCCCCAATCCTGGGAACTGTAGTTTAAGGGCGCTGGGAGTTGTAGCTCAGTGAAGGGCAAAGTACAGTCTCCAGGATTCTTGGGGGGTGGAGGGTGGGCAGGGAATACGCTTTAAACGTATGGTGTGTACACAGATAATTTCCCACCCGTATTCTCAGGCTACCTTTCAGGAGTTTTGAATCAAGGAAGAGAGATCCAAAGTAAGAGAGTGAGGCTCTGCCATGTTGGCATTCTGGACTGGAGTCCCAGGCATAAAGCACAGCGACAGGGAAAGGGCAGGCATGCTCATACAGCTCTGTAGAGATTAGTGTGTTGGACTGGGGCTGGATAAACCCTGGTTCAAATCCCTCTGCCAACTCGTTGGCTTTGGGCCAGTCACTCTGTCACTGTAACTAGCACTGCAGGCTTGTTGGGAAGATATAAAGGTAGATAGGGGAGACTGCGTTGGCCATCCTCAACTCCTCGAGGGGGGGTATAACTACAATCAACTAAATGGCACAAGAAGACTCTTGCATTTTCAGTTTTACAGCTGTTTAAATGTTGGGGCCACCTGTTCCTGGCTTCGAAAACCCTTGCCCTCGCTTGCTCCCACCACACCTGCCTCCCACCCTCACCTGTGCGGGCGCAACCCCAAAACCATCACCCTCACCTCTCTTTCTGTCCTCAGTTCTGTGCGTCGCAGCTGCCTCTGACAAAGCGAGTCCAAAATAGCTGGTCAGTGGCTTTAAATACGATCCCAGCGCCCTCCCCCAAAGGAAGAAACCGATACCGGCAGCTGGACAATCTGGCTGGGAGCTCACCGGGCAGGCAGTGTCCAAATTTAAAGGGGCAGGGTGGGTGCAGGATTAGGCAGGATTCTCTCCACCACACCCAGATGGAGCCACTAAGCCCGGGGAATGACTGAATACAGTGGAAAAATTCTCATCCTATGCAAACAGGAGTCCTTTTCCCCCCTTTTTACTCCCTGCCGAATACGGGATCCAGAGAACCCTCACGCTTTTTGATGGAACTGTGTCGCTCCCCCAAAAGGCTAGCAAATAAAATCTGCCCTGTGCGAGCCCCAAAAACCCACAAGTGGAAAAAGGCTGGGGTTCTGCAACCCCCGTGGTCAACAGAGCAAAGCAAATCTTTGGCCTTGTTTTCACAGATGTATTTCTCTGTTTTACTTGACCGCTGCTGGAAGTTCTTCTCCCTCCATCGCCCACTATATTTGTCTGCTCCTTGGCCTGATCAAAGAGCGCAATTGTCCTCTGGGATACATTGAAAGCTCACAAAGGAAGCCTCATGCTACATGGCACCCAAATGTTCAAGTGTGCAGAAGTCGGGGTACTTCTCTTCCTCCACTCAGACTATCAGGGGCGGTTCCACACCTGGGGAGCCCCGAGGGGCTCACTGGGAACCAGTGGTGTCAAAGCGAGGCCAGGACCTGACGTTTTAATGGCCCACAATGCCCCAGGGCCACTCAGGGGCATTCTGGGAAACTGAAATGGCAGCTCATAGACCCAACTGCCCAATGTGTGCTAGGGGCAGCTGCTGGTGGGCCCACCTGGGGTCTTAGCGCCTGCTGTAATATTGCAGGAATTTATGTATAGGTTGTGGGGGGGTTGCCCCTCCAGCAGATATCACGCACATGCACCCCACTACCAAAATCAGCACACTTTTGTGACTTGTCCCCACAAAACACTTCGTCACAGTTTCTCCGTATCTATTCGAAGCGCCTCTGCTGCACAATACCAAACGTAACAATTCACTGATAAATGTATCTATGTACACTGGGAAAACTTCAGAAATTCATATAGACATGTGAGCTCAGCTACTCAGCAGCCCCTCTGCCTGAGTGATAATTCCTGGCATCCTGATACCTGAGTGCCAGACAGGTAGCCATTCCAGAAATAACAAACCCAGATGAAGACAAAAGGGTGGGATTAACTTGGCTGGGAAACAGGGAAATGTAAATATCTCTTTTGTTTCACTTGATAGGTGTGTGGTGGAGGGCAAGGGGAACCATGGGGCAGGGTCCAGGATGCTCAGATTACTGCCACCAGACCTCCCCTTTCACGATGTAACCATGATGTATTAATGATGTAGTTTGGGGGGGTGTAACATGGGGATTAGGGATGCGGGTGGCGCTGTGAGTTAAACCACAGAGCCTAGGGCTTGCCAATCAGAAGGTCTGCAGTTCGAATCCCTGCGACAGGGTGAGCTCCCATTGCTTGGTCCCTGCTCCTGCCAACCTAACAGTTCAAAAGCACGTCAAAGTGCAAGTAGATAAATAGGCACTGCTCCGGCGGGAAGGTAAACAGTGTTTCCGTGCGCTGCTCTGGTTCGCCAGAAGCGGCTTAGTCATGCTGGCCACAGGACCCGGAAGCTGTACGCCGGCTCCCTCGGCCAATAAAGCGAGATGAGGGGCTTCCATCTCCCACCTGGTGGCAGGTGGGAGTCCTGTCGCGACAGTCTTCAATAAAGACCAAGCCTACTGGCTGCTGTTTGCTCTGGTATTCCTGGGTGGTGTCCTTGGTTTTTTTTTTTGGTTTTTTTTGGTCCAAGGGAGCCCTCAGATTTCTCCGTTAACAGTTGGAAGCCGGTCGCTACCGCCGGTCCTGATCCTATCCATGTTTACTCTGAACTCTGAGTTCAATAAGAGCATTGAAAAGCCGTGCTAAATCAGGCCCATCTAGTCCAGTGTCCTGTCCTAAGAGCTCAAGTGGTGGCTGTTAGAACTGGTAGGGCGGAAGGCAGGGAGCCCAGCAGTAGGTGGCGCCAGAGAGCCAATGGTCCCATCCTTTCTCTTCCTCCCTGCTGAGTTCTACCAGGGGCAACCCTGAGACTAAGCAGGAGGCGGAAGCTGACAGCCAGGGTCACCCTGGAAGTAAGAAGCCATGGCAGTGACCCATTTACCCTAATGGAGCAGCCTCTGCGGCCTAAGGGTCAACCAGATGACCCTGGGAAGCTTGCAAGCCAGGCTTGCGAACAACATCAACTCTCCCCTCCTGCGGTTGACAGAACATTAGCAGCTGCAGCTAAGCTAACGTTCCTAATCTTCTTTTAAAGCTGTCGCAAGTTGACCAGGGAGAAGAGTCGGTGGAAGAAGATTGGAAGAAATTCAAAGATTATTTACAGAAATACTGCAAAATTAATGAATGTTAGAGTGATGTTGGATTGAAATTAAATGGTTTCTAGCTATACAGGCTTTAAAGTTATATATAGATTAAGATTAAGGATTAGGAATAATAAGGTTAAAAGAATGGAAAATTGGTTATTAATAGATAAAAATTTAATGTTATATTATATCAAGATTAAGGATTGGGATTAAAAAAGAGGGAAAGGAATTGCTGGACAAATAAACTAAATTGGAATACAAAAGATGGAGGTATGAGGAGGTCCAGAAAATAAGTAAATTTAAAAGTAGTAATGAAAAGAAAGAATTGTTTTTAACTGTTTTTTTTCTCTTTTTATTTTTTAATTTTGTATTTTGTATTGTGTATTTTTCTTTTTACTGTTAAATTCTCTTTTATTGATGTGTTTCTTTTTATCTGAAACTTTAATAAATATCATCTTCAAAATCTAAAGCTGTCGCAAGTTGGTGGCCATTGTTGCCTTTTGTGGGAGCATGAATAGGGAGAAGTCCTTCGTTTTGTCTGTCCCAAATCTACCCAACATTCGACTTCACTGGATGTGCCTGAGTTCTAGTACGATGCAAGAGGGAGGAAAAACTTATCCGCTGTCTTCACAACATGCATAATTTCGGACAGCTCTTCTCTCACGTTCCCCCTTCCTCGCCTTTTCTCTAAGACCTACTTGGTAAGTAGACCTAGGATTGCTGGGGACGCGGGTGGCGCTGTGGGTTAAACCACAGAGCCTAGGGCTTGCCGATCAGAAGGTCGGCGGTTCGAATGAGCTCCCATTGCTCTCTCCCTGCTCCTGCCAACCTAGCAGTTTGAAAGCACGTCAAAGTGCAAGTAGATAAATAGGTACCACTCCGGCGGGAAGGTAAACGGTGTTTCCGTGCGCTGCTCTGGTTCGCCAGAAGCGGCTTAGTCATGCTGGCCACAGGACCCAGAAGCTGTACGCCGGCTCCCTCGGCCAATAAAGCAAGATGAGTGCCTCAACCCCAGAGTCGGTCACAACTGGACCTAACGGTCAGGGGTCCCTTTACCTTTTTATTGCATAGCAGATAAATGTAAGAAAAGATGTCATATCTGAATTATCTAAATTGATAACCTTGCTAGCTGAGGTGATACACCTCAGGTAAACAATATACCTCAATACAGTTTTATTTTATTAATTGCATTTATACACCAAAGAGCTTAAGGTGGCATGCATGGGCCTCCCACCTCTTCATTTAACCCCCCAAACAACCCTGCAAAGTAGGTCAGGATGAGAGGCAGCGACTGGCCCAAGGTCCCTCAAATGAACTTCACGGGGCCAAGTTGGGGGGATTTGAACCCTGAACTCTCCCAGGTCCTAGTCTGAAACTCCTACCACTGGCTCTCACCAGGAGTCCTCGACTCTGTGAACTACATGTAATATATGTGTTTCTGTTTCTGCTTGCCTGCACCAACATATCAGCTCTTTGTTAAGAGAGTTTGTTTCTCCAAAGACGTCTTCAAATTTTCTTCCAATGGTCAAAGAAGAACCCCCCCCCCCAAAAAAAACCCAGGATATTTGGGTAGGCCGGCATCAGACCGAAATCATCCTGCGAAATCTCGGCAGCGGCACGTTGGCCGGGCGTGACTCCTGAGAGGGTTTTTTTTTTTTTTGCTCTGCGCCCGGTCTATTAATACCGCGAGTACGGTTTCTGCCGTAACGGTGGCATTGTCCGGGGACCTGTAACCCATCCTCTCGATAAGGAGGGCCCGCGATTGGGTGTCTCTGCCAGCTTCCTATCGGACAAAGGGTGCTGTCAGAGGAGGCCGCTCGGGTGACGGATCCGGGCCCACCTGACTCTGGGTTACGCAGGGATGAGAAAGGGCCCTTGTTGAATGAAAACGCGCTGCCCTCAATGGTTGCTGCGGAAACGGAGGAGACCCGAAACCGGATTCCGGGCCTGGAGCCGGGACAAGCAAAGCCCAACTGGAAATAAACAAAAAACAAAAAAAACCACAACCCACCCACACGCCTCGGGTCCGGTTACGAGACTTGGAGCTTGCGGCAAGAATAAACCGTCCTGGCATTAATGATGCAAGGGGGAGACCATGAATCATGCATCGTGTTATTGTGCCTTTTCCTCCTCCAGAGCTGGATTTGGCATCCTTGTTCTCAGGCATAAGTCACGATGTTTCATGCCACCCCGGGCACACACATGAGGCAAAGTCAGCTCAGGGCAGGCGGGGATGCAGTTCTCAGTCGGCTGCCGTGTGGGGAAATGTCGAGGGCACCCCAGGGGTGTGGCAAAAGGCAGGGCTGGGCACATTTTTTTAGCAAAGCGTGGGAAGGCTTCAGAGTTGCGGGATCATCTTTGTTGGGGTGGGAGGGGCCTGGTGCAAAATGGCGGCTCATGGGGGCAGAGCTAGGCTCAACATGGCCGCACTGGGGACGGAGCCCAGCCAACAACAGAGCATGGGAACTTGCAGTGGGGGAAATAATTACCTACGATACGATAATCTTTATTGTCATTGTCCCATACAGAACAACAAAACTGAAAAATCACATAAGACATTCAAAACCCAAGCTACGCCAGCCCATGAGCCAAGCATTGTGTATACAAGAGAAAAAACAAAACACAATATTCAGTAAGGTAACGGTAAAGGGACCCCTGACCATTAGGTCCAGTCGTGACCAACTCTGGGGTTGCGGTGCTCATCTCGCTTTATGGGCTGAGGGAGCTGGCGTACGGCTTCCGGGTCATGTGGCCAGCATGACTAAGCCGCTTCTGGTGAACCAGAGCAGCACACAGAAATGACATTTACCTTCCCGCCGGAGCGGTACCTATTTATCTACTTGCACTGGCGTGCTTTCAGACTGCTAGGTTGGCAGGAGCAGGGACCGAGCAACGGGAGCTCACTCCGTCGTGGGGATTCGAACCGCCAATCGGCAAGTCCTAGGATCTGTGGTTTAACCCACAGCACCACCGGCATCCCTACAATATTCAGTACAGTAGTCTAATTTGAAGGCACAGGAGTAGCTTTGTAATAGCCTATCATATGTATTGATTTCATTTATTTGTTTATTTGCATTTATATCCTGCTTTTTACTCCCTGTCAGAAACCATATTGTTCCTGTCCATCCAGACACTGACCAGGCCCAGGCTTCAGCAAGTTGGTGGCCTCATGTGCTTTCCTGCTTTTTATTGTTAATGATGATTATTATTCATAATGGTGATGATATTTTAGCTTCCTTGAGTTTCCTAGTTCCAGCCCTAGTCCAGGCGTTGCCAACGTTTTCGGGATAGAGGGCACCATTTTAAAATTCCGAGCTATTGCCGTGGGTGCCGCTCACAAAATGGCGTCTGCGTGGATGTGACATGTCACAAAATGGATGCCACGGGAGCGTGGCATAACTCAAAATGGCTGTCTTAAGAGGTGCTGGTGGACATACAGACAACTTCTGCCCTTGGTTCTAGCAGCCTGGTAGGAGTCAAATCAGATTTGCAGAGAAGACTCAGCGAGACTCTTATCGAGGGGAGGTCTGAGTCTCTTTGCATTATATCAGAGATTTTCAACCTTTTTGAGTCCACATCTCTCTTGACCACTGCATTATACAGGTTCCTGCAAGGCTGAATGGTAAAGTTTCTATTGCCGCACAAAGTTTCACATGCACCTTCTGTTTCACTCAGGCTCTCTACGGCGTTTCAGACTCTACAATCACTCTGCTCACCATCCTCTATACAGTGGTGCCCCGCAAGACGAATGCCTCGCAAGACGGAAAACCCGCTAGACGAAAGGGTTTTCCATTTTTGAGTTGCTTCGCAGGACGAATTCTCCTATGGGCTTGCTTCGCAAGACGAAAATGTCTTGCGAGTCTAGAGATTTTTTTTTCGCTTTCCCCCTTTATCTAATCTGCTAAGCCTTTAATAGCCTTTAATAGCCTTTTAGCAGCTAATCCCCTAAGCCTTTAAGCCTTTAATAGCCGCTAAACCGCTAATAGCGCTAATCTGTTAAGCCGCTAATAGGGTTGCTTCGCAAGACGAAAAAACCGCTAGACGAAGACTCTTGCGGAACGGATTAATTTCGTCTTGCGAGGCACCACTGTATTAGCAGGTCCCCAACTGCTAGTTTATTTTAAATAGATATAATCATTTGACAATCATTAAAAATAATCAACAAATCTGCTCAAGAAAAAAAAGCCTTCACATCCTTAATATGCTGCAATAAAATACGGCAAGGTAAAACAACATTTTTTTCTAAAAAGAGAAAGACAAAAACTGCTTGAATTAGCTTTTATGGAAGGTCATTATTTTCTTAATACAATATTGTATTAAGGGGCAACCTGTTTCCCCATAATTTATTTCTAGAGTCGCTTGCAGTTTTCACTCTTAGGTGTTATTCTTCCTATTACAGCCAAATCCCAAAGTTTCTTAGGAAATTCTTTCCACGAAGGGAGTAATGGAACTTTCCAGTTTTGAGCCATTAACATTCTTACAGGTATTTGCAGATAGGAGGCCTGTTCCTTATGTTATTTCTTTAGGATAGGTGACATATAGTTCTGCCCTATCAATACCGGATCTAAGGGAACTTCATATTTCAATATTGTTGCTGTTATTCTAATGATCACCTTCCACTATATTTGTGTAAAAGATACACGGCCACCACATGTGGTGATATGTTCCATTCTGCTTTCTGCAAATCTGCCTCATCTTGGCTTTCTCTGTTGCCTCCGAGTTCGTGGTACCATTACACGCAAAAGCCCCTTCGTTTGGTGGGGCTGCATTTGCTACTGTCTCTCTTTGCCCCCCACCCCATCCTGCCCCATCGCCTTATAAAGCAGTTGGGACTCATGACATCGTCGTCAGGCTATTCTGGCAGCTAAGATTTTACTTCTCTGGTCTGGCGAAGGAGAATGTGAAGCAGTCAGGCACAAAACACACACACACCCTCCAACATTTCTCCAATGAAAATAGGGATGTCCAATTCCATAGTAGTAGTATTACTTGTTGTTGTTGTTGTTGTTATACAGCACCCATCCTACTGGTTTGCCCCAGCCACGCTGGGTGGCTTCCAACATATATAAAACATAATAAAACATGAAACATTAAATAAACCTTCCCTTTACAGGGCTGTCTTCAGATGTCTTCTAAGGGTTGTATAGTTATTTATCTATTCAGGGGGGCTCACATAACTCTGTACTCTCCAACATTTCTCTGATGAAAATAGGGACGTCCTAATGAAAAGTGGGACATTGCAGGGTTAAGAAATCAGAAACTGGGACAGATTCTGTAAATCCAGGACCGTCCCTGGAAAACAGGGACACTTGCGGGGTCTGAAAACATCAGGGCTTGCTCCAGTCAGATTGTAAAGCCCCCCCCCCAATTTTACATGTTATATGATTTGTCTTAGTACTTTAAAATTGTAAACCACCTTGGGTGCCTCGGCAGAAACATGGCTTATTAATGCAATGAAATAACAACAACAACAACAACATTGAGTGTGGGAGTTGGGTCTACTCCGGGCTTGCCTCTCCACACGGATATGTTACAGTCAACATAGTGAATCACTGGGTAGTGATTGATACGGTTGCTTGCATGCCATTTCGAACAATGACTAGCCAGAGCATGAAACCAAGGGCAAATTCCAGATTGCCAACATGAGCACACCTCGGTTGGTTCTGCTTCTGAGTTGGCAAGCCGGCCGCCATTTTGTATTCCCCCACAATGCACTGGAAATGGTGAGGGGAAATGGCAGGCGCCACCAACACGCAAACAGAGAATGTGGAGGATATTCCACGAATAGTCTACAAAATGGCCTTCGATGAGTAGACAAGGGCCTTAATAATTAAAAAAAGAAGAAGCACATCAAATTCTACCAGAAAGGTCGTGAAATGTTTGGCCCAGCTTTGCATTAAAGTACCGGTCATCGGCCACTAGTGGGCAATGTATGCTGTTATCTCTACTGCTTCCCAGGCCTTTGCCACTGAGAACTGCAGCTGATTTTGCAAGAGCTTAAGGCGTGGACCAGAGATGCTCCAGAGACCTGCCAGCATTCCATCGCTCTCCGAATTCCTCCACGGTCTAATATTTCTCTCTTGCTTCCTGTCCCCAAACAGTTGTGTAATTGTGTAATTGCGCTGCGGCGCTGTGCAATGGAGCCTTGTCATTTTTCCAGAATGGAACGACGTTCTGGAATGTTCCCACTTCCACCCAGCCTTACGCATGGCCCTTGATTTATTTTCTTTTATGAAATACATGTAAAAGGTTTCAGTTTTTTAAAGAAAAGCACAGTCATTCCTGTGGTATCGGAGCATGGTGGCACATCACGGTCACACTGCGCACCGTACATTTAACAGAGGATTATACCACTTCAAGGGACGCGGGTGGCGCTGTGGTCTAAACCACAGAGCCTAGGACTTGCCGATCGGAAGGTTGGCGGTTCGAATCCCATTGCTCGGTTCCTGCTCCTGCCAACCTAGCAGTTCGAAAGCACATCAAAGTGCAAGTAGATAAATCGGTACCACTCCGGTGGGAAGGTAAACGGTGTTTGCGTGCGCTGCTCTGCTTCGCCAGAAGCTGCTTAGTCATGCTGGCCACATGACCCGGTTAAGCGAGATGAGCGCCGCAACCCCAGAGTCATCTGCGACTGGACCTATCGGTCCGGGGTCCCTTTACCTTTACCTATACCACTTCAACAGTCATATCCCTCCCCCCAAATAATAATAATAATCCTGGGAGCTTTTGTTTGTTATGGGTGCTGAGTGTTAGTAGGTGGCCCTGCTTCCCTTCACAGAACTAACATTTTCAGAGTTCCCTAGGAAGAGGGGTTGATTGCTAAACCACTCTGAGAATTATAGCTCTCTGGCCATTGCTGACATTCTCTTTATTAGCAACTGGCAACTCCTGGGCTAGGTGAATTTCCTTAAAAAATAGCTAAAACGCATACTTTTTTATGGAGATCTTGGAAAAAAAAAAGCTCAACAACATTTGCGTCCGTCTGGATTTTTACTTTTTGAAATATGGCAACCTTAATGTACAGTCCACTCATGGAGAGCTATAACTTATATGGGGGTACCCAGGCAAGTCCTATTATGTGCCTAGGCACCCGAGCCACAAAGTTCCCAGGAGAACAATGAAACACACTGACACGAAGTATTTGGGTTCAAACAGGCCACAACATGGCCGGCCATGACGTAGGGGTGAAGTAGAGTACCTCCACCCCTAAGCTGGACAACCATTGAGGCTTGGTTTCCTGGCCGCAATGCCTCCCACCATTAAAGAGGTGAGCGGACTTCTGAAAAGACCCATCGCTGGGTTTACTCTGAGTAGGACCTAGTTGTCCCAGAAAGGCCTATTATAGCCTATTGATATCTATCTTGTTGACCCCTCAAAAGCTGCCATAATATATTGTCTGAACTAATTATTAATGGCAGGGAGGAGAAAACCCAGAGCTCTTCACTGCAGTATAAGCTTTCTAGAAAGGTGTCGTTTTCCAACAACACAGCGTCTAGGATATCATCCTTCCATAGGCTTGATTTCGAAAATCGGAAGCTTGTTGTGTTTGGTCAACGTGGAGTAACTGTGCGCTGTACCCTCCTGGTCAACCTATCCGCAGGAAGGTTAAACTATGCAAATTTCTGCAGAAAGGTGAAGAGCTGAATTTAAAATTGGAGAGATGGGAAACCGACTTACAGATTTGTACCTCCTTAGCGGCTCATAGGGAAGTCAGAGAATTCTGACCAAAATGGGGATCAGAAATTGCTAGTGCTTGCTCACTCGTCCCCTGTCCAGAAGACAAACTGGTCTGGCGAATATGATCAGTCCTTTGCTATAATTTTCTGCTCTCAGTCTGCAAGCGATACTTGATTATTTCCCCCTGTGCTTCCTTTGCATTTATGTGATGTATTTTTGTGTTTATATACTGTGAACTGCCTTGTTATCCTCGGATGAAGGGCAGTATACAAATGTAATATAAATATAGATAAATAAATAAAATTAATTCAGTAACTTACGTACGACAGCAATACAAACAGCACAGTTTTGGGCAGAGGACTAACTGCATGAGACAAACACAGGGTGGGACGGGAAAATATGCCTTCTTACATTGCTAGTGGCTCATCGTGCCCAAGCCATTTTGCTCCCTGAGGCAAAGGAAAAATTGCCTCCCCCCAAAAAAAATGCCATGTACAAAATCTGACCAGATCAGCAGTTTCGTCTTATTTCTAGACCAGCAGTGGGGCATTATCCCACACTATACCTGCAGGCCACAGGCTAGCATGGAGGGTTACAAAGCAAGCTGGTTTAGTGAAGTTAGGGGGGGAGGGGGGACCGTCCCCCTATCATTTGCCACCTGAGGCAGATGTGTCACTTTACTGAATAGCAGAGCCGGTTCTGGTACTTTCTGAACAGGAAGGGGTTGGGAACGGAGGGTTGGGAGGGGGAGAAGGGGAGCTGTTTACAACTGTCTTTTTTCTCCCTCTGCCCAGACAGAGAACTCATTCAGTTCCTTGGTCCAGTAGCACCAGCGGTGCTGAGCCTCGCCCCTTCCTTTGCCCGTGGGATTTTGGAAAAGCGTCTCTCTCTGTGTGTGCACAGGAACCGGGGGGGGGGGGGAGCAGTGGAACGAGCGAGATGTTTGCAAGAACACGGGGTGGGTCGGAACGGATGGAGTTGGATCTGATGTCGAAGTACAAGAAGAGCAGTGTCTCAAATCCAGGGGTGGATTTAGAGGCCGCCCCACCCCTGGTCACCGCCGCCTGCGTTAAGGGTGCCAGCGTTCCTTGCTAAAACATCGCCATCAATCAACAAGCAAGTCAAGGAGGGAGACCAACGTCACTTGCTGTTTGGCAGAGCGAATGCGCCATGGGCCAGCCTTTCAACTGTTCATAGAATCATAGAATGGTAGAGTTGGATATATGGGCTGGGTATAAATAATAAATATTATTATTATTATTATTATTATTATTATTATTATTATTATTTGCTGAGATTCCTGCATTGCAGGGGGTTGGACTAGATGACCCGGGGTCCCTTCCAACTCTAAGATTCTATGATTCTACTATTTGGCGGCGGCTGATAACTACCGAAGCCGGAGGGGTGGTGGGCAGGGCATCTAATGGGAGGGGGAGCCATCTCATTCTCCCTCCCTCGTCCCTTGCAAAGGGACAATGAGCACAAAGCAATTCTCAAATGCAAGCACCAGATTTGGATGAAGCCAAGGTTGCAGGTTCGATCCTGCGACGGGACAGCTGCATATTCCTGCAATGCAGGGGGTTGAACTAGATCATAGCTGTCAACTTTTCCCTTTTCTTGCGAGGAATCCTTTCAGAATAAGGGAATTTCCCTTAAATAAAGGGAAACGTTGACAGCTATGCACTAGATGTTCCTCAGGGTCCTAAATTCTATGATCCTATGATTCCCATCATCTCTGACCATTGGGCATGCTGGCTGCCAGGGGTTGGGAGTGCAGCAACATCTGGAAGGCTGCAGGCTCTCCACCCCTGCTCCCTAAACTTACGAGGAAGAACATTTGCTTTTATTCTCTAATATGCGACGTGGTTGACAGATCCACGCTTGCAGGATCTTCTGGCTCAGAGATGAGTCATGGGTGCAGATGGCGAAGCCAAGTCAACATAACACATGCAGCCATGGTGACTGCCAGCTCAGCACGTTGAAGGGATCATGGGAGATGCTCCTTGCTCAGAGAAGCCACACTGGTCTAGTGCTTGGATTATTCAATTTGTTAATGATCTGGAGTGAAGGAGGATGATCCCAATTCTGGGGTAGCCGACAGTTACCCTGCCTAGGCATTAAGTGCCACAGCCCTTTTCAGAGAGACCCATTCACCTGCGGGGAGATGACCTGAATCAGAGAAAATTAGGGCTTCCTTTGACTCTGGCTTGCATCTAGAAAATGCCTCTGGGCAGGTGCAGAGTGCCTTTTGCTTGCCAAACTGAGTAACCACCACCACCAACTAATCACCAGCCAGGGGAAAGGCATGGGCACAGAGGCAAGCTGGTTTGGGGACTAGGTGCCCACAGGTGTGCTCTCCAGCCCCTCTAATGGTGCCCACAAAATATCTCTTTCAAAATCCAGGAGTGGTTTGCTCTTCCAGCTCAGTTCCTGTTTGCACTGGCTCATTCTCATACACTGAAAGCACCCTCTTAAACATGCCAGGATTCAATCTTCCCATTCTGGACAGAGAAGAGGTGCAAAGAGCTTCTCTCTGCGAGAAAGCACAGTGGTCCGTGATGTGGGTCCCTTTTCCCTGTTGGGGGGCAGCCAATGGGGGGCGGGAATGCCATTTTCACTCTCTCAAATGCTGCAGCTGTTTTGTGCTAGGCCGTACCCCCACAGCAGCTATCAGAAAATACTACTAAATATTATTATTATTATTATTATTATTATTATTATTATTAAATTACAAGTACTATTACTGCATTTATGTCACAGAGAAAACAGCACAATCATAAAACCATGTAATAAAATCCACAAAAATAAATCAATTAAAAACCCTGCAGCAGTGAGTTCCATAGATTCACAACCGCACAGTGCAGATTTGCAGTGCTTTGATTGGTCTCTCCTAAACGTGCTGGCTCGGCAGTGCCGACATTCCAGCAGAGAGAGAGAGACAATAAAAATAATAATATCAACTTTCCATCCTATCCCCTCCATCACCCAGCTGCCCCCACCCCCAAACTAACCCACCAAATGTGTTTGCCTTTTCCTGATAGGTGCTCCAAACATCTGGACCGTTTCAGCTGCCCTTTAAGGGAGGGCCGTCACACAGTGGAAAAGCCCCTCCTTTGTACCCAGAAGGTCCCAGGTCTTGTCTCTCACCTGAAACCCTGACATTCAAGTGTAGCAAATGCTAAGACAAACGAACAAATGACCTGGTGCCGTATAAGGCAGTTTCCTGTTTTCCTTATCAACACAGCTTTTTATTCAGAACAATGAGGACTAGGATCTTAACTTGACTTATTGGCAGTGCCGCCTGTCTGAAACCCTTGAATGCAGCTGCCTGTCTGTGGAGACAGAGGGAATATTGATCTAGATAGACCAGCAAAAGAAGACGCTGTTGGATCAGACCCCCAGCCCCTCTCTAAAGTCCTGTCCTTGCAGGTGCCAACCATATCTCCCAGCGACAAACCCGCAAGCACAATGGCCCTCTACCCTCCCGTGTTTCCCTCCGACCACAGAGGCAGAGCGTAACCCATGTGACTAGTAGCTATGAATAGCCTTCTATTCCCATGTATATGCCCAATCCACTTTTAAAGCCATTCCAGTTGCCGGCCACCACTGCATTCCTGTGGCAGAGAGTTCCACAGGTCCTGAATCTTCCAACACTCAGCTTTGCCTGCAAGTTCTGCTGTTGTGGAAGAGAAGAGCCTCTCTCCATGTTATCAATGTGATGCGTAATTCTGTAAACTTCTGTCAAGCTGCCCTTTCCCCTCGCCTCTAAGCTGAAAAGTCCCAGACACTGAGGAGCTCCGTTTCGTGTGTCCTCTTCTTGGGAGAGGAGAGAGGAGGGGAAAGCCAAGCCCAGTGCTGCCCCTTCCCCAATCCCCTTAAATCGAAACCACTTACTTAAAACCTGGAGGGATCTTGCGTGCGGCTGCTGCAGCAGGTCTGGGCTAGGTGGGTGCCAGAGGGACTTGCCTTGTACCCGGGTCTGGACCCTCCCCCCGGACCCTCCCCACCTCTGAGCACCAATGAAGGGAAGTCGGCAACCGGTCAGAAAGCACAGAAGTCTGTTTGTCTAGCCTGCTGTGGCCCAGCAGAAGAGGCCGTGGGCATAACAAAGGCCAATTGTGCCCCATCTCCGAAAAACAGCCGGCTCTCACACCCGCTACCTCTCAATTCTTCCTTCATAAAATGAAGGTGGGGGAAAAAAAATAACCCTCTGAGGTTTTTCAAGCAGCCAAGCTCAAATATTCGGTGCCTGGGTGCTTTTCGCTTGTTTGTTTTTTTACACAGCGTCCAAAATTCTGGGACAGGGAAAGCAAAAAAGGGGTTATTGATTGGGGATGGTGAAGCTGTGGCCCCGCAGCTGTTGCAGAACTACAACTCCCATGAACCTTTGCGGTTGGCCACGCTGACTAGGGGCTGATGGGAGTTTTCAGCAGCAACAACTGGAGAACCACAAGCTCTCCGTCTCTGTTTTGCGCCTCTCTATGTGCATTTAATGTGTGATCCCTAATTGGTTGGGACCATAGCTGTCAACTTACAGATTTGAAAATAAGTGATCAGCAGCCTTGAAAATAAGGGATCAGCAGCCAAAATAAGGGATTTTCCGGGCACAGATATGTTCAACTTCTGAGCCCCTCTAAGCCAAAGGCAGAAAGCCCAGCCAGCAGCCAAATGAAGCCTCATCAGTAAGGGACAGCAGCGGGACATGGCGCTGGGATAAGGGACTGTCCCGCCAAATAAGGGACACTTGACAGCTATGGTTGGGACGTGTGTCTAGGAGAGGGGTGGGCATGCGTCTGGACTCCCAACTCCCACAATCCCCAGCGGTTTGCCATGATGGCTGAGGTTGATAGGAGTTGGGAGTCCTGGATGGAAGACTGAAGAAACCCCAACTTAAGAATCATGGCAAGAAAAATTGATGGACTACGCAGAACTGGCAAAACTGACATACAAGCTACGGGACAAGGATAACTGACTTTAAAGATGAACGGGAACCCTTTACAAAGTATTTGAAGACGCAACAAAGCGAACTGGACTCCTTGGCTGGCTTTGAATAAACATTCACAAACTTTTTATTGATAATAATCAGCTAAATAGTTTGAGGATCTATACAACTGTGTAACATGCAGAAAATAGCATTTTTAGAGAAATCAAAGACTGGAACTGAGGGAAGTCGGGGGTGGGGGTGGGTGGGTTCTGTGGGGGGAGGGAGGAAAAATGGGGGGGGGGAAATAAGGACGATATGTTTCTGGATAATATGTTTTGTTTTAGGTAAAGGGACCCCTGACCGTTAGGTTCAGTTGTGGCTGACTCTGGGGTTGCAGCGCTCATCTCGCTTTATTGGCCGAGGGAGGCAGCGTACAGCTTCTGGGTCATGTGGCCAGCATGACTAAGCCGCTTCTGGCGAACCAGAGCAGCGCATGGAAACGCCATTTACCTTCCTGCTGGAGCGGTACCTATTTATCTACTTGCACTTTGACGTGCTATTGAACTGCTAGGTTGGCAGGAGCAGGTACAGAGCAACAGGAGCTCACCCTGTCGCGGGGATTCGAACCGCCGACCTTCTGATCGGCAAGTCCGGGACTCTGTGGTTTAACCCACAGCGCCACCCGCGTCCCTGAAGAACCAGTATGGTGTAGTTATTAGAGGTTTGGACTATGACCTGGGAGACCAGGGTTTTAATCCCCGCTCAGCCATGAAGCTTGCTGGGTGACCTTGGGCCAATCACTGTCTCTCTTGGCCGGGGTTGTTGTAAGGATAAAATGGGGAGGAAGAGAACCATGTGCCCCACCTTGAGGTTCATGGAGAAAAAGTGGTATATAAATAAATGAATAAATAAATAAAGTTTGATGAGGTTCAAAGGAAGGTCTCCTGATTGGGGCCTGACACGACTGCTTAGCTTCAGCGATGTGGCTGCATCATAGGCCTGCAATTACTGCAGCCAATCAGATGGCTCGGGGATGCCCACAAACAGGCCACGAAGGCAGCAAGCCTTTCCTATTGTTTACTTCCTTATGGTTACTCCTAACCGACTGTTTATGCTGTTGCATCTATGCTAATCTCTGAGCAGCAACAGACTCCCACTTCTGACACCAGTGTTGCACGCACCCAGTTTCCAAGTGGTGGGAGACTCCAGAGCATCCTTTCTCAGCCTGTGGGTCCCCAGATGTTGTTGGACTACAACTCCCATCACCCCTAGCTAGCAAGGCCAGAGCTCAGGGATGATGGGAGTTGTAGTCCAACAACATCTGGGGACCCACAGGTTGAGAAAGGCTGCTCCAGAGGTTCCAGTCCTTACTCTGAGTTTGCTTTCTTTGGAATGATGGTCAACGGAGACTGTGGTGCCTTTAGGATGTATGGTCTTATTCACACGCACAACCTGAGCGTAGGATGGAGACACTTACAGCACCAACACGCCAACAGATCTTGCCTCCCCATTGGGTTCCCAGGGAGGTCTCCAAGCCATAGTTTTTGGGTCCAGCACAGAGCAAGACATGCCTCTGTTTCTACAGCTGCCAGCATCAAACCCACCCCCTCCCCAGCCTCCCTTTGGCCTGTCATTCTCCTTCCTAGAATGGTGTGACAGCCAGCCAGGTGAAGTGAAGAAAAGGCCCACCCATTTGCCTCCATGGCAACAGAGCTCACTCTTTAAGATGCTGATGACGAGTATCTTGCTGAGCAATGAAGGCCAGTACTTGAACAAAGGAACTGGTTTGACCAGCCCGCAGGTTGCCTGTCATAGAGTCTAACTTCACAAATACAGGATCACAGGCCTGGAAGGGACCAAGAGGCATCATCCAGACTGACCCCTCAAACCTATAACAACATATAGCCACCACAACCAGTAGCTGTTGACAGATCTGTTAGAACAGGAATGGGGAATTACGTCAGCCAGGATCCCTGGCCATCGGCAGGGATGGGGGAGCTGATATAAGTTGGAGCTGGAGTAATAATTCTCTCTATCTCTGCTGTTTCCTCTTGATTGTCATCCTTATTAGAAAGATTATCTTTTTGCCAAATAAACCTCCCTATCCAAATGGACTCCCCCTCTCCAAAGTCTAACACTCTAACCACTATACCACACTGCCTTCTCAATAATCCCGGCTAGATTTATCCTCTATGTTTCCGTGGTTTCCTATGGATTGTCATTCCTATTAGATGCAGTCTCCTTTTGCCAGGTGGGCCTCCCCATCTAAACAGACCTGCCTCCCAAATCTTATTGCTGTGACCACTATGCTGCGCTACCTCTCGATAACCCTGGCTGGATTGGCCCTCTCTATCTCTGCTGTTTCTTCTTGAACACCATTCAAATCAGATTCACTCTCTTTTTGCTGAATACCTTGAAGAAAAAGGAGGGCAGCCAGGCACGCAAGCAATTAGTGACATGCTCACACTAGCAAGAATGAATGATGACATGACAAGCCAGATTGGGGTGTGTGTGTGTGTGTGTGTGTGTGTGTGTGTGATACGGCTTGCAAGTTCACGAAATCAGATCTCTCTCTCTCTCTCTCTCTTTCCAAACAGGTTCCTTAAGAATAAAAAAGTCTTTGCAACCCAGATCAACTGGTTTGTTGTCCATTTCAGGAGTGGGTGACCCAGGAGCAACCGTCTGTCTCTAAGAAAAGCTTACAGAATAGTTTTTCTCTGTCTCTCATAATAATAATAATAATAATAATTTTTATTTATATTCCGCCCTCCCCAGCCAAAGCCGGGCTCAGGGCAGCTAACAACAATAAAATAGGGCAGCATTCTGAAAACATTTCGTTATAAAAATTAATTAAAATCAAATTGATGGCAACCAAAGGAGGGAGTCACTAAAACTCGTGGACTTGAATTCATGAAGCTGAATGTTGGAAGATTCTAACAGATAAAGTGCTTCTTTGTGCAGCACAGAAAGGGACTCTGAAACTTGCTCCAGAAGGGACAGTGATGGCCTTAAAAGTGGATTAGGAATAATGATGGTTTTAAAAGTGGATTAGGAATGATGATGATGATGATGATGATGATGGAGGAACCCGCAACAGGGGAGAGGACTCACGGAGCTACAATTCCAAGAGTGGTTTAAGAATCAGTCTCTCTTCCCAGGGAATTCTGGGAACTGTCACTCTGTGAGGAGAATCACTGTCTCCTAATAACCCTCAGCACGTTTTACAAGCTACAGTTCCTAGGGTGCATTGCATGCTTAGAACAGAGCCTCAGTCCTACTTAAAGTAGGAACTATCCTGAAGCTGAGACTCCAATACTTTGGCCACCTCATGAGAAGAGAAGACTCCTTGGAAAAGACCCTTATTTTGGGAAAGATGGAGGGCACAAGGAGAAGGGGACGACAGAGGACGAGATGGTTGGACAGTGTTCTCGAAGCATGAGTTTGACCAAACTGCGGGAGGCAGTGGAAGACATGAGTGCCTGGCGTGCTCTGGTCCAGGGGGTCACGAAGAGTCGGACATGACTAAACGACTAAACAACAACAAATACCCCTTTAAACAGGGCTGTCATACGCCCAGGATTCGTCCGTCAAAAATAGCGTCCAAGCGGAATTTCTCAAAATCAGTAAAAAATATTCCATGTCGTATGGCAACCCATGTCGGAAGTGTTGATTTCTTGGCAGATTTCCTTAAAAAATAGCTTTAAAAGTTTGGGTGTTTTGCACACACAAAAAGCAACCCTATACAGTTGGGACCAGATGCTACCCTCCCCATGAAGCCTAAATAAGACCTGCCTGTTTTCTGCACTCTGCTAACCCTCCACCCACCGCTTTCCTGATCTCTCTCCCTCTCTGCATAACTCACACAGTGCCAGGGCTTTTAAGCCAAAGAGAAAAGAAGCGTTTGAGATGAGTTTGCAGTTTTCTCTCCCGGGGTGGGGGTGAAGAATGTTGATGTGAAGGCTGGGTCCATTTCTTGGCACCGAGGGGAGATAAATGCCAGGATCTGTGCCAGCTGAACGTGGCAGCGCGGGGACAGCGCCAGCATAGG